CAAGGACTCGAACATTGGCCACACTACCGACCCTGCCCGGACGATGATGAGGAAGAAGATTGCTTCGGCGGCGACAAACCCGTCGAAGTCCCACTCGTTAAGATCGAGTTCCCACATTGGAACTCGATCCCCTACTCGAACAAACTAAGGGGACTCAACGCCGAGAAACGGCACGGTCAAGAATCGACCTGACGGAGAAACAGCACCGTCGAGAAACGACTTCTGGAATGGACATTTTCTTTAGTTTTCTTTTCACAGAAACCGACTAACCATGTATACGGCGGACGTCAACGATGACTTTTGCCAGAGTGCCGACTACACAAGTTGGCTGGATTCTTCGGTTTGACCCGGATACGAGTGGTTAGACCTGACAAGCCGGCCTTTTCCACCGTTCCGGTACGTCTTCCGAGGAATCCCCTGGATAGAACTGGGCAAACCGACCCCAGTTCCCCAGTATGGCACTTGCAGATCGCAATCACATCTGCTAACATAGCAGATTAACCACGTTCTGCGACCATCGGAGCCAACAGAAGCCCCAAGCCGCGTTACATGGAACTTATAACGGAGTTACATGGTACAGATCACGCCGTTAACCACGGTCAGTTACGAAGATTACTCCGGGCAACCGACTCCGGAGCATAGACCGAGAGGATTACGCTAACGTGGCGCTGAATACGTCGCTGCGTGCTCAGCACCACGTTTGCCAAGCACCCGTGGCCAACTTCGGAACCGGGTAGCCGAACAGCTTTCACCATTGTAAATAGCGGAAATCCCTCGGCCGAGCCGCCAACAGTGCAGGAAGACTCGGATTTGACAATCAGTAGTCGAGCCGACCACAAAGGTCGACTTCGTACTTTGCCCGCGACTCAGAGACATAAAAGATAGTGTCGCACTAACCGACCACAAAGGCCGGTTGGGCAAGCCGATCACAAAGTCGGAACTGCAACGAAGCAGATCGTCGAACCACTTTTAGCCACCCTAGCCGACCACATAGATCGACTAGGTACACGGCAGCCGACCACAGAGGTCGACTATAACGGCCAACAGAAGTCGCCCATGAAGAATGGACGGAAGCTAGTGGCAGCCACGTGTCAGTTAACCGGATTCTCCGTTGAACCCAGACCTACAGGCTCTGTACCTGGCATCCAATCGAGTCTCCCCCGGAGGATATCGGAACCAACCGATTTACCGGTGACCACGACTACGCGCGTCTCGAACGTGCTGCCGTTCCCTGAAGAGGAACAGCGACGGTGATTTGGATACCGGTGTACCAACGACTCCGCCGCGACCTGCTTCCCCATGTCTTCAATGGAACATCCTAGGCAGACCGAGTTAGAATACTCGGCCGGCACCCCTTTAACGCACTCCCGATGGCGATGACCACCTGCCCGCAACAGTAACGGCCAGTTGGCCAGCGTCACCGGCAACGAATAATTCCCCCGTGGACGTGAGTTGTCTACCCCCAACAGAAGCGGCTAGGCGTCTCAGGTTCGCGGCAAAATAAAACGGAAGAATCGGATCTGATGACCTCAGGGATTTGCATGTGCATGAAGTTTAAAATCAAAAAAGCTCGGCAACCGGGGCCACAAAGACCCTTAGCGTTGTAAGCGAGCACAATTGCATGATGAAGCGTCAGTCACTAGGCCAACAGATGCCAGGAGAAGTTGCGACTGCACGAGACTTGATCGCCCAGAGGTATAACCAGCCAACGGTAGCCAGGATCCGACCCAGAGTCTATGTCAGGAACCACAGAAGGAACGGAGTTGTGCTGCCGAAAATCCTTCTGCCAGTCAACGCTGACCGAAGGATGTCCGAACACCGGAGACCCGGCCAACTGTAGCCGCAGGCACAGAACTCCTAAAGTCGGAAGCTACCAGATGGAGGTCGGAAGTAAACCACAACAGGTCGGAAAAGGAACTAGAAGTAGCAAATCGACCTCCCTACGGAAGCGCCTACCCTTTAGACGGATGAACACAAAGTTTATCCGACCTACGGAAGTCGGAAAATGACCGACCTCAGAACTTTGGCATGAATAAGCGACCTCAAGTCGAAGTCGGAAGCGACCGCACAGAAGTCGGCCGGACGCGACAACAAGTCGGCAAAGCCATTTGGAAGTCGAGAACCGACCTCCTAACGGAAAAATTCAGTCTTCGGACGGATGAGCACACAGTTCATCCGACCTTCCGAAGTCCACCATAACCGACTACAAGTCGGAAGTCGGAAACTCGGTCAACATGACGGAAGAAGACCGATAGCTGTCTGCAGTGGACGAATCCGACTTGAAGGAACTTGTTTAGCCCCACATGGGCATGTTATTGCAGGTTAACCCTAGTCGACCACCGATGGATAGGATGACCGACCTCGACAGAAAGTCGGACAACAACGGAACATACCGGATGGAAGTCGACTGGACACTTCCACCGACGAAACTTATGAATTCCGACCGGACCTTCGAGCCAGTTCGACTCGGATAACTCCAAACCAGGCTCGTGGTAGCAGATTGGACGGTTGTAATCGACCACTTTTTGAACGGAACTGCTGTACATGACGACCACAAAGGCCGCATTACTTACATACAGCTTTTTCCGACCTGAACTTTCGGAATTCGGAACATAGCCGAATTACCCCAGCCGCCGGTCGACTTACCGGTAGGCCGACCCTGGTCAAACCGACCTCGGTCCTATTCCCCATTCAGAGAGGATGCCTCGGCATTTGCAACCGCAACAGTGCCTCTCTATCCCTAACTGTCGGATACGAGTCGGAAGTAAGTGTTTAACCGTGCTTATCCGACCTCGATGAATGCAACCGGTTACGACGGGTAACCCGGGAACTGATGCCCCGGACCCAACTTACCGGATGAAAGTGGACAGGAGACCCCGTGGAGACTCAATTGCCCCGTGGACGTCATCCTAGTCGGAATAGGAACCCCGGACAGAATTTTTTTTTATTTTTATTTTTCCTAACAAACGGAATTGTATTTTTCTAGTTCGATCTCTTCGACAGATCTGTTTTGTAACCCCTTTTTGCTCACTGGAATTGTGATAAAACTTTATTTCATACTTTTCTTTCGCGCTGCATAAACCTTCATTACATTTTTCTTTCACATTGTTCTCCGATGCCAACAGAAGCAAGAAGCCAGCCAACAGAAGCATCACCGGTCCAACGAAACGCCCGAGCGGCTTCCGGATTTCTCGGCCGTGAGTGGCTTCCACTCATGGGTTCGGAAGTGAAGAAGGGACGGTCGACCAGACACCGGACTCCCACTGCCAGAGGACGCGTACCGGCGACCCCACATGGGTCCAACCGGAGAGTTGTGCGGTACTGGTGCGGTACTGAGTCGGAGCATCCTTCGCAGGAGCTCGGATTCCCGCCCAGAGGCATGTCAGAGGCCCACGACTGCGCCTGGTGCGTACGGTCCACACAGGACGTACTGGCACCCATTGCTTGCCGTTATCGCCTCTCGCTGTACGTACGTGTGCTGCTGCACTGCACTCATCCGCTGAAGCGGATATACGCAGCGCACACACTGAGCATACTCGCTCTCTCGTTCCTCTCTCGCAGTATGACTCAGCGTTCATACGCTCGCGTTGGATAGAGTCCAGTCTGCGCATCATCACACAGCTGATGGCACACAGTACGTGGTTGCCACCAGTTGCTTCTTGAACACGCCAGAAGACGCTCAAGAACCACTTTAGCATCCACTTGCTATTTAGCCACTAGTGCTTTGTTCTTGCTTTCCTGCTATTACGCAGCATTGTTCCCCACATTATTTGTACAATAAAGCATCACTCGCGATCTCCTCGTGCTTGTCTGTTACAACACTGTAAAATATTGGCTTAGTAGTACTTCTTTGAATGTTTTTTTAAAAAATTCATGGGCTTTAACAACATTAACTTTTGAAACTTTATCGAACTGGCCTGTAGGCTGTAGTGACCAGGTTTGACGTAGGTATCCACCACTATCCAGGCCAGCTGTACGAGTACGCACTGGATGCACACACAGTTCTCATTCGTACGAGTACAGAACGATACAGGCGTATTCTAGCGGAAGACGTGAATATTATTGTTGTTGCGTTGCTCGACGACAAGCCTGCTCTTCCTGCTTCTTTAAAAATTATACTTAATTTCCTTAAAGCAACACATGCGAGCCAGAAACAAGTAAGTACTTGTACTTAATTACAGTAAGTAATAAAAATTATTATGATATTTAGGTATGGAAGAAAGTAATTGCTTGCTTTCGTCAAATTATCTTGTGCAGCATCATCTACGGCAACGATGCTATTATAATTTTATCTAACTGTGAGCTGAACATCAGGAAATAAATTGTTTCTCCATAAATTGTTTCTCCATTCATTTTAGTTTTTTTTGTGTGCAAAGCTCACACTCAGCGAGGTGCTTGCATGAGGGTTGCTTTTTTGTTGTAACCAACTTTTTTGATAACAATAAGAACGAAGATAATTTACTGGGAGATGGGTTTTGAAATTGATTCATTTGTCCATGGAAGTTTTTCTTGGATTGACTGGACCTTTATATCGCGAGTTTCTTATGTTCTTGCTGCCTTTTCTGTGATTGCTGAATTTTCTGTAAAAGGCGAAGGTGTAGCGGATCTCAAGCAAGTTCACGTGGTATGTGCCTGTATTCGTTTTTATTTCCTAGTGGCCACTTGTGCGGATTACATATTGTTGGGCCTTTCAGTTATAGCACTTTTTAAACTTTCGTAACGCTGCAATTGCGCACGAAATTGGATATTCTGAAGCAACTGTTATCATGTGGTTTTTAACTGTTATCATGTGCCGAAAAAAGTTTTTATTTTATTTTTGAGTTTTAATTTAAATCACTTTGTGTGATGATGTGGGCTGTGCTGTATAATATTGGTGACAAACGACAATGCAAAGTTTTCCTACATCTTTAATTAAGTACAAGTACTTAGGGTAATAACTATTCTGCATACTGTACGTGTGCACTGGAAATAAATTCTGGAATACTTTGAGCGGTCAGAGATTAAATTGCGAAATAGCCTTCTTCTATTAGGTGGTTCGCCATGGCGCAAGAGCGCCTCTACAAAATTTCGACGGAAGCGGATATTATTCCGGCGACTGGCCACATGGACTAGCACAGTTGACAGCCGAGGGCATCATGCAGCAGTATCAACTGGGAAGTTTTTTGCGCCGTCGCTATTCAAAATTTTTAACTCCCGACAAAGAATTAGAAGAAGTAAGCACGGGAAAATGTTTTGCTTTTTTAATTTGTTACTCAATACAATAGCGATATTTTGTGCCACTGCGATAGTAATTATAGATGGCGGCGAATGCGGTGTGTATACTTGTATGTTTGTTTATTAGTTTAAAATCATTATTCTGTGCAACATTGTTACTCATTTTCTGTTAAAGTATTGTTATTTGTATATTTTGATATGTTGTTCTTATTTGATAGATTTATGTTCAGTCTACGGACCACGACAGAACACTGCAAAGTGCGCTGGCCATGAGTGCCGGTTTGTTTCTTCCGAGTGATAATCATTCTTGGGAATCCCCTGGACAAGCGGTTCCATTGGCCAAAATGTGGCAACCTATCCCAGTTCACACTACCAGTCTGGACCACGAATATATTCTGAAACCGACAGCTAAATGCCAGAAATTGGAGCGGTTAAACAGGGATTTGCATAACATGCCGAAAATGGCCCAAGCTGCGCAAGAATTCCAGGTTAGTGTTTTACCGGTATGTAATTTTCCTAGCTATGTTCCGTCTAATTGTACGTTGTGTATTTGTGTCAGGACCAATAAGGTGTCAGTGTATATGTGGATGTTATTATTTAATTTGGGTACATAATGTTTTATGGTAATTGCAGAGTTTTTTATTATGCATTGTTAAGGGATTTGGCCCGGTACATAGCACCAAATTTGTGTACATTCACCGATTCACAGAAATTTTTCGCTGTAGCGCACTCCCAGACACTTCTTTGCATTCTTTTATGTTCTTTTGTAGCCAGAGGATTTGTTCACATAGGCGAGTTTGCGCGCGCAGCGCCCGGTTGGAAAGGTATGGGTGAACCAGAATTCCCAGAATTCCAAAAAGTTTAAACGCGTTCAAGTCACCAAAAGTCCCATCATGGACCGATCTTCTTCAAATTTTGCACGTAAATGCACATAACCACGAAGATCGTTCCTGCACCGATCCAATGTTCTGGCGTGTTTTTCTAATTTTAAAATGAATTTCAAAATTTTTAAAATTCATTTTAAAATTCGAAAAAAATTGTGGAAAGCTGGATTGGTGTAAGAACAATGTTCGTAGTTATACGCATTTGCGTGCAAAATTTGAAGGAGATCAGTCCATAATGAGACTTTTGGTACACCTGAATGCATTTAAACTTTTAGGAATTTGTTATCCTGATATCTCCGCAACCGGATGTTGTGCGCGAAAACGGATTTCACGCCTACGTGAACAAATCTTCTAGCTACAAAATAACACAAAGCAAGTGCAAAGAAAGTGTCTGGGAGTGCGCGACAGCGAAAGTTCCCGTGGAAGTACATGTATATGGTGCTATGTAGTATGTACCGGGCCAAATCCCTTGAAGAAGAAAGTTAGATCAGGCAGCTTTTTGCAGGAGACGGATAAGCTTTTGGCAAAGTACATCGCCCAGCTCAAGGCACCGAAAGGTCACAAAACAACCTTTTGGGAGAGAGTTCCGGTTGCGGCGGACATGTTTGCTTCTTTGAGTAGCCGATCTTTAGCCTTACCACCTTGGATGCGAAACATCGAGCTAATGAACAACGTGACCTCTCTGGCTGATCTTCAGTTTATGCACTGGGTCGGGGCGTTTGACGACGAAGAGAGGAGCCGAATCGTGGGAGGTGCACTATTGAACATTATTCTGGAGCGAATGCGCAATTCGACTAAAGGAGAGATTGTCCCAAAATTTTTCCTCTATTCCGGGGTATATTCACGGAATTAAGTTTAATTGTTGTTCTGTCGGTAGTTTAATTTTGTGATGGTATTATTTAAATATTTTCTAAAGCAAAACACCGATACATTTTTGTTGTTGCAGCATGATTCATCGGTTGCCGGTTTGCTTTCAACGCTACAAGTCTACAATTCTTCGCGAGTACCAAGCCTGCATCGGATCCCATTATATAACGCAAGAAAAAAATAACTGTAGATGATTCATGATTGTGCTTGACGCTAAAGTATATATCTGGTTTTCCGTTCAGGCTTTTGTAATTATGGAGCTTTTTGCCAATAATACAGTCAGGATAACGTACTCCAGTGCCAAGGAATTGCGCAGGTAATGTGTTTTTGGATATTGTTCAACGTTAAATCGTTAACTGTGCGTGTAAAACAAAATCGTTCTATGGAAATTTTATTCGGTAATCTAAGAACTTCTTCACTCTAAGTTATAGGAATAATACGGAATGGCGGGATGCGGAGCTGTTTATTTACAAACATCCGAACTGCTCGGTGTATTGTCCATTAGTGGATATGATCGAGATGAATCAACGTTATGTGGTAGCAAACTGGGAGCATGAGTGTGATGATCGAAACTTCCTCCTTCGTGCAATTACAGGTATTGTTAATACTTTCTTAGATATTACTCCAACAGCAGGCAAAATGGAGTCCGTTAGCTGTAATTTATAAATTTGCCATTTCTTGATTTAGAACATGTTCCTGCTAGCGGTGCTTGGGCTACGATTGGAGTTTTGGGAGTGTTATTAGTGATGTTCGTGGGCTTTCGCTGGTGGAAAGATCGCAAGCACCATTTCAATAATCGTCCTGTCGCCAGCCAAAGTTTGTCAGATTCAGTTATTTCCTATAGAACTTTGGAAAACTTAAATGCATGAACAATACAGACATTTCTTCTTCGTTTTGAATGCTGGTGATGTTCTTGCGTTTAATGTTTTTTCAGATAGTAATTCTTTTTGTTTGATGTGCTCATGAGTTACTCTGTAAATTGGACATTTCGAACCGGCTTTGATAGCAGGTTCGTATAAGATAGCTATAGGGCAATTTCTGTGTTGTGATGCTTTATATTCCAGCCCATGGCCATGGGAATATATGAATACATTTTTGCCAAGTTTAATTTCAAAAAAGGGACTTATAATTATTCCTGAGTTAACGATTGAAAGATTTGACCTCAGTTGGATTAAGCTAAAACGGAAACAGTACTGTGCTTCCCTTTTCCTTATGTGAATCGAACATGAACTAGAGTACTAGTTTTTATTATAGGGCGATTCTAGCGCAAGTAGGAACTGGGACCCTGGATGTTCCGGTACTGTCGATGAGGTTGATATTCATAAGGACTAGTAATGCGCTTTCATAACCAGTTCACCATGTACGAGGCCACGAAATGTACAAAGAAAGATTTCCAGAAAACAAAATAAATGTTAAAGTTCCAACTTTCTTCATCTTTAAGGCTGAAGTGTGAGAGTTGACGTTCTTGATCATTCAATCAAGCAAACGCAACTCTTGGCCAGATAATATATGTTTGCGATTACCAAAGAAAATCTTTAAACTACTTTAATTACACAGTTGTTTCCGGTTTTAGAAACAATGCGCCATAAAAATATCTAAAATGGATTATGCAAGTACTTAAACAAATGCAAGATATAATGTAAGTTGCATAACATTGTAATTTTAACAAAACGACGCGGTCTGCGAGCCCATTTTTACTGAACATTCCAAGCTAGTATTTCTATCTGTCACAATAACAAGCAAACAACAAAACTCATTTTGCTACCAGTCTACCAGTAAACAGTTACGCTATTAATCCGCAGGAAACCAATTATGCAGCATGTCACCCAGGGGCTACGATGAACTTCATTAAAGGATTCATTTGTGTTAATTTATTACATGGTTTATTGCTTTGTAGCTTGTTTTATTTGTTCTACAAAATTGCTTTGTGCATACTGCAATCGTCCCTACTTCTATTCTGTATGATTGTTATGAATCCTGAACTGATAACTGGAAGTATACCGTAATCGTTGCTTCGTTAAGGCATTCCATGCGAAACGAAAATGGATACTTATTAACCGGAATCAAAACTTTGTTTATCGCAACATTAAACATGGTTGCCAAAGGGGCACACTTGCAGGCGACCAAAGGAAAGGTGAACAATAAAACAGCAATGCCCACGAAAAGTGCGGCTATGTATATTATAACAACCCCTTACAAGCGATGATTGATCCATGCTACTGTACTGCGCTGCTGCACAAGTAATTTTGATTAAAGCATAATTCAATATTTAATCCTGCACCATTACGGGATGCAGTGTAAAAGGCGACAAAAGTCACGAACTTGATAAACAAGAAAATTAGAAATCCATTTGGATAGGATCGAACTATTTTGGGCGAACATCACGACAGACGTGTCAAGGAAGAATTAATTTTAACGACGATAATCCGGAAATAATAGACAGATGAAAGTTCAGTTCATTATGTCGTCTATAAAAGGTTAAGTCCAGCGCAGGGCTACGACGTCAAGCCGATCACTTAATTATCCCAGGCAGGATGACTACGCGCGGCCATCCAATACCCCTTCATTTTGAAGTATGGTTGCTTGATAATGAGTTCATAAATGTGGCTTCGTGTCATGTATTTACGTAGTATGGAGAACTTCCGGCTAATGCAAGATGGACACATTGGGGCTGGTCTCCCGGGACACCCGATTGCGTGAGGTATCATTATCGCCCTGGATCAGCATGTATTGATTCTGACTTACTGGCTAATTACTAATGGAACAATACGTCTGACTTCATTTTGCTAATATATTTAATCCCATCGTTAATCCAGATTAATTTCTATTCAGACAGATCACTCATCCCGATCATTTTGGACTTGCCGGTGTGTATATAAGGACATCCACAGTGCACTTGCAACTGTGTTTTGGTTGCAGAAATTCATGATAAGTAATTGTTCGAGGACCGCAATAAAATACAAATTTAAATAATCAAATACCGCTTATTAAAAACTTTGCCAAAAGCTGCTGATATTGCATTCCACCGAACACGCGAGTTTTGTGATTTACTGCAACCTACAATGGACTTCATAAAGGTGGCGAGTGGCGACATCCGCAGCCGATAACGCCACGCACACGGGTGTTTATGCATTAACACCATTTTGAAGTCCAGTGCTCTGTAAATCTGTAAACTACTGTTCTGTGTTCCTAATTATATCTAATTAAACTTTTGAATAAAGATAATTATATAGTTAAGATTTAAGTTAAAAACACAGTTACGGACGCAGTACTGCCGCTGAGTTATCCATTATAAATTAAGTGAATTCATGATTTACACAACCACAACTACATAATGAAATTTGTTATGTTAGGTGTTATCATTTTCCATATTATGCCTATACTAAAGCGATAGGGTACTCTAAGAGACAAAAAGTATCCGGCAAGCGTACGGAAGTGTACCTAAAAGGCTAAAACGGATCAGTATTTATGCTTTTTAGTTGGAACTGCATATATGGCGCAGAGCACGGTAAATGAATTTTAGGTCCAAAGCAACAAAAAGTGGTATACTTCAGTAGTGCTTTAACTCTGCAACAAAAATTTAAAACGTTTCGAAGCGTTGATTTGTCACCAAATTGGCTCGTGGAATCTCTCCAAACTTTGCTAGTTCATTTTACTATAATACCCAGTTGTACGGTTGCGCTCCCCGGGACATCCCGAGCACCTGCTATGTATTGTTCTGAAGCATAAAGGTTGTACCCATATCCATTACAATCCATGTGCCGCTATAGTCCGACACGGATGACCTTAACACCTCGCCCTGTTCGTCGGCGTTCCAAAATGGAATTCAACCTATGCAAGTCAAATTAATGATGCGCATCTTCACATGTACAGACTGCAGATGCAAAGGAAAGCATAACGGACGTGAGCCTATAAAAAATGCTCATCTATCATGATCATGTCCATCTCTTGGAAAATATGCAGGCGTTAACAATTTAGTCCACATTTATCGACTGGCTGTACGATATCTAGTACTTACAGCATGCGTGCGCCATGTACCGCATTAAATCATGTGTGTCATTTTTGATAATCATACAATATGTACTTTTAAAATTTATGAATTAGGGGAACGGTTACCTTTTTTTGTAACCACCCACATCATGTACGAATCATGAGCCATCAAGTGGTTTGTGATTGTAAAAAATTAAAAAATTCAACACCTTCTTTTGGTGTCATGCTACAAGATTGGACAGAAAATTAAAACTATCATCTCCAATAGTGGATGAAATAAAGGTGTGGTTCGTGAGCATTACTGCATACATGTTCACAAAGGTCACCGGGAAAGGTGCCGGTACTCGAATCACGCGAAGAGGCATGTTGTCAATAACATGTTCCATGGGGCCGCCTGGAGTGACCGACGACGTGACTAATAATATCATTTTTAAATCTGAACAACCTCTAAAGCATTATTCTAATTCAATAACACCATTTTAACACTTTAACTCAAGAGCTGGTCAGCTTGAATCTGGTAAGTACTTGATTCTGGAAAACATTTCCACTACATACGTCACTTGTAAGCATATTGTGGTACAGTGACTACAGTCACAGAAATACGTTCTTGTCTCCGAGTTTTTACATAAGTACTGTACGCAAAGTACTGAATGTAGAAATTTGATTGTGACCCATTGTAATGACACTGTTAGTGTGAACAGTGATTACTACGGATCACAATAAAATTACTGTACTGCAATTACAGTACAGTACAGACCATGTGTATTAGAGAGTCGGCGGTATCCGCCGTAAACCGTAAAACGGGCACCGTTTTTAATTAAAAATACAGAGTTAGACAGAGCGTGTGTCTAACGAATTTCTGTCTGCTCCCTTGATTAAATGCGTTTTACGGCGCCCGGTTGCTTCCCCAGGCGGACGTCGCCGACTCACTATTGTATGTACTACTATGTAGTGTGTATTGCTACGTGTTGTAATTTTAAAAGCGCATTTACGTAATTATGGCATTTTGTACTGTGAATTGACAATAACATTATTAAAAAATAGATTATAGATTGTAAACTTTGTTGGCTTTTGCTCTGCAAATATACAGAGTACGAACTCACGAACTCGTTCCCTGTGTTCGCACGTTTGGAACTGATTAACTCCAAACTGTAGAATAGTACTGTAATTTCGACAGCGTAAGTAATTCGCATTTGTTTCCTGTTGAAACGTAAAGAAACAACTGCAAGAATAATCTGACCATACTGGGAAAATTAATACTGCAGAGATTTTTGATTGATGAAGTTAGTGAATGTAGTCATGCGATAAATGGTAGTTAATTATGAATTGTAACTGATGGGAATTTCTGAATCGCCAGATATCATCGACAGCGACTAATGTGAGAACGTGCTGATAAGTCAGCCGGATACTGCCACGTGTCGACATCCTTCTAATCCTATACGGCGAATTGTCCTATTAATCTGCTTAATTACAGTATGTGTTGGATTCTGTTAAGAATCGGTCGCTACACAGCACAAAAATTAGTAAAATTGCTACAAGGTTTTAACAGTTAAGGTCAGCAGTATAGCATAGGGAACCTGTAAGCAACTTAAAGTAAGTAATATCAGAAAAGCATTAGGTGTTGCTTGTCGGGCCGTCGCTGAGCATCATAATATGCATAATGACATTGGAGTAAGGAAAGGCACAATAATACCATATCAGAAACAGTTATAGTCAATATTTCATTTCCGAAAGAGGCAAACAAGTGATCTTAAGAGCACTTACGCTCGACCTCTTCGGAAGCCAGGACAACAAGCGTATGCTTCGTCCAGTCTATGGACGCTACAGCAAACTAAAAATTAAAGAGCTCGGCCTAAACAAAATTCCAAAGTGCACGACATTACTTATTATCCACGCCATTAGTTCATATAGTTTTTTAGCAAATACATTTATGGGTGAACAGATCATCGCTGTATATTTTAGCACTGTTTAATTCAAAATACCTATAACGACTAATTTTATGTGGTCTGCTTTCGAAAAATCTGAATGATTTACTTATTCATCTACGAGTAGTTAACCAATTGATAATTTGTCGTTCATTGACCATTCGAAATTTTAATCCAACACCGCTACGGTTAAAGGAAACGAATTTTAGCGGCTGGAATCAGTAGGTTGAAATGGATTCTTTTATGATGCCGGTTCCGAATATCTCAGCTTGGGGTCCAGATGAGACCAAACAGACGCTATCCCCGCAGCGCTTTGCATATGGCCGGTAAAACGCATCTTTCTTTTGTTGGACAGTCGAATGGAGGTTCGGACAGAAGGTGCGAAAGCTACCGAATACCCACCTAATTCCATTCAGGTAGCACTGCATTCGCTTCAGCGAGGCGCTGTAATCACCCTCTCAGTGGGATATTTTAGCTGGATCAGGTTTCTTCGCGTTATATTCAAATTAGCTTCATTAAACGATGATATTCCCACGCGTAATAATCGCACGCCATCAGCCGGTGTGCAGACGCAAACTTTCAGTGGGCTGAACCGATAACCAAAATTACCCACTGGTCATATTATCCGCAAACACCGAAGTATTTATGAGGGTAGAGCAGCTTGGCACGTCAAGTTAATATACTGCATACGAACCAATTTCACAAATTATACTTAAGATTTTCAACATGTTTTAGCTGAAATTTTTGACTGATAAAATAACTGGTGTGGGAAAATAATGGCAGTGTGAAGTTTTTGGCTGTAGTTCAGTCCGTCCTACTGAACTAAAGTACATCCTACAATGGTTTTAATTTTTAGTTTTCATATACTACAGTGGTTTTGTTGTTATTTAGGATTAATGTTCTCTTCACCTAACTTCGAGTACCTCAAGTGTTTGTCTGCTCAATGAGTAATTTAAACTAAACTAGTATTAATATATATTGCAGAAAACAGCTCTTTTTCTTACGTACCAGTTGAATATGTGGCTATCATTTGCTTCTTTATATATGTGACCCATAGCGTCGGGTGCTATCAAAGAGATCTTATCTTCTAAGAAAATTTTATAAAATTTTATGCTGATAGAATTGAATTGAATAAAGAACTTAATTTTAGCCGATTCGTGAAAATTGTTGCCGTTCTCGTACTACTTGCTCACTTTTAACGATAAATACATATTGTAGCCTTGTAGGCAAACGGATTCTCTCGCACAAACAGAAATCCTATTAGAACGATTTGTTGTGCATGTGCTAATTAGCTACGTATAGTCTGTATAGATATATACATACAAATGCAATCGGATTACCTTTACACTATTATTTTTACTATTAATAAAATAACATTTCTGACAACTTCGTAACCCGTAACTCGAAGTTGAGATAATTATGGAACCGATCACAAGTTTACGAACTGAGCATTATAGCCGTAGACAGGGCGTGACTGTCGGTGCGGCTTTCAGTCATGATTCGCCCACTCGTCATTCAGCTGTTCCCGCTCGTAAAAACGCCAATCTGTAATCGTTTGGATACGATCAGGCAGTTCATAAAAGCGGCTTGGCCGTAGCAGCATGAATAACTGACATTGGCATTTCGTATTTTCGAAGGGCAGCAAAACCTTGCATGCAGTCCAAAAAGTGTAAAAAGCATGATTCTGTTCCGCCAACCCGACTATTGTGGCGAATATTGTGGCGAAACTGCTTGATTGTGGCGGTATAACCAACGGTCAGCATGTTTCGAACTTCCGGACACTCTCCGTATCGATCGTTGCTGGTGGATATCAAACCGGCATCTGAGCCACTAACCTTTCCGGATGCACTTTATATTACACCGGATTCTTTGCTCGCCAGCATAAAAAGTGGCTGTGTCCGTCTTCCGGTGATTCATCTGCGAAAACGTGTTAATCAAGACGATCAATCCAGAAGGAAGCTGACAACTCTTGTGCAGTCGGCTTTTGTAATTGCACTGCTAATTCTCGTATTATGCTTTTTGTCCTATTGTTTTCTCCTGTATGTGGATTATATTCCAAGACGACATAAACATATCATCGAAGTGTATAGCTGGTCAGCATTATGGAATTCTGGAATCGTCGATAGCGACACAGCCGCAGATGAAATCCCTAGTGTATCGTTTCCAGCGAGATCTGACCCAGAGCACCGGCTGACCGTTGACAATCAGTCCCTAAAGACTGCTCGTCGACTACCACAAGCTTTAATCATTGGCGTTAAAAAGGGAGGCACCCGGGCATTACTGGAGTACATTAGGATGCATCCACAAGTGCGAGCACCTGGAGCGGAAATGCACTTTTTCGATCGACACTATGAGCGTGGCATTGAGTGGTACAGGTGCGTGCTTATTCACAGTAAACAAAGTGTGCTACCTAATTAATATGAACCGATAACGAAACCACAAAAATTTCGCACCACGTTTTGCAAACGTGCAGATTACCTAAAAGGGGATAAAAGTGGTTCTAGCGCGGAAGCGAACAGTCTTGTAAAACTTTGAAAATAATTTTTTCTAACCCCTTATTAAAACTTTAGGATCTAGAAAAAGTATTATATATAGCAATTAAAATGAGCTAGCGTTAATCAGACTAGCAATGACCTTAACCGATTGCTGTTTGCAAAAATAGCTTGGTTGGATCAACTTGGATGACACAGTCATTTCATGTCTATGAATAAGACTGAAAACTGGCTTTGGCTCCAGCTAATTAGTTTAATAAGCAAGCGCTGAACATAACGGTGAATGAGTAGCGTGTGCGCTCTACAATTATAACTGGGAAATAACTCTTTGTAGCCGCGACGCCGATTATGACTCTTTGCACCATATGCTAATTTTTGCGAAGGAGCAGTCTAGCGGCATTATTTTCTCACTTGTACGCGGCACTAGCTAGACGGAGATATGTGGATAGTCACTTAAGGTGAATACTTTAGGATGGCAAAGCGAAATGGGATACTTTGAGTAATAGTTTGCATGCCTCAAGCACCTTGACTGACCACTGTCCGATTAAATGACTGATAAGAGTCACAAGTCACTTGGTTAGTCAAGCGGTAAGTTTGCTAAAGCAAGATTAACTGAACCGGTGTGTCAGAGCCGGTAGCGCGGAGAAAAGGGTGCATGTTAATCTTCCAAACGGTCATTTATCCTCCGAGATAATGAAAAATGTATGCAGTACAACTACTGCCGGTGGATTCCTGCAGCCGGCATCCGTTCACCAAAACGTTTCAGTTAAAAATCCCTGCTTATGCCAGAACGGAACTTGACAGGGCACGTGTCTAGATTTTTGCAAACTAGATATTGAAGAGTTAATACTGTTTAGAAACATTCAGGTCAAGCCAATCTAGACCCTGTCATATCCAGACTGAAATTTATCCGATGGCTTTTTTAATCTAAATAAATTGGTTATTATCTACCATAACGCAGAATTTTACGACTTTTCAAAATTTTTTGATGATTGATAATTCGCATACCGGATTGTAACAGCCTTTGTCCTTATGGGTAGGATTTATAATAGCATCTGAACAATACAAAGACTTTTGTTAAATAAAAATATAAAACCTCGATGATGAGAAAATTAAAGTGCTTCCATTTTAAACAGCGCAGCTGCAGTTTGTTAAGTTGAGTTGCAATCTTGCTGACAAACTTATCTGAAATATGACTTATTGCCATAGCATTCGAATTTGTGCGCGTATTAATGCTGCAAGCTGCAAGGACGCCATCCCCTGTTGAGATAATCTTTGCAGGTTGGAAGCTGTATATTCCGAAAGCCGCAGATCACTGCAGGTCGCTCAGTATGCATAGAATATATTGCTCCGGGATACCCATATGTATTTCCCAAGGCAAAATGTATTAGAGATCAAAGCTAGCAATAAGGTACACACAGTGGACATGATTCTGGCTGTATTTAAGAAAGTGATCGGAATTTCGTGTGAGCAGTGTGTGGTCACTTTTCGCCTGCCGAAAATTAATAGCTTCGGACATTGGCGTAAACTGTAATCATGTAACCTTGTGCTAGATTGACCGGCGTGAAGCAGCTGTTTATGTTGATTGGAATTTCTTCACCACCAGTATATTTATCGCTTCTGTGCGTTACGTCGACTATCTTGAAGGATGTGCAATATAGTGGTGTAAGGCTGCGTCTCGAAGATATTTAAGTTTTCAAACTGACCGGAAAAGCGGTCTGATTAACATGTGCCCGCTCAGCTCGTTGTTGTTGCCGGGCGGCCAGCAAATGAACTTTGATTAAAACTTGGGCTAAAATCAGGCCATATTGGTCAATCCAGTCCTTATGTAGTGTGCATGGGATTGACGGGAGCAAATCTTGTAAGCAATCGTGTAAAACATCGATCCGATTTAATCTTGCGTAAACTCGTTCCCTCTTAATGCCCATCTGCAAAAAGTATTTCTTAATTCTTCCAGATGATCCTCCGGCCGGTTAACTCCCTGCCTCTCTCCTGTCACGTACATCCACTAGGTCAAAATTCATCAAATAAGAAAAAATATCGTCGCAAATAAAAGGCAAAAAGCACACAGCACCCAAAGGGGCAATAAGCGACACAAAAAAGGTTCCTCGAAGCCGAATAGCATTTTGCTGTCGGTACTTCTATGCAATCAAAATTGTGCTGCTAATGATATCTGAATTATTTGTGGTGAAGCTAAAATTAATGCAGAATTTCATTTTGGATGCACACTCATTAAACAGGCTAGTAGCCTTGGATTCAGTTTTGACTGACCACTCATCCGCCAGAACAAAGATCGAATTCGTTATTATGAATAGGTCTTGAAACGAGACGCAAGAGCCCTTATGTGTTTATTCAATAATCCTGTTAATCTTATCGCTATACAAGCTGACCATATGCGAAGCTTATTAAATATTAATGATGGACAGGAAGAGCGAACTAAGCTTCCGGTTTGTCCGTTTCCTGAAGCAAAGTACATTTAATATTAATGTCTTAGTGTCCCTTTCATGCAGTGCCTACAATATCCGTGCGCTGTACCACGCACGAAATACACAAGTTAAACATTTATAAGGTTGATAAATCCTTTCCGTTTTTTATTTGTTTCAAAATGCTTGTGTTATTGCCAAATAAATGTCTATCAGTTTTATGTATAGAAGTAACGCAAATATCTGTAGATGCGCACAGTGTAGACGATTTCGCCTGTATTTGGAAATCTGGAACGTCAAAGTGATCAGCTGAGCATGCATGGCAAACACATCAGAAGTGATGGATGACGGCATGCATGTGTGTGTACTGCATACCGAGTCGGATATTCTTTTCATAATTCGTGATGCCCTACTGTACATTCTGCAGTCGCAAATATACTTAAAAAGACCCTTTTGATATTTGGTAGAAATTTGGAAGTTATGTTCGCTAGTTAGCATGTCCCAAATGGGTGGTGAAGTGCGGAAAGTGATTTCTTTATTACCGCCCCGGCCAACTGGATAAAAAAAGAATCGACAAGTATGCTTGTCATTTGCAGTTCATAATGCGCTTTCATTGATAATATATTACACCCGATTTTTCGGAAAAGTAGGATACTATCTGCTTTATGAGAAGTAAAAATTTGATGGGGATAACCTCAGTGAGAAATAATGTGTTTAAATGCATAATATTTCTCCAGTATTATTTGTCAAAAAATATTTAATTTCTTTTCCGGTCTGTTGCTTTGCAAATTATACGAAAACGGCCAAGAGGGCTTATTTAAACCGTATTTACAGCCGACTTGTTAATCTTCGGCGGCAGTGCAGTTTATGATTTTTCTGTCTTGAGCAAATGTTTACATTTGAAATGTATCAATAACATAAACTTGGTCGAAAAATTACCGAGTCAGCCTTCAAATATCGATATGGTCGATTTGGTTGGTAACCGTATCCCATAATCCAATAATTTGATCTGACGTGCCGTAGCCGAGTAAAGTGCCGGTTTAACTTTGACAAAAAAGTGCTCCCACTACCCATCAAATGAACGACGACATTTCATGAATAGTCGACCGGCAAAAAATTTTAGTGAATATACATATTAAACGAGCCAGAAGCAATTGTACGTTTTTTGTTCACTTGAACACGCGCAGATAATTCGTTGTTTGAGGAGATCAGTATCTCGAACACAATACGACGATCATGACTGTCAGAAAGGTGGAATAATTTACGGCATCAGTCGAAGTCTGGAGATTGACATTGATATTACAAAGTAATACTTTTGCAATAACAAAATAAATTTTAGTCGATTTATAAAACTAATAATTATAGATGTACCAACCACATATTTTGAGACACATGAACGATGCACCTGCGTGTCGTAGCTTATGTACCGAGTGCTTATCGTTCTCCACCGTGCGTACCTTCCATATGCACTTTCTCATTAATTTTTGCAATTGGATTATGTTCAGTATAGCCGTGCGTTTTTCATTAACCCTAAATTTTAATTTTAACCAAATATTCGTGCAAAGTGCAAGTACATTCGCAATTACTGCATGATTACCAACTTATTGCAGTATTGAGGTATATTTAATTTAACAGAGCTAAACCGCAGTTTTGCATTTTGTCGATAATCACAATTGTGGGAATAATGTCAAACGCAAACTGCTTAGGCTTCTAGGTGGGATGCTAAACAAATTTCGATGCCGGTGGGCCACTTTGCCCCGCTGACTTAATAGTCCTTGCTGGCAGTATATATTGCAAATAGAGTGGATGTGGCCCAAGTTTATTTCGTTAATGTTCCTGCTGGGATCAAGTATCGTCCTACGACTATCTATCCAGTCGAGAAGGAATTTTTAGGGCATCGTCGTGATTATTTCCCGGCACGACCGCCTGCTAAATTTCATGACCATTTTGGGATTTCACTAAGTTATTCCCACACGAAACCCTGACGGAAAATAAATCGATTAACCACATCATGATGTCCATCCTTAGAAACATAACGCTCTATCATTTTTTCAAAGGATTCATCCAGTTGTCCGCAATAAGAAACAACATAACATTTATTGCGGCATCTGTGAATTACATCACTTTTTTGTGATTGTGAGATATCTTGTAGCCCGTTGAATGCAGAAGACACAGTATGTATTGCAGGAAGAACGATTGTTATCAAAAGATATGAAACCGCAGCCGCTCTATCATTGTCAAACTTTCCAGCCAACGAAACAAAGCTAATTTTGTGATGAAGTCCTAAGTGGATCGTAAGTGTTGTTAAGATGACTGGCATTATGCTAATCCTTTTTGTCTAGCGCTCAAGCATTTGTTGGAAGCAAACAGTATTCCTTTCTATCGTATGCGGTCAATCAGTGATTTTAGCGGTGATTTTCCCACTTCATAATCCTTCGCGTAGCCGCCGATGCCGGTAGCGAAAGGGAAAGGGCGTCCTGTCGCCATTTATATTGACATGCACAGATAACTTTTTTTTAACTTACCAAAGATTCAACTTGTTTATTTGTACCGGTTTCTGTTTTGTACTTGCTATAATAACATAAGCAATTAAAGTAGCTGTATATTATTATTTTACTTTGGATGCATTTCTTCTTACAATTAATTGATTGGTTTGTTTTATTGTGCCGGCCTAACTCGTACATTGTACTGACTGCACATATCATCATAAACTAGTAGGGAAACTACTCAAGCCTCCATTATTTAAAAAGTTTACTATTTCCGAAAGTTACGCACGCCCATATATTACTATTTGGAGGAATGGCTTGAATGTTATACCGACTTGCAGCTACAGTGCACAAATATACATTAATATTATGTGCACATGTTCCTTCGGTCAATATCGTAATCGATTTGCCCATAGTATTGCTAATTTTCTTTATAGTTTGTACAAACAAATGTGTAAATACGGAACTTCATTAACGTTGAACGGGTCATATCCAATCGGCTAGGGTGTCGGTATCGACCTTTGTGCTCGTAAGTGGCTTGACGTGTACCAGACGTGAACTGCAATGACCACTTAATTACACACCTACTTCTCACAATGCCGTAACTTTATGAAAAGTGTGTAAAAAGCAGCATAAGCGTTAGCATTGGCTAACAATAAATAATAACTTATTAACATAAAAAACGCATGAGCGGTGTTTTTTTATGCCATTGCAACAGTTTTATCGCTTTATTATCTAAATTTAAATTCGTTTCAAGCGTCTACAAATAACATGATCAGGAGTTCGTCTAACTGCGCAGATTATAGCATGCATGGTGCAAGGTTGTATGTAGGCGTACAACGAGAAAACCATTTAACAAAAAAATCTGGCAACCAAAACCTATCTATGCAGTACAAGAATCAGTACGTAGGACAAAAATTAATGTGTAAAGAAAACCATTGTTTCACTTGTTTATGACAGAAAATATGAATATATTTAAACGAGTATTTAAATATTATCTGTATAATTGGCTCATTTATTGCTGGACTAGAATACTTTTTGCTATCATGTTAAGTACGAGTAGCAATGAACGGTGTTAAATGTTGTACTTGTTTGTTCATTCAAGCAACCGTTGTCGACAATTAATCACTTAACTAACACTATCGCTGGTGTTATGATTTGCAGAAACCAAATGCCGCTGACAGATGAGAGTATGGTAACACTAGAGAAGACACCCAGTTATTTTGTCACCGACGACGCCCCGGCGCGCATCTACGAGATGAACGCCAAGATGAAACTGATCATCGTCGTCCGGGATCCCATCACACGTGCCATTAGCGACTACACCCAGGCGCGCAGTAAGGGCCGCTCCACGCGCTCCTTCGACGAGATGGCCTTCTATTCCAACGGTACACACCGGCTGATTGACACCTCGTGGGGGGCACTGCGTATTGGACTGTACGCCCGGCACACCGCCAAGTGGCTGGAGTATTTCCCCGCGGCGCAACTGCTCTTTGTCAGCGGTGAGGGCCTCATCGCCGATCCAGCGGGGGAGATGGCGCGAGTGCAGGCCTTTCTGCAGTTGGACCGGCTGGTGACGGGGGAGCATTTCTACTATGACCCCGTTAAAAAATTCCCCTGCCTGATCCGGCCGGATGCACCGGTGCGGCCGCGCTGTCTGGGCAAATCTAAAGGTCGTCCACATCCCCACATCCATCCGGATGTGATTGGGCAATTGCGTGATTTTTATAAGCCCCATAACCGAGAGTTTTATTCGATGGTGGAGCAGGATTTTCAATGGCTATAGCAATAAATGGCCCACTTTTAACAATATTGTCAATATTCTAATACAGAATGAAAATTGATGTGTCTACTTCGCACTCGATCCTGCCAAATTTAAACGCCTTTATACAGTTAATTTGTCTGTGCAGGTTTTTTCCAAAGTTTTGCTGTTGCCGAAATATGTCTATATGAAAGTGCAATTAAAATTCATGATAGAAATCCGATATCGCTATTATATTTCCGGGATATGACAAAGGGAAGCAGATTTGCGCCAGTTAAATCTGACGCGCGATACGTATCTGTGTCTACAGCTGTCATCCGCTCGCCGGCTGAATTATTCAGCGTTAGCCGGGCCACTGTATGCGCACTGCGCAGGTCGGGGATTGTTGACGCTCTAAAGCGGGAACGATAGGGCCCCGTATTTTGTTTTAAGTAGATGCTTATGATAAACATCCCAACCGATTTTCTGATATCATCTTACATGGAAGGAGAGGCGCTTATGTCGGGAAGGTGAAGCTGTAGCAGACGGCATATTATTATTCCTATTCTGCCGGTTTGAAAATTTGTGGAACAGATGTACTTATTTGGGTGCAATACAGAATTATACGATGTTTACATAATTTCCAATAAAATTAAACTGTTGGGGTTTACGTTTCTGTTTACAGGATTTTATTATTTCCGAATCGCCAGTTATGTAATTCCAGATCAATGCAATTTGGTTATGCAACCATGCAACTGGAAACCAAAAACAGAAACGACGAAAATGTGATTTTGTAAAAGTTAGCCGGTGAGTTTCAGGCATCAACTACAAAATTTCAGGCATCAAATTCGCGTCGATCCGGCAATTTGTTAGCGAAAATTCCGCAGGACAATAGCACCGTAACACGTACATTCAGTTCTTAAAATTAATGGCAGAACTAGTGCTGACGCAGCCGGCTGTTGTTAGTCGGACTCTGGAGCAATAATACACCGATAATTTCGCTACTGTACTTTCACAGAATATTACCTACGTATGTTTGATTATCGCCACATCATATTTTACTTTTTTATTTTAGTAAATCGTTTTATTATGATGTGACGCATTCCACAAAAGGATTGGAGGAGTGTGCATCTGTCAAATGCAGTGAAGATCGCATTTTGACCCACTGAACAAAAGCGTCTTAATACGACCGATGCAACAACTATAAGCGGAAAGCATTTGTGTACCGAATCAGATCGTTTCGCTTGATTTAGCGTTAATTATTCTATAATAAAGTTGATAACTGTCTAGTGATTTCGCAGAGAGATTTCCCGGAAGCCAGTTTAAAATCTCTATTATTTTCTAAAGTTCTGTTTGTTGCTGATTTGACGGGATAGCATATCCAGCGTAGTTGTGCACAGTGTGCGGTTGGACTGACTTCCTGTTGGAAAAAGGCCCCATACATGTGACGTGATTGAACTGGTCAGTCAGCCAAGCGGAATTAGGATTTATTAATCCGTTTCGACAATAAAATGAACCGTCGGGAAACCGATGCATCAATCAAAAACCACTTCCCATCCATTCGGAGGCCAGCTGACCGGTAGCCGCGGCGGCTGTTTCCATATACTCCACTTTACGAGAAATCCCGGCTTCCTCTGGTCACAAAGTCAATGTCTGGGAATGGCACATTTTCGACCGAAGATGGCAGGGACATAAAACCAATGCCCCGCACCAATTACGGAAGTATTCTGCAGTACTTAGTGGCCAGTGCTCTCCTTTAATCGCCAAATAGGGCATAAATATGTTAATGCAGTGGAGGTTTGGCGAGAAGCGCTCAAATCAAATCGAAAATTATTTACGTGACCTACCGCTTAATGAATAGAAGTTCTCGTACTGCAGTTATCTAACCGCATCAGGATTTAGCTTTTAGTAATTTAAATAAAAGTGTCATTCAATTAAGGTTAATTTTGGTGAATTGCCAAAGCTAAACAGCTTTGCCGTGCGACATAATTCAGCAACATACCGCAAGTAACTACTGTATACCGCAAGTTGCCGATAAGCTGGTTAACCATGTTAATGAATAATCCTGTACATTTTTGTCATTTTCAGCTTTAGCACAAATCAGAATAAATCGAGCTAAACATTTTGTAGGTTCGTGAATGCATGCACCTAGCTGGGAACATTAAAGGTTGCACTGATTTGTATTGCCAATACAAATCATCAGCTGGTGATGAATGTTAGCAATCAACAATTAAGTAATGGGAATGACAAAATTACGGTCGATCAAAATCTTGCTTATGATTGTGCCGGCATCTTACGATGTACGCGGCTCCCACAATCGAGTCTGGAATGAGGTACGTAAGTAGTAATTCAGATTAGTCGCACCGGCGACAGCTCTCCAAAGTTGCAGCGAAAATTGCTTTTCAAAATTAAAGAAAACTCTTGAGGATCGTAGAAGGTTGTGACCACTTCATGTTGCAACGCCAAACGTCTTCGCCAAAGCATTCTGAAGCGGGTAGTCAAGCTAAGCCGGAAGGGCTCAACTTATCACTGAAGAACAAAACAAACTTAACGCTGAAATACTAGTATCTCTAATTTCCAAGTGGGCAGCACTGGTTATAACGGCCAGTATTTCTGAAGTGCAACAGCACTTCTACATCCACCCGTGATATCCAGTTACTTATTTTTACGAATTGTCTTCCACGATAAACGCTGACCAGTGGCCACGCTAAAAGGTAATATTTGAGCCGTCAGCCTGTCTCAGACTTGTATGATAGTAACAAAACAAAGTAAATTTCAAAATAATATTATAGTAAGCCATTCAAGAAAATTGATTACGAATTCTAGCAAGATACGCAGCGAAACATATACGGAAATATTTTTGTTGATAGTATTTTGTTGTTACAATAAGCAACGCTGAGTTATCTCTTTTGAAGAATTTTTGTTACTAATAACGATGCAAACACTGATTCGCAAGAAACTCCTTAAAAGTCAGTGAAACAACAAATAAACCAGGACTACAAAAATGATCCACTAAACTGTCAATTCACTTAAAACAAGGAACGAGACACTAGAAGTCAGTAGTCAAGCTACATCGGTCGGCCCCGACCACGTCCAGGCAAAACATCAGGAGCCTGATATTCATTAGCACCCTTGGAGTGTTTGATCAATTCATCCACGGACAAAATCTGACAACAGGCTTCCGATGCCGCTGTCAGTGCATTAATTTTCACCAGGGATGGCTCCCAAATACAGGCTGCGTAATTATCCGCGATGCCGTCGGTAAAAACGTTGATCCCATACCACTTCGCTCCTAGAACAATCGGTACATGTTCTAATGCAAGTATGCAAGCTACTCTAGTAACCTGCTTCATACTATAGCCTACGAGTACTATTATATCCTGTTTTCCGCCACAATCACGAAATGATCGTGTATTTGTAGAAACACAATAAAAGTTCGGCTGACACCGTACAGCTGAACTCTCACCTTGGGCGTGCTTCTGGCGTAATTCATTGAGGATGTTTGTGGAATCAAAGCCAGCATTGTCGCACAGTTGCCGTGGGACGCATTCCAGTGCGCGGGCATACGCACTGATGATCAGCTGCTGTTTGCCCGGAATGGTGCGGGCATAATCTCGCAAAAATTTGCTCAGCTCCATCTCGATGGCTCCGCCACCCGCTACTACACTGTCATGCTTCAGAGCCCGACGAACGATCATAATGGCATCATGCAGCGATCGTTCCATCTCGTCGATAAACTGCTCCGCGCCACCTCGCAAAACGAGCGTACAGGCCTTAGCCAGTGGGCATTCCGTAAAGAAATTGAACCTGTGAAAGAAAACAGTTAAGGAAACAGTGAAGACCGACATGACAATAAAAACTGTCTAACTTAAGAAACAAGGAAGAACAAACTGGTGCAACACCACCTACCGTTCGCCACCAACTTGGCGCTCTTCAAAATCTCCACACGTCCCCAGTTCGTTCTTTGATAAGTTCTGGACGGACGTCTGGATGGATCCACCGCATGCCTTCTGGACACGTTTGAGATCTTCTTGAGGGATACGTCCAGCACAGAACATATCACGATCGGCAAACCACTGAGTTGCCACATCACCGATCGGCAGTTTAGACAGAACCACTTTAGCGCCGCTATCGTGGATGGCTTGCAGCTTGTTGTATAAGATTTGCCATTCGGCATCAACAATTTTTTGATATTCCTAAAATTAAAAATTCCTGATTATTCTATACAAGATTTTAACAGAACAGAAGATCTTGGTTGTAATCTTACATCGACATCCTCCACGCGGACTTCGGCATTATCCTTTTCCGCTTTAAGTTCCAGTTCAATGTTCAATATGGCTATCAATGCATTCTTAAAATGCTTCGGTTGCATTTCAAATCCAGCATATGAAAAAGCCTTCTTAAAAGCAACACCCGCCACGAGAATCGAATCCTGCAACAAATTATAGATAATACAATTACATAAAAGTTCAAGAATAATAAGAGAAAAGATAAACAGTGAAACTGAAGTGGCAGCTCAACTAAATACTGTTTTTGGACTAAAAAACGTATCCATAATAAAAACCTGTGATAAATTTCTTCTAGTTTCATTGCAGATTTTGCAAACTCGATGTAAAACCGTTGTGCTACTAACTAAAATTATAATCAACGGAAAAAATTAAAAAGCACCATACCTCCAGTCCACCACCGGTGATTTTCTTTATACCGATCATATCCAATGGCAGTAAATCACCAAGTAGCATTACGGCATCTACAGCCATTTTCGCAAAAAACTCTCGGTTCGCACACAGCAGTTTTGAGCTGAGAGTCGTCTGGGCGCAACGTTCCAGAATTGCTCGTAATCCGGCTGGATCATCTTTTTTTATTTTCACTGATAACTCTTTGACACGGTCAATAGCCTAAAAATCGACAGTCTACATGAGGTTTTCCAAAATATTGTGCATTAATATTATTCCCACACATATTTTCACAGTAAACTAAATGTGACTTATTCTGCAATAAAGATTATGCGTCACCGAAAATGAAGGGGCTCAAATGATTAACAGTACCATTTCCGTTGCCTTCCGGAAACCTTTGATTATCACTTGTGGATGTACTCCTTCTTCGATAAAAGGCTTGACTTGTTTTAGAAATTCTGCAGTAAGCAAAACCACTGTCGTGGTCCCATCACCAACCTACAAGAGGAGAAATTAACAACAACGGTATAACCACACAGCAAGACTACTGCATTAATCCCTTCATCAGGGAGAGACCAATGTTGTCACATGTCGAAGAAATAGAATTACGATATTATTTTAAGTATTAAACTTTCCGACGAAAACTTACTTATAGTTAGGTGGCATACATTTCTACAAAAACCACTAGAAAATAAGATCAAGGTGTCCCCTCAGAAAACCACACAGAGGGAAGTCACAAAGATAAAGAAGCATAAAAATGAAGACAGTAAAGTTTAAACTGTACAGTACACGGCTTTAACAACCATATGACTTACTTCAGCATCCTGGCTCTTCGCGATATCCACCAGCATTTTTCCAGCCGGATGAACCACATCCAGTAGTTTCATGATGGTTGCTCCGTCGTTGGATACGGTTACCTTGGCGTTACCCTCGACAATCATCTTGTCCATACCGCGAGGACCCAACGTGGACCTCACAGCGTCGGCGACGATCTGACAGGCATTGATATTACTGATCACCAACTGTTTACCCCGGAAATCATTTTCCGGGTTGGAAAACGCCAGGATGATGGGTGGAGCGGGAGGCTGTATATTCAGAAAGTTTGAAACGAGGCAAAAGGAGACTGCCACAGTGTCGCCAATTTGGGAGTCTGCTCCTTACCATTGTGAAGTTCCGATGTTCTTTGACAAAGCTGCCCTAGACCCGGAAAGTAGCGACTGTAGATCGCTGGCGCACGAACAGGAATTAAGTAACAGTCCAAAGCTGCCTTAAACCAGAACTGTTGTTAATCTCTATTTTTAAATGGGAATACAGCATACACTTAAAATTTAAAACAGCAACCGAAAACGGATAACAATCGAAAGACAAACTTATAAATCATGCAAGTTTTTCGATTCTGCAAGCGCATCAAGTGTTGCCAATCACGGTAAAGGGGGAGTACAGTAGCAGCAGCATTTGCGTTTGTATTAAATGTACACAGACCGAGCGTTCGTACTATAGAAAGCCGACAGTTAGAAACATGGCGTGATCGGTTGTGTCATCTGTACAAAATCAGCGCGCAGCCAAGCATGTTTATTCGTTTTGTCGGTTCTGAAACGCTTTTCTGTCAAATTGTTGGTTATTTTATAGTGTTTTGAACTATTTTTTTAAATCTTTTCGAAATTTGCTTATCTTTTAGTTCTGGTGGCTGCTTATTATTTTGGCACTTTTAGGCCTGCCTTCGAGGGCGTTCATGAACGCTGAAGAGGAGCTGGTAAACGCTGAACATGGCATCGGTGGCCGAGAACGAAAACGTTTTGCTTGATTATGAAAAACAGATTTTCTTGGACTGTTTTCACGAAGATGGCCTGCTTGTTATGGCGAAAGGACTTGGACTGGAGCGAATCTTTCTTAGCTTCCTTAGAATTTATTGTGATCCAGGACAGCTAGTTCTAGTATTGAACGTCAGCTCCGCCGAGGAAGAATATTTTATAAATGAATTAAGGCGAATGAACGTGTCGCCGTTGCCTAAAAGCATCAACAATGAAATCGCGGTAAATGCACGGTAAGTCACATTTTGATTTGTTGTTTAATTTACAATAACAATTATTGAGTAACCTACATTTATTATAATTATCAAGTTCTCTTGTGGGTTATTGGCATCGAAATTGTATGGTGCTCTTAATTTAATAATTGCGCACTGCTAAGCTTTAATTTTCTGGGTGTCCTTTTTTTGATTTTTGTTGACGACGGAATGAAGAACAGCTTTGTATAACATTTTTTTCCAGATATTCCACATATTTGCAAGGAGGGGCATTGTTCGTTAGCTCCAGAATCCTTGTCGTGGATTTCCTGACTGACAGAGTACCAGCAGCTCATGTTTCGGGGATACTGATCAACCGCGCGCACAAGGTTAACGAATCGTCACAAGAAGCGTTTATTCTTCGATTGTATCGTCAGAAAAATACGAAAGGTTTCATCAAAGCCTTTACGGACACGCCTAACGCTTTTACTCAGGGATTTGGTCGGGTTGAGCGCGTCATGAAGAATTTGTTTGTGCGGAAATTGCACATCTGGCCGCGTTTCGAAGCCAGCGTTCTGGACACGCTGGATAAACACAAACCGGAAGTTATTGAATTACAGCTGAAGATGAACGCTAGAATGCGTGACATTCAAATGGCAGTTTTGGATTTAATATCCGTATGTGTTAAGGAAGTTCGGCGATGCAATCCGACTTTGGACACCGAAGAAATTACGGTGGAAAATGCTATTAGTCGATCGTTTGAAAAAGTGATTGGATTGTATCTGGATCCTGTGTGGCACCATCTGTCGCAGAAAAACAGACAGTTAATAGCCGACCTTAAAGTTTTTCGCACTTTATTAATGTGAGTGTTCCGAACTTTCGATATCCGTAAAGCAGAGTCAACCTAAATAAATAAAAATCATCCTAATTAAAAATAAACTAGACTTGCAACTGTAACCTAATTAAGTAAAACTTTTGGGAAAAAAGTGGTTATCTGAGCTATGGGTATCCAACATAGTGACTGTAATTATATTGGTAAACTGTCGAATTTAATTTTGTTTTCTGTGTTTCATTAGGTATTTGACATCATATGACTGTCTGACATTTTACAACCTTGTTGCCGGTCTCCGCAATCGTTCTTCCCCACAAAACTGTGCCTCGTCTTGGATATTCCTTGAGCCAGCAGAAAAACTGTTCATCCTGTCACAAGAGCGCGTATTTGGACAGCCACAAGAATCAAAAGAAATTTCCATGGATGTGGTTGAAAAGAATTCTAAATGGCAGGCCCTGCAGGATGTCATGACCGAAATTAAAATTCAGAATCAGCAACTTTTTGATTCTGAACTGGGCCCTGGCCGAACATTGATACTGGCTGCAGACGAACGGTGTTGTAGCCAACTTAGAATACTACTGAAAGAGGGCTATGAAGCCCTGATTAACACTATTCTGGATAGAAGTACGCTATCCGGGAAGGTTGGTCTGAAGGGATCTACCAAAGCAAACAAAAAGAGAACAGCTGAGAAGGAGGATGATCAGGTCACGCTGACACAAATGATGAAGAGAACTCGGAAAAAGGGCGAAGAAACTGAGCCAGTCGAACCACTGAGCGTTGGCGACCAGTGGGATTTGCAGACGGAAATGGTGTTATGGAGCGATGTGATTGAATACGAGACTCTAAGCCCGTCTGCTGTAGTTTTCCATCCTTTATTTTCATCAAATGAAAAAGCCTTCGAAATTGTCCGCGTCATGCTGAGATTTCTTCCTCGGTACATTGTTTTGTACGATCTGGACATGACGGTAGTACGGCAGATTGAAGTTCACAAAGCCACACACCCGTCTTTGCCGCTGCGGGTGTACTTTGTCATGTACGCGGATTCGGTCGAAGAACAGCGATATTTGACCACGTTGCGCATTGAGAAGCAGGCTTTTGAACATTTAATTCGGGAGAAGGGTACGATGGCGTTGCCGGAAGATATGACTGCGGATTTGTACCGGGATGTGGCATTCGCGGTGCAATTGAATACCCGCCAAGGAGGATTGGTCAGTCCCGCCCAAATGGAACAACCCCGAGTGATTGTAGACATGAGGGAGTTTGGTAGTGAATTACCGTCGCTACTCCACCGCAGAGGGATTGATATTCATCCTGTAACACTCGAAGTGGGAGATTATGTTCTGACGCCGGATATCTGTGTTGAAAGAAAATCCGTTAATGACTTGATTGGATCTCTTAATAGCGGAAGGCTGTATTCTCAAGCTACACAGTTGACGAGATTTTATAGGTGCCCAGTGCTGTTAATCGAGTTCGATCAGAACAAATCTTTTAGCCTAAATGGAAATTACGCGAAGGAGACCACGCTGAAGGATGTCTCCAATAAGTTAGTCTTACTGACGCTGCACTTTCCCAAACTGCGAATACTATGGTGTTCCAGTCCATATGCCACGGCGGAACTGTTCCAGGAGATTAAGTTGGGTCGTACAGAACCAGACCCTACAAAGGCGGTCACAGTTTCATCGGAGCAGGAAGCAACGGCGGCGTTTGAAAAGTACAATCTGGGACCGCAGGAGATGTTACTGAAGATGCCTGGAGTTACGCAGAAGAATTACTTGGGCATCATGAATCGAGTGGACAGTATTGCGGCCTTGTGCAAATTAACAGAACCCGAACTTAAAGACATTTTGGGAAGTGCTTCCGATGCAGAGAAGTTACATGGATTTTTACACATGGAGTACGAGGAAAAGCATGATGAAAGCAATCAAAGAAACAAGCCCAAAACAAAATATAGATTTGGAAAGAGATTGTAACTTCAGATTGACAGTTAGAGAAAGTGACTTCTGTATATGATTTACTAACATCTGGTTAGTGCGGCGCATTATGAATCGTTATGGCATGGAATGGTTGTGGTTTTTTTTACGAAGCTGAAAGCAGTCTATGGTTCCCTGTCTATCCTCTAATTTTTCTGTGATAAAAAGTCTTCGTGTTAATAAGCATACTTCTCGGCGTCTGCAAAAATGAAGCTTGCAGTGTACATAAGACATCCATTTTTGTAGCAGTTTTACCCTCATTAACTGGATTGCGGCGGCTCTGAATCGCTGCAGAGCAGCCAACGTTTGCATTCCAAATGCCGCTGCCGTCTGGCACAGAAAGACGTCGTTGGTCTGCTGCTTGAAAAAGACTTGCGAAACAAAACGTGCGCCATCGCATACAATAACAATAGGGAAACGGGGTACATGTGGACTGCTCTTCCACTTGCGCTCTACACTCAGACCATATGCGTTTTGACCAGTCCGAGCGACTTTGCCCTCTCCTGTGTCTTTTGACAGGGAGCAGGGAGCGCAGCAGACGACCAGGACCTACATGTTCAAAAAGGCGATTTGGACCGGGCTGCAGAGCGTTGCAGAGGACGGTCTGCAGACCAGACGGGGTCTGACTCAGACCGCTTGCCATTTTTATTGCCTCTGCAATGCAAACTATCCCTGATTTGTAGCGATTTGAGAGCCGCCGCAATCCAGTTATTGTTGGTTTTGTATTCCAGCTCCAACTCCCAAGGCAACACCAACTTTCGCAGGGACTCGAAAGAGTCAAGCATGGTTCAACTTCGTTTTCGGTCTCCGATGCCCATCTCGTAAATGCGCAGCTGATGTTGACCACTGGTCAGTACCGCACACCAGCTATTTTAATTTTTAGGATGCTGCTGCTAACGTAAGAACATCGCTCCGCAGTCCGCATTACAGAGGCCAGAGAGTTTTATTCAGCTATTTGCAGCCCTCTCCCGAAATGCGGTTGCTCAATGAGCAACAAAGCTGCTTATTAATGCTAGCAGCGTAGTTACATCAGATATATAGCAGCGTAGTTTAAAAAGCCTTGGTACTAGTATTACAGAGCAATACAAAACTGATTGTGAGTAAAGCAGTTTTGACCATAAAGCAAGTTATAAAACTCATAAAAGTAATAAGGAAATAGTTGACAACTTGACATATGGATGTTTTTGAAACAAAAATTTTTGGACGCTGTGGATGCCTTTCTGAATATTTGAACCATTAGCCAAATACGACTGGTTTACAAGATTTTTATGGTGAAATGGCAATGGCTTCTAGGCTTTTGTCTCAGTTGAAAATTCCTTTTTATTCTTCCCGTTTACTGACTGGGAGTCAGCCCTGCAGACGTAATGCCTTCCCAGTTAAAACCTGCACACCTGTGCGACTTATTTCCGCAACTTCGTTTCGACACTCAAATCCGATCCAGCAAACCGTATCCGACGATAATAGCGGGCCGAGCGAAGGGAAACGAGATGTTATTTTTACCAAACAGCACGATGAAATTCGGGAACTCGTGAAAAAGGTATGTGGCACAAAGTGCCACACTGCCACAGACATACTAACTACTACAGTGCTTAGTTGGCTGTTTTGTGGCTACTGTCTCGTCTTTTTGTAAGTTTGTGAGATGTGCACTACGCGGGTGACGGAGAGACGAGTACGATAGGGATAATACCGTAATATCAATCCTACCGACCTGACTCAACGACAGAGAATGAGCTGATAATTTCAATGTGGCATAGCCAAGAAATATGTGTAAGCTGCAAACTACGCGAAGTGAGAATCTCACACTGCATTCCGACGATATATTTTAATAGAAAGCAATCTGAAGACTACGAATGCGGTTCCGAATACGAATCCCCGCCTCTTTTGCCTACGTCATAGCCCTATTCGTTTCGTAAACCTTCCGTAAAGCACGAAATTTAAGCTTTGAATCGTAGCATGTCTCCGGATAGCTGTCGATTCTGCCTGTCTTGATGGAATTCCGTTTGCTTTGGATTTTAAGTAGAGAAAACATTCCTCTTTTTTATGAGCTTAAAAAGTTTTTGAAAACTCTTTTCACAATTTAAAAACAAATTTTTAATTGACATGAGGTATCGCAACTGAAATTACGTTTAAAAATGCAACTTGTACGAGTCGTACAGGCATACGCATCGAGCTCTACCGACCAATCGGAAAATTTTAAAAGCAGTTGGATCGAGTGCAGCTAGTTAGCTTGCAGTCGCCGACTTGGGCGGTTGATCCCTTCCGGTCTGAAGCAGTTTTTACCTGACCACTTCGGCCGCGCTACGTTTCGGGCACTTGTTATCACTTCGGCAACATACAATTCGCTTTGCTCACTTCGGTCCGCACTCTTTTCGGCCACGGTTATTTTGGCTACATGACATTCTGGCTTCTATTTTTCTTGTGTCAAGTTGTTACTTAGTGTTTGTTGTAAATTGTAAGCTGCTTGCTTACAATTTACAAGAAAACCCGGGTCCCCGAGGACGCCACAACAATACGGACCATACATGCACAGCTTGACCTGAGATTTTACAGTTTTTTGAAGAAAAGAAACTATTTGTTTTTGTCAGTTTTTTTACGTTTTTTAAATTTTTAAAGTATCTTTGGTTTCTTCGATCATACGTTTTCTTCTGTTACATTAATTTTTTGAATTATGAGAGGGTGATGGTGAGCTGAAGCTGCAAGTGAACGTGGGGTAATTTGTGTTCTGTTCCAACAAAGTTTGTTACTTTTTCTGAATCTGAACTGATACATGATCTGTTACAGTATCAGGTAGACACACCGCAACGCACCGCGTCATTACGCAACGCGTCAATACACTTAGGTAATAGATATTAGCTTTATTTGTTGGCTTCTTTTCTAATAAAAGTAAGTATTGATGAGATTTTATGTAAACAGATAAAAGTTGGCAACAATGCGTCGACGCATTCATGTAATCTTCTTACTAGATTGCATGTCTGCAAATTTTTAATTATTAATAATTAAATTGGTAAAACTCAACTTAAATATAATGTGGTCGAATGGGAATGGTTGCCGAAATAATCAGCGTAACCGAAGTGTAGATGGCCGAAATCATCGGTACCTAACCGTTTCGACATCTGGTTCGGTCCGAATGCATAATCAGATCTCGGATGCGCTTACGAACACGATTTCTATCCGTGTTCGTATTCGGTTCCGCATTCGTAGTGCTCAGATTACTTTCTAATAGAAAAACTCCGACACTGCCAAAACTTCGAATGCGAACCAACTAATCGTCAAAATACTGCAACTCTCGGACTTATATAGGCGCGAAGCGCCTCCGTGTAGAAACAACCAAAAGTAGATCCGAACACAAAAGAGAAACTGCGAGAAAGTACAAAAATATAGCCGTAAAGTACGAGTACAGATATACAGAAGTACGTACTACGCTGCTACTGTACACCATATTCCGTCACGGGTGCGATTTTTTGTTGGTTAGCGTTTTTTCGCTCTTTTACTTTATAGCACGTATTTCGGTTCGAGAAACAGCTTTTTCTGTTATGTATCTACCGTTTATATGTGCACACATTAGTCTAACTGCAAGTAGATTTTAAACAATATTATTATTATTAATTATTGTTTATTACCCTTGTGACGGTGTTGTTTCTAGCGTCATAGCTTCACATTTTTTGCAGCTAATCGATACTGATATTAACCCTTTCGTGGATGAGTGGGAAGAGATCGGACAGTTTCCGGCTCATCAGGTTTTCAAAAAATTCGGAGATGCTGGGCTACTTGGTTTAAATAGGCCGGAAGGTAAGTGAGAAAGTTCTGTTTAGGCTTTTAGCAATACTGTATTTTAATAATGTTGTTATTTCATTCTTGTACTGTTTGAGTGTTATTAAGTGTTATTATTAAATTTTTTAAGTTGGTTCACGTTTGTACCTACTGCTTTCAGAGTACGGTGGAATGGGATTGGACTTTTCTTACAACATGGCGATGGCTGAAGAATTAGGCCGTATCAATTCCGGAGGAGTATCCAGCGCCTTTGGAGTTCATACAGACATGGCGACACCGGCATTTGCGAAGTGAGCGTCAAATTTTTGATGTGGTGGTTTCCAGCGGTTTGCGTACGTTGTTTTTATGTTTGCGATTTTGTACTCGTATATCTTGTCATTTTCAGTTTCAAAATTGTTTATGTAGAACTAGCTCTCCGGATTCAAATCATGAGATAATTTAAAATAATATAATGGAGGTTTGAGTGAAAACTTCAAAATTCTCTCACAGATACGGCACGCATGAATTGAAGAAATCTTTTCTGGAGCCCGCTATTCGTGGTGATATGGTAGCTTGCGTCGGAGTAAGTGAAGTGGAAGCTGGATCTGATGTTGCAAGTTGGTATACTGTACATAAATTTTTTTGAAGAACGCTGTGTCTTTTGATTTCTGGTTTTTAATTTTTTATGGCTGCATTTGTAGATATCAAAACCTCTGCCGTGCGAAAAGGCGATGATTTTGTAATTAACGGACACAAAATGTGGATTACAAATGGAGCACAAGCCGACTGGATTTGTTTGCTTTGCAACACGGAAAAAGATCAGCCGAAACATTTAAGCAAATCCTTGATCATTGTTCCAAAAAAGACACCTGGTTCGTTTGCGCAGATACTTATACTAAAGATGTTTAATTACAGCGTAACTGAGTTTAATTTGAGTTTAATTTGCAGGAGTAACAGTGGCTAAAAAAATTCTTAAATTGGGAAATCGATCTTCTGATACTGCTCAGATATTTTTTGAAGACGTGAAAGTCCCACAGTCGCACCTACTGGGAGACCCGGGAATGGGATTCATTTATCAGATGGAGCAATTCCAGGAAGAACGGCTATGGAGCGCTGCTTCATGTTAGGAGAAATCTTGCAGAACCTCAAGTGTAATTAGCCCGAAAAAATTGTTTTTGGTGTTTCCAGGTTTATTAGCTATGGATCGCGTAATTCAGCATACGGCGGACTATTGTCGGGATCGGAAGGCTTTTGGTGTTCCTGTTTTGAGCAATCAGATCGTATACTTTACCCTTGCAGAACTGCAGAGCGAAGTTGAAGCATTGCGAGCTTTAGTGTATCGTGCAGTAGGTATGTGAAGACTCATGGTCAGTTTAGGATTTAATCCAGGTGGAATAGATAGATCCAGTAGATATCCAGGTGGAATGGGGTGTAGTAGTTGTCCGGTCATAATATTTCATAAAAAGATAAATTCGTTATAAATTCAAAACTCTTTTAGTACTTTCTTCAAAAGAAAGATTCCTGATTTATGTATTTTTACATACAACCGTAAGACCGTTTTACGTACGACATTTGTAAATGATGTTATTACAATAAAAGCGTTTTTCAGCTGATGGTTTTGAATTTTGAAGAACGCACTAAATACATATACTCGGTTTTAGCCAACTACCTGCAAGGAGATAATGTGACGCTTCTGGCCAGCATGTGCAAATTGAAAGCCGGTCGTTTAACTCGGATCGTTGGAGATAAATGTCTGCAGTTTTGGGGAGGAATGGGATACACGGAGGAGGTTCTCGTGAGTCGGTTCTATCGAGATACCCGAGCGCTCAGTATTGCTGGTGGCAGTGATGAAATAATGCTCCAGATTATTGCCAAATCTATGGGAATCATACCAGAGAGAGTTAGGAAGTGAACATTGTTTTGATATTCTCTTGTTGGCACGTGTGTTACATTTCGTTGAAAGGTTTATCTTTTGCGATAAATTGGGTGTCATCTAATCTGCAGATAAGGAAGCTGTTATCTGTAGCATTTTAGAATAAGTACTAATTTTGATTACGAACATTGCGCTCACTTGACTACATCGGTTGTCTTGCGAATGGTTTCGTTATGTTTGAGTCATTTGCTGCGCATTCCTTTGAAAATAAAATAATTTCAAGAGCTGGGAGCAGTGGCCAGTAATTCTTGACTCTGGAAGTGTCGCCCGCTGTTAGAGCAAAAAATGCCGGTTAAAATTTCGTAAAGTTTTGGATTAACGCGTGGGTACCAGCACGCACGTGCGGATTCTGTTGTGATCGACAATGTCCGTTTCGTCGACTGAGGACGATCGCTGGAATTCTGAAAAACCAGTTTTTATCATTAGTGGTAAGTGTAAAATGTAAAGTAAAAAGAACAAAGTTTGCTTTTCTATTTTATGCACTACGAAGCAATTGACTAACATCAGCTGTTCTGTATTTTGTCGGTAGAAAGCAAGGACGATCTAGTAGACGCTGCGAATGCGGAAAATGTACCGGAAGAGCACAAACAGTCGACACGAACCTGGACTTTGGCGTTCGTGATGTTGATATCCTATGTAACCCTCAATACGGTGTCAGCCCAACTGGGCAACATCGCCTTCAGAGATCCTGATATAAGTTTCAGCGCTCCGTATCTATTCGTCCTTTTTAAGATCATCTTCCGGGCTTTGGCATTTCCCATTTATATCGTAGCTAATACAATTACTAAAATAATTTTACGTCGGAAACTGGACTTCCGACGCACGTGGTGGTAAGTTGCTGCACTGGAACATGTTTTGCCGATAAACGAAACTGTCACAAATATTAAATTTCACCGTCAGTGGCATATTATATTGCATTGGATAAGGTCAAGCTTTTTCTGTGTAACCCAAAAAGAAATTATACACATCGTGGTTTTACTACTGTATGAGGTAATCATACTTTTTTGCATCTGGCATAGGCGTTGTGAAGCTATTTGTGGAGAGCAAGGATTGCTTACATGGCGAGTGATAATATTCAAGTTATTTCCGGCAACATTTTTTAATCTGCTGGTCCAGATTGCTTATACGTTGGGAATAGCCAATTTGACCACTTCCGTTGCGTCAGCTCTCACTCCGTTGGCTGTGTCGACATCATACATAATGACCTGGCTGTTTCTCAAACATAAGTTATTAGCCGTCAAGGTAAGTGACTTTCAAAAAGTGCTAAGAAAATGTGCTAATCTAAAAACAACATGAATGCACCCACAGCTGCTCTCGTCCTGCCGTTTTTGTACTTTCTTCTAACAGTCTGGTGTTACCATTTGTGTAGTTGCAATTGTGTTCTGGAATTTGTTTTGAGTATTCGCTGAATGGTTTTTTATTACAGGTGTTTTTTGTTTTTGTTACACTCGCCGGCGTCAGTATCATTGCCTACGAGAAATTTGCGTTTGAATTTACCGCGGCGACAATCCTTGGTATCTGTTCCATGATAGTGCAAGATCTCTCCTTGTCCTCATATCAGGTACACGACCCCGCTTTGTGTTGAAAATATAACCGTTTTATTTTCTATCTGTACTGATTTGTGAGTATTTTGCAGCTGTGCTTCAAAAAGGCATTTCCTAAAGGTGATCTCGGTCAGGTGTCCTTTGCTGTTTCCGCCATGTATGTCTTGATGATATTAATGTACTGGCCGGTGCCGTTGATATTGAAATTAACCGGCGTGGAGCAGTATGACATTCGTGAGATGCCTTACGGGATATTAATTGGTTCGTGGTCCTGCACTGCCGGTATGCTGTCGAAGTTAATAATTGATCTGGTCCGGTGGAATCAGTTTCGTGAAATTTTACAGTGAGCTCGATGGTATATGGATATGGCTTGGTGCTTGCCAGTGGATTTTTTATGAGTTTAAGTGATCTCCTTATCTTGGCATCCAATACTGGTAAGGAATACAAAGCACGAGTTCGATGATTATAGAATTAGCAGTGAAAAACGTTAACCGAACGCTAAATTACTGCTGATTTTCAGATACGAATAATTTTTTGTAGATCTACGAAATGCAAAAATTTTTTTTGCTTTACAATGTCTACATAAGTAAATTGCGATGATGCCGATGTAGATGCATGGCTTCCGTTACATTTGTTTTATGACTTCGCAGTTATTGATCACTTGCGAAAGTTGCCCATTAGCGACTACCAGATAATCGGGACTTGTGTAATTGGAGCAGCCTTCATTATGATGGTTATGCCGGATAAATTTGTGTCCATCGATATCAAGAAGCGTTGGCAGCGCCTTCGAGGTAATCCACTTCCTCCGACAAGTTCACGTTTGGTGCTGGATTTTGCCGATGGATCCACCAGTTCCCAGACTGAGTTGACGGTTCCAGCGGAAATGCGAATGCGCTCCCGATCGAGTTTGCTAGCAAATGAGATTGTGGTTAACACAAGCCATCCGGATCTGCTAGAAAATGTCGATGTTATTACGGATGATGCGACGGTGACCGCTTTATGACCTTTTCGCAGTCGGCTGTTGTAAAATGCGATGCCGATGCAGTAGAATCTTTGTACAGAAGTACAATACATAGTACATACTCAAGTAGGTGTTTATTACTTGTCGGTTTATCACTGGCATTAAAATCTGGAACAGTTCTATTAAAATTCGTTAAATTTGTGCTGAATGCTGTTCACGATATTTCTTGTCTTAAAATGCGAGAAACTCCAGCTGGTCGTTGCGACACTTTTTCATAATGAAGGTAAATGCTGTCTGTTAATAGGAAAAGGTCATACTCAGCTTCTGAGCATTGCTGCCGGACGTGATCACGAATTTGCTGTGCGTGCGCTACGCTGCGGTGATCAAGAATGAGCTTGCATTAATTTAATAATTCAAAGAACCAACTAGCAATTGAATAAAAAATTCAGGAATTTCGCATACAGTATCTTTTTAATAATCCCCGGTGATGTCCCTTGATGTTGAGTATCGGTCAAATTAAAGGCAGCGAAAAATACCGATTGCTCTGTCTTTATCATTTCTCCCAGAATGTTTTCACTCGGCCTAAATGACGCTTAATAACGGAAATTTTACCTATCATTGGGAAATTCAAAGTAATTTCACGAACTGTGGACTCGTGCAGTACATCAACAGATTGTGCGTACGTGTGCTTATACGAGGTCAAGGATTTTGCATTTTGTACCTAGCTAGACCAGGAAATTATCACGATATGAACGATAGCATTATTGGATCTGCGATCAGTTATCCTATACTCAGTTATTATTCTCTAATTATCGTATTCGGATAACATTACTTATTTCAAGTTCGTTTGTAATCACTTATCCGACCGCTTTTATGAAATATGATTGTATCTGTACTCTATAATATAGATATACTCTATCTGCTATAACTATATCTATATTCTAAAATTATATATAGATATGCTCGGTTCGATCTTCATATTGTACCTTGTACCTACTTTGCTCGACCAATTAATATTAAGATAATAAATACAATCTCGGTAGAACTGCACTTACTGCTTTTGAGGCAAAAATTTATTAAGTAAACTGTAAACGCGAACCATCATTTACTTATTCGGTTTCCGGAGCAAACTGCCTAATCTGAAATCTATGCAGAAGCCATATTTCTACACGAATACGTATTGGTATTGTACACGGTACGGCAGGTTGTGCAATGCGTGGTTATCTGTTTTATGCCAGATCAGTTTAGCCATTTAGGCGTTGTTTTGCTGTCTGATTACAGACGTTTTTTCGTTCAGCTTAACTTTTTAGCAGTTTTTTGCATTTAATTGTTCGAGTTTTGGGAAAAAAATATGTTTGATCTCGTGTGAGAATTACGACTATTTTCTCGGAACATTTGATCTGTAATCTGGATATTCTTTTTAATGGATAACTCCGAGGAACGAATACCGACTCCAGAAAACGTTGATGTTATTTTCACCGTCGAACGTGAGTCTCCTCTGTTGCATAATCTGCCACTGCTCCGAACACGTGTTGACTTGTAAGCCCAATTTCAATTTTTTGTTTTCACTCTCTATTCAGCTCTTCACAATCCTGTGCAAGAATGCCCGGTAGAAGTCAGCCAAGATGCCAAGACAGACGCAGCGTCCCATAAGCAGAGCGCGAGCGAATGGTTCCTAGCCGTCATCATGCTGGCCATCACGGTGGCGGCTTCCACGGCCGCCGGTCAGCTGACCAATCTGGCATTAACGGATGAGAAAATGAACTTCCATGCGCCATTCCTCTTCGTTATGTTTAAAATCCTTTTTCGCTCCATGTCGTTTCCATTGTATCTCGTTATCAATACCATTATCAAAGTGATCCGCGGCAGGAAACTCGATCTTCGACGGACATGTCGGTAAACTTTCTTCCTGTAAATTGTTTAGAAAACATAACTCAAATTTGACAAGAATTATAACTTAATTGAATTTATAATTTCATGGCTTTTTCTGCAGATGTTAGTGAATGCTGACTTCATGACTGACTTTGTTATTTACAGAAGAGGGAAAGACATCTGTGGCGAGGATGGCTTGTCTGTAAAAACGATCTTTTTCAAGTTTTTCCCGCCGATGGTGTTCAGTCTGCTAAGTCAGCTGACATATACCCTGGCGTTATCCAATCTGAGCACTTCCATGGCGTCGGCGCTGACACCTCCGTCCGTGGCGATTTCCTACATTTTATCATGGTTGTTTTTGAAGCACCGACTACTGCTTATCAAGGTAAGATAACTGATAAGTAACTCTATTAAAATGAGTGTTTTACATTTTGTGTAATCCATCAAGTCTATCGTACGTGATGTCGTTTTAAGTTTTGATTTCGTTGCAGATTCTGTTTGTATTTGTCACATTTGGTGGGGTTGCACTGATTGCCTACCATGAATTCACGGTCAATCTGGCCAAAAAGACTGTTGTCGGGGTTAGTTTGATGTTGGCACAGGACTGCTGTATTTCCTTGTATCAAGTAGGTGTTGTGCACTTGCATTGTGCATGCGGCTAAAATTGCTTCTGGTATACTTCTATTGTATAGGCGTAACATTATTGTGCATATATAACAGCTTATTCACTACGCCAACTTTGCAGCTCACATTTAAAAAATCATTCCCTAAAGGCCATTTGGGACAAGTGTCCTTTGCCATTACCGTTATGTACGCCCTGATGGCTGTGGTATACTGGCCGATTCCGTTGGCCATGCATTTGTCCGGCCATGAGAATTACGACATCACTATGCTGCCTTATCCGATCCTGACTGCTGCCTGGTCGTGCACAGCAAGTAAGTAAAGTATATTATTTACAAACCTTGTTTATCAAAATTGTGCCGCCATAACTTTATTTGCACTGCTTTTTTGCCATCGTTTTTTAGTTTGTGATCAGCGTGAACACGATATGCTATAGCTTACGCACTCAACATATTGTTTCAAAAAGCGGTTAATTAAAGGTGAAATTCAGTTTGGTGCCGGTGTTAGAGCGCGTATTTTTGTCTCCAGTATCATCGCTGGTGTATGGGTATGGAATTGTTCTGGCAGGAGGATTTTTCATGGGATTAAGTGACTTGATCGTACTGGCCGTGAACAGTGGTAAGCAAAGATTTATATGACTTATGAAGCGAAATTTCTTCGGTGCGAGCATCAGCAAGAGGTTTACTTACAATTAGTTAATTAATCGAAGAAGTAATGGTAAAAATGGTTGCTCTGTGAGGACTGACTTTTAACAGTCTGAACGCATTTTCTAGGCATCGATGTTACTTTACGGGGCGTTCTCATTTCCAACGCTCAAATAATGGGAACCGTAATTGTCAGCTTAGCTTTCGTAATGCTGGTGCTTCCCGACAACATTGTTTCGCTGAATTTGAAAAAGTGGATTGGCGGACTGAGACAACCTAAACTAAAAGCGGAGAAATGGGATTCGTTATCGGAAACAGGATCAGTCACCAGCTACGACTCCTTTACGCTGAAAAGACGCTCACCGGTGATACCCAGAATACGGACGAGTACGGATGAACTTCTGAAATCGTACGATGTCTTGGAAGAACGGGATTTTATGGCTCTATCCGAAAACACCGCTGTTGAGCCGCTAACCAATTCTTGAAAAATCCTGAAGCACAGTTGGAGAGCTGCGTATAATCTCATTTTCTTCCGGGTGTTACACGTCATCCGACTTATGAATAATGCCAGTACCGCATTGTTCTGCGCCCCTGTTACCTTGCCAGTGATCTCAAGATTGGTGCTAACGATTGGTGTTATTTTAAAACCAACTTGGTATTTTGTAGTTGTAAAGGTATACAACTAACCTGTGAAAAATCTGTGTTAGGTTTGTTTAACGAGTGACGATTGTGAGATCTGTGATCCTATCAGTTATTCAGTAGTAAAGTACCGGTATTAAACTCTTTTACTGTTCATGTGCCGGTTATCCGAATTCGAATATGTACTGTGGTCTGGGCTGTAATTTAGCAGTGTTATTGTATCGAATACAGATTCCTTTTGAAACACCGAACGTCCGAATCACTGCACTACACTTCAGTCGTGTGATTCATAGAAATGAATTTTTCTGTTCCGTTTTAGGCTTTTAGCTGTGACAAATTTAAATGTTGTTCAACTTTATTTCATAATTGAATATGGTGTGTTACGTATCCATACTCGAAAAAGAAAAGAAAAGGAGGCAAAAGTTCTTATTCATCGTTTAACGCATGACGGCTAATCCTTCTTTCTTCCAAAATTTGCCCTAGGCCAGTCAAACTGCCGAGGCGAAAACATAACACTCCTCATAGTCGGCCGATACCGGCCGTCTGTAATTTGTTTGCTAAAGCTGTTTCTACTGGGCGAAGATGTTGGACACCACCCACCGCCTGCCCACTGACGATCCTTTTCTGGTTTCGCAATCCGAACTTCTCTGAAATCTACAGGCACAGTATGTGGCTACCGGTCAGCCGCTGCAAATAATCAAGCGTCTTTTGCAGCTTTAAAATCGTGCGGCTCATGTCACGATCACGTGGAGTCTGATCGTGGAATCTGGTGTGCCAGAACACCACGATGTTTTTGTTTTATGATACTCTACTTTTATTATCATCGTAGCACTCGACTATTGTTAACCCAGTTAATATGATTGTATTACAGCGGATATTATGATTGCAAAAATGCAGATGTCGGTGCTCTCCACATTGTTCCTCGTCTTTTTTTCTTCTTTATACATCGATAGTGCAAGCAGTGCCGGATTGGGCAAACGTGGACTGACGCCAGGAGCCGATAAGTGCGCAACAAGTTGCGGCAATGACGCTACGGTAAGAAAATTGCGAAATTTCTTGGATTCCAAACTGCGGCCAGTAAGTTTCCTTGGTCTTTAACATTTTTAGAGTTCATCGTACAGGAAATTATTCTGAAACTTTTCGTGGTCACTAGAAAAGATTAGCACAATTGTTAAAAAAGACTGATACGATGGCTTTAAGGCGAATAGGCCAGTGGCCACTATGAATATGCTGCTGGGAAAGAACAGATTAGTCGATATTTTAGGAGTCGATTCTGCTTTCGAGGAAGCACAATTGAGTTGTCTACAGCGGGAAGATTTCTTTATGCACCTGCACTCAAGTGCGGCGTGTACAAGCAGACAAGAATACCTGTCATGTCTATGAGGAGATGGTTAATATCGTGATTCCAGTTGTGCGCATGGAGAGTACACAATGTACAATAACTAGACAAAGGACATCAATAATTCTCGATATTATTATTATTATCGTACTACAGCAGTCAGCCATTATCGGAGATATCTTAACAGGCTGCCGGAAAATGTTTTTGTTATTTTTGAATTTTTTTTGGTTTGATTTTATGAATTAAATGTTTTCGAACTTACAATTAGAAATCTAACCCAGCCCCCAGGATATACCGGATACGTGCTTAAAAGCCAGACGAACTGCCTCCAGGCTATGGGCAGCTAACATTAAAACGTATAATTATTCTAGTGTCTTAAATTCTTATTTTTTGTAATTTCGGAACTCAAGTACTCTCTTTTTATGTTTTTTTATAATTAGCGAGACATGTAGCTTTACAATATATATGCTTTAAAAGGGCTGAAATTCCAAAATAATAATAATATATCCTTAAAATGTAGGCCGGAAGTGCGATAATATTATTGCGGTGTATTATCCACTTGCAGTAGTTCCAATCGCCTAAAATGCCTAATTATCGCTGCTTTGCCATATGCAATGAATACTGTGGCAAAATTGTAAAAATTTAACAATAAAAGTGCAGCTGCGGTCGATACGTTCTTGTCTTCAAAATAGAAAGCCGGTTTATTTGTGTATACTTGATGGGGTCGATTAAAATTCAAGTTGCACGAGTCGGCCATCCAGATATGTTTATGATTCTCCATGTTGCCCTTTTAAAATGTAAATTATTGTCACAGTGATGCTTTCTGGTGTTGAGGTTAAATTTACGGATGCGCATGGACAGAAAGATGGCTCGATTGCAGCGCCAGGCTGATATGAATAACAATAATAAATAGTACGCAAACCGATAACGTCAGAAATTAGTCGAATAGAACCGATGGCTTTGATGTATACTGCTATTAATCTTCGGTAATTGGCGTTTTTGTAGCGTGCATTGGGAAACATAAATCCAATTGAATGTCATAAAATGTATTGCAGATCATTGCACCTGTTGCGCATTTGGTCGTTTCATTCGTCACGATACCTATATATAAGATAGAGGTATCTATATACAGAACCTTGGTATTGCATCTTAATAAAAACTGGATTAGAAAACCAAGATTTTTGTTAAATGCATTTAAAAGTTATGTTGGTGAAAAATCACCGAAGTACTGGAACACCGGTATTTTTTGTAATCGCCGACAAAGCCGCATACAGATTTACTTACTGTTAGTTTAGTTATATATCTGTATATCAGATTTTTTCACGATTTGTTGACAATTAACTTAATTTAGAATTTTGCAGTAATAAAAGTGATTTTGTGTTTTCCCTTGTCGTGTTGAGAATCGTCAAAACTCACGCTCACTTGAAAATACAAAGACACGGTATGTGTCATGATGCGCGTCTTTTACTCTTGTTTGAGTTTGACTGTCAAATTTAATGTGCAGCTTATCAAATTAGAGTAGGAGAAAGTTTACAGAAGATAAATTACCGCTGCTAAGCTGCCACTGTATATGGCTCTATCAAGGCTGCCTTGCTGACTGATATGGAAAACCTGTTTGTCATTCCAAATGGCAAATAAAATGCAGAGAATCGGACGATTTCGTGGTTATCTGCTGCACATTTTATAGCAAAGAATGTATTATCGTGTAAAAGATGTTATTATTATTCACGGTGCTAGAAGGAATGTGGATTTGAATTGCTCTTGCGAGCACGAATACGATAAAGGCATACATAGAGCAGGATCCAGAAAACGATATATCTATGGAAAGCTCACGTTGTACACAAGCGCCCGTTCACTGACCGATTTCTTTTGATTCGTTAACTTATTAGTGCGTATTTTTCTTTGCGTAATTTTAAATTATATTTAAACGTTTTAAAATCGAAGTATTATCTCTTTTCTCATTAAGCCCTTTTCACAGCTATCTCTTATTTGCCGGTATGGTCTCCCTTCTTGTGTCTTGATAGTTCTGTTATTATCCGAAACATGTAGTAAACTGGCATACGGTCAGTCAACTGCAGGTAATTAATTACGATCTGATTTGGTTTTCATGCGTGTCATGATAGTCTTCCGGTTATTTGCTCCACGGAAAGATGACATGTCAAATCTCGGAATGCAACGCCCAGGATAGCACACTCCGGAAGCTTTATTACATACGCTACGATATCAATCGAGGATAACAAATGAGCGCATGATTGGCTGCTTAGATCAGGATAGAGGAATTTTCGACATCTGTTTCACTATGCAGGCATGGAAAATGGAAATCAGTGTCACGCACAATAAAAACTTACAACGGTTCAAATCATAAGTATGGGCTTAATAAGAAATATAAAGAAGTGGCGCAAAATAGTTCTCGTTTCCAAATCGTAATCATGATAGTCACGAAAGGAACGGTGTAAAACCATAGTACCAGGAACTATGGTAAAACTTGAAGTTGTGGAAAGGGCACGAAACCGGGATGGTATGCAGTCCGGTAAATTCGATATATATGTGAAAGTTCGGTAACAATGCGCATATCCCGCTTGAGAAATAGCTGGAAATATAATACAGAAAGCCTTAGACTCAGTTTCTTCAACGGTAAACATTTCTGGCAGATGCTGAAAAAGCCGCAGCGTAACTCGTATTGCAGAGTATTGAGCGAAGTCAAGTGCGGTATAGCCCGGCTCCTAACTTTCTGCCATCGCCCATCGTCAGTACAGAATCACAGATTACATTACCAAAATTTCCCCGAACGACTTTGTGACTTCTGTGCTGCTTTCCAGGCAAGCGGCACTTATAGGTCCACTTCATTTTGACCTTGCAGCAAAATTTTATGTTCGTAGTTGTTACCGGCGAATGACCATTGTCCACCTTTGCCACCTCAGCAGACGAAATGACTTTGCGTAATTTATATGTGCCGCGAAGACTAGTGTTTATCCTTGCAGTTTTATTAGTTTACCGATGACGATCACATGACATACGATATACTCGAAAGTTTGAAACACAGATGTTGTGCACAAAAGCATTTTAGCACCTACAGTTCTGCTAGAAGAATTGTGTACACATAGTAGACTTATGGTAAAGATTTCACTTACGATTACTAGTTACGAATGTATGCTCGAATAACGTGAATCGTATTACTGCGAATATCTGAACTGGATGAAAGAAAATATATTCAATTTTGAAATCAAAAGATTAGCCATTTTCTGTACAAAGTAAATCCTGATCGACGGAAGAGCAGCTCTCTTGTTGTTTGATCGGCGGCTGCCTTCTCAGGATTCAGGATTATAAGGTGACAGGCCAGTGGCGTGGATGAGCGATTGCAGTTCACAGCTTTTCTTACAGCATGAGAACGTCTGGACGAGTAAACAGAATTCTTTTGCTATTCCGTGGTTTCGTAAACATGGCTGACTGGCTTTTGAAAATGACAAGTTTGGGAAAGGCGCTACAGGATGCAAAAACTGAGTATGCAATAATGACACTCTGACGTTCCTTTTAGAAGGGCACTGTCCCAGCGTTTATCTGATCCGGCTGTGGTTATGCTTGGTTAACACCATCAGTTAAATTTAATGGTCGCACGGACATAATTTCAGAGCACAGTGAAGCATCTGTTAAGGAAATGCGGTTTCTCATCGCTTTTATACGTAGTCAAAATTTGGATGGAATATCAAATCAAAAGTGCCGTTCTTGTCGCCATATGCTGGTATAAATAATACTTATGCATCCTCCTAATGTACGCGCAACAGAACATTTGTACTGGTAATATCGCTCTCATTGCACCGAAGTTGGTGTATCACAGATTAGGTCATTAGGGTAATTTTGGAAGTTAGACAGGTTCAAAATATAAAAATGACATAAAGGTTAGCTATAGACCAGAATGAATTTCATACGGTTTAAAACACGTACTGATTTAGGCCCCTTGGAAATATGCCGAATATGCGTTATTTTCTTATTAGGTTTTAAAAGGTCTCCATGTTATTAATTTTTTTTTATTTGTAGTGCGTTCGCGGATGTGGATTGTGGCGTTCATCACTGAACAGTTCATGTGAAACTTCCTGTGTAAGTAATTAAACAGTCTGATGAATGGCGGAAACGCGTGATATACATACTAAAAGTGAGAAAAGATAATTCGCAGTCTAAAGGTTGGGCTGATAGTTGAAGACGAGTGATGTTCGCGTCCATCCCATTAATCTTCTTGAATTATATGATTTCATTCGATATGACAGAAGAGAATACGAAGATATCGTAGCCTGTTCTCAAGCGGCATTATCGGTAGTCTTTGGAACAAGTTCTGGTTGAATCTGGGCGTGCGCCTGGCCTCGTGCCAAAATTTTCATTGTTTCACTGGGTTTGGTTGTATTTTATAGATGGACATGTTTCCGCGTAGTCGGCAACGGAACAGCTCAGTGGTGAGTGCAGATAGGAGATGCATGGGAATTCTTGTTGGCGGACAATGGACAGGCGCAGTAATCCCTATCCTTATTGTTACTTGCTCTGCAGGTGAACTGTCGTCAAGGCTGCGACTACGCTCTCAACGGATATCTCCGTGACTTTCAGGGTAAGGTAATTAGGAAGAATGGGAAAGCGCTGCATCGCTCTATGCGGCGCTATTATATTTCATTTATAGAAAAGTGATGCGTATCGTTTATTGCACAAGCAACAGGTAGTCGTCGCGTCGCAGTAATTGGATTATTTGTCTAAGACGGACTGTAATCAGTAATTATCCGGTTATGCCGTGTGGTAACTTGAGACACAGAAGTTGCTGGAGTATTTTTTGTGCTATTTTCAAATTTTTTGAAAGTGTATGGTGGAAATTTTTCTGGAACTAAGCTCCAAATGCAATGAACGATATGCCGATTTTCATAAACTACAGATTGCGTTATTCTACGCTTCGGAGAATATCAACACATTCCCAAATTTTATGTTTTAGGATTGGTTGACAGTCTGTCAATACCGTACCTGTATCCCCCATCGGAATCAAATACAAGTTTTACTCTGGACTTCGAAAATTATTCGCCACAAATTGGTACTGGCCGCGCTCAGTACGCTGAATGTGGGCATAACTGCTCAAATAAAACTTTGGATTGGCGATATTTTGTTCCGGATGTCATTGTTAACTCTTCGACGTTCACTGTTACCGGTCTGTGGCCTTACACTTGGTACAAGGTATGCTCATTTAATCGTTGCTCTCAATAACTATAACGGATAATGCAGTGACAATGCGAGAGGATCGATTTCAGTTGTTGCACGAAGAACGTTATTGTTATCTGACGGTATTAATGAAGAGTGTTCTAATTTATTCACATTTAGTATGGTAAAGCGATTTGTCAACACACCTGTTGCGCGGAGCTCTTTTCTCAGCCAGTTCCTTTATATTCACATGTGTCCTGTCGTCAGATCGTGAAGGCGTGTTAGAGCTTTGATGCTAGAGCACGATGATTGTTCCTGTTCTGTAATGATTGATAGTAATCAAGTGTTTGCTTTGTTGGCAATTGAGCTTTGGTGCAGGCAGCTTGATAATCAATAATTCGTCGAAGAGAGCTGGAAGCTTAACGGCAATTAATGACGATGTGCCAATTAAAAGGCTGAATGTTGACATTTCTCCCGCTATTGCAGTTTCGGGTTGTATGGATGCCAACAATGCGAGATTTTGTGTATTCGAAGGAAAGCAGACCACTAAGGACACTGGAATCAGGAGGCAAGTGAACACAACGACAAACTGAGAGGCCTCTGTTGCTTCATACAGTACTGCTAAATTTGACGTTTTCTTCTCGTGCGTCTATCGGATAATTTTGTCCGTAGCTGTTTGAGCATGGAATCTTCGCTGTTCTTGTTAGGCCATCGGTCACTGATTTGCCAGTGAAAATTATTACTAAAATGAATTTTTCTTTAGGCCCGTTCGATCCACCGGTTATTGTATATGCGGAAGCGCTGACCTTTTACCAGATTATGATCAAATGGGAACCGCCTAAGCGTTTTAATGGGCCCGCTCACGGCTACCGTTTGAACTGGACCGACGCGAAGAATCCTTATTCACATAAATATGTAAGACTTGTAATACCTGCTAAAGAATGGGTTTGTAATCTTTTCGCTGCCTGTTTTGCATTAGACGCACGTCAACGAAAGCGTTGCATATAAAATTTTCGAAAATCTTCGACCTGGGCGAACGTACCATATCCGAGTGGCAGCAGCCAATAAAGAGGCATGGGGACCATATGCCGAAGTGCACGTGGCCACGCCACCCTTACCACCGCAGAGACCCGGAAGTAAACATGGAAATGTTGTAACTGTGGATCTGCTGTATGGGCTACCAAATGAACTGCGACTGCATCGAAAGGATGTGGAGCGGAAATGGTTTGGCTTCAGCGAGCCCACCCTGTATCCTTTTAACTGCTTGAATACAAGTATCACTTGTCCAGATGCTACGGACGAAACAAGGATTCATGGTAATAATCAAACGGAAGTTATTATAACTTTGAGGAATGAAATGGATCTTGGAGTTTTGAAAAATATTACGATGAATATATTGCTCAGTAAAAAGTTCTATCTCACAGCCATCTGTTTTCAGCCTTGGCGTTCGATTCAAGAAGGAATCTGACCTTCATTTCTCAAGGATTCGGCAACATTGTTGCCGTTGATTTGACGTACAGAACGAACAAAACAATTTTCTCTAACGAGCGCTACAATATCACCTTACTCAGCTACGACTGGATGAACCAGCAACTGTATTTTGTCAGTTTCGGAGAAGTAAGTCGGCGAGCGTTTACGCGAGTTGATTACCTAATTAAACTTTGAAATGGCTGTGACCCTAGATTTCCCGATGTGATGTGGCCGGTTTTTCCGACCCTACAATGTGTATCTCGCTCGGTTATTGCCATAACCGATTACGGAAGATCATTGTTGATCCTATCAACGGATTTGTTTTCGGATTGGTTAATCTTGAAAATGCTCGTTCCGAATTTTTTCGCCTTCCTCTTTCTCCAAACTCTGTGCCGGTTCGCAGTGCGGACCTTCTGCGTGATGCGGAAAGGATCTGGACACAGCCTCAGAACGTTGCAACCTTCACCGTTATGTATGATAGCTGTAGTATTTTATTCCCGGACAGCAATAATGGTAATCTTCGGCGTTTCTACTGCGACGGTAAAGACGCGATAGAACAAGTGCGAGAGGATTTTGCGGCGGACCGACTGATTAGCTACAGTTACAAGAAATTGTCGAATATGTTATTTGCCGGGGGCGCCGTATATGGTTATTCCGGGAATTCCGTCCACATGGAGGAATATAATGTCCTGGAAGACAAATTCCACATGCAGTTTCTTCCGGTTGATTCCAATTTTAATATTACCGGAATGGAAGCGTTCGGTAGAGACGGACAGCCAGAACCATGTAAGGGTGTTTTTATTAACAAAAATGCAGAATGACTAGCATCTGGTTAAATTAACAGTGTGATTGTGATTGCCCAGAATAAATTAAAGTGTTGTTGTAAATTTGTGATGCACAGATCCCGTTGGTGAGCCTTGCGGGCTGCATTTCTTCGCCTCTTCCGGACGTTTGCACATTACCTGGAAACCTCCGGCACCACTGGCCATGCAGTCGCCAACTGCCTGGAATCGTTGGACGTATAGTTATGAATTTGCGGCTGCCAATGATTCCAAGAATATTTTGTCACGACTTACGAATGACACCCAGGTTATAATGGATGGACTTATCCCAAACACGTCGTACATCTTCCGAATCCAGGCTTTATCGCCTACTCGCAGTGGTCCAGTTTCTCCCAGCTACACTGTGCGCACATACAGTGTTGACGGTAAGTACAGTACCTGAATTAACGGAAATGATAAAACATTTGTGCAAGATTTTGAGAGCACTTGTAGTTTTTTTCTGTTTTCTTGTACTCATAACTGATAACACATATTTGTGTTATGTGTATTTTAAGGCCCGGAATTCCTTGTGGTGAATAGTTCAGCCTTGTTCACCATGTCACTCGAGTCGATGGGGAGTGAGAATGTTATCAAGAGCGCAACTGGATTTGTCGATGTGGACGAAGTAGTGTGGGCACCAGATTTCGTGGCAGTGTACAAGAAAACACAGCTGATTGTGATCAAAGATGGAACAAGCACTGGGATGACATTGAAAGATGTGGGTAGTATCGCTTATGATTGGATCGGGCGGAAGTTTTACTGGATGGACAATTTGGAAAGAGCTATCTTCCGCGCACAGTTTGGAGCGGAGCGGGAACGCGAAAAAGTCATCCAGGAAGCCGGCAAACAGATCCTGGTGGATCCTCTCAGAGCTGCCGTGTACTGGTGCACCGACCTAGCAGTAGAGACTGTAAAGATGAATGGGCTGAATCAACGACGTTTACTCCAGCTGGATCCTTTGACAGCAGATCAGATCATTACCATTTCCATTGATCACCGAAAACGCACGCTGTATGCAGTTGTACAAAAAGATAACGGCTTGGAAATTTTCGGAATATCATTGTTATGGCGATCTGGAAGCGACCGGATGGAGAAAGTTGTTGATTTGCCGCTTTTCCCATACACTCGTGGTTCACTAATGGTTTATGAAGAGCGTTTGATCTCTGTTGGAGAGGACGGGAATGTTAACGTTGTTGATTTCCGCTCACAAAACGTTACACTGCAGTTCGAAAAAGCAAATATCAGACTTTTAACGATTATACCGCGAATGGAGGAAGAGCTCAAAGGCAAGCCGACTGTATCTGTAGATCGTTGTATCGTAGCGTTATTTTGCGGTTTTGTTTCTGAATTTACTTCGCTCTAGCTTCGTACGCACAAGAGCCGCTTGGAATAATTTTTCATATTTCATTTTGCATATATTCAAATCTTTTTACAGTTTTATATTCAAATCTTTTTACATTTTTAGGATTAAATCGGACGATTTTCGATTTCAAAGCCATTCCTTCCCCGTTGGATACCAGCCGTATTCGATGCGAAGATGAAGGAGGCGATCTCGTTGTTACCTGGACCCCAGCCACGGATTACAATTATGGAAATGTCCAGTATGATGTTATTGTGACGAATAGAGAAAACGTGGTATATAATGACGTAAGTTAGACATATTTAATCCATTCTACGATCTGGGTTTCTAGCTATCTTTTTTCTTAGACTGTGACCAGTGTTGAGAGGGTTGTCATACCCGGTACAGTTATATCCGCTCACCTGACGGTAGCGATTCGCCCGGTCACGGAATTTGGTTCGGCTAACTTTGCTAAGAAAACGTTTGGCCATATCGATGGTATACGAGCATTCTGCACAACTAAAAAAAACATGGAGGTGTTAACTATGTTTCCTGCTTACAGTTCTGGCCGTCACAGCAGCAGCACCACTTTCTTCCAGTGTGATCGCTGCCATAACTGTTTGCGCTTGCGTTGTGGTGGTTATCGTAACTGCTTTATGTAAGTTATGCGGCGAAAAAAGCATTCATTAAAATTTTAATAAAAATATATGCGTGCTTTTCTTTACAGGTGTTGCTCGTAAAAAAGTGTGCTACAGCATTAAGCGATTTACTTCGCGCGTGGCGACACCATCGGACCTCGAAACGAATAATCTGGAATTGAGATCATTGTCTGCCTGTAATTTCGTTTACGATGGAAGGTAACCCTTTATTAATTACAAATCGCTTGTTATCGCTCATTAAAAACCGTCTTGTGAAAACGAATTTTTCCTTTAATGCTGAATGATCCATGTACGTCATAATTTTTGCAGCCATTTGGATGTTTCAAATGTGCCACGTATAGATCGGAATCGAATAACGAAGATCAAAGTCATCGGTGCAGGCGCTTTCGGTGAAGTTTTTGTTGCAACTGGTGAAAATATGTTGGGTTCGTTACCGGGGATTGTCACCGTGGCTGTTAAGACACTGCGTGATAAGCCCGGGAAAAACAACCGGGAACAGTTTCTGAAGGAAGCTTCTGTTATGAGGTATAGTCTTTGTAATTTGGGTTCTTGTAATTTGGTGGAAATCAATTTTTTTTGTGATTATAGCCAAATCAACCACAAGCACATTACCCGGTTTTTGGGTATCTGCGTAGAATATGAACCGTACTACATTGTTATGGAATACATGGACAGTGGTAATTTGCTGGAATATTTGAGAAGCCATCGAAACGACACCGCGGAACCGTTGACATTCGTGGACAAACTTGAAATTTGTCGAGACATAGCTGAAGGCTGTGCGTACTTGCAGGAATGCAGGCTTGTGCACAGGTAAAGATGCATTTGTCTACAAGACGCCAGAATCGCTCTAGTTGGTTGTCTGCTGTAGGAAATAACAAAACACGAACTCGTGACGCGTTTCATACGATTTTTTCATACAGGGATTTGGCTGCTCGCAATTGTCTGGTCACCCATGAAAACGGTGCGCGAGTTGTAAAGATTGGAGATTTTGGTTTGACCCGGGACATCTACCATATGCATTATTACCGCGTTAACGCCCGCGGATATATGCCGGTACGCTGGGCTGCACCAGAATCCATCATGGATGGAATCTTCACGACGGAATCGGATGTTTGGTCATATGGTGTCGTTATGTGGGAAGTGATCACTCTGGGTCAGATACCTTATTTGCATCATACTCAGCAAGAGGTGGTGGAACTGATCAAAAGTGGAACCAATCCACTGCACGTGTCCGGGCCCATTGGAGCACCGCCATCCATGTACGCACTGCAGATACTCGTATTGTAAATGTAATAGTTTAATGTGAATGCCAGACGTAATTATGTCGGGTTTTAGATTACCTAAGATTGAATGCTGTTACGCACTTTAACTTTTGCATGGTCATTTATGCGGTTTTTTCTTATAGCACCAACTTGTTGTACCAGTGCTGGAAGCGCGATCCTCGCCAACGTCCAACATTTCGCTCTTGTTTGCATGTTGTGCGCAGCTTATTGGAGGACAATGGTAAGTCTTTTGAAAGTGAATTTTTCCATTGTTTGCTTATTTATGATTCGCACTGCAGGTTCCGGAGATGATGCCGCAGACGATGATGCGTCGGCCCCTGAAGGTGCCGCGGCATTATGTCTAAGGGGATATAGTCCATCCAATCTCAAAAGCGAATCTTTCCCGAACCTGTATCGCTCAGAACGTAAGTTATCAGTTCACAAAAATATGGAAATAACAAAATTAAATTCTTGAAGAATCGTTTGTACTCTGTGCAACTGTGATACTTCAGGAACTTATTTCTTTAATGATATGACTGTCTGCGTCCTCGATATACCAACCCTGATTGTGTGCGGACGTTAAACCGAAATTAACGAATTAAACTTAACATGCCTTATTTTGTTTCAGAAATTCTTTAAGTAGTAGCAGATTTAACTAATGAAAAAATTTTCGTCATAAACATCTCATCACCCAAGCAGTGCAGGAAAGGTTCTTGCTAACTGGAGTACTGTTGTTGCTCGGAAGCCGTACTTGTAGGAAATGCTAATATTAAAAGCTACTGATGTTGAGTGGTATTGTTTAAAATTTTGAATTGAATTATTTCGGTACAGATTCCCGTAACGTCCATCGCAGTAGTATTAGCAGTCCTGACTGCCTGGATCGCCAATCCGCTAGAAGTGATGATTCGGGTGTGGCCGTGACAATTCCGAAATCGCCGAATACGGTCCCCGTCGTCCACTTGACCGCCCCGGTTGAGGCGCGTCCTGCACCGCCGGATGACCATCTGGGCTACGTGACGGTGAGTCCTAATGCCCGGCTGCCGCCATATTTGACTGTTTTGTATACTCTGGAAGAAAATTCTCGTGCGCCTGCTCCGATTCCGAGCGTTGTTCCGCCCGCCGAAATTGCGTCTCCAAGTTTTTCTGCACAAACTTTGATCGCGGCGCAGCCCCTGTCGTTTGCTAACCATTCGTATATGAATACGTTGTGCAATAATGGTGCGCGCGCACCGGCAGTGATCCGGCCGAGTGATCAATCCGTTGACCACATTTTCCGGATTTGATGGGATGTTGTTTATCGTGTTGTTAGACACTTACGTACCGTTGTGAACTTGTGATAAGCCAAAGAATTTTTGCGATCTGAGTTTTCTATGTTAGATTGTAATTTTTGGGTTTTTTTGGGATTGTAATATAGTCAACAACTGTAACAGTGTGGTTCGCATACTGTGGACTGTTGTTGCGTTATAGTCTGTGGATTACATTTTCTGAATTCTGTTTTTTGTTTGGATATATAAATCGATGCACTGTTGTGGTTTACTTTTGCGTTTTATTGCTTCATGTTATTGCTTTTCTGTATGATAGAATGCTTTTTGCCAGATGTTTTGCGTTCATGAAAGGGTGTTGTTTCCTATTTCTGTATACTACAAGTAGTAATAAAACCCATGCCTCACTTGCTCGTCGATTTAATGACAATGTATTTGTTTCGTTCAGATTTTTTCAGTTGTTTGCACTTTCCCGTTGAGGAATATTTTTTACGGTAGCAAGACTGTAATGATGGTTGTAGGTACCTGCGTACCGCAGTATTTGTGGCTACGTCATCTATGTGCTATGTGTAAAACCACAGTGAAGTGAGCAAATAAGCAACAAGATCGCATCTTGCTTTACGCGTAAGATTACCGTTTCGTTTATGTACATCCTAATTTCTGTAAAAAATGAGTGAAAAAAATCATATTTCATAATAGTAATGTTCCATATGCCCCAATAATTGTGGCAACACATAATTATCATCGAAAAAATTGTTCTCAGCCAGGATCGAACTGGCGACCTTCTGCGTGTTAGGCAGACGTGATAGCCGCTACACCATGAGAACTTCCTTATGGTATCCTGATATATTAAAACGAGACATCTGAAATTTTTCATCTACAGAACAGTGGCGAAGGGTAATTGTTCGTGCCGAAGCGCAAGTTTCACGTGTTTAAATAATTAATCTTGGGTAAATCGCGTAACCACCACTGGTGGCGCCTAAATATTTTTTACCGAATAGGCGAGTACCTACCGTAGTTGATATTAATTTTTTCAGGTGCTAAAACATATGACCTCACAGGGGGCCCAGATCATTAACAATTGGAGATCAGCCATTTATTACAACTACTTTTGTATTATCAATACATGTCAATTCCTGCTGCTGTGGTTTATCCTTTTGAGTAAAGCAATTTCATCATTTATGCGGTACTAGTGCGATGGCAAAAAAACTGGAAAGCTGAAATACGCCACACAATCTGGAAAAGGGATACTGTACCGGTTTTACTAGCACGAAATCATGGATCTAAAGGATTATTTGTCCAACAACAATCAAGCCAATTAAACCGCTGTTGTATAATTCTGACGAGATCGTTATCACATTCACAAGGACGAAAAGCAAATACACAATTGTAATAAATCAGCCTGCTCCCAAAACGCTAAAAAACTTTTTAAAACAGTTCGCACAGAAATATTCACAAAAAATAAAACGGTTAGCCAGTGATTTAGCATGTTTATGAAGCCATAAATACAAAGGGAACGAGAAAAACGTAGAACGAAGAACGGGTCATGTGGGCGAAATGTAAAGCGCGGGTCCGGGCAATCCTCCTTACACGTTCTGTTCCTTGCCGCGTTCGTGCACGGCGTTGAAATCCAAAACCGGGCCCAGTGGGACAATGCCGAAAGGATTGATGGTACGATGACTTTGATAATAATGATTAACAATGTGCTCCATGTTCACTGTCTCCCCAATGCCGGCCGTCTGGTAGATGTCACGCACAAATCCCCACAAGTTTTTATAATCCGCGATGCGTTTGCGATTGCACTACGATGACACCAAGAAAATTTTCAGACTGTTCAGAATTTAATACAAGATTTGAACAAAAACCGTATACGGAAGTAAGTAACTGTACCTTGAAGTGAGTCACATAAACCATATCGAATCGGACAAGGGTGGTGAACAGACGAATATCCGCTTCTGTTAACTGGCTTCCCAAGAGATAGCGATGTTCAGAAAGAATTACTTCAACCTAATTAAGAAAAACGTTAGAAATTTGGTATAATAATAATAACGGCTCTTATACAGTTTTTCTATTGGATTATTAAACAGAAAATTTAGGTTCAGTTTACGGCATTTTATGAGTTACCTTGTCCAATGCAGCAAACAGGTTGATAACCGCGTTATCGTAAGCTTCCTGAGATCGAGCGAATCCGCATTTGTACACACCATTGTTGATGTCCCTAAAAGTAGAAAAGGTCAACACGTCAGAAAATTACAGTTAAGCAATGCATCCAAGTACCACTGCATTACAGTATATGGACTGCACAGTGCACACAATGCAACACTTCAAAAACTAATGTCATTTTTAAAAAACTAATATTAATATTAATTGTATTGTTCCTCCTAGTATTTAAAGTACAGATAATTTTACAGAATAATTTTATACGTATCTATACCGATAAATCCATTCATTTATAGCATCGATTTCAGCTCGCAACTCCACCGGATACAAATCTAGATTCCGCTGCTCGTCAGTTTGACAGAACGCATTGAACTCCACGTTCAACATACGAATTATTTCCGAGCTCTCGTTATTCACAATAGTTTTCTCCTAAAAACGCACATTCCTGAAAAAGAAGTTGTGATTGTTGAAAAGCACCAAACCTTTTTGTCCCATAGAACCGGCACAGTGACGCGCCCAGAATATCCTGTAATCGAGGACACCAGTTAATAAAATATACGACAACACGGCAGGCGATGCGGGACAAATAACAACCTGGCACTGTTCTCTAACTGACAAGTGAGACGAAAAACTAAACAATAGAAAAACGCGCACCGCACCGTACCTGGTTGGGCAAGGTGGTAAACGTCCCGCAAAGTGGCACAACTGTTAACAGTATCGGGAGTGCAACCATCTCGCTTCAAATTCACAAAGCAAATGTAAACAATCCAGTTCATGAGAAATTATTTTCTTGCCACAACCAACCTGTCCATTAAAGCTCCACACTGAAATAACAACAATCAGTGTCTTACTTTAAAGCCTTGTAACAGGTCGTTAACTATTTACTCCAAAAGCAGTGCAACCACTCAGCTATAAACCATTCAAAATATCTCAGAAACCAAAAACGATCTTCATTACGCCATTTTCTGCTCTCAGATCATAATGCCTTTGAAATTGTTCTGTAAACTTAAACCTGTCTTAAAAAAGCGAAATGATTTACATATCATGTTTACCTTCTTGTAAAAGCCAATCCACCACATTGACCGAAATGATATCCTCCAATCCTTTCAGTTTACGCACAATCAGCGTCCGGTGGGCCTGCATAAATTAAATGCGCGAATTGTCGTAATGACTGACGCGATCTGTGCTTAGTGCTTACCCACGGGCATGCCAAGGACACATACAAATGGTATCGTCCCGGTTCCGCAACAAAACCACTGGATCCTTCCGCTGAAATGAAAATAAAATTTATTTAGGAACAGAACAGGGAAATTTGCGCATAGACATAAAGTTCAGCTGCATGTAAATGAGAATAATAACTGCGCAGAAGAAGCAGACTAAGAGTAATCTGGGATGTCGTTGTATTCCCCAAAGACAGATGAATTTGCAGTTAATAATGATCATCTGTCTGAGTCTGTCTCAGACCACCCCAAAATACCCTCAAAACATATTCACATGCATTTTTCTCGCAAATGGAATTACGAACAACAAATTTTCCTTTTCGTATATAGCATAGAAGACCAGTGTGCGGCGGTGCGCATAGCAGCATTACGAATTTCCGGTGACAAATTAAGTGTTCGAATACAAGCTCGCTAAATATTACGATGCGTATTACGAATATCAATTTTGATGGTCAAAATATTCCGATGTAGTTGATGGTCAAATTACTTCAGCAAGCACATGTCTCCATTCCAGCTGCAGACTACTTTCTGTGACTGTATGTACGATGTATCCATTAAACACATAAGTTATCGCGATTAATGCAGCAACGGGCAGATAACGTTAGAAAAATTCAGCTAACTGCTGCCGGTAAAAGACGCTGAAGTTCTAAACAGTAAAATTAAACGTTAATTATATTTTATCTTTCAAAATATACAATACATACAACTGTGACCGGGTTACAATACGAGTACACGAATTATGCACTTACAGAGTTCAGATTTCGTTCACAACAGATTTAATCACATTACTTCTGCGTTTTGCATATACAGTAGCCACTGCCAGCGACACTGTTTGTAATATCTATACTTCTACTAATACTTTCTGGAGCTGCTTTCTAACTCGTAAGAACAAACGGTAACAAACCTGTGACGAAATGGCGAAAGGCAGACTGCAAGAACAAAGCAAAGAATATAATAACGATAAAAGTATTATAATATTATTACAAATCAGATAAAACAGTTCAAAACACCGATTATTTTCGGTTCTCGACTCTCAAATACCGCAACCCCGTATTAGAAAAGGCTAGAAATTAACTGGAATTAACTTATTAAAGCACAAAATACTTATCAGAACGCATGCTGCGAAAAGTGTCCAAAGGAAGCCGGGTCTGCAAAGAAAAACCCACCTGCGCTCTCACATACTCTCCCGAAGGAGTCATGCTGGCCTTCCACGAGGGCGCATTCTGCACCACTTCCATGTGATCCGGATGCGTAGTCAAATGCACATTGTCTCCTCCGGAAATCAGCGAGGAGGGATCTGCCATTTTTCCACAGACTTCTCCAATTATTAAAAGACAGCACCAAAAATAATGAAATATTAGGGGATATGTTTGAAGTCTCAAAACACGGGTGATTCCGGTACTGTAGTACTATAGTCGGGATCGGGCGTCTGAAATATGAATGCAGGATTGGTCGCGGAACCAGAAAGATGGAAAGCACCACAAAACAAGATGCAGCATCAATCGATGGTATCGGAAACTGTAGGACAGCCAGGGATATGCGTGTAAACACAGCGACTGTACGCGCGTCGCGCACACTCGCACTTTAAAACCGAATGGAGAATGGAGTGAGCGTTTAATGACGTACTGTATTGGTACGTACTGTACATAGTCGTATCCGCCATAGGCGGATCGTCAGATGGTCGGCCACAAGGGCTAGCGCCCAGCCGCAAGAGTTGACTTCAATTTCCGGCCAGACAGCCAACCTGTGGTATATCGGTTCGGCTTAGAGTGGTTAGGGAATACCGCATAGCAAAATCCGTACATGCATGCTACACAATGCACATTCCCCCCTTTTTAGAACTGTGAACGCCTTTTCTAGCTAGAGTCCTAGGTTAGGAGTGGGACTAGTGACAGGAACTAACCTCACCGGAACTATGGAATAATTGCTGGAGAACTGGAAAAATCCGGAACAAACCAGCCGAAAGCCACAAAGTACATAGACATGCTGGTCGGCTTTTGGGCTGTGTAAGCCTGCCTCTGGTTCGCCTTTGTTGGTGGTCGTCAAAGTTGGTCAAATGACTTAAACTGTTTGCGGACAACTTGTTGCATTTTTACTTAGATCAAAATGTTTTGATGCTTAACATTTGAAAGTTGGAAGAGAAATTTCGGTGCATTGAATTTGTTTTTAAAGCTTTGTACTGGAGCACCGCGTGTACCTATGATAAACCAAAAATGTCATCAGCCATTAACGACGGCACTCCGGCATCCACTTTCCGATTGAGCAAAGAAGCAGATGGATTTTCTTTCAGTTTCAGCAATGACTCTGGTATTGGTTCAGCCAGCAACGAGCCAAAGAAGTCTTGGCATAAGAAAGCCAAAGAAGTGCCGAAGGATAACGATGGCGCAAGTCCGGAAGACGTACATGAGACGCGATATGCCGGAATCAAGATGGAGCTGTCTCTGGAGGAACTGCACATGAAAAACAACAAGGACGTGGTTAATCCAGCTCGCCAAGCATTGGCTGATTTTCAGGTTATTTTCCGTTAGGTTAATTAGTTAGTGTACGGGTAGTTCAGCGACTTATACATAGTTATCAAGTTATGTAACCGCAGAAATTCAAAAGATTCTTCAGCGGCTTTTCAGATAGTTTAATTCAAATTCCGCAACAATGACAGCTTGTTTAATACTGCTTACAAGCTCTAATAACTTGTTTTCATTCCGGTGAAAAATAAATGCGTTTTCCTTTTAACTCACAGGTCGCCAATCAGGCTGCCGAGAAAGGGCTGGACAAGCACCTTATCCTTCTACCTCACCAGATTACCGATAAATTTGCTGAATTCCATAAAAAATTTGATGGTAAGCATACATGTTTAGTTATTGTTCTGAACTGTGCTTATCTATACGTTGTTAATAATATTATTGTGGCTTATTCGACATTGCTTAAGTATGTTGTTTCATTAAAAATATAATAAATTAGTTTTTTGCTTTGGCCGTTTGAAGTGCATAGAGAGCGCACGCAGTGTTAGCCTGTATGTGAAAAGTGAAAACTGAAAATAAAGTACAGCTGTATGTGGTTTAAACTTTAAATCAAGTATGAAGAACGGATAGCGAATGAGCACTGAGCAGTCACTCAGTTGTTTACTAAATTTTTTGAAGATTAAAGGGCATGTTGATGTGCCCTATTTCGTACCTGCTTATGAGTAGCTTGATTGTGGTGTTCAGATTTTGGATCTGAGGTGTTTGCCGTGATGCATATGTTGCCGGCGTTTCTTAGCCGTCGTGCAGACCATGCTCCAATTGAACTGACCATCGTGCGGGTGCGTCTGGCCACCGGAGTGGAAAAAGGAATCTGCCATTTGTTCCCGTCACCTCTGTAAGACAAAGAAACGTTTGCCAAAATGCTGCTTGGAATTCAAACAATTTTAAAATTTCCCTGTAGGCCGTTGCCGCTCGGAAAAGTGGTTGATTTCAAGGCTGGGCGCAGTCAGTACCTTCTCTCTATTCCGTTTCGTTTATTGCTCTGGCAGAATATTTGATTTTTAGAGGAATATCACGAGATCGACGAGTTATCGTTTGAGGGATTCAACAGCGATTATATTTGGATATTTTTCAAAATGATAACTACACTGAATCCCCATTGGCCCATTAAGGCCGGCAGAGGACGTCCACCGAAGCTTCCATTAACGGTCTGCAAGGATTACCAAGTCCAGAATACCATTCGGATGTTTCAGTACATTCATGAACGGGCTTTGATGGCTCAAGGGTTGAAATGCGCAAGTACGGGGATTATGTTGCGTGTAGCTAAGAAAAAAGCATAAAGGATATCGCACCGATTTTCATGAGAGATATGCCTACCTGAAATATCTGTAGATTAGGTTATGTCTGTTTACAGCGGAAGCACCTAAAGACTTCATCGTTCCTGCAACCGTTGAGATTCCATTTTGCACTTTGGAAAACTTTGTATGGTGTTAATCTTTTGCTGGTTTTTTTCACATGCTGTTGCGAAAACTGTTGCCTTTAATTGTAGCAAACAGCGGTGCGAAGACTGTTGCGGGAATGCAATTTCATTAATGAATCCCAGATACTGGCGGAACCGGATGTGACCCGAGTTAATCAGTAAGGTCGTAATTCTGCCAGTTGATAAATTTTGCGCACGATGTGTTTTAATTATTAATTTTGGTGAAAGTAACCGGTAATATCGTTTTGATTAGCTGCGCATTCCATCAGACGACCAACAAGCTGACTTGTACAACTTATTGCGTCAGCGAAATGGTGGAGCATATGCTAACATTGTCTTCTTTCTGGTCTGGCACCACCGTCCCATCGCGATTTGTGCAACCATATACGTCGGAAGAGTTTATCGATGAAACGGACGCACGTTCGTTTGAGTCGCCTGCCGAATCACCAGTGTCTGATAGCACTGACTCGGTTAGAAAATCCTAATTTTTAATCCTAAAATTATCATAACAGTATACCTTTAACTTATTAGAGGTGCTGAACTGATTTGTTTGGTTGCGTGAAAGCACTTAAACTGACAGGTACATAAAAGGGGATAGCGTAAAAACATGACATGTCGTATTTCAGGCCCAGGCCAAAGTCAAGTTTGCAAAGGTCAAGACGATGCGGACATGGAACGAGACATCTAAGAAATATCAAACTGAAAATGCTGGTACGCAAAATTTGTGGCCTGTGGGATATGGCCGATTGCTGGTACACGTATTTCGTTTTTTTAGAGGTCGGCGAAGATTCTGATCGGGCATCGATATACAGCGAAAGCTGCGAGGAAATAGCTAGTCAGTCGGGGCCATGTTCGTTATCATTGGGTCGTGGGTCTAACAGCTTGAAGACATCTTCGCATAGCGAAGGCGACACCGTGTCCAATAGTGATACGAGCGTGCCGGTCATTCGTTCACGTGCTGTGCGTCGTGCGCTGCGGGTGCCGAAAGCAGACGAAGTGGACATACGTCCCACTGCTGACGTCTTGGAAGAACCAGCGACGCCATCGCCCACTCCGATGATGGATGTTGACGGTGCAGTCTCAGAATGGGATAGTGATGATTTAAACACGGAAAATTTGGTGCAAGAGGACCAGGAACCCGCACCGATGGTACCACGGGTTAGCTTCCGACGTCGTCTCCATCGAGTGACCTGAAAAACGTTTGCCGGAAATAAAGATATGGAATGGCTCTAAGTAAGTTCTGTAAAAGACGCTGGAAAACTAACTTTATTGCAAAACGGCTCATATTTACTTGATAATTTAATTGTGGTTATTGGACCTTTGACTTGCAATCAGGACAAAAACGCCGAAAGAATTTTTTGCCAGTCTAGCAGGTAATCTGCTGGAATGTTTTGGAATTAATGATATCATTAACGGATAACCGTAGTGCATAATATGAAGTATGAAGATACTTTTTTATACCTCGTGGTTTACTTCGTATGGAATCCGTCTACGCGGTGTTATTAACTCATCTATAAGGGAATTAAAGAAATAGGCTGCAGTAGTGGCAGTGGAGTGTGGACAGGGGGTCATGGGCGAAATGCTGTATGAATAATGTTATAGCAAATAATTTACAGAACTGGAAGTATTTAATTGAAGTTACTTCGGTTAGTGGAGAAGTTTACACGTATCGTGGTGAATGTTTAGCTAAACGGCCTGCTCATTTTTCTTTAGGCCAAATTTTGTGACCGGAATGAAGAGTTATTCCCAAGCTTCAGTACTTTCAGCTGCTTGGATCAGACGTGGACATAATTATACGATAGTTGTGGCGTTTCGCATATCACTTAGAAATTATTGATGGTAAAATCGATTGTGAAATAGTTCTTGTTCGTGAAAAGGCTGGGACGATATTAAATTGTTCGGTTGTTTTTCTTTTGCTGCCAGCTGTAGAAATAAGCTCCTGATCATGCGTGAAACGGTCCTTAGACCTTAGGACATTTCGTTTGTTAATGCTCTTCCTTTTGGCGTATCGCGTACGGTCCGTACTTCCGTTAGTTCGAATTCTTGTTGATATTGTTCAATGTTAACTAATACAGTACGTTTGAGTTGAAAATTAAAGCTCACTGTTTACTGTTTGTGCCTTCGCTGTTTGCATGGATATTCCGGAAAATTTGCAATGGAAAACTTCTTACTTAACACCACAGTGACTGCCTTGTTCGATTGCTTCGTCAATGATTTAATCCGTGTTGATGGTCGGCGCAAATGGTTTCTGTCGCAGTGCTGTCCTACTCGCGGGGAGCTGTTTTATGAAACCGTGAAACGGTCTTCATCCAATGGCAAAAATTTAAATCCAGAGCAAGTGTTGGTATTGGCTAAAAGCTTTTATTCTGCCTTTGCTGACTGAACGTACGGGTGCCCTAAACTTTGAAGGGTTGCTATGACGCACACCTGACGCCATGGCTTGCTTCGCAGCGATAAGTTTGGAGAACCTACGGGCAGTTCGATCACTTTTGCCAATTTTCAGTTTTGTGAGTTTTTTCTCCGTTTTTAAAGGTGATATCTAGCGAGACTGAAGAGTTGCGGCATCTGCGGTAAGTATTTTTCATATTTTTTGAATTTTTCAGGTTTGTTTTCGATAAAATGTTTGATATCTTGTTTCATACTGTGTTTAGAGTCAACGAGTTAGTGGTTTTGACAACCGAAATTTTCGAAGGGGTTTTTTCGATTTTCATCTGAAGGTTTTCCAATTTTTTACGGACCAGTTTTTCATCCAGTTGTTTTCGACTTTTCCTAAAAATCATTTCAAGTATGGCTTTCAATGGGAAAGGAGCTAATGGTGATGCCTCGGAGTCTTCGGAGTCACAAGATAAACGGTATTTCACATTTTGCGTAAATTCACCAAACTGTAGTGGATTCTGGATTTTGGTTAATTTTTCTCGGTACTCTTTGTCCTGGCATTTTATTTATTACAAGATCGTATCATTGAGTTGTGAAACATTTTCAGCATTTTATGTCAGTTTCAGTTATTTCATGTTAGTTTGCGTTCAGTGTGCACTGTGTTGTTGTAAGTCAGTACAATGGGTATATGGTAAGCTGAAAGCAGTAGAAGTTCCTTGCGATCTCCAGATTATTAGTCATTAATGATGAATCATAATTAATGCCGCTGATATCCACATGTTCTCGGGTGAAAGAGCATGCTGTAGAAGGTTCCAGTGCATTTTTCCCGTTTTGTTTATGACAAGAAGTATTGCAAACCTGCATTCTGCACGCCCTCGATGAACGGGCTGTCGATGCTGCATATCTGGTTTGCACTTCGCAGCGGACAAACATTAGATGGATTTCCAGTTCTGGTACCAGATACTGTCGATTATTTGCCAGATCTGAGCCCAGTTGAAGTGTTACGATTCTGATGGTGGGTATATCATAGGAATTAATTTCAGGTCCAAGAAGATCAGCCCCGACCAGAAGATCAACCCCGACTAGTTTGCTCTTCCGCAATTATGGCAGCCGAGCTGTTATTGTATTAGCTGTGCTATTTCAGACTGCGCGCGCTTAACCTACTGTACTGTAGCTACTGTTCAACTTGTTTGTTTCTGTGCGAACTCACCATTGGTTTCAACCAGTAACAGCTACGATGTTTTCGTTTGTAGAAAAATTTTTGTTGGTGGTCTGTCATCGGATACTGGCGAGGAGGACGTGAAGACATACTTCGGCCAATTCGGAACTGTTGAGTATGTGACACTGAAGCGGGATCCAGCCAGTGGCAGATCGAGAGGATTCGCTTTTGTCACTTTCTCGGACATCTCCGCCGTGAAAGCGGTAAGTGCGGAAATTTATTTACATGAATCATGTATGTAATTTCTTCAGGTTTGGTTTTGATTATATCACCCATCTTTTAGGTGAGCGCCGTATCTAACCATGTCCTTAAGAATAAAAAGATCGATCCTAAACCAGCAGAGCCCAAACCGGGCGAGGAACCGGTCACTAAAATCTTCGTTGGAGGCATTGATCCTAACCTAACTGAGGAAGAGTTGAAGGGCTTTTTCAGCCATTATGGAACGGTAAACCTCCTGCGCGCACTGGAAGGTATAGTTTATCAATCCAGAGTATTTTAATTGCAGATAAAAAATGTGGAATGGCCGAAAGACCGTCTGCGAGATGGAGCCAAAAAGAATTTTGCTTTCTTGGAATTCGAAGATGACAAGATTGTCAGTGAAATCATCAAAAATCCGAAGCAGATGGTTGCTGGCAAAATGGTGAGTTGGAGGGAAAATGCTCGAAAATTCTTTCTCATTTAGTTGCTGTTTTCCCTGTTGCTTGCAGTACACGTTGCTGTTTTCTCTCTACCGAAAAATTGTCATTATTTTTCATCTACATTTTTTTGCGCATGGAATAATACATGTTTTTGTGTTACGGGCATTGTGCTTCCCTTTTCGTTTGTCACATTCATTTCGTTTGAGTAAATACCTATGTAATTCCATCTGTTTCAACAGTGTGACGTGAAGAAAGCATTACCATCTCAGCCGAAAACACCCGGAGCGAATGCCGCTGGTGGTCGCTATGCAGACTACGGAAATCCATATGGAAGCTTCGGATACGGTTATGGTGCCGGCGGATATGGCGATAGTTATGCTTCATATTACGGCTCTCAAGGATACGATCAGAGCTACTATGGAGACTACGGTGGCTATGATTATACCGGGGGTTATGACTATACCGGAGCTGGCTATGGAGCAACTGGATATGGCGATGCAGGTGGGTTGACTTGATAGCGATTATCGGTGTTAATAAAAAGAAACGCTTGTTCCTTTGTCAGGATACAGCGCAGCGCGAGGAGCAATGCGAGGTGCAATGAGGGGCCGTGGCGCTCCGGGTGGAATGGCTGGTAGAGGGATGCCACGCCCAGGAGGAATGGCGGGTGCGGGAGCACGTGGAGCGGCCAGAGGCTTCCATCCGTACAGAAGATAGAGAAGAGCGTGTTAATTGTGAGCCACTTTGTTATTAATTTATGCCATGGTATTTTTGTTATCGAATCGACGCGGAGTCGAACTTCTCATTAGGGTAGCCAGTGGCCAAGCGCCATGTTTTTGCACGAATCGGAAATGATTTCCATTTTATTCGTATTGATTGCCGTGTTCCCTGAAAGGTCGCTGTAATTTACCGTGGGAATCTGCATTCTGCAACTTTTAGCATAAATATGGCTGTCTTAAATAACTGAATTGCTGATTGCCTGAATGGCAAAAAAAAACCAAATAAAATGACTGCTTTCAGGAATTTCGTCAAGGTCTATATGTGCTACAAAACTAAATTAGCACACATGTCCGTCTAAACTCAGTTGCCTGCATTCCGTAGAAGCAGTGCTTTTCCAAAGGTTCGTTTTACCAGAAACAGAAACGCTGACCAGAAACTCCGATTACGTCGTCGGCTGCTGGATGTTTTATCTTATAGTAGATGATACTGCAGATACAGTACTCTGTTTTCCTTAAGCAAGTGTTCATGTCGAAAGTTAAACTGGAAGCATTTACTGTAACCACGGGAAGGTGCTCGTATGCTTTGTAATTTTAGAAGCATTAGAAGAAAATTGTAAGTACTCAGCCGTCTCAGCGTTTGCCCTACTAAAATTAATAATTTTGAATTTTTTGTACGAGGTTTTTGTATCTGTGAATGCCGAAAATGAACTCAAATAATTATGGCAATAACGATACTAGTACTTGGCACTATATTACATTATTAACTAATTCAAACAGACTTACAATTATCACAGCCATGTACAGCAGATAACAAAATTATAAAGTTTGACTCCATCACGCAACAGCAGTCAAATCATTAGTCATAAAACAAAGCCAGGGGAATAAATTATAAAGTCCATGTCATAATCGGGAATCAAAATCATAATAATTCATGTCATAATTTTATGTTTTGTCCCGGGAAGCGAAGTTCCAGGTCCGCAACTAACTTCTTGACTTCCTCTTCGACAGCGGCATCGTTATTTTTCTTTCCCGTTTCCAGTGCCTTCTTTGCCATGGCTTCGGCATTAGCAAGATCATTGTTTTCGGCATAAATATGAGCCAAGTTAAGGTAAAATGATGCCAAACTCCAGTGTTCCGATGCTACCGCCAAATTTATAGTTTCCTTCATCACGGAAATGGCCTCTTCGACGCGATGCTGCCAAGCGTACAATGTGGAAAGATTGTTGGCCAGTAACTGGTAAGCTTCCGACCCGGTCTGTTCCAACTGTTTAGCCTTGTCGAGACCTTTTTCGATCAGACTGGTAGCATGGGTCACGGAATTTTCGGCTTTATCTTCCAGTCTCAAGAAAAATTCACTCCCCCAATGAACCACCTACAGCAGACCGGAAGTTGCAATCTCTTGTACCCGATTCAACATGCTTATGAAAACTTTCAAAGAAATAGTTGTTAAAGCGATTTAATGTCATCCACAGAAAAAAAAATTGAAATTGTAATATAAGGCCATTAAAAAAGATAGAAAACAATACATCCGAATTAACCTAAAAAACGACATATCTCACCTTAAGCAGGAGATCAGCAATTGCTTCTTTCTGATCTTCTGGCACGTTTTCCAGTTTCTTCTCTAAATGCTCCAAACAAAAATCGAAACCGAGTTTTGCTTTGTCTATATGCCCTTGCTCCGCATAAATCTTGGCCAGTTTTGCCGATATCTGCAAATACAAACTGTCACTTTTTAGAATGTTACTGATCACCATAATGACAAAATCGCAGATGGGAACACAGCATACAAATGAAACAGTACAGCACGACTGTCATATCGAAGAAATTATGTGTATTAAATGCTAAACGTAACGTGTTAAATGCGCATACAGATTCATACTATAATGACTAATAATGCGCTAAAAAGTTTGTAACTGAACGATACCGTCATACAGCCGCCAATTCGCATTCCAACCGCGAATAAATCACTAGTTGTACCAAAGCATTAGTGATTTTGATCTCACTTCAATAACAGCTTCATTATCTTCGGAGCGGCCCGTTGATAATTCCCTCCGTAACACTTCCTTAAAAGTCTCTTCGGCTTTCCGGTATTTCTTTTCCTCGAAATAAATGTTAGCCAGCATGTCGAGAATGTATGATTCAGCTTTGTAATCCTGAATCTGCTTCGCAAAACCCATGGCGATGTGCAGCAAATCTTCCGCTTCTCTGTACAATCCTTCGCGGATTTTCAAAACACTGCGTTTGATATCGAGAATCATTTCTTCGCGTAGTTCATCATGCTGCTGCTGCGTAATAACGGGCGTATTTTGCGACAGATAAATGGCTTCCGCGACGCCTGCCAGAAGAACTCCATGCCTCGCCAGTGCAGGAAAACGAAGCGGCTTCTTATGGCTGAAGAACAGTTGTCTAGCCCCTCTACTTCTGGCTGCGTATACGCGATGTGATGTCCCCGAGAGATTCTGCAAAGGAACGGCTAATCAGCATAATCCTGGCCAGCACACAAATCGGAAAACTGTTAAATAACTAATTTTATGATACGAGTTAACAGAAGTAAGTACGAGCACTGCGACGGTTCTCAATCGTTTTTGCTGTCACTGAAAGCCGTACTAACCACAGAAGGGGCAGTAGTGCGAACTGTAGATGGAATCCGTTTTAAGACTTGCTGGAATACCGAAAATTTGAAAGCTCCGAGCATTTTGAAGCGATCGTGTCCGTGATACAAGCTATAAAGTAAAACTCTATGTCGTTTCCTTGTGCTCACGATTCACCCACACCACCTATTCTATTTTCACACGGGTAACCGCTTAAGGTGCTAGCAAAACTAAAAAGCAAAACTAATTCATATGCCTTATCTTGTACTTCGAGCAGATCTACACTGTAGAACCAAAACAACTTTATAATTTTTATAAACTAGTCACTAGTGTTAAATACAAATCAGCTGTTTCTCATGAACATCACGAAGGTTGCATCACGACCAATTTCTGAATTCTATTGAGGTAAAGTTCATCACGCGGCGGGCGCCTTATTTCCCTAGTAGAGCGGTAAATTAAAAAATACCGGTATCTCATTCCTACTTCCTGGTACAGTACTGCAGAAACTAAAATTTAATGGCATCGGACGATAGTATGATTCGAAGAAGCGTGACATCGGTCAAGCAATAATGTTCACATTTTACAATGTGCGCAACCAGTAAGCTAATAGCTCTGACAACGAGATCATAAGTTGCTAACTTACAGTCTGCAGAACTTGGAAGACATTTACAGAGGTACAACGGTACTTGGGATGAGCTCGTGATCGCCGGCACTCAGAGAATCTGGCGCAAAATTTCATCGGTCAAGCTTTGGATCACGACATAGGTGCTACAGCTAAAACCAAAGCTCAGGAATCGTTATTTATCATATAGCACCGTTGTCTTTCAGTCCGTTGCGATCTTGACCCTTTCGATCTTATTGTACCCGGGACTATGGATTTTCTACTTATGGGTAGCAAAGAATTTGTAATTTATAGGCTGTAGATATTTTGGTGGAGTGGAGCAATAAATCGCAATTAACCAGTAAATTCTTTCACGTCTACGGTTGATTATATATAGCCACTTGATTAAAATAAATATGTAAATATTAATAACAGTCGTCAATAATGAGACATCCCACTTGTTGTTCCTTTCATGAAGAATTTTCTCGGTTCCGAAATAAATAACTGTTAGCCGATGATGATGAGTGCAAACCTTTCGCCTGTTAATGAATTTCTGCTAGCCGTGCATGACAGATACGAGGTACGAAAAACCCATGCTCTTTTCCGCACCTGCATTATCATCTGTTGTAACTTGTAAGCACAACACGCCGCCAGCAATTCCATTTTTAACTTTACGTGAAATGCCGATTCTTAAACTGGTTAAACGTATGTAACGGAGTTACGGAGCACATTATAATACCCTCAGGCATTCTAATTTTTTTAAACGAAACAGGAAAATAACTAGTCGGCAACATGATCAGGCCTGTGCCAATAATGAGTCTGGACGTTAATTATTTCAGCTGCAATGCGTTACGATATAGACTCACAGCGAAGACCACCAGCTAATTTACTGCATCTTTTACGACTGATTTATCTTTACTAAGTTTTTGATGTTCCTTCGAAATCGAACGCTGAGATCATCCTATACATTGCAAATTGCACAATATACGGCAGTAATTTACGCCTTCCTTGGCACAACACTGCGGAAGCTTTTTATTGCCGAAATCGAATGGTTTTTCTTTATACGTACCTGGCCAAGAGGCGCAGTCTTATATGCGCGTATGACCCAAAACTCCGTCTTAACGGGTTTTGGACGCCTTTGGAACCCGGCAATGCGGTTCCGTATTTTCTGATTGAATTATCTATGCAGAATTAGTCGGCATAGGAAAATCTATATTTGTATATCAACTGGTGTTGTAAAATTTCATCGTTTCATTATCGTACCACCATCTGCAAACCATCAAAATGCCCGCAGGTCAAAAGGGTAAGATTTTATGTTAGCCGACTGCTTCCTCGGAATACTGAAGCAACTGCAATTGTATACGTCAGAATGAAACTGCAGTATTAATATTATGCAAGCTACTTTTGCAGAAGTAGGATTCGACGTGGGAACTGAAGATGGGAACGATGGCGATAGGAAAGCACTATTCTGCGAAATGCTGGAGTTGCGGCCGGGTCAATCGGTATGGAGAGAAACCGCTCGGTACGCCAAGAGTTAAGACAACCGGTGATTGTATTGCACGTTTATTCATCCAGGAAGAAGCAGGAAAAATTTCGAGCATAGAAAATTACGGATAAAAAAATTGCCAATTTCATAAAATTGTCGACATTTTACCCTGGATATGTACTGCAACATACATACTCAATCAAGTTTTCGCATTGCAAAAAATGTTATTAAGAATAAAAGTATCTATATGTAGTAACTGTATATCCGTCCGGCGACTGCAGTACGTATGCCATTGCACAAAGATGAGTCGTTTAATTACTATATTTGATTGCTATCTATATATACAAGTATTGCAGCATAGAAAACTTCATTGCTCGCACGATCGTATCATAAACTGCATTACAAAATTGCAGTGGAGGCTTTGTATTGTATTATGGGAAATAAGCAGACTATCTAATATGTATCTTTCCAAAGGGCGGAAATAAGTTTTGAGTTCATGTTAAATAACAGATGGGTGAAATTCGAAGAGGATGTGGAAGAAGATGGCAACAGGTGGTCGAAGCCGTTCGTGGCTTCGCTGTCCATGCACGCCGTGATGGAGTTGCGTAACTGTTTGGCCAAGGGTTCCATCCAGTTGGGTGCTACCGCGCAGTCCCTTAATGAGGTGTGGGGCATGTTGGCAGACGACTGGGTCAACATGAAGCTTATTCCCGGCACTTTGCACGAAGCGGTTGTGGCGACGCTGTCGCAGCCGATTCGACATCAGCATCAGATGGGCGGCTTTCTGGCTCCCAAAAAAGGCGGCGATGATCGTGCCGCTTCACCCATGAAGCGTAGTCAAAGTGCCGACCCCGAATCCGGTCCTCAGACACCATCCATACTGACAACACAGCCGTCTATGGCCAGCACCATTGATGACTTGGCGGCTGCGGATGGTAAACTATCGGTAAAGACTTGAATTGTGCACAATTCTATCGCATAAGCACAAGTACAAAACAGAGTAATTAATGTGGTCGAATCATACAACAATGTCGTTAAAAAATGTCGTTTTCGGGTTTCCGGATAAAATGCATTAGTTCTCGGTTTATTTCCCAGACTAACAAGCGATTTTTCAAAAAACTGCCACCGGGCTGTGAATCCGCGGCTATTCTCGTGGGAGAGTTGGAATTCATTCGGAAACCACTATATGGATTTGTCCAACTAGCCAATCCAATCCAACTGAAAAATCTCGTGGAAGTTCCCACACCCACACGTTATGTTTTCGTGGCACTGGCACCGCGAGCCAAAGGAGGACGCTTCATTCGGGAAGTGGGTCGAACTATGGGAACGCTGTTCTCCGACGCTGTAAGCATTGCATTAGCCAATGACTATAATAACCGTTGTGATATGTATATTACATACATACGTAAGAGAGTGATGAGTACATACATACGTACAAGAGTGATATAGTGATTTCTGTGGTAGTTGTTTCAACACGAAGCTGTGTCAGTGCGTGATCGAGATGACCTTTTAAATGCTGTGGATAATTTTCTGGGATGCACTACCGTTCTGCCACCAGGAGAATGGAATCCAACCATCCGTATTGAGCCACCCACTAATGTGCAGAGTCAAGAAAACCGCATGCAGCAAAAGCATCTTCGTGAAGGTGTACTGCAAGAAGTACCGGAAATCCCACACGAAGCTCACGGTTCGGATATTCGGAGGACTGGCAGGTACTTATTTAATAGCGATAAACAATGGACAGTAACTAATTTAATTGACGTCTTAATTATAAAGCGTAGCATAATACGAAAAACATTTGTTTCTTAAGAATTTGTGGTGGGCTGATTGACGATATCAAGCGAAAATCCAAATGGTACTTACACGATTTCAAAGATGCCCTGCATATCCAAAGTATTGCCTCCATCATTTTTCTTTATTTCGCATCGATGACCCCCTTAGTTACCTTTGGTGGACTTATGAGCAAAATGCTGCACAAAAGGATGGTAAGCCATTGTTATTATTATTACATATCTGTATATTACTACATGGTTTACAACATTACCTACCGTCTTTCAAAATATTCTAGCGCAAATTTGAAAGTACTGTATATGACGTACGTAAGTAATTTTAGGGTGCGATCGAAACCATTATGGGCCGAGCCATTTCCGGTGTTTTCTGGGGATTCACTGCTGGACAACCTATTGTGATTCTCGGTAGTACTGGACCAATCCTCGTGTTTGAGACCATCACATATGAGCTTTGCCAGTAAGTTCTGGGATGCATAAAATGCATTCAAATTAAAATTACGTACTTTACTTGACACCTCTGTATACGAGAAAGGTGTGTATACAACTGTACAGAAACGGTTTGTTAACAATGGATTTTTTCCTCTAGACTCATGGACATAGAGTATCTGAATTTCCGTGTCTGGATCGGCTTTTGGTCGACGTTATTCCTGTTGATTATGGTAATATTCGATCTAAGTTTCCTGGTGGGCTACATTACTCGGTTTACGGAGGAAAGCTTCGCGGCACTGGTGTCTGCTATTTTTGTGTATGAATCGATCAAGAAACTTCTCCACATCGCCGAGGAGCGGCCGGTACAGACCCATCCTGATCGTAATCCGCAAATTGCTCACCTATGTTTTTGTAATGTTACTCGTGACCATCCCAACGCCATATTCACTGGAAACAATCTAATTGTCAATGCGACCCAGAAATATTTTAAGTTTGAAGTGTCCACTTTTAACTTACACGACATGGAGATTGCCTTGCCGTTCAATGGCAGTTATTTTTCCAAGGATGACTGTACCAAGTTGAATTTCACACTGACCGGCATTGGATGCGATAAGCCGTTTTATGAGCCAAATGCATTTCTGTTGTCCGTGTGCTTATTTTTCGGGACGTTTATCATGTCCAGAATGCTGAAAGCGTTTAAATTTGCTCCTTGCTTTCCGACGCTTGTACGCCAAACTGTCAGTGATTTTGCGGTTATTATCAGCATCTTTACGTTCGTTATGATTGATTACCTTCTGGGAATCGACACACCGAAATTGGAAGTTCCAGACAAATTCGAGGTATGCTAAAGCATTACAATTTATAGTTTCCTGGTTTTGCATTCACTTTCACTAATTTAATTTTACTAACTTTTTACTCGCATTAAAAAGACCGCCGGTTGTTCTTAAAGATTGTAATTCAGACAATTTTAAGACGAGTTAAAGCGCATCGCACTGCCATCGAAGGCATTTTGTAACCGTCAGTTTGCCGAAGACTTAAAATTTTATATAACGGTGTGAATCCACAGCTTCAAAAACGTTATTCTCCTGAACTGCGCAATAATTTACTAATCTATTTTCACGACTTAATGGATAATTGTTCTGTACTGCAGCCGACATATTATGGCCGGCAAGGCGAATGGATTGTACCGTTGTTCGGGAATAAAAACGCATGGTGGACAGCACTGCTAGCTGCGGTTCCCGGCTTGCTTGCCACAATCCTGATCTTTATGGATCAGCAAATTACAACGGTAATCGTAAGTCGCAAGGAGAATAAGCTGCGCCATGGAGTCGGTTATCACCTTGACTTGCTCATGACCGCTATTTTAATTGCGTTACTGTCCTGGATCGGTATGCCCTGGATGATTGCCGATACGGTACTGTCGCTCACGCATTCCAGCAGTCTGCGAATGGAATCAGACGTTGCCGCACCAGGAGAACGACCGACATTTTTGGGCATTCGCGAACAACGTGTGACGAATATTATCATTTCCGTTTTAATCGGGGTTTCCATATTTTTAACCAAATTCCTGCAGGTATAGTGTGTGAATAACAGAATAAGTAAATCTATCACACATTATAGGAAAAGAAAATCAGAAGTCTGTACGCATTGCATCATATTTTGTCAGATGATTCCTATGCCGGTGCTTTTTGGAGTGTTCTTATTTATGGGCAGTAACGCTTTATTGGGTTTGCAGGTACGTAGATCTGAACTATAAAATGACGCGTAACGGCCTAAGTGATGTGATATTTAATTGCTTTTTTACTTTCCGTTTCAAGTTCACCGACCGTCTCAAACTCGTCTTGATGCCATTAAAATATCAACCAGATTACGTGTATTTACGACATGTCAAAATCAGCCGAGTGCACCTGTTCACTCTGATACAGCTGCTGTGTTTAGCGCTTCTGTGGGTTCTGAAATCATTCCAGGAAACCGCTATGTTGTTCCCTGTTATGGTAGGAACTAAGATTTTGTATACACATTCGAAAAGCAATTTTCTTCAAGTTTTTTTGCAAATAGTGTATCGCAACTTTATGATTTATTTGAAGCTATATGAGCATGGCTGCAAAATATGACATCTGGTATACAAAACTGTTATACAAAACTGTTATGCCGCACAATATAATTTTCCTAGTACTGTTACAAGTACAAAATTTCTACAAGACAAGAAGGCTGTTAACTGCCATTACATTTCTTTCGCTTAGGTGGGAGCTTTGGTTGGTGTCCGGAAGCTTCTTGACTACATCTTTACCCAAAAGGAACTGAGCTACTTGGACGATTTGATGCCGGAGAGTACAAAGCGAAGAAAAGAGGACAGACGCAAAAGTCAAGATGTGCAAGTAAGCTCGAATAAGCTCTCACGCTTTTGATGACTTGATCCTCCTTTATTATTCACAATTTTAAATAAGCAGGAGCTATAGTTTACCCATGAAAATTTGTCTTTTACCAGTTCTTCAAACCTAACGCGGAAGGTGTTATGCATATTCCGTTACCGAACGGCAACGTCTTGACCGTTCCCATGAGCGAAATGGAGCGGCGCGTGTCCACAGCCATTCGTCCCAACTTTTCCTCGCAAATTCAGGACACGCAGTTATGGAAAAACATCTCGACAGAGGAGATCGATAGAGACGGGAAAAACGGACCACACGCTGTCCGGTATGGATTTAAATAAGCTTTCTACAAACTCCGCTTCTAATTAATTTGTGTTAATTTTGTAGTTGGTCCACACCAACTAGTCCCGGAACCGCGGAAACAAAGAAACTACTTCCATAACTTTGCGGTATTATTGCGCTTCCCGATCGTAAGATGATTTATTTAATGAAATATTTATTTATTTGAAGGATATTTGTGAATTGTGACTGTGTATCTGTGAATCTGGTTCCCGTCAAAATTGTTTTAAAAGAGATGTGTTTATTTAAGTTGTGAAACGGGTAGTCAAGTATTTGCATGTACGAATAGTACGTGTTACAGTTCGCATGAATCAGTGCGTTAAACATCACTGTGACACTATTCTTTGTTCAGTGGATCGTATAATAAAGTTTACATGTTCTTTGAGTGCTGTACCTGATGAATCTACTGTTATCTAAAGTTAAACTTCCTTTTCCTTACCGATTTCTTAACCAAATGTGCGAAAAACAACATAACCAAGATGACCAATATACATAAACAGAAAACAGCCCTTGTCGGCATTTATCTGCAGTCCAAACCGGCGTCCCACAATGACATGCCATTTGCACGCATAACTATCAAATTTTTCTAAAGCAGATCGCAGCAGCATGGCAATGCCTTGGTCATCAATGAATTTACTGTGAGTGACCTTTGCAATAGTTACCACTGTATTCTCAATTTCCGGTGGTACATCTTTAACGCGAAACACCGGGACAATGGTCGTTGGACTGAGCCATGATTCCAGGTTACAGTCGGGCGATACGGTCTCCGTAAAATAATTGATGACCCCTTCCAGCGCTGTCGGATCTAAGTTAGAACATTATTTTAGTGAGTTAAGCGGCGGTTTTATAAATCAATAAGTGCGCTTACATCCCGTGCCAATTCTCTGCAGTTTTGCTTTGCCAGTTTTTCCCGGTTGGTATTTCTCACCGGCGACGGCCACGGACCCCTTTCTTTTCTGTCCCGGATCTCGCAGTTTTGTAGCATCACTGCGCTTATCCGTCTTGATTTCGGATGGACGATGTCCAACCATGTCCCGCCACTGCCGATCCAGTTTATCCATCGTCTCGTAATAATCCCCGTACTCGAACTGCTCATCGGCTTTCAAGGCTCCTTCGAACTTTGGCTCAGCCGCGGTCATGCGCCTGTTGACCGCTGGCATGGCATTGCGATCCTCCATTTTCGCTTTCGGTAGTCCGGCTCGCATTGTGTTCAGCGTGGATGTCGTAATGTGTGTAATTTGCGGTTGGGCCCTTCCAGTTCCCGGTGTTCCCACGGGCACGGCGGTGGCTTTGGGTTCCTTTCGCATCGGAATGGACTCTAGAAGCTGTCCGCTGACCGGATCGACAGCCTCCCAGGGCTGCAGTCCGGCTTTGATTTCCATGGCTTCGCTTTTGTCCGCCACTTGCTTGGAATCATCCGCGCCATACCGTAGACGGATGGCATTCAGGCGTTTCTGCAACGTACCGGAAAGTTCCTTTTGGAAACTGTAGACGAATTTCTGGGGAATGGCCAGAGATTTTTGCATATTATACGGGTCGAACATTTTGTATTCGATTGGATTGATGACCTCGCCGGGTGCCAGTTCTGGGCCCTGGTCCTTCTCCTTTTCTTTGCGGGCCTTTGGGACATTTTCGTCTTCTTCTTCCGCCATTTGGAAAAATTAGATGATCCGCTTTTCTCAGCGCAAACACAACGATTTATTTATTATGATGTTCGTCATAGGCACTCTAAAAGCCCAGTGAACACTTTTTATCCTGTCACTTCATCGTTGTTTGTAGTTCATTAAATTTCGATGTGCTTTGCTGGATGTTTTGGGATGACATTTCCCTAGACGAATACAGCACTTTGAATGAATATAGCACTTTGACACAATTAAACGCTTACAGTACTGTAGTTGTAAAAATGCGATGTTTTCACAAATTGTTTTCTGAGTGACTTGCACGCGTGTGCTTAATTAAACTGTGCCATAGTAACAGACTGATCGCGCTGAGACTTGCTAGCTTCGACTTTGTTTAACGGTGTGGTATAACCACTAATCCAACAAGCTTCAAACCACAAAAATTTCCGGCTTTGTTTGGTTACAGACACAAAAATCATCCAGATCATTCTAGAATTTCTTTCTTTTAGTCTTAGCAGCACCAAGTTTCCTTTTGATTTTGCGCTGAACACCAAGAGATTCCTCCGTATCCCCTGCTTCATCATCGTGCCCTCTTTTCCTTCCAAATTTCTTCTTGTCATCCATTTCTTTCATTTCCTGTCGGGCATGGCGTTGAGCTTGTGCGACACGTTCGGCCAAAATCATCACTTCCTCTTCGGTCGTTTCGTATAAGGGAAGTTTCTTTCCCAAAAGGTATTCAATTCGCTGGTACAGTTCCACGTCATACCTACAATGAAACAACAAACGCATGCAGCAGCAAACTTGCAAGTTGATAAAAAAGCGGAAAACACAAAAAAATCGACGGAAACACCAAGCTTCCATATCAGCGCAAACTTTGGCAACGTAGCAAAAAAGTACCGTAAGTACCGCACAAACAGAAAGGTACAGCACGTACTGGGTCACAAGGGTGATAGCTTTCCCAGCACGCCCGGCACGCGCCGTCCTACCCACTCTATGGATATAATCCTTGGAATGAGTAGGAATATCGTAATTAATAACAACATCGACATGAGGGATATCCAGGCCACTGAAAAACCACTATATTATTCATTTATGTCTAATTTTCGTTAACCGCATTCGAATTTACCGACTGGCAACATCCGTCGCTATTAGAATTGACCGACTTTTTGCCTTGAACTTATTCAGAGAACCCAGCCGTTTGTTCTGTAAAATATAGAACGCAAATTAAATAGCAGTACACACAGGAAAAGTTACGCAAATTGTACGCACAAATTGGCAAAACAAAACACTTCAAACTTAACATACTTGGCTCATCTGACCGTGAAGAGGGATTGCCATCAGACCTAGGTTACGCAGCATCAGGGCTATTCTTTGCGTCGTATTGCATGTGGCACAAAAAACCATAAACGAGTTCCCGGCCATTTCGTTCAGGATATGGACAAGGTAGACATCCTAAATCAGAATCAGAACATAAACTTTTCAGCAGTAACAAAAAACTCGTATTCCCAAAGGCTCACTTTGTGTTTCATCGGAATAAATATGTAACTCTGGATAAGTTTATCGACAGTCTGGTATTTGGATGAGACTTCAACTTTTACTGGATCTTGCAAAGATGCGCGCTGCAGTTTTGCCACCTAAAATATTGAGAGTTCACAGACTGAACTATATCGTACAGCAGATGCTTTTGCTGTATGCCCAAACTTGCCTTGCTGGTCATTGTGGCCGAAAATAAGAAAGTTCGACGTTCTCGGGGAACGTTCTCCAGAATTTTGTTGACCTAAGCAGAACATTATCCCAAAACTTCAAACCTCTAAAACTCCTAATTCATGTTGCTAACCTAATCAACCACACAGATTACATAAAAGAATACGAAGAAACATAAATGAAAGGTAGTAGTTAAACATCAAGAAACCTGCCTCGGTTTCGAAATCCATATTGAGGATACGGTCAGCTTCATCCATGACCAAATATTTAAGCGACTTCAAATGGAAGCCTTTGGTATTTTCCAAATGATCGACTAAACGCCCAGGAGTAGCTGAAAAGAGAAAGATATTCAACTTACCGGTTAGCAGATTTAAGACAGTACTTCTGTACCAGCCTGACATAAAAAAAGTAGGAATTATTGTGTTTTTGTACAAAGTCTTACCGATAATTATGTGTGGCTTTTTGGCCAAGGTAACTGCTTGAGACACCATATCAATTCCACCCACAATAACGGCTGCAAACATGCAAAGCAACTCAGCAATGTCGGATATTCTTGAAATATTTAATTAACTACTTCAATATTGTAAAGTTGAAAAATGGACAAATATTTGTTTGGATACAATTTATCCCACCAGAATTTAAGAAGCTTACCACACTGGACTCCAATCGCTGCTCCCAGCGCTTCGAACTGTTCGCTGATCTGGATTGCGAGCTCTCTTGTCGGTGTCAGAACAAGCGCATATAATCGCTGCTTATCATTCAATAAACTCTGTAGGATGGGCAAGGCGAAAGCACCAGTTTTTCCGGATCCAGTCTCCGCCAGTCCAATAATATCACGCCCTGCAAAATCGACCGAAAACTAGCAGCATCCGTCAAAATTTATCACACTTCACAAGTGATTTATTCTTACCTGCTCAATAAAGTATTAGCACTTTTAGCGTACTTAATGAAAAGGATCAGTTTAAAGCAGATGCCAAAGACTGGCTAATCATCACTTACATAATAATCGCGTAAGCCTTAACGAAATTCCCACTCTGTCGAGTTCGCCAGCCCGGTTCACTGAACCAAAATCCCTTGCCTACATGTCATTCGATAGCCTTTAGTGTGCAGATCTGCCATCGCAAGTCAGTTTTTAGAGAAAAACAAATGTTTGAAAGAAAACTTTTAAAAACGTTAACATATGAAGCCTATAGGAAAAGTCAAGGATCCACCACTGCAAAACCAACCATTCCACCACTGTCTCGACAGCCGTTCTCTGCTGGGTTCTCAACTTTGATGTTCTTGATTCATGATCACGTAGTATTCCGTAATCTTGAACGAATTAATAAATTTTTCATTAATAGTTGCCTCCAAAAAAAGTAAGATTTCAGAAGGAAGACCTAACAAAGTCTTCGAGTATGGAATTTGCTTCTCAAGTAGCTGTCGTTTGCAGTGGTTTGACCAGATTGAAGTTGCAATCTTCCACGGGCGGCTGCCATTGTTACTGATTTCAGGAATTGCCTTTGAAAGCAAAAATTTACTTACCAGAACTAATGAGTATTTTAATTTGTTTTCAGTGGAAAATAATGTCCGAGAAGGTCACATTTTTAGTTTATATAACAGGAAGCTTGCAGCCGCACATCCCTCATGAGCCCGGTTTGTTAACTCTACAGTTAATGAGTATTAACTGCAACGAAAGCTATCGCTAAGATATTTCTATGTGAACGACACCTTAGCGGTCGGTAGGCGAGAATTGCAGTAAACCAAAGTGGGATACTCTGTTATTGAGAACACAGATTTTTGCGAAACCTGAAGCAAATTCTTCACTTTCTCAAAGAAGGCGGAGCCGCAGGCGACGCCGAGCTGCGACGCGAGCGGAGCTCGCGGAGCAGCAAGCAAGACATCTTCCTTTACACTTCGAGGTTAACAACTTAGCGCTACACTGAAATTAGAAACATCGCGGCTTAGCGCGCGATGGTAAAAATGAGAAAATAGCATGAATTGTATTTAAATTACTTACGGAGCTTCTATTTTGCAACTCAGTTAAAAAATTATGGCTCTTTACTGTAATGGTGAGGAGGATTACTTCAGAAGCTGAAGTCAAAGCCGGCCCTTTTTCGGGAAAATTAAGTACATAGCAGTAAGTTTTGCACGGAAATATTTATCGCTCGTTAATTTTATTCCGCGCAATTTGCTCTGAGTCAGCTATAATATACCGATGTACAGCTATGTACAACGAATGTTTCCGTTCCGTAATATTGATTTAGCTGGGGAAATTAGTATTTACTATCAATACTTGGCGCAAAACAGCTAAAACTTTTAAATGATTTTAGTATTTACTTGATCGGAAAAAAGAAATAAGAAATTAACGGCACTACTTTTGTCGATCACTGTCTCTTGGCAAAATCCCCCCAAATCGAAGATACGAAGCTTTAACTGAATCGTAGATACGAAATGACTGCTCACTGCATTATAAAGGTTTAAGAAAATCGTAAGATAGAAAAATTAACAAAGGAATGGATGGGATATGGAGTAAGCGGAAACTAGCACTCTCTTCGGTATACTGTGCAATGCAATCAGAATCAATAGGCGACATTAGACTTATTTATACAGTAGTTTTCGCTCAAGTCTTGATAGTCGTTAAATTAAGAATACTGTTTTGGCCGCATGAAATATATACCGCGCAATTTGCGCGGGGTCTACTAGTTCTAGAATATTTACGCACCCGCTAATGCCAAGGGAAGAGCTTCCTGCTGAATTTTCGTAGGAGATTTCCAGCCCAGTCTTTCACAGGCTTCGCAGAAGACATCAATAATCCCCTTTAATGTAAAAAACAATTCCGTGATCTTGCTTGTAATGAGAGCAGCAAAGCAAGTTCGGAACTGTGGCTTACCAGTGCAGCGAAAGTGGCATCCCCCGAGCCATTGTCACCATCCAAATCGACTTCACTGGGGGTCGCAACTATAGCATCGATTGAGCTGTCCACGGGGCTCTTTTCCTTTGCAGGTTCCTCAGAAGGTTCGCTGGCGGTAGCAGAACCCACAGATAAGTCTTTGGTCTTTGAGGATTTCTTTTTACCCATGACTACACACACTAAACTATCTCAAAACATCTAACGCTGTCCTATTCCACTGACTGAAGCAATCCTTATCACACCTTAAAAGATATAACAAGAGTTACAAGTCTACCAAACTTATAAAGTGCTCTGGAGCTCTATGAGCGAGAATTCAAAAATAATCAGCAACCGGAATATGTAGCAAATTAGCAATAGCATAGAGAATGACAGTAGTGAGGCGAGCGCATAGTCTGCCGGAGACCCATAACGCGCAAACGATGCCCCCACTTTTGTTACGAGTATAAAATTTTTGTTAATGTTTTATTTAACTTTTTCAACTTATTTCTTAAAAACTTTTACAATAATTAATGCATTTTTATGCGGGCTTGAGATTTAAAATTTGAAAGTCTCTGATCCAGCGCTTCATTCATGCCTTGTTATGAACCAAACCGAGGAATATACTGATTCCCCAAACCCGCTGGTAATGGTTCGCAACGATACAGGTCAGTTCCGCGATGACGTCACCGGCTTATGTTCGTTTTTGGTTTTGCACTATTTGCAGCTTTTAAAATTGCTTTTTGCTTTATTTTCTGTGGAAGTTTTGTCCATACCTATTCAACTAGGAGTTATTTCACTTATTTGTATCTATACTGTATCGAGTCTATACTAATTACGCGTTCATTTGATCGGGATAAACTCCTTGCGTTGTAGTTTGTGCCATCTGCCAGTCACTTGTCTATATTGTGGCATTGTGACTTATCGCTGAGAGTCTCCAAGAGCGAAGATACGTAATCAAACTGACCGGGATTCTTAAATCTTGAATCGTTGATTATGGCTAAACATCATCCAGATTTGATTTTCTGTCGGAAGCAGCCTGGAGTAGCTATTGGACGTCTGTGTGAGAAGTGCGATGGAAAGTGTGTGATTTGCGATTCGTACGTGAGACCGTCAACGCTAGTGCGGATCTGCGACGAATGCAATTACGGTTCTTACCAAGGCAGATGTGTGATTTGTGGAGGACCTGGCGTTTCAGACGCATACTATTGTAAAGAATGTACCATTGTGGAGAAGGACAGAGACGGATGCCCAAAAATTGTCAATCTTGGAAGCGCAAAAACGGATCTGTTCTACGAGAGAAAGAAATATGGGGCCAAAAAAACGTAAATAAGACTCACGGCAATAATTAATAATAGACGATTTAGCTTTTGATTTTGTGCGAATAACACCGGTTTTACTAGTTATGTGATCGGGAATTTTGTTTAAGATATGATGCACGGGTACGAAAATGAGGTAAATTTGCAAGGAAATAATAAAATGCTTTTCCTTTTGCAGGTACTAACGTTTGTGGTCTTGGAGGAAAATATTTTCAAATATTACGGTACAACGATAATTGTTGTTGTTCCTCCAAGGTTGCCATTGATTTGCTGAACGTACGTGCGAGGTTGTATTATCATCCATGAACCCTGTCTCATGGTCAATAAATTCAATCTTCACTGTGCACATTCTGTTTACAATTTCTGTTTTTTTCACTATTTTTTTCCTGCGATGGATTCTTATCCGTCACATTGTAACAGTAAACAAGTTTGGACGTTCTAGACTCAATCTAGAGTTTTGATTGAATGGTAAATTCGTAATGAAAATCTTGTATTAATCTTCAACGTGCAACAATTAGCGATCACGGTAGCTTGTCTGCCTTGCGATTTTACTCTGGCGCATTCCTAAAATCCACCCAAGTCAAAATTTAAAATAAATAAAAATCGAAAAATACCATATGAAAACAGCATGTTAATCATATTTTTTCTATAACGAGAAACCGTACAACTTTGCGACAGACCAAAACTGAGAAGTAAATCTGGAAAACCGGTAGCACCACAAATCACGATGATATTCATATGGTCATTTGGCGGTATAATACTTTGGCACACTTTTAAGTAGCAGTCAGATTATTAGATCAAAAGTTATCTTTGAATCCCAATATGTCATCCGACGAACGAAATTTCCACTCATCTTCGCGTAGCACACGTTCGGCTGTTTTGCGCAGCTCAACCATCAACGTCTGGAACTCTTCGTCCAAGACTTCAGCAACTGCGGCAGTGGACATGGCGATCTTGTCAGAGCGGTACTGTTTTGGCGTTTTGAGCATCAAGGCTTTGTCGAAGTTTAAGGCAGTCACCGGTGTGTGCCGCTCATGTGGGCGGGCTTCGACCAAGGATGCTCGATAAACGGTTAAGCCGGGCGTAGTGACCGGAAGTGATGATCCAGCCGACGACGAAGTTGCGGAAATATCTGCCGATGCAACATGCTGTATTGTACTAACTGCTTGACATTAATCCAGAAATACTGCACAATGTACACTATCTACAAAAGTACAAATAGATCTCATGTATAGAGCTACATATATCAGTAATAAACTTATAAATAGCGCAATATTCTGAATAACATTCTCGCCAGATTAACCGGAAAATGCTACGAAACTAAATGAAGAATAGCGATATATTAAATCGTACAATACCAAGTTATGTATTTATAACTGCAGGTACTTATGGTTAGTGAGTTCGTATTTATATTTACGAGTACAGATATAACAGTATTGTCAGAATCTGATACGAGTACAGTAAAATTTAATGCATGATAAAACCATGGCAAACTGAAACGCTGAGTAGTATTTGATATGCCATGATAAAACGGTTTATTTAACGAATCTGACCAGTTAGTGATTTTATTTTACGCAATAGACGGCAGATAGAATATATATAGATATCAAAACTAAATCAAGTTCACAGAACTGAATTATTGTGAATTTATGATAGCCCGATACGATATACGTGCAATAGTTCTGTAAGGCAACGAAAATCTGTTAAGTATATTAGTTATTGAATTGCACTCGTACCCATACTGTTGTTAAGTCGAGGATGAGCTTCCGATGATCCGACAGAGGCGACAGGCGTATCCATGCTTTTCCTGTGGCTGGGAACACTGGACAGACTACTCTAGTGGCCAGTGGGTAATTAAGAAGAGGAAATGCACCGGTACGTATAGGCAGTCAGCTATCCCAAACGATAAATACGAGAAGTCACAATTTTACACTTGTCAAATTTTGTAACTAGCTCTGACAGATTACAATCCTTAGACCCAGAAAATATATATTAAAATACCAGGCAACTGCTGCGAATACTTTATTCTGAAGTCTTTAGAATAGTAAAACTGTTGCTGCTCTGAAAATATTTCGCGTACCGTCAGTTCAGTATTGTTGGTCCAACTTGGTTGTAACTGGTGCTCAGGGACGTTCCTTGTACCGTACGTAGTACAACAGCACAGTAGACGCAGTTTTAAACTATTACGCTCAAGTTTGCACAGTACGCCTTTACTGTACTTATTAGTACTTTAAAACTTTAAAGTCAACGTGCGCCGATTCATCCTCCGTCCATTGTTCACTGCTCGGATTTGTACGAAAGGCCAAGGAACAACCTGCTTATGAGGCGACGCGCTTGAGCGAGATTCACATTGCGGTTTTTTGACCACCCGTGCCTCATCATTGTGCCTTGATCTGACCGTTGTCCTTACGTGGTCGACAGCGGTGTTGCTGGTGCGTCTAATGATCTAATGATTCTAATCGCTCGTTGCCACTTGCGATTTTGTAAAAATTTCGTATAGGCTGCAATAATACAATTACTTATTGAATTTTTATAGTATGACTACTACTGTGCTCGGTTGGTACTCGCATGCAAAATCCATGTTTTTTTTTTAGACTGACTGACCAGTGTCAAACAAATATGGACAATACAAACTAGAGCGAAGCATGCAATGAAAGCACCGTAGTACTACAAGTAACTTATTGTGCAACGCAATGTCGGCAAACGATAGTTATGGTTTTTACTTATGAAAACTGCTCCGAACTTATGAAAAGTACGAAGGACAGTCTACGGTATTGCATTAAAGGTGATTTATTTATAATATTGCTGAATCAATTCAAGTTTTTGCATTCGCATCTTCGAAAATCTGGCCAGGGTAGAATTTTGCAGTCTGGAACTAGCTTGCCGGGCAAGCTGAAAAAATTGCAAAATTGCGGGCAGACTGCAAGATTCTCTGCGCTAATGCGCGCTACGTTTTTTAAAAGAATACTGTACATGTAATGCATTTGTTCCTGGCTTGCACTAGATCATGAACGCCTGGATTTCTGCGGGAAAAAGAAATAACTGTTAATCTGGCTCGTCTCAGCAGAAGCAGCAAGCCTTCTAGTCAGTTTATTATACGTAAAATAAATTTCAATCTTATTAACATCAAAAATTACGATTTGTGACCTAACATGAAAACTTATTTTGCGAGCCCATTCGATGGGCAAGCGCGAGCCGCCGGGAGAAGGAGTTACGTTTGGAAACCAGTTCGCTCTTTTTGCACAAAAATTAATATAAATTTTTCTTTTCAGTGATATCGTTTTCACAACTTCTGATCAGCACTTTTATCGCGTAACAAAGCGTACGCCTTTGGTAGAGAGCAATCCCCGTTTACCAACAGCAACATTTAACTAACTAAAAAGTTTGGAAGCAGGAGCAAGATGTCACTGATGTCGGTCCGAAGGTTTCTTACTGCATTTAGTACAACCAAGCCTTTGTTTTCATGTTTGTATACCACGCAAAACTCGACAGTAGAAACCATTTTTGCTTTGTCATCTGGGAAAGGACGAGCGGGAGTCAGTGTGATCCGCGTAAGCGGTCCACAGGTTTGCACTGTGCTGTCACAGATGATCACGAAGAAACCTATCAGCACAATCCGTCCTCGAACGGCTTACCTGCGCATGATCTCTCATCCTGTGAGCCACGAGCCTCTGGATAACGGAGTTGTAATGTACTTCAAAGGTACAGTACCCTAAGCCTGTAAACTGCTCCTTTTGTATGCTCCATTTACTTTTTATCGTAATCGTATACGGTAACTGAGTCACATACTGTATTTGCTCAGACTAAGCAGACTGTTTTCCTTATTATTTTGGTTTGGGGAGATGGTTATTACTCATTGCATATTCTGCGTATGAGAGTCTTGCCAGTAATGCTACGGTAGTTACTCATGCTGATTACTTTGTTGGCATCTGTGGTGTAATTGTAGGTCCGCACAGTTTTACAGGCGAAGATGTTGCGGAGTTCCATGTCCACGGTGGAACGGCGGTAATCAGAGGAGTTCTCAGTGCCTTGAGCACATTTCCACGAGTTCGGCCAGCGGAAGCGGGCGAATTTACAAAAAGGTAGGCCTGAGTGCATTAATGCTTACGTGCGTTTCACAGCTGTTAAGGCTGGATGTCGTGGACAATGTCGTGCTCGTATTTTTAAAGCAATAATAGAACAATTAAAATGTAGAGAATCTATTGTGTTTTTTAACACTAGAGTATGAATGACCGCTCCCACAGCGTAAGTAGCTGCGAATGCAGTTTACGAATGCAGTCAGTTTCCACGATAAGTATGCTTAAATAATACAGATTACGAAATTATTTTTTTTTTATTTTAAAATAACAGTTTACATTCCTTTCCCATTTTCCGTTCCTTCCATTAAAATTAGCAGTCTTCATTCCCTTCCGGTTGAATGTCCAATTTAAATTCCTTTTTTTTTCTTTGCAATTTTGAGCATACATTAGCCTTGTGTTTAGAGCGTTTCTCAATGGAAAAATGGATTTGACCGAGGCGGAAGGTGTGGCGGACTTGATCCAGGCTGAAACTGAGGCGCAGCGCAAACAGGCTTTACGCCAGATGAATGGGGCTCTTTTGACAAGCTATGCTAATTGGCGAGAACGATTACTTCAGGTTTGTTTCTTCCCAGTGTAACCAGGTGTTGTGTTTTTTTTGCTAACTCGTATAAAATCGATCAATTTACGTTTTAATTTTGTTATAAAAACTCTCTAGTTATGTTATTTATGTGAGTATTTGGGTTTTCCCTAAGTCGTTGTTTATTTGCATTTGGTTAGTGAGATGTGTTTGTTTCCTCTAACGTTTCAGTGTGTATGAGTAAGTTCTGTTTATTGTATTTATTCCAGTAGGCTGTGGCATTCTTAGAAGCGCATATTGACTTCGGAGAGGAGGAAGAGCTGGAGCCAGATATCATCGAAAAAGGTGCCAGCTTACATAATCTAGCAATGTAGAGCTTAGATTTTAGAATTCTGTTTTGTTAACGGAATATTTGAGCTTGTTTCGGTATTGCTTTTGTATTTTTTGCTCTTCAGTTTAATAAATTAGTGCTTTTTACAATAATTAATGCTTTCTGTTAGTGAAGGGTATGGTGAGTGTGGTGGAACACGAGCTCTTGTCCCATTTAAATGATCACCGGAAAGGCGAAAGATTGAGGAATGGAGTCTCCATAACAATTGTCGGCAAGCCCAACGTCGGAAAAAGCAGCCTTTTGAATTTTCTTTGTAAGTTTGTTTTTCTTGTAGTTGTGAGAGTGAACGAGGTTTTGCTGGGTAGCTGTCTTTATTGCTTGTGGGGCTTATACTGTAAGAGTTCGAAAATAAGGGGTAACTCATTAATCACGTGGAGCTGGTAGAAGTGAGACTCATATTAGAAAATGAGTCTCACAGAGATGGAAAATTACAATGTTTTTCGTTGTAGCCCCGTAAATACTTTTCTAGACGCTATTTGAATTGCGCCTAACTTGTCTGCATGCTGGTTTCAAATGCATTATACATTTTTAGTTATGTCCAATACTCTGTGGCATATTATGCAATTCGTTTTTTAGGCCAAAGGCCGGCGGCCATAGTTTCTCCATTACCGGGAACCACTCGGGATATTATAGAAACTGCGTTGGATTTGGCGGGTTATCCGGTATTATTATCGGATACTGCCGGACTGCGTGAGACAGCCGATATTGTTGAAAGCGAGGGCGTGCGCCGTGCCCTCCGCCGTGCTGAAGAGGCTGATCTTCTGATCCTCGTAATACAGGCGGATGAGATCCCTTTGGATGGGAAACTATCCGGTTTAATGGACGATGCCGGGAGTAAAGCTGCTTTGATATCCTTTGGATTAAACGCTCCACAAAATCAGAAAGTAAACGAAGCGTAAAGTTGTTGGCTCTTATATCTTACAATAAGACATTTTTTTGGTACGTGGTTCGTAAAAAATTATAATTTTTGAGTACACACTATCGTATCATGGGAAAATGTTGAATATTCAATACGCGATGCATCCTTTTGTATTCGTTTCAGCTTCTTAAGTAGTTATTTACAAATGTGTTCACTGAAGTTATTTTAATTATGATAATTACGCATTCGAAGTCTTTTGCGGCAAGGTTTAAGGATTCATGAGTTCTTGGCATTCGACACGGTTCATATTAAATACTGTATTAATTTTCTCAGTATTCGTACGGTACATAGAGCTGAACATAACCATATGTGTATATTGTACATAATTATACGTACTTATAATTATGTGTATGGCTCACATATTGCACTTTTGTGGACGTCTTATGGTTAGCCGTTAATTTTATCACTGAAATCTCATTGATGAAATGACCCATCTTTTCTTGGGCTATTTGGTGTAATCTCATTTTTATAATTTTGTCTTACTAGGTTATGGTGATTGTTAATAAGTGTGATCTCTTACCTGAAGAAACTGCGTACAGTCTGGCCCAGTCCTTTCCCAGTGCGTCGTTCATTTCCTGCACCAGTGCTATGGGAATTGATGGATTTCTGGAAAAGTTGAGTAACGTTGTGGCGGAATTATGCGGCAATCCGAGTGTCGGCGAGGCAAGTCTCACACAGCAGAGACACAGGGTGAATTTGGAGCAGTGTGCGCAGCGGTTGCGTCGCTTTTGGGAATTGATGGCCATTGATGATGTAACCTTGTGCGCCCACGAATTACAGCAGGCGCTGATCTGCATCGGCAAAGTAACGGGGAAAATTCGTTCCGAGGAGATTTTGGATGTTATTTTTCGCGATTTCTGTATAGGAAAATAATTTGGGAGCTAGCTACATAATGATTTTTTAAGATTAAGATTTCGTTATTCTTAATTTGTACTAAATTTTTTCTTGTACATTGTTTATATCGGTTGTTTATTGTTTTATCGCAGTAGTGTTTGCATCCACAAAATGTAGGATGTTAAATTGTTGGAGTTAAGAGTAAGAAAGAATAGTGATCATACATCAGCTTACTCTGTTTCGCAGTTTGTTGCATGTTTTTCACAGTCTTCGTGAACGGTTCCATCAATGTAAACAGATTTATTACCGCACTTTTCGTGACAGCCTTGTTTTCGCGAGAAAGTATCGTAAAGAGTTGTCCACAAGCATGCTTTTAAAACGAATGTAAAGAACATTTATAACTGAACGACTGACATTTAGACCATTGCGAGCGTTTCTTGCATGCTTCCATTACGCAACTACTGGTCAGCTTACTGCTCATAGCGTCGTGACCTTGCCAGTTGTTGTTGTGTTGTTCGCCGGTTAGGCTTCTCTCCCAAGATTGAAATACGCTAGAGTATACGCATCGTAATTGCTTTATGAATAGCCGTTGATCAGCCGGCACATTGCGTGCGCTGCTGTGGCTAGGAGAGTGGAATGTTTTTCTTTGGGATAATTATTGGCGACCGGTTATAAAAGTTCGCGGCTTGTTCGCCGTCAGTGTGAAATGTAAGCCAAAAGACTCCAACTAAGACCTGGCACGCTCTGTAACGAGCTAGTCTGCTCGTCTGAATGACGAACTGTCAAGTGTATACCGCCGGAGAAGATTAAGCGTTGGACCCGGCGCGGCTTTATACACCGGCAGCGCATCAATCTTGAACGAGTTTTTTTTGCTCCGTGCTTGACACTAATTATGAAAAGCGTTCTCGCATCAGTGAAGAAATTGCTACAGTTGCACCAAATGTATGCACACTTTATTACGCAGACGTGAATTATTGTTTCGGTAATCGATCCGAACGGATTTGACACTTCATATTTACAGGAAACAAAAAAACCAATACGTATGCACTTGCTTTAATGTGCTCTTCAGCCACGAGGATCTGCATCAACTTTGATGGTCAAGAAACTGTTTTACATGTGCTTCTGTGGGACTGTATAGTTACCCGCGATTAGTTCGTGGCTGTGCAACTACTGTCAGATGAATTATTTGTTAACCATACTTTTATCGATACATACGTAAAATGGAAACGATATTCCGGCGAAGCCGAACATTTAATTAAAACTGTACTCAGTCAATTTACATACTTGGGACGTTTACTGTACATGTTTCACCTTATTGATTCTTGCATCAGCGCACGTGCACAAACTTCAGACTCATTTACTTACTTATTAATTTGTCAGATGCATGGTAACAACACCTTCGGATTTTCAGGCGATCAAACTTTGAGTTAACCTGATAGAATTACTTAAAAGAGCCGCTTACCACAAAGTTGTTGCTAAACTGCTAACCGTCATATGCTCGTAAAATTTTCTTATAGTTTTGTCTGTCACTACCTGGCTGTTACAGGAGCGATCGAATTCAGCTGAACACATCGGCCAAACCTTATTTATTTCGATGGAAAAAACCTCAAGGACTGATTTAATTGCACTTTTCAAAACTAAAACTTGAGAAGGCTTATGAGAAGCTTTCACAATTCGAAATCCTTTGTGCTGCTCATTTGATAGCATTAATTATCGTTCATTACGTACTGTACTTGATCTTGCACAAGTACTACGGGTAGTAGTAAAAACCATTATCACCTGCTCGCGACTGGAATTCGTTTCATTTAGACCAACAGACGAACTAATAACCATCAACACACCGCGTATCTTCGTGTAAATACACCGGCCGAAAAGAAAAAACAAACACAGAAAACAATTTGAAAAAAACATAAAAATTTACAACTAACATCAGAGGTTTCAGAACTGAAAAATAATCTGAAAACTGAGGTTGTAATGAAACAACGACCGTGCGCACAAATCACTTTTATTACGAGTGTATCTGTAACACACGTTTTCTGGTAAAAAGATCTGATTCCAAAGAAGCCGTCGCAAATGTACAATGGCAAGTTGCAAACAGGAACTATCCGTCAAAGCATTTGTAGCTGCCTGACCGAGCGCTGCTAACATTACATGTACTATTTGAGGGAGAAACGAAAAAACAAATCTAAAACGCATCAACAAAGACAGAGCGGGAAGATCAATTCCCAAGGAAGACACGGGGTACAAATAATAACTTTCTTTCTATTCCAATTCACAATAAATGTTGGGAAATCTGCGGTGGGTGCCGGGCCCTTCCATAGACGCCATTTTTACTTGCATGGAACTTGGTTCTGTACGGGCGCCGTTAAGGATCCTTTCCGACTGGGCGGGGTGAGTGTGATCTGCGGCTCACGGAATTTAAAACGCTTGGTGATAATTCCAACGGCGTTCTCTTTCTCGTTGGATGTTATCTGATGGGGACGCCGGGATGGCGGCGAACTGACAGGATCCACCGTAACACTGCTGGACAAGGCCGAATCCGTTTCCACGGACACATCCGGACCACCACTGACGGTGATGATGGCCGGCATAATTTGAATCAGCACTTCGGAGTGCTGCACTTCTAGAATTTCAGCTTTGGTTATGGTAGAGGAAGATACCGGCTCAGGTTGATCATCTTTGGCTGGAGGATTGCTGATCCAAGGATGTCTCCGGCAATCATCGATAGTCATGCGGCCCCTGTCAACCACAATACATTGTACTGCATCCGAAACAATACTTTTATTACGTTGACAATTCACTGCCCACCGTCAGCTGAATGCTAAATCAATACACACTCAAAACACGGATTAACACAAGTCGTGAAACAATTCTGAATTTACGGTATGTCAATTCTACTCTTCCGCAAACAGTTATCCAGTAACCCCAAACTATTTCATTTAAAATTCAATCCACTGAGCGCAGCCAACCTTGAAAACTTAAAAAAAGTGCTTCTGTGGAAGCATAAAAATATAGTAAATTAGTGCACAAGCCTTGCATTATTTAAGTCTATTCATTTACGATAATTCTAGCGGAAACAGGGAAGTAGTAACAAAAATATTAACAGCAAGATATGCTAACAGCATAATTTATACATTCCAAATGAACAAAGGAACGGCCAAAACTAATTAAAGATTATGCAGCAATACGAGATTAATGTAAATACAGAGCTTATCACGCATGGAAATGCAATTCAAACTGCATATTGACTGCTGCATCAGCAAATCTAACTACACAGTGCACACACAAGAGTATTGAGATGCAACTGGCTGCAAAAGAGCGAGATTCTCGGCGGTTTCGTAATAACGCAACATGACACTTAAACCCCTGCATTGTATTCTTCGACCTGACCGCTCTTGTCAGAGCCTATAAAGAAAAATAATCGCCCTGATGATGTAATCCCCAATAAGCGGAAGATACATCCAACTAAAAGACGCTATCGATTTTCGCAGCTGCTCTTATATAGCAATTTCAGCACATTTCTCAGTGCTTTTCGTTTAACAATATTTCGCTTTAATCAGCATCCTGGCACATGCTTAATGGTCCTATCAAAACCACCCCCAAAACACCCCGTTTGACAGTTTATATTATTAGCTAACCGAAGAAGAAGAGAGCATTTTGCTGATTACATCATCGTTCAATCGCAAACTCACTTGGGATTTTTGACCAGCAAGCATTTTATAAAATCAATAGCTGCCGGGGAAATGTCAGCGAAAACATCAGCCGGGAAATCCACTTTGCCCTGATTGATGTTCACGTAGGTTTCCTGATTATCATCGCCCGTGAAGGGCGAAATGCCGGTTAGGAGCACATACGTTAGGACACCAATCGACCTATGAAAAAAATCGACGAGACACCGTAAGCTCGGAAGACAGGATGGATAAAAATAAACGGAATCGCTAGTCAGAAGATGGCTCACTTACCACATATCCGTGGCAATAGAGATCGGATCAAAATTGAGCACTTCTGGCGCAACATAGTCGGGCGTTCCGAGAATTTCACGAACTTCTTGTCCAGCCGATACCACCCGTGAGATACCAAAATCACATAGCTTGATGGTGAAATCACCATGCTGGTAATCATCTGATGCCAGAAGGATATTCGATGGCTGCAAGCCAAAAAACCCCATATTTAGATTGACATTCCATCGAAAATCACATTAGTAAGTAAAAAACTATTCGCAACCAGAACACAAGAAAAATTTCGGTCCAACAATAATCGAAAACATTTTATCAAAAGCGTTGTAAACCTGTTACTATTATTTTCTTAAGCATTCTGAGCCGCTTATTCAAACTCAAAATCAAAGTTCAGACATTGCAACAACGTTTACTTTTGCATGATTAATTATGGAGAACGAAAATTTTCAGCTCCGGCTTGGCAGACGAATTAATCAAAATTAAAAGATAAACTACCTGTTAAGAAACAGCAATCAACAAATTACTAATTTTACTACTTTATTCCGAGTCAAACGTCAAACGGAGACACAGAATGTTTTCAATGAATTTGCTTGGTATGAACTGTGTCATAAAGCTTTTTTCGTAAAATACTGTACTGTACCGATTTCCATAATGTAATGAATAATTACAAGCATTACGAATTCTAACTGATATCAAAGTGTTCGGGCAAAATTTAGAGGCAGTCACTGCATTGGACCGTACTTTGATATCCAGATGGACAATGTTGAGCTTATGGAGCTCATACACCCCGGCCAGCGTTTGCTCAATGATCCGTCGAACATGCTCCTCTTTGATATCCTGCTCATCGTCGCAAAGTGCTTGCAATTCACCACCTGTCGCGCTACGAGCAAAGCAAAAACAGACTCACCGGACGTCATTTACACGCGTCATTTTCTCCCAACAAAATAAAATACGCCTTCAAATGCGAACGCCACAGAATTCATGTCACGCAAGGCTCAAATGCTTACAGTTCCAGAATGAGAACCATTTCATGATCATCCTCAAAGACTTCAAACAAATTAACAATATAAGGGCTGTTGGCACAGTGTTCCAGAACGGTACATTCATGGATCACTTCATTCCTGACACATTTGCCGCGCCGACGCTTTTTCACCACTTTGGCTGCATACTCGTGTCCGGTACGTCGATGTGTGGCGTGATAGACCACCGCGAATTTTCCCCTATAAAAACAACCATTAGGTACCACTTTACATGCACTGAGAAATTCCCAGCGAAGACGGGAAAAACCCTAAAACGACATTGTAATATATACAAGGACATATTTCCAGTTTCTGGCTGCAGTCTGCGCTACACGCAGTGGCATTCTGTCGTTATCAGTGCAACACCATACAGTGTGATTTTATAAAAAGTATGAAAATTAAAATTCGCTAACCTAAAACGACCATCTATTTCAATCAAGATGTCCATACGAGTATACAAAATCTGAATTTTAAAAAAAAATCTGAATAGTTTGCAAATTTGATAAAATTATTTCACGTCCTTGACATTTACTGTATAACTGAAAAATGTTAGTGAAATATATTTCACTCCCATTTTTCACTCCTGAAATATTACTACTCTGCGATTTTCGACCTGCACGTGCATACACTTCTCCACAGTACACTAACAAGAAGCCTTACTCTGACGTTAACTTATATACTTCTTATTTTTAATGTTCGCCGTTTCTGATTAATATTTTGCATTCAAATTAGCGCATGGACGTCAAATCACCGGATTTAAACCAAATCAACTACCGTAATAATAAACGTGTTTTGCAGAAGAACAGTACCAACCGTATTTACCATTTTTTATAGAGCAGGTTAGCATAATAAACCGAAATCCGGTTGCCAAACAAAGCATTTATTAGGTATTCAATACTGCAACAACAAACAACACTGGAGTTGTACAATGCGGAAACGCTTGCAGTCAACAAGGTAATAACTGGCCACCCACACTATCGGCAGCATTTTTCTCGTGTTTCAATTACTGATATTTTACCCCCATCACCCGTCATAATTAGGCTCAATTTTATGGAAATCAAACGGGTCTTTTATATGGTTTGTTTGATCTGTCCAAACGATTCAAAAGACAACGGTAAAGACCGACTGGACTTTCCTGAACCTACTGCACAAACAACCACGTAAAAAATGAGCAAGTAAACAGCAATTATTCGGCGTTGTAATCGCAGTTTACAGGCTGTTCTCGAGCACTTTTCGTTCCAACTCAATTCAACATAAACAAACTGCATGTCCGACCTTTATCGAAAACTGAACCGACTTTTCAAAGCTTCTATAAAACATAAAATAATAACACTCAGAAATATTTTCCGTTGCAGTACGATACTAACGAGAACGAACTTAATTACAACAGTTTCCACAAAACCTGAGACTTTGCATTAGATTTCTTACTAAGCACATGCGTAGATTTGTATGCTCAGTCCCGTACAGGCCGTAAAAAATAACAAGAGGTGAATACTCTGTGTAAACCGCATTTTTCTTATAGTTTTAAAAGCATGTTTCGCACACCGGGTGGCATTTCCGTCCGCTATCGACGATGGTCATTACTCGAACAGATTTCATAGTTAATCCCTGTAGATTTTATAAGAATTTCCGTTCACCAATGTTATTTTCTGTACCAATCAACTGGAACATCAGCACCACAATTTTTATTGCAAATGACCAAAAAGTGGCTGCATGTGGCCAGAGCCAACGACACCTGCATGGCCTAAAAATGAGAAAAGCAACTCGTCCATGCGCTTCAACAGAAGTCCAGCGCCATGTAAAAAGCTTCTTGCCAACGGACGCATCTTCTACACAATTTCAGTTTCACAAAGACTTAAGCGTTTGGTTGGTGTGTAATTTATCTTAACTCTTTGTAACGTAGCCTTTTACATGGGATTAATGGACAGAGTAGCAGACTGTACTTGAACTTCAACCGGTATTTTCGAATATTCACTCTCACGGACAATGCTAATTGACTTCCTGTGAATGGGCATTTTTAACTAGCAATGATACGGTTCAAGCCCGGCAATTCTATCATTAGTGTAACCAGCAGGAGATTGCTCTATAAATGGAGTGGTCAAAGAGCAGTGCAGTGCTGGCAACCCTCACATCCACATCCAATTTCTCAATCATTCATAACTCTGATTTTGGTCCCAAACGCACAGATTCGGGTATTGATAGAATCGTTTCCACTTCACTAGTCAGAAAGATCACTACGCTTTAACGACGGTAAATACTCTATTGTCACTTTCCCCATCCATCATTTTAGAAAACCTATTCAAATGCATTCTGCCAGACGGGACACAAAGCTCAGTTTCATATTTGCTTCATAAACCCAACTTTATGGAGAAATTTCATTAATCACCATTTCCTCAAATTATCCAAAAAAGTTTTAGGCCAACTGGCCCGTACATATTCTCATTTGTCAAATACGTAGCAGTAAATAATTATACATTTCGAGTACACCCATTTTTGCTAGTACATTTTTGAACTTTTTCGCAAAGTAAATTCGAAAAGCATACAATCGTTTGTGTTTCACCAGATAATCGTGTTTCACATCAGGGACTTCTCGTTGTATCTGTATAAAAGACTAAGGAGTACCACATACTGTCATTTAAAGTTTTACGGACCAGAGTCACCAGACTTTCATGAAAAATCGGTGGGAAGTATTTACCTTTCTGCAGCCGCTCAAAAAGATCCGTGTTTATTACTGACCGATCAAATTTCTCATCCTGTAGTTCGAAACAGAATGGTGAAAACAAGATCTCAACAAGCAACTTGCATAAGATATTCTGATCTGTCGCGCCACGATTCATCAAACTTACTACGCACCGTTGACAAGTGCCTTCAAGCGGTAGAGCTAATTCAAACTTTTCGAAACCGGCTTCGTAAGAAAAATCTTTCAAAAGTGCGTATTAGAAACTATCAAAAATTGGCGGCGTCACAAACAGATGTTCTTGATACAACCAAAAACAAAACGCTCTGGAACTGTTCCAGTACGAGCAGATGCTATTTGGTTAATTGTGCTATAACCGGAAAAAGTTTAGAAACAACGAAGGTTGTAAATAAGCAGATGCCGCAGACACTGAACAAGCGGCTAATAATAATTGTACTTTCCGCCGGTAACATATCTAACAAGAACGCACAAAATTATCATTAAACTGAGGGCAATGAGAATTCCAAACACTTTTCTACATTATTACGATATATAAAAATTATTACGATATATATATTTCAATTTGAAATACATCGTAATTTAATGAAAGCACGGTACAGTCAGAGGGGAAAATCCTCACCCTTTTCAGAGTTTAGACTAAGGGTATCATGCGCTCCTCTTACATGCCCTCAAGAAGCATGTGCATTTTAATCTAAGTAAAAAGCAAATATTTTGCTGTCTGTCTCAAGACGGATTCGGTACAATCTGCAAGTACTAAATCTCAGTCATAACATTAAAATCGTCGTTCTTGAGATTCATAAAAGCATAATGCAGCTGCGCATGCATAAAATGCAAATAAATCAGAATCTTGATGTGAACCATTGTTCTACTGCTCTACCACTACACGATCTTCGCAAAGCATCGTCAGCTTTTTTACAAACTATAATACCATATATTTTTACCAACTTTTTTTACTCGTATTTATTACGGAAACTGCTACAACAGTAAACAAATCAAATAAATACGCCAACGTACTTTTTCCCAAAACACAGCCTTGTTCTGTTTCAAAATTTCTCGGCCAAATAAAGCAATAGGCTTATCGTTAATACAGGCATTTTTCTGTTATGCCGGCCGTCGGCAGCAGTTGTTATGCTAATAATTCATGCTTCGCAGGAAAACAACAACAACGGGTGGAGTAAAAATAACCACACCAATTGTTGAAAACATTACGTTTTATAAAAATTCCTTCAAGAGAATCGAGCCAGACATGCAAATGAGTCTTTTTTGCAAAGCCGTTTTTCCGCCCATTAAATAAGCTAAAACATGCATCGACTGTTTATGTCATCAATAATTTCTGGATGTTAATGCGGCTATTGAACTGCTTTCCAAAGAAGAAGCATGTCAAAGCTTGAATGTTTTGTGATACTATGCCGACAATAATTACCTTAAAATTACTATCTCAACACATTCTAGCATTCCAGTTGCAAAATCCGAAAATTTAATAAAAAATCTCTCCGAAAAGTTAATAATAACAATAATCTGGGACTTAACACGACAGTACGGTTGAAGAACATGTATCATTATCTCACAAAAGAGCAGCGGTTGATTTTGCTCTGAAATATTACACAAATAATATTAAAAATCTACAGGGCATATTTTTAGAACATGCAAGCTGCGATTACTCAAGGTAAGAAAATTTCAAGAATGCCGTTGCCTAAGCGTGAATATTTACAGCACTTAATCACCGGTTAACTTGAATACCAAGATATCGGATAAATACACCTTACGAAAGCATGCTTCAGTAACGGCATTATCGCACAACTCCAGTCATTCTCTTAACCTGCTCGATTACATCGAGAAAAAGGACGCCATGCAGATGGCAAAAACATGAAGAGAACAGTGTGTTCGTTTCGCACTAATTACAGTTATATCGGCGACGAATGGCCATCGCCACGTACCTGGCAATTTCTTTGGCAATATCATACTCATTCCGAACGTTCTCCTTTTCTTATAGGCGTCACGACTGGACCGAGCATGAGGCCGCCTGCATTCTTCGACTGTCCTTTTCCGGCCATGTGGGCAAATCACACGAGATGCAAGAAGATGATGAAAAAACCACACAGCCACACACACACGCAAATAACAATCCAACAACAGCGCAATGGCAGCGGCAGGTGATTGACAGATGAGTAAGCGTCCTGGTATGCCGTGTATATTGTACGCCAGCTGCTCCGCTCTGATCGTTCGCTTGTGAGCGTGCTCACTCGAGTAGTGCGTAGTGTCCAATGGTATTCACAGACGCTAATACGGTATGGAAGCGTTTGTGTTTACCGATTCGCTTTGGCTCCGGTCAACAAGAGAAAACTTCACCAAACACTCACTGGACTGAACAGTTCCATTGTTGGTTCCGTTGTGGCTGTGCCATACACCAATGATATATATCCCGTAATTATTATAATTTAATTATGGGTTAGCGAGCAAGTCAGCCACTTCACATTTCCAGCCCTGAGAAAACTGTCCAACACCGCTGGTTTCCGGTATCACTACAGAAAACAATAGAAGCATCAAAGATTATAATCAACATATTATGCAGCAGAACCTCAGCAGGAGATTAGCTATAAAAGTGCGTGCATTCAGTTAGACATGAATGTAACTCTCGCAGATCCTGTGTCGGGATCAAAATACTGAATCCTAGGATGTTCAAAAACATCTGTACTGCCCCATAACATCCGTCACATTCCAGTAATCAAAAAACAAAATTAACATTATTAATGATTAATCTTGATAAAACCTTACTGTATATCTCACAGTAAAACAAATTTTTCGCCAATACTTAATTGTTGGGGTTTTTTATCAGTGCAGTTAGTGTAGTACTGTACTTTCGAGTAGGGTTTTTTATTGATTACTGTGCTCTTTAACCGAGAATCCCGTTGTCAGAATACACAAAACAAAACAAAGTCGGGTACACAATCTTAGCAACTAGCAGGCAATATTACTGTAAGTAATTGTTTAAAGTTTTAAACACAACGGACAAGTTCAGCTCACTGGTTGCAAACAGCAACCGTTTATCACTTACCCGTTACAAGGACTCTTAGTAATAACTGTACGGTCCAAGACACACCAAACAAGTTCTGAATTGCCCAGATTATCCAGCGAAGAACAGTTACAAAAAGCAAAATTTTGGGAAACAGATCTCACATATTAAGTTATGCAGCCATTTCTAAGATGTATCAGCAAGCATTAGCTCCAAACTGGTCAAGCAGTAAAAAAACGAAGTTAACAAATTAAGCTGTAGTAAGTGCCAACTGACTGAATGAAAAAGCTCGTAATAAATTCTGAATTCCTAAAACGGCTTGTGCGAGTAAAACAGCGAGTTCACCAGTTTCGTTTGCGGTAATGGGCGGGCCATGTATTGAACGTATGCCGACGTCACCGGCGGCGAATGGCTATAAAGTCTGACGAACCAGCCTCCTGTAGCTACAGTTTCTAAGCCGCGCCTGAGGCGGTAACGCGAAACCTTGCTGGATGTCCAGTGTCCAGCTGCAGTACTCGTAAACTTTGTTGAGTCTTAACCCTTCTAACTTCCAAACTTTGCAATTTTATCGAGACTGTCAGCTTTTTCCAAATTTTAATGGGCAAGAATTCAAGAAAGGGTAATAAAAGCAAAGAAGTGCTTACGCAAATAAGCAGAAGATTGCAGTATGCCGCCAGTACAGTACTTGCTCTGCGAAACTACTTGCGATGCGCCGGAGTAGAAATTGTAAGTATGCAATTACAGTTGCATTGTCATAAATTTTTCCTTGCGATCATATTCAGCTAGAAACCAGTGTAGGAACTAACCAGTATCTAACTAGACAAAATCACCTGTTTTATAACAATGGAAAAATATTTAACTGCTTTTTAATAGAGCCTCCCAAGCGTGCAGTACATTTAAAGACAAAACCTCGACTGTAACTATTTATGGAAAACTCAACGACGGTGATTGTGAGTGTTTGAAACTTAGTCACCTCATAAATACTAAATGCATGTATTTTGTCAGTGTTGACATTTTTAGTCTCCACTCCTGCTCTGTGTGCAAGCAGTAATCTATTAAGGAAATTTCAAGGAAATTGATCTATATTATGATCGGCCGCCCCGTGGAGCGTGGCTAGAAAAAACCGCTAAGCAAATTAAAAAACCGATTTCACCATTAAACTCAGCATGTTCCAAAAGGGTCCTACATGCATTTTTCTTCCAAAAATATCTTCCCTGAGACCATCGTTCGGATGCCGGTACCGGTACAGGGATGAGTTCAAGGTGACCTTGAAAGACTTTCTAGAATAGTGTTGCGTGGAGCAATTAATATTCCATTACAGAGTAGTGTAGTAAGTAATAAAAACTGAATTGTTTAAAAGTAGATTTCAGGACTGAAAAGTGCAAATTTCGTGAAGTTGTATTATGCCGAAAACCTTTGTACGAGGTAAATTAAAGAGAGGTCTGCCGGTGCCGGTTTTAGTGTGCTTACCGCATGGGAACTTTTGCTTTCGCGCGTTCTTATGTATAATTACATCGTAAATTTTAAATCGTATAAATTTACAAAGGTATATTTTGAAACAAAATAGTGGAAATTGTTCTAATTCGGTGAAAACGACCTGCATGTACATACTACCTGCTACTCATAGTTATACGTTTGCTTGCAAAATTTGGAGAAGATCGATCGGATCGTTTTGATTGGATCTATAATGAGACTTTTGTACTCCTCAATTCTTTTCAAGCATTTTAAAATTTTCGGTACATTTTAAAATTTTCGGCACACTTTCGTACTTGAGCGGAAAACGAAAACGCATCGTCTGCTCGATGGAAAACTGCGAGTGTCTGATCAAATTATTGTAATCAAAAACTCTCGGTGCGTATGCGCAAAGTTGCTGACAAGGGACAAGTGAGTTTATGACCACGAAGCACGACCACCAAAACTGTCCCTGGAATGTTTGCCCATTGTGTGTGTGCTGTACGAGACTACTGATCAGGTCAGCTGAATGAACGGAAATTACAGGAACTGGTGTGAACTGTTCCCAGAAATCAAAACTATGGGAGATACCCCTGCTCACTGCTCAGTGCTTGAGGTGCCAAGTGCACACAAAGGGTCACACTTTCCACTGACCAAACCTACACAAGAAACGGGAAACATAAGTACAATAACTGACCACAGATCAGGCCTGTTGGGTGAACGAAAGTTACAGGATCTCGTAATAATCTTCTCGAACGAAAGTTACAGGATCTCGTCTCTCTAAATTACTGTTCGTAATTTAGACCAGGTAAGACCAGAACCGTCAACGATCTGTGTCAACAAATTGTGTCAAATGCTCGTTTCAGAATGAATATTTATTCTACAGCGATCGAAATTCAGAACTATTCAACCCGTAGTCCATACCATTGGACGGAAATCACAGGACCTGCTATTGCGTATGAACGGGAGACAGTGCGGCATCGCATAGTGATCTAGTATGATTACTTTTTACTGTTGTCATCTTCCTGGAGCAGGCATTCTTCCATGGAATTTCGACAGTGACGTTACAGTTGTTAAAATGGCAAAGCTTTGTCTGGTCGAAACTTTGCGGCCTGTATTTTAAACCGCGAAGTGCAGTAAATCAAATAATATACGTTCAAATAATATCTCGTACTATATGTTCGGGGCTGTCCTAGCACGTAATGTAATGGCGAATGCTCTTTCCACGCTACGCTATCTTCGAATAAGAAACGCACACAAAAACCATGCTGCTAAAAAATAAGAAATAATAAGATTCTTTTAAATTTTTCTTCGCCTCTTCATGCTGCTTTCTAATAAATAAATCTTGCACAATATATTAAACATTACTTTTTATATATTCATCAAATAATCAAACTCTGGATCATACAAAAACTATTTTTTAGGGAATCGACTGTAGACCACAAGAGCATCTGAGGCGAAGCCGAAGATGACTCTTGTAGAGATCATATAATGGAGTTTCAGTTTCAAAACGTATTGCAGTGTTCCTGGTTTTATTGCTTTTGGCTTTCAGTATGACAACAATATTCGTTCAAGAAAGCTAGGACGAGCGAACTGCGAACTAGCAGGGCAAATTAAAAAAGTCGTGAAAAAATCGAAAACAAAATTAATGCCCTTTACACCTCCAGTAACTTATAACGCGGATTAGAACCGCATAAATCTGCGGTACGAGTACTACTGCACTGCAGTAGTTAATAAGGATTAGAAGCCTTAATAAGGATTAGAAAATAGACAAGTGGTGAGCATTTGTATGCATGAAAAAACTTTTATAAAACTAACTTGTAAGTATATACCTATTACAATTGCAAAAATGTACTGAATGGATGTTTAAATCTCTTCATGCTCTGTTTAATGACCCAGAACTTATTAAGATATACTGTTATAGTTCCCCCGTAGTAACATTTCTTGGCGTCCGTATTGCGCTCGTGATTTGAGTAAGTAATCGCATCAAGTCGAAAGAAGTGTCTAGAACCAATAATAATAATAACATATCATTCCTATATATTCTTTCAGGCATAGGTGGCTGGAAGTTCTACCGTACGCGTGATCACGGGTTTGCCGCATGATGGCCCAAAATATATTTTTGTGCAACATGAACGCAGCATAAGAGTTCATTCACAAATCCAACTGCCAAAACCCAGCACGTTTGACGTCAGATGCTTTAAAAAACTCTTCGTCATAAGGTGGATGTAAATTTTTAGCGCATTCCTGTACGCAGTCTGGCTGTACTGGTATATTATATATTACTGGTATATTATATGCGATTCTGAACTTCAGCCACTTCCAGCACATTGTCAAATAACGTTGACCTAGACATTCCATATTTCTTTTTGGATTCGACAGAACCACGTACTGGCTGCTGAATATGCAGTCTGCAAAATTGTTGTGCATGTAGCCAGGAAAAATCGTGGCTGCGGTTTAAATTTTAAAAAACCATAAGGATTATAAGCACTTGTAAGCTTTAGCTATTGTACGAGTGGTTGCCAGCCGGCTACCAGAAAGTAGTCAAATCGTGATGATATAATGAAAAACAAACTTGGCGCTTATTAGCACTTGGATTTCCATAAATGAACAAAAAACAGTGACTTTAAAAGGCTTTTGGAATCGTAACTGCAATGGAATAATCATGTTTTAAAAACACAACTACAAACTCTACTCGAGTGGCAATTTCAACTGAAAACTCGGAAAACACTATAACTACTACAAAATTTGTCTTATTTTACAATTAACAAGCTGTGTCTTTTAATGTGAGCAAATTAACTGTAAATTTCCAATCAATAATATAATATTTTGCCATTCGATCCAGAAATTAACAATTACAAACTACGGTATGAGGCACAAAGCAAATACCCGCAGATTAAAAGCACTGAAAGAGTTCACCAGTTTGACTAATATGTTGTGAGATGCATACTTTTGGATCATTCGTTATCAACTAGCAAAATTTGCCAACCTAAAATGATTCGGTGGTATGATGTACTTTTTTTGTAAGGCTGTGGTTTTGCAGCTTGCGCCATGCGCAGCACTGGACAATAAAGGTTTCGATTAAACTTTTGCACTGCTTTAAGGGCTTATCACAAAAATAAAATTAGTATTAACCCTCAGCTCACATGTATATACACGAATGAGTACGGTCTAATAACAAAAGAGTTTAAATTAATTCCGTATGTTAAAATTAACGAAATGGCTGTGTGCCCCGTTAGGGCGCATAGAATCTGGCTTTGCGTCCGAACGTCCGGGCACAAAAAAAATCCAAATTTTCTTATTTTCTCCGGTAGATTTTGTTTTTACTTATATAATTTCTTTATTTTCGATACTTCAGTTTTTATTATCTTTATCCTTGTTTTATAGCCTCGGTTGTTGAAAATGTTATTCAAAACATTCCAGGTTGAGTTCGGCACCCTAACCCAAATAAAAAATAACTGCCCGAAAAATTAGAAAACAGCAGGATTTCCGCTCCCGGAAAGTCGGTGCGCAAAGCCAAATTCTATGCGCCCGTTTGCTGGGGCCGGGGGCGCATAGTAGTCACAGATTAAAATTAATTAGAGCAGGTAACATTAATGGACAAACTTCGAGATCTCGAACCGGTAAATTCAATTCAGATTAGAACATCCTAAATCATGTTCCGTCGTCGATGTTCGGCACGATCTGTCGTTTATTGAAAAATCAAATCGAAAATATCGAAAACGGCTACTTATGACATACGAGTATTTTATTGATGTAAGCCGAAACATTATTATTGTAATTGATTATTCTGATTGTGAGCGTTTAAAGTGTTGTTGCTAATAAGGTCATTTTTTGAAAAATAAATTTTGCATGTCGAAAATTGCGCATAGTCAACACAGTCTGCATGCCATGGAACTTGTGGAAAAACGCTACGTACATGATGATTGCATCCATGATCGGGCGATTCGTTGTAACTTGTAAGTACGAGGTATGTCGACAGAATCGTTTATCCCATGACCGGACATTTCTTCTCGGGATATGTGGTAATCAGACATTTGGTAACATGGACACTTCGCGCTTTATTTAGCTTTTATGCAAGCCTTCTGTGTTTTTTGCGAATGTTGAACTGACCATTTGCCAAATGTTTTTATTTAGGGTTTCTTCTTGGTAAACTTAATTTTCTAATAATGCGATTAAGAAACCTAAAAAAATTCGACGCATTGATTTGCCCACGCGGCGACGGGCGAATTATCCCTGTGTGGCAACAAGCAGTTTTGCTACCAATTGGCAAGGCAACGAAATGTTCTCTAAAACCCGCTGTCTCCCGAACAAAAGTTCTCTAAATGAAGTTTTCCTGACGAAATGTCCCGCGACGATATGTCGTACGTAGCCATACCAAAGACAAAATTATGAAAATCGTTACAAAATCAATTACGCTTATATCCCTATTACTGCATATTCTGCCGCACATAAGATGCGGTTAATTTGTTTAGACAGCGTGGATTTGTTAATTATTACTTAATCAGCGAAAAAATAATATCAAGAATAAATAATATTGCATACGGGACTATTTTGACTGACAACCAATCTACAGTACGGTTTATTCATCTATATGACTGTGCAAATGAAAAACTTGGTTCCCGATGATTACACAAAGCGTACCGCTTGCAGTCGTACAAAGAGCTTGACAGGCGAACAGCAGACGACGAACCGGTAGACGATGTGCACAAGCAATAAATAACATATTTTCGGAAACTGAGTCGACTGCTTTAAGAAACGCCTTGGCAAGCAGTACGTCACGTTATTTTTGACCAGTCTCGTGCTGAGGACTAGTAAATCTTTGTTGACCATAGTCTTACAATGTTAGCCACATTACCTTTTAAATTATAAACTCATGCCGTGCATCAGCGCGTAATGGATATCGCGTAACTTATTGGATATCTTGACTTTTAGTTGCTGCTTCTAGACAATTGCGCTTGGTTCTATCTGAATGCTCTAATCTCTGCGTATAACATTTCATCGTTAAAATTTTAATTTCAATCCATTGATCTTTTTTCTTTGGCAAGAAAGCTGCACATGTAATAGGTAAGCCCTAATGGTAAGCACTGCCCTTCATTCATTCATGTGGTCTGATGCTTGCATACTTTCGTTTCTGTATCATGTACATGTATTGCAAGATAATGTAAGATCATGTATTGCAAGATCATGTATTGTTTAAGTATTGCAAGATATCTAAAAAACGTATCTAAATAATCTTGATTTATACTATTTTTGCGTTCTCTGCTAGCATACGAACTACAAAAAGGAAACGTAAACGTGTAAAGTTGCATTGAATGTACCTGATGCACGTGTACAACATTTCCGCTGACCTTTTCTTGCAATTAGTCGGACCCGTGGCCGTATTCGTGCGTAAAATAAAAGTAATTCTGTTTTCGATCTGCATACTCTAAAGTCTAAGCTATAACAGTTCGCGCAAATTAACGTAATCCATCAGGCTAGAAAATAATTTGACATACAGTAAATGGGTTCTGCGTACTCACAAAGGGTGAACGGGATCATGCGAAAAGTAGACGATTTCTTTTCCATAGATTCATTACATAGTCTCCTCTGCTCGCGCAGTTATTGATTCATCACATTATTCTCCAAACTCCGTTCTCAACCTCACCCGTTTGCGCAACGAATTTTGCGATGTGTCTGACTGGTATGAATACCCTCTTATTGTTTTATTGCGTATCCAGAAAATTAGAAATGATAGAATTCAGAAATGATAAAATTTTACAATCAAATTTTATAATCAATTTTATTTATTTTATATAGCAGGTAGTACAGTACCTAAGTAGTTCAATTAGACCATTCTCTGTTAATAGATGGCACTGACAGAGCTAAAAGAATTTTATACATGTACTGCTAGTAATGTCAGTGCACTGCAGTAAATCTGCAAACTACAGGTGACGGAGAAAGTCGAATTTGCCGATGCACTGTAAATAAGTAAAAGGAAATAGATAATACGAATGTAAATAATTATTATAACATCTTTCTTTTCTAATTATTTTTTGAAGATCATGCGAGCTCACCTGAGTATGGTTAAAAAGACCTACTTGGAGCTGGGCCTATGAGCGAGCAACCATGTTTTCTTAATAGATATTGTGCTGTCGATTATCAAGATGTCGGAATAAATCAAACTGCAATGTTTGCGATGTTGCAAGACGCTTACGCTCAGTGTGCACATTACTAATTGGCTTGTCGAAAGTTATGTGTAATATTTGATTTGATCGGTTAAGACAAAGTAATTTGCTTCTCAATCAAGGTCGGTGATGCTCTTATCTAACAGATTTCTTACTTCAAAATGACCCCCCGTTCATACTCCATGCTTCATTAACAAGCTAACTCAAATACTGCCAGTACATGTGTCCTGGCAAAAGTTTAAGGTTGCCGGTCAGATTAAAATGAGCATGTCGGTGAAATATCCCAGCATCGTTATTATGTTAACCGCGTCGTGGCTATGCTTCGCTGCACCTTCATCTTTAATCATTTTTTGATATTGAGTGTGCATAACGGGCGAAGGCTTGCAGTAGTAGTACACTTCAGATCTGGAAACGTTAGATTAATCAAAAACCATTTACATCCAACGTGATATATTGTTTTTCACAGTGGTCATATGGTCAGTTTGTATGGTCATATGTATGTTTATTAGTACAATATTACAGAGTTGCCTTTGATATTTGGAATATTTATTTTACGAAAATATTTTAAAAGTTTTACTTTCTTAGGTTGGTTATGTATAGATCAAAGCAGCCTGCAGACGTGCACTCTTGAGTCAATTCTGCACACCGGTACCGGTAGCGTTAACATTATTCGTACTCTCCTATTCCTATATTTTACTTCGGGGAAATAGATCTAGAGTTCCAGTGTTTGCAAAGTACTTGTGCCGGTAGTTATTACATAAAGTAACCGTCTTATAATATTTGTATTGTAGCGGAACGGTATTAGATCATACATACTGCGACGTTGTTTATAAAGATGGTAATAACCGTGTAGATTGGCCGGCGTACCGCGCCTAATAAATCCTTTAGGTCGTGACATTGCAAGCACTTATTAAGACGGTGTACGCCGCCGCGGACGGGTTCTGGTTCTTTGGTCATGACCGATCGAGCCGCTGCTGTGGCTGTTGTGTGTGAACGTTACCGTTGCTGGCCGATACAATATTATTGTGCCTGTTTTCAGAGTCTGAGCCATGGAGGTCAAGTCAGTGGCTTATAGCTGGTCATCGTCATATTGCATAGCCGCATCTTCTCATTATCAGCCATATTGATAATTCTACCAACCTGACCATTTCACGGGTTATGCCGGCGTAATCGTTCACGGTAATCGGTCGTACAAACCGACGGTACGCACATGGAGAGCTTACCCGGCTGTAGAGGATAATTCACACGTCAGCCCTGCACGCACTATACCGCAACGTTCTCTTTATCAGCTCCCGGCCATAATTATGGATCAGACAACAATCGCGGCACCCATTACCTTCCCGGCTCTGTCGGGCTCAATAAGTTTTCTCCTGTTTTTACTGTTGTTTACCGGCCATGGAGCGCTCATTCGGGAGAAGAATTCTTTTGCCAATTATTTCACACTGCGGCATCGGAATGAGTATCTCAAGTAAGCGCTTTGCCGGAAGTGTAATACTGTACTGCAGAGCAGACAGCTGCGCTTGTGACATAAGTGCCGGCTAACCAGGACTTCTTTCTTAATTACAGCCATCAACTATTTAAAGTGACTATCCACAAAATTGATGAGCTGAACCTTCTCAAGCTGTGGCGTATGCAGTATAAGCATTTACACTTGGATTTTTGGGATGATTCGCTGCCGACAAACTTGACACCGAAGAAGCGGGATTTTTTGATTCGTGTACCTCCACAATCTGTCGAGGAATTTGCCGCACTATTAACTTCTTCTGATGTTGACTTCCAAATATTAAGCCACGATCTAAAAAGGTAAAGCCTTTTTCGAATACGCACATAAAAGATTTCCGCTTATTTTCTGATATCTGCTGCATATATTGTACGCGAGTCCGCTCTTTTATACAATTTTGCATGGATTTGCTGTAACTTAATTATTTTGCTTTCCAAGTCGAAGTTTTCTAACCATAAGATGTGACAAGCAGCTATCTTGTTCTGCTATTCTCTTTTGTGCGGGATTTCCACCTCACAGCCTGCGTGTGACAGGCGTAGAGTCGCTTTCTTTCATAATATACACGTATTTTAAAGGGATGATAAATTTTTCGGATTTAACGCTGTGTGCATAGGATTAAGATGTGTTAATAATAACTTAATTATTGGTGCGTGGACACAGACTGATTCAGTGGGAAAAGTTTGCCATTCCCGATGCGGTCAGTCAACGCGGTTTGCTGACCTCGTCCGGTGTGTATCAAAGCTACCGAAGAGTACTCTTACCCGGTATTCAAACGTTGTCGACCTATCTGCCGTTGGAAAGTGTTTACGACTTCATCGATTCCATCTCCGCCAGATATCCGCTCATGGCCAGCGCTTTTGAGCTTGGAAGGAGCTACGAAGGAAGACCAATAAGAGGACTTAAGGTAAGGTACTTGTTAGCTGCTAACCTCGTGATGTATATGACTGGAAATTACTTACTTGTAATAGTGCGCAATTCGTGGATAATTTGAGAGGGACAATAAATAATTGTCCAGTGCAAGTGCAGTTATCAAAACCTTTGCGATTACAGTTGCATAACTTTAGCAACACTGTATATTAAGTTGAAATAAATTTCAGTCCACGGATTTCTCCAGAATCTACTCTCCAAGGGCAAGATCCTACCATGCTACAGTTTATAATAAGATAATAGTTGTGGAATCCATGCTAGTGTCACGTAGTATTTATTGCATACTTCTACAATAGGTTCATTACTAACACATGTACAGTATTAAATTACGTAACTCCCGGAGACAGATTTTTGTTTCTGTAATTTAATCATATCCATACAGTACTGCCGTAAATTTCTATGCAGCACAATAGATCCTTGCGCTGCAGTTGCATATGTTATTTTGTATTGTCCGAAACGTGTATGCGAAAAATGTTGATCTAAAACTTGCAACAAAGACTGCAAAAGCGACTGTTTAAGTTGATAATAACTACCAAAGCCGTAGGTTCCGGAAAAACCAGGTTCCAAACCTTTTGCTTACAGATCGGAACTCCGTTTGCCAATTTCAAAGAAACTAATTTTCAAGCACCGGACTCTGGGGCGATTCCGCTGAAATATGCGGTAGTTATCGATGGAGCGATGCAGGGTAGAGAATGGATTACTGTTCCCACTCTGCTTTATCTGACGCAACAGCTCCTGGCAAAATACGAAATCGATGAAGATGTGCGCTTGCTTTTGGATTATTATGACTGGTATATAATTCCTGTGGTCAATCCAGACGGATACAACTACTCGTGGACAACGGTACGCTGGTTTGTTGTCAGTGCTTCAGTCGTATCATCACTCGCTTCCTATTTACATTAATTTTTTGCACAGGACCGATTTTGGAAAAAAACCAGATCTGTTAGCATACTAAACAGTACGCTGGTTAATCCTCAGTGCCGTGGAGTGGATCTGAACCGTAACTTTGCGTACAATTGGGGTAGAAGTGATGATCCGGATAGTGGCATATATGATGTGTGCCAGCGTTCCTTTGCCGGTGATAAACCGTTTTCCGAGCGAGAATCTATTGCTCTGGCGAAGTTTATCTTCAACAACCGGAAACAAATTAAAGCCTACATTACTTTGCAAAATTACGGACAAACGATCCTAATCCCTTATGCAAGTAAACATGCCATATCAAAAGATAACCGTGACCACATCTTAGCGGCTAACGTTGCGGCACGTGCAATGCGGAAGGTGTACGGCGAACAATACGATTTGGGTTCCTGGTCGGAAACGTTATGTGAGTGTCCATGTTATTATACATTTAATAAATACGTAAACCAAACCATGCAGCAGACAACCATATTAAAACAAGAATTTGTCTGCTGTTTTCTAGTGCATAATTAATTTTTATATCTGTCTCGCTCAAAGAACGCAACAGTTAATTTTCATTATTGTACTTGTACATAAGCAAATATAATAATATTATACGCCTGCGATTGTTGTGTTGTTTATTGTTTATGCTATTTATCCTGGTATTCCTTACCGACTTCACGAACATAAAACCAACATTTACGGAATGCGGCTATTGGTATTTATTATTATAGTTGGCTTCCACAAATATTTATTTGTCCTCTTGTAGCACTAATAATTTTGAACATTTGATTACGAAATTGTCAGTTGACAGCATCGCCAGATGATGCACAAAGTGGTCTGTAAATTATATCGGTTAACGCTTGTTTTCGACATGACTGCGTAGGATGTAAAGAATTTAGATTTAGCAAGGTCAGGTGACATTATTGGTCTTCCAGAATTAATACTGAACAGTTTTGTTAAACTTCTGTCGCAGGGTTTGACAATTAAAAACCATTGGTCGATGTTACGATAAAATTGCACTTTTCACAAAAGTTGTATTGATCAATAGTTACAAAAATTTGCTAAATTAAACCTTCAAGATTTAATGTGATTAATTCGTTTCAGTCGAAGCCGGCGGAACAGCAGTGGATTGGGCATATGAAGTGGCCAAAATTAAGTATACTTACCAGTTCCAGCTGCGTGACCGCGCCAACTGGGGCTTTCTACTGCCGCGCAATCAGATTATCCCGACAGCAGCCGAATTTTATGCCGGTGTAACAGAACTGTTACGCTTCATTCATTTTTATGAAATGAGACATGAAATTTGAAATCAATGTACATGTGTGTATTGTTTGCAAATTTTTTGACAGTTCGCAATTTATTTGTGTGATTAATTGTTGAATATGACTGCTGCAGACAGACTGTTGGTGGTTTTGAGATTTATGAACTGGTATTCTGTGCCATAATAAGCCGGTTCCATTTACCTACCACACCTGATAGCATTGCTCTGTATAGAAGGCAAAATTTCCATATTTTAAGGTTAAGGATATGTTATACGGTTGTGTATAGACTATAAGTGTGAATAGTTTTGACATGGATCGCGCGATGTTAACAACGGTGTCAAACGGCGGTTATGCAATGGCCAGCTGCCATGCAGGCGCAGTCAAGCACTAACAGTTCACCTACCTGTTGAATTTATTTGATTTCGCGGCACTGTGAGCAGTACAAATAATAAACTGACAAAACATTTAATCAGAATATTTTATGTTCTGAACTAAAGGTAAGCTAAAAAACGAAGCAACTTGGAATGTAATCGGACAAATTTACAGTTTCCATAATCGAATTATTACTGGGCACTGGACACACATATCAGTATTACTGCATTGAATATACATTTTGTTTTATTTTCGAGCGAAGTGTGCAGGCGGGTATTGGGAAAATTAGGCTAGTTACTGATACGCATCACGCCGTACACTGTTTAATTCTGTCTTCGAATAGCGGTCCAATACAGAAAGTACATCAACGGAAAAATAAAGTATAAAGTAGGCGCTACAGTGGATATCTGCATATTACTGACAGAAAATGGAAAAGTGAGAAACCCCGTGTTGCACCTTTCCCCGTGGCAAAAGCAAATTTGACCCTGGAAGCGAAAGGACACGCTCTGGTTGTCCGCGCTTAATTCCGTTTTCGTAAGTTCATAACTTTTAAAACATTCCGGTGTGTTAAGTCCATACTTCCACAACGAATTTATCAGTGATTGATCAGCGCAGTCTCCAGATGGACCAACGATGCCTAAATGACAAAACAATTAAATACATCTACATAGTGTTTACATAGTGCACAGCACCAGAAAGCATGCAATATATTACGGTATACATAGTAACTGGATCTTGCAGCAAAAAACACCAGATGCTGCGTACACCAGTTGGTTGTGTCTGCACTAACTGTACGTTACAGTATTTTAGTTGTTTATTAAAAATATTGGCATTACGTTTATGAAATGTGGAATTCTCTAAAGCTGCAACTTTTTGCAAGTAGAGAGTAGAGCTGGTCAGCAGCTTATAGCAAAATCGAGTTCCCGGACTGCAGGTGACGATTTTTACGTCTCTGGGCGTAGAACATGGACTTTCCGGACGGAGGCAGCTGTAACAGCGGAGCATAGCATACGGTGGCAAAATTTGTCCTATCATGATCACAGAATGCAGAATTAGAAAACTGTATGCCGAAATTATACTGTATGTCGAATTCTGCACGTACGTCCGTGTAAAATCATAAACATAAAATTTTAGACAATTGCCCTTTAGCGGCACTGTACTGGTGCCGGCATGAACCATAATACAACATCCTGCCTCAACAGTTGTTAAATAAATGGTGGAAAATCGCAGTTCTGTCGTACAAAGGTAATTAGAGACTCGATAATTTGCTGTAGACTACGAGTAACTGAAAACTTCCGATTTGCAACTTGTATGCATAACTTGAACGTTATTTATGCACATATGCATCATATAATCGTAATGTCAAAATACAGTTTAAAAATGCCTGTCCATTACAAATTAAATCAAACAGAATGCATGAATTGATTACCTGAAGCAAAAATTTGATATTGGAATGCTTCCGACACGAACAAAAACCCCATGAACAGATCCACATTACTACCCATCTTGTACAGTGTACCGGTGATGAAACTGCCCTTGGAAAACAGCAAAAGCAGGAAGTGCAGTGTTGTCATCCCGCCAGCTACAATATCGTTTTACTTCACCGTCTTAACATAAAAAATTTCAATGTTCCATCAGCTAAAAATGGATTAAAATTGATTCACACGAACTGATGGATTCCTCTTCCGAAAGTTTTCAAATAGAGTGTTTTGAAACTGGAGTCGCACAAGATAAACTTGAAGTATTACGATACCACAGATACATAAACAGACCACGAACTTCTGATAAACTTATTACACCAACAACACGCAATAAACAGACGACCACGCTTCACTGACAATTGATAGGAGCATCCTCGAAGCCATGATCGAGCAAACTGCCCATTGTAATCGTACCAATACAGCTATAGTGCTACACATCTGCAGTTTTCGGGGTCATTCTCTACTGCAAAATTTGGTATTTATTATCACTTTTGGGCGATCAAACTCACATAGCTGTTTCAAGTACCGTAAAGAAATTACAACATCACTTTCCTTCACTCTCACGTTCTTATTAGAACAGCTTTCACAGATTTCCAACGAAAGATTATCCAAAATAATTTCATTTAACTAAAATTTATCTAATCCAATATTAAGTATCCCAAATCGGCTCAAATTGTTTTGGGCATAATTGACAAACAGTGTACATAGAGTGTTCCATACGCTTCATTAGTGGCTCGATTTCGGCGGTCTTCCTCGCTTACGCTTTTCTCCAGTGGCTTGTGGAGTCTTCAACTTGTTGGCAGAAGCTGTTTGCTTACTAACCAGGGGAGCTGAGCCTTCCGGAATAGGCCGAACCGCCGGATCAAGCGTGCTCCTCATGCTGAATACATCGCTGACTTTTTCGATCTCCTCCCTCAATGATGCGGAATCAACACAATCCTTCTTCGATCGGAATACTCCCTGAATGGTTCGCACCATATCACGACGAAATACTCTTTTGGCTAACTCCTTAAAAAGCTCATACAGAGCGTCTTCTTTCTCATTCAGCAAGTCTAACGTTTGTATTAAAATATAGTCCGGTGTTCTGGCTCGATGGATGACATGTTCAGGGGAGTGCGATATGCCTAATGCCGCCAGCCGATCGGAACGCCTTGGCACCATCACCGATTGTCGGCGCTGCGGTGAATTTCCAGTATGAATATCCCTCATTTCCTCCTCTGAAACCCACATCAACTATATCAAGACTGTTAATTTTTCATGATATACGAATTCTTGTGCAAAAGCATGCAGAAGAGTGCCAGTTTCCGATTTATTAAGGAAATCACATCATAATGACACTGCAGTAAATTAGTAACCATCGCTCACTAAACGCGGAATTTGGTTATTTATTGAATGTTTACGCGGATATAGCACAAAAGCAAACACTTTAATCCAAACACTTTAATCTCATTTCAAAGTATCGCTCTCCAGAATTTAATACGTTTCATAATAAACATATCGATAAATCAGTTCAACCAAAGTGCCCCAAACTCCCACAACACCGGGAAGGCCAACATACCTTCGTCCTCCATTTGTTGTACGACAGGACCGGCGATGATGTACCGCGATGCCAGACTACCCAAACGCCGCACAGCCTCCAGAGCCTTAGGAATCGCTGGGTTAAGCGGATCACAATCACCGGAACCTGCGACAGATTTTTTATTTTTACTATGCTGATTTTAACGAATCACCATACGATATTTAAATTCCCAAAAACTTCCGGATGTGGAAACACTTCTGCAACCGTATGACGGCGCGCATACAACGTAAACAAAAATCCTTTTCACACGCGCACTTACTTACAAAATAGCTTAAATTTTCCGGATTGATACAAATTCAGATGGGCATCAAGATCTTTAAAACGAGCAACAGCATGAGAAGAGCCCACCTGCGGCTCATATCTGAAAAGGAAGTTCATTTTTTGCATTATATTTTACGGTAGCAGCATAATTCTGGGTATACTCACTTGATTTCCGAGTGCATTCCCTTCATTTTCATCAGGTTAACCTTCCATGGGAATTCTCCATCGAACATCATGATGGAAAATTTATGTTCGCATAAATTAAGGGATTTGTCGCCGCTCAAGTGAATGAAATCCCACACAATCCGTTTTGCTAGGACAACAGCTTCCTCGATACTACAGAAGGCAGCGTATATTTACGGATAATGACAATGTCACAGCCGCGAACAAGATTTACCTCCGCTGTCCGTTGCATTTTACAAAACCGTTTCTTTGGACTGTGCATTTCCCGTTAAATCCTGGATAACACATTTCCAGCTGTGAAATAGACAAGGCTATAAATTAAAAAAATGATGCAATGCTACAACGTGCATAAAAAGGATTCGATCATCCTTGCATTAATATTTTATCAAATAGGTTGAAATAGCTATTGCGTTACCTATTATCGGAACGAAAATATTTCGAAAATTCAAACGAATACAAACAGGCTTTCAAGCGCTGACACCGTTATCTATGTCGGATGATGCAAAATTTTTTTACAGTAATTGGTGGAGAAATTTGAAGATGCTTATCCTCTTCCGAGTTACAGCTAACAAAAAATGCGTCAATGTGGCACGCTTACCGACGCATCACCGGATCGCGGTCCGCTAGATTTTAATGTGCAAAATCTGCCAACTGGAAAGCTAGCAACAGCTTCCAAATTACATCTGAAGTTGTCCCTTGAGGATAATTTAAATATGCTGTTGATGGTCGTGGCACGCAAAATAACTTCGGCCTGAAACAAATCTGGAGGGGGATCGGGAAGCGTTCTACTCGTCGTATTGGCCATCTCTGCATCTCTCGAATGTCCCGTACTTTCCTGAACAACTTGCTCTGGTAATTGTGGACTGCGCGGCAGATGTACTGGGCCGGTGTTCTGCATTCCGTGCGGTTAACGCAGACGATGGTCTGGTTAAAGCCAGGACGGGAATGATGCGAAAGAAGCAGAATCTACGAAGGCATGATACCATCACCATCATGTTACCGAAAATTAATTGGTGTTCGTACTTCGTAGGTTTTAATGTTAAATTAAAATGCCAAAATCTAAGGGGCCAGTCGAACCCAGTTTCACACACTTTTAGGCCTTCAAGTTTCAATGCAATCTTATTGTTATTATAATATTATTGGAATCTTGATATTGTCATCGCGCTTTTGTTATTAAAAATGACTTAATGCAGTCTTTCTCCTTTATTAATTACCTCACCTCTTTTAAGTAGTAGCTTACCTTGATGTTCTCTCTATGCACGTCAAATCATTCGAACCACGAAAATCACGTTCTTCAGATAATTTTCTGCTGGGTCCAAGCAAAGGAATTACCAGTCCAAATAAAACATACCGAACTGGGTTAAAACTTAAACATGTGCAAATCAAAATAACACAAATCAAAAGCAAGTGCACTGTGCAAATGATGCAGCAAAAACACAAAATGAGAAAAAATTTGACGATCTTCGTTGCCCTTTGAAGCTCAAAGCGACGGCTGAGCGGATGTCCGTGTAAAGCCAATCAGAGTCCTTGGGTGTTGTACCGCCCAAAGCCCCTTCATGAATGAACTGGACAAAGAGAAGTGTCGCGAGCTTTACGCACTCGCTTTACATCCGACTTGCGGTGACTTCAGCCGCCTATACAGGGAGTTACTTTAAACGTTAACGTCTTTTCAGTTTTACTGATAAAAAGAATTTCTGAAATTGATTTTTTATATTTCAGAGGATTTTTTAATAATAATATCGGTGACCTGTTATGTGACAGTTTTAATTTTGAGTAAGTACACAACAGAAAACCACAAGATCCACGTATCCACGTACGCTCGGACTAAAGGTAAGTTCTTCCGTTTGACGGTTGTCACACATTTTGTGATTTTTCCATGTGGTTGGATATGAGAGTTGAGACGATTCTGTCGAAGAGCAGTTTCTCAGATCGTATTCTAAAGTACTCCGGTGGCATTAAATCTGTTCTTGAACGTTTCGTCATTCTCAATAGGAGACCGTCTTTAAAGTTAGATAGAATCGGGTGTCGGTTGCCTCCACAATGATCGCATCGGGACAGCAGACTGCCATCGGGCGTTTAAATGGTGAACTTCTGCAGGGAATGGCTGGAAAATTTGTTAGTATTATTGGAACCGTTGAACAGGTAGACTCCTTCCGAGAACCTTTGTAAACATCGCGTTGTTGCTTATGTGTGTTTGGGTTGATGTGCACAGGTGGATCAATCTGGAAGAAATTTTAAGCTACGCAGCACTGATAACCAGCTGATCACCGTGCGCATGAGAGAACCGGTAGAGATTGTTATTAATTATTTTGTACATTTTACGGTTTGTTAGTCGTTTTCTGGTCGCAGTTAAATGAAGCGATTCAAGGACTTATTGAAGTGGATGGGCAAGTTGGAGGTTTCAACAGCATTGACTGTCATCGCTATGTTCTGTTCGAGAACTTTGCCATTGATGCGCCCTCGCTTTCGCAAAATTTCGGTGAGTAAAATTGTAAAGACAGTAAAACTGTAAAAGATTAATTATTTAGTCATTGAAAAACAAAAGATACGAACGCCCTAGGGTTTCATAACACTGCCTTTTTACGCCCAAATAACAGCTTTTGAGGTGCATGTATGTAGGTATGAAGTCAGCAACAACAAGTTATTCTAATTTTGAATAATAACAGCTGTCAAAATTCAACAGGCCGCTAGTATCTGCGACATGGCTTTTGCGCACGTATCTGTGACTAATCTCTCCGCTGTGATTAAGAGAAAAAAATGAAAAATGTTCCCACCAGTGATAACGCATACGTGATCGGAAGTGATCTGAGAGCGTCGTGAATCTTGCATTCGTATTGTGTCTGTCAGGACAACGAAACACAAAATTTCAAGCCTTATTGCGAAAATCATTCTAATATAACGACTAATATTTATCTGTTTTTTTAGTGTGCAATAATTTTGCTATGTTGATTAGGCGTGACTGGTTACGGTTATGATTAGTTCACAAATTTTCGCTAGATTAGTGCAGCTCATTAGTTAAATTTATTAATTTACGCTTAATAATAATTAACACCGTAATTAACTGCTGTAAATAGTTCATAACGAATTTCTGCTAAGTTAGTGAGTTAATAATAATTAATTTAATTACGCTTTATGATAATTAACGCCGCAATTAACTGCTTTAATTAGCCAACGAATATCTACTCAATTAACAAATTAATTAGATCTAATTATTTACGCTTATTAATAAATAACAGCATAACACCAAAATTAACTGTTATAATTAGTTCACAAATTCGTGCCCGATTATAAGTTAACTATGTAATTAAATCTATTAAGTAATTTACTCTTAATAGTTAATAAATAACAACCATAATAACCTACCGTTATAGTGCAATATGGCGTCACTTCTGACAATTTTAAACAGTTCAGGACACTTATAACGAGTTGCTGAGTGGTCATGAATGTAGGCATGAATTATAAAACCGAGCTAAATAGCTCGGTTTTATAATTCAGCAACTGAATCTCCATCTGACCAATGCGCGCGGCGTTATCAGTGAATCTGACTGACTCACAAATCAGTGCGTGAGTTGTTGCGCGCTCGAGCGTTTTGACCTAGATACAATTCGCATCAGAGTCCTGATACGTGGTAAATTTGACAGACAACAATATAGAACTTTGTGATCACGTGACTTGTATGCACACTAGCTTTGTGGCACTGTATAATATTGCTGTTTTTGTCAGCGTTCTGGCGTGATCTGATGCAATGAGAGGGTGGTTGTCGGCCTGGCCCGCTGTTCCCTTGCGTTTTGATGTTCATGTTTGATGCAGGACATATTATTACAGATGCCTTTTGCTTTATCTTTTTCAGATCCAGAAACCTATAACGTTGCCGTCAAAATTGCGGCAGGACATCCAAATCATTTTAAAGTCTTCGAGTAGAGCTGCGGGATCTGCTAAGCACGCCAGTGCATACGGATTTCGCGAATCTTATTGTCAAAAATGTCATGTTTAGCACTGATCTTCCAGTGAATTTCTTACCGACAGAATCATTATTGCTGCACTGCATGCGATCCGTTCCTAAGTTTTGCTTCAGATGCTTTTACACTGCTGCGTTTATTCCAGTATTTCTGTATTATTGTTTTTTATGCTTGAATCTTTTTTTTGGGAACTAGCCTCCCCTCTTTCCATACCGCATATTTAGGTTTAAACCTTGCGATTCACTGCTGCCTGCAGGTGTTTAATGCGCTGAATTCCACCAGTACGAGAAAAAATCCTGCACAAAGCACACCAGAGTATTTTCCAGCAACAAATAGGTACTATATTTCAGTTTAGAAGTTTGGTGCGAAACTGTTGCCTAATAATAAAAAGCTGGTTCCCAGGGCTTCCCACACAAACATGGAAGCGAGAGCAAATATTACAAAATGTGAAAATTAATAAACATTGTTTCTGATTACAGTACTGCAGTCTTAAATTATTAATATTGTAGACCAGCTAGGCAGAGAAGAGAAAAATCTGAATATGCACTAACTGTAATATTTTAACCGGTAGCGGTAGGTGTTAATTGGAATTCTACAGCGGCAAGATATCGATTCAGTAGTTTGTAAAAAGTTAGGTACTGATTGTGAGCTAATGTCAGGTAGTACACTTGAATGAACTTCTATCGTTTCCCAGAATAGCGGTCCAGAGCTGTTTTGAATACGTCCAGCGTAAAATCGACATCTTCTTTGGTGATACACATTGGAGGCTTTATCCGGAACACCTATGATAAATTAAAACTCTACTCGTAGCTGATATATTCCACAATCATTGGCGCATTAAGGAGAATTTATACTATGGTAGCAAGACTGAAAATGAGATTTTCGAAATTCTACAGTGTAATAATAATAGTTACATCTATTACTGGGCGAAAGTAGAGTAGATTAAGGTAGCAACGAAAAAACTTATTCAAGTTTTTTCGTTGCCGACCAGGAGCGATTTGGCGGGCTAGCGTATCTTTCTACAGTACTGCCACCTGTGATTAAATTTAGTGAAAGAAAGATTGCACCGAGATGTGCTTTCTTTCAATCTGGAATATGTCAATATGCCTTGTGGCTGTTATACATATTCCAGCCAGACTGCAAGTGTAATAGGACCAGACAAGGCTCATGTACACAGTGAGGACGAATACAGCATAACAAAGGCGCTAAACAATGGAAGCACGTGGCGCTATCCAGTTAGTGCACATGAAAGAGTGGCCAAAGTCCACTCTTTGCTGTGCACACATTCAGTGTGGCGGCACTGCAAGCGCAGAATCGGTAAGACCAAAGGAAAGCGCAGAACAAAAGAAAGTTCTTCGCCACTTTCTGAAAAATTTTCCAAAATTGACTTCTAAACTCAATAACAATTTTCAAAGATGTCAGAAAATTCTGACATTTGATCAGATTCAAGAAAATTCATTTTCAAGAAGAATGGTGGAGCGTTTTTGTGAAAAATGTTTGCGTATTCTATAAAAAATAAAGAAAGTAACTTTGAGTGTAAACAAGTTTGTTTTTTTCAAGAATGGTTGAGTTTATTGGAAAAAACGCTCCACAGAACTTTAGTCATTTTAGCGGAACACGTCGCTACGCTTGAAAGAAAGATATCAAAAATCTGCTTGAATTGCTATTGCTTCCGGAAAATAACGGCTTTTGATCAGTAACTTTTACATTTTAAAATTGTCTAACCAATTTCAGATTTTCTACGTATGTAGCGAAAATATCATAGTGTTAGGTCAGATGAGTAGTTATGATGCAGCACAAGCGCACGCATTGCGCCAGCGAGAATAGTAAAAAGAGGTCGAAATCGGTATAATCTCTTCTTAAATAGATAAGAAACTGATGATCGCTTTGAAAGATCTGGTGATGGTTTATTAATAGTTAAATTATTAATATTAACGTACGTTTCCGTAATATCCGCCTTTCCCAATGAGTACGCCCAAATCTTTGGTAGTCTCCCAGATTTCGGCCATATCAGCAGCCGGCAGTGGCGTCTTCGACTTTCTGTCTTTCACCATTTCTACACCAACCATGAGACCTTTTCCGCGCACATCACCGATTATTTCATAGTTCTCCTGTAATTTGGCCAATCCTTCCAAAAAATGCGTTCCCACTTTAGCGCAGTTTTGTTGTAAGCCTTCTTCATCGATAACCTGCGATGCATAACATGAAAAGTTTGTACTTTAAAATCCCGTCCCCTCAAATATGGCATTTCACTATCTGTACTGACGTCTAGAACAGCTGATCCAATAGCACAAGCTAGTGGGCCCCCTCCGAAAGTGTTGAAATGGCTGGCTGCTGCTAGACTTTTGGCGATTTCCGGTGTCGTTACCACTGCGGCCATAGGGTATCTGTCAAAATTCAGTTTTTTCCAGCATATATCACTACACATGAGGTGCTTATTAGCGCCTTCGACGAAAATTCTTACCCATTTCCAATGCCTTTGGCCATGGTCACTAAAAACGCACAGACAACCGTTTTTAAAGGAATTTGCTCATGGTCGATCAGTCGATCTTATAATTATAAGTGTTATTGTAGTCCGGCGATTTTCGACTATGGCATCCCTTTAGCAATGGCTTTCTCAGATCACGCTTTGGTCGGTTGCCCTTTCCTTAACACATTTTTCTTACCGATATCCGGTACGACACCGTGCGCTTCGAAACCCCAGTAATGTTCTCCAGTGCGTCCAAAGCCGGTCTGCACTTCGTCCGAAATGCACACACCGCCGTGATCCCGAATAATTTTGAATGCGCGTTGCAGGAATGTCTTGGGAAATTGTATTGTTCCTCCGACTCCCTGGAAATAAGAAACAATGCATTAGTCACCCGCATTCTACGACAGAAGTTCGTTGCTGAGTTATGACCCCGCGTTATAAATAAGGTGCCACCACATCAAATTTTACCTGAATGGATTCTGCGAACATTCCACCGATTCTTCCTTTAGGACAACAGAAGCGTAGTACATCTTCCAGTTGAGCGATATACTGGTTGCCGGCTTCGCAAGCTTTGTCCGACTGACAATCGCAGTTTCTTGTGGTCTGCAGAGCAATAAGCAGTCATACGTACTACAAACTGCAAATGTAATCGGGGGTCAGGATTATTTAAAAACAGCCCTTGAAATTAATAAAAACTGCATAACGCAGTACGTATCTATTAAAACGATGTGGATGTACGAAATTATGGCTATGTAATCTGCATAAGCGGAAATTCTCTCCACCTTGTTTCAACTTACCTGAACCGGAGAATCTCGACAGTATTTGCCACCCCAAATGCCCCGATACGGGTCAGGATTCATGGTATGATGAATGCCGAATCCGACAGGAAGGTTATAATGCCAAGTGGACAGAGCTGTCAAGCCCAACAAGTTGGGACTGGTTCCATGATAAGCGCTCCTGTATGTACGTGAGATATTTAAAACTTGTCACATACTAGACAATATATTTATAGATGATACTTCGTGCCGAGACATTACGAAAGCTTTCGTAATGTCTCGTTCGTACATATGCGAATACATACTTCTATACATAAGGTGGCATTTTATTTATGTAAAAACCAATCAGTCAACGATAATTAAACGAAAATAATTATTTTCACATCACATATAGCATGAAATTATAGGTATGTGATTGTCATGAGATGGTATTTCTAAAAAGCATTGATTGCTGTGTAGAGAATAAGGTTTATGGTTAGGCAATAACAGTTTTACCGACCGAAGTCCAATGATGTCGTAACAACCGGAATGCAATCTGGCCAGTAGCATTGCCAGATCGTTAGCTTCTGATCCACTGTTAACGAGGTAGACATTCTATGCAACCAGTTAATAGCAATTATTTCGAATGTATAAAAAGTTTATAACGTTCCGGAGTTAATCTACTGTTTAAAAAGCAAACGGGACAAAAAGCCCACCTTCAGATTTCCCGGCATTTTACTGGTCAGTTTCTCCACATATTCTTGCAGACCGGGATACATGTAAATTGAGGTAGTGTGCCACAGTTTCTTCAGCTGCCCTTCCGCCGCTGCCAACACCTTCCTGAACGATGACACATGCAACGTCAAAGCGTTTGGTATTTGTTTGTACAATCGAGAGAAAACCGCAAATGAATATAACACAACTAATACTGGATAACAAATACTGATAACGCAAAAGCAGTGCAAAGTTTCAATTAAAGAATAAACTTTGTGATAACGAAGCAGCTATATATACTTCTATGTCTTTTTATGCATGTACCATTCAACACATAAAATTATGTGATAAAGCAAAATACAAAACTTACGGATGGCAGTGTCCTACACTCACGGTGACAATTCCTGCAAACATGTCCAGATATCGCTTTCCAGCATGATCCCATAACCACTGCATATGGCCTTGATGGATCATGAGCGGCTTCTTGTAGTAAGCGTAACTTTGCGTGCTGGGAAAAAGATGGCTTTTCCGCAGCTTAACCGTTTCTTCCATATTTAAACCCTGTCAAAACAAGGAAACTGTAATAAAAATATTATTACCAGAAAATAATTAAGAAGTGCAACTCAAAATTAGGATGCATGATGGTGTTGTTGTTCTGTTGATTCTTTCTTTACTTATAATAATTACTTTATATGCAACCGGCTTAAAATCGCATCCTGGCATTTCCGGTGCTCCTTTTACAGATGCCGCTAATCTCGTTGTCGAGGACAAGTAGCGTCGCGATATCATTGCTGCCATTCCTGCGAGTACTGCAAAATGCAAATCAGAAGTGAAGCAATGCAATTTGCAGTTTGTTATTCAAAGACCCATCAAATAATGACTACGTTGCACTTACCTCCAAATTAGTACAAGGAATGTCCAAAAAAATAAGTCACAAACTGGGAAGCCGGAAAACGAACAAAATTACAGGCAAACCACGCAGTGCACAGGGTCTGAGGAAAAAAAATTCAAACCCAAAGTTGCAGCTGTAAAATTGTTACTAACAGCCGTGTATTGTACAAGTAACTCCAAACTTGCCACGTCCGTGCGTTAGGCAAATCTGATTCTAGTCTACAGTTATACAGCCCTTGGATGTCGAGCAGAAGGAACCTGGAGATGCTATCGAAAAGATAACGGAAAAGATTAGATCACTGCAGGCACCTGAATGTGTGTACACAATGCAAACTTAATACAAATAATACAAATATTGTGGTACTGCCGTGTTGACAAGAAATTTTTACCTGCCATGCAACTGTATCTGTACGGTGTATACCTCTGTGAATTTGTTCAGTTTTGTTGCGAACATTGAGGTTCAAAGGTACCGCAGCTGCTGACTGCAGCGAAAAAGAAGAAAGCAGAACATATCCTCCGCTCATGCAGAAGAATTCATATGTTCATTAGGAAATTGTTGTGTTTTGGTAAATTGATCAGCAGATTCGCACACACGCAGATTACTCTCTTGTACTGCGATCGCTGTCACAAACCGTAATTTTACCGCGCGTACGTTACAAATCGGTCCATGTATTTATTTTAAAACTGATGAAATATTTTTCCGGTTTTTGCATCAGAATCTTCTTGAAGTTATTCAATAATGCGTCGCACATTCTGACTTGCAATTGACAGGAAACACCACAAGCATTGTTTACAAGTAATCGACCGTACCGACATCAAATAAGAAGATTCTAACAAACCGGCAAAGATCTATTTCAGTTTTTAAAACTACGGTGTGTTGGACATCCATCAACCCCAACACAGAAATAAAATTCTCACTTTTGCAGTGCCTTTAGTCTCTTATATAAAATTGCCGCAAGCCAAACTGTGCATCGTTTCAATCAAAAGTAAAGTGCAACTCATACTCAATCGATCCATTTACGAAATTACTTACGATTATTACAAACCAGCGGCTCATCATACAGTAATACAAGCTATGCAGGATCTGTTCAGGATTTCTTCCGTGCACCTTCGTTAGCTAACTTGTCGGCGTGTTTCTGTTCGTCAGCATCCGCACCAGCGAGATTCTGCATAATATAAATCAGAATTATCATTTTCCAGCCATTATACTCTATGCAAAACATAAAATTAGTGGTACTAGGGCAATGGTTACCCATGATATTTGCAGTCCTTCCGCGGCTTTCGCTAACTCTTGATAATCTTCCTTATTTGCCACGTCTGTTCCAGCATTTGTTTTCCATCCGTTCGATTTCCATTTGCTTACCCAAGAAGACATACCTGAGAAGAAAATGCAATGGTACAAAACTACAAAGTACGATCGTCGTCAGCTAATAACCAACGAAGAAATGAAGTACGTATTTAGTTTACTTTTTTGCTTCGGACAACAATATAATTAATAATACGTACGATTACGAAAATAATAATAATACGTACGATTACGAAAAACAATCGTCAATACTTGCTTTGATCCAGCGCTTACTTTGTATCAAGTTGGAGTTGTCGTTGTTAATAGTGACATCGCTTTTCCCAAGCTTTTTTATCTGATTCACAACACGAATAGCTGCATGAATTAGCGCACGATTCAAAGTAATTTTTCCGGAAATAGCAAGAGGTTCCGATAAATTGTTGGGTGAATCCTTGCCCCAGTAGATGCCCACCCCGGCGACCGGCTGTTTACCCAAATTGAAGGAACATCCGTCAACGTATACCTGCTCTCCACCTGCCGGCACAGAACTTCAGCAATCGATTTTCAACGAGCGATTTCATATGTGCCACTACAAAACGCACAAACGCAGCTCTGCATTACCTGCACCCTTGGATGTGGCTTGGTTACTGGTCTTTGCTTTTTTTGACGGGACCGATTCATCCTCAGAATCATCCGACTCCTGATCGGATTCAGATTCCTCCGATTCACTGGCGCTGTCCTCACGTTTTGATTTGGAAGCTGCTCCTCTTTTTCCGGTTGCTGCCTTCGTCGAAGCAGTTTTTCCCGGATTAGTTCCGGACACAAAACTTTCAGCTTCCTCCCGGGTGTCAAATTTTTTGAACTGTGCACCGTGGAATCCAATAGTCTGTTGCTGACAATCGTTCCTGCGAAACACGGCTATATGAAAAACCCATAAACTGCATAAAGCATGCTGGGAACACGACAGATAGGTATGTAGGAGAAGATCAAGAGAATGCAGAATGCTCGCATGATGATTTACTCTACTTCTGTGTTCATATTCTCACAATCAAAGGAAGATTCAATAGATTTATGAGCCTAAAAAACAACTCTATGCAGGCTATGACTAATGAACATATGCCTCAATACTGCTTTTACAGTACGCAATACTACACATACCGACACAAAATAAACGATTCACAAAAAAATCTCCATATTTTTCACATAATATTATTATAATATCACTTCCGAACTCCACACTGCAGTACAATATCGGCAGCGCGTTCAACTCTACGTTTCACAACCTAATGCCAAGCCTAAGTCAGCTTAAAAAGCACTCACCACTTCTCATAAACTCCTGGTTTCTTCCCTTTCTTCACAGCGTAAAAAGGCATCTGCAAAACACTTACATAAATAAACTATGGTAGAAGTACAAACAGGTAAATAAGCTTGCAGGAACTGTGTACTTGTACAGAAATTATATGCAGGATGAGTCCCGATTTCCTTGTTACTGCCGGGTGGCTTATCCAGTATTTCGTAATCTCTTTTAGCTGTTACTAGTAACTTATAACTTACAATAGCAAAAGACTGTCCAAAATTCCCAATAAGTCTGCCTAATATCCAGACATACCTTGTTAAGATTTATTCACAGTCCTGCAACTCCAGATGAACGACGCTCCAGCTCCAAGAGGATGCTTCAATATCTCAGTACGGGCAACCGCTAGTTACAGCTGACGACTAGGCTTTGAGTGCGTTTAAATTAGCACAAATAAAGGAAAATGTGACAGGCCACAAGATCACAGGAGCAGAAAACTAGTATGCATACTCATTCAAGATTACAGTTTTGAAAAAGTAACAGTGTACTGTACATCCATCTTTAGCGAGCTCAAGCAGAAGCCACAAGCAGGAAATGAGGCATTCCTCGTGCACCAAACATGCCAAAGGCATACAAATGCCGGCTGTCACAAAACCGCTTCATGAGCCGCCGAAACAGTTGCGGCTGGTATAACGGTTGCCACAAATTCACAATCCATATTTATAACACGTACGAGTATAGGGTGCAACACAAGGAAAACTAAAAAACTGAAAGCACGTCGAAATTAAATGAGACAGTTTTTAAATTCTTTATGCCTTTAAACTTTTTTGTTTAAAGTACCACACTGGAGGCGGCGGTTACGCTACACATTTAAAGGAGTGGTTTCATTGTTCGTTATGCTTACCATGGTTAGTGGCAGTGCTTACACTTTACACACTTTTACAGAGCGTACGCGTAGCGGCGATGTATGTATGGGAGACCTCAGACCAAATTTGCCAAATTAAAAACTGAAAACATTTCTAAAAAGGTGGTTTTTATGGTTTTAAGTTGAGAGTCTTGAGACTGTTATTAATTTGTCAAATTTGATATCCTAGGATATACGGGAAAATTCTCCATTGGCGCGCCTGGCTAAATCTGGCTAACAGCCGCACAAAGGCCTTCAGGAAAGAACTTCAAAGAAGATCACGAAAGTCGGACATGTCGAATGATTTCGGAAATGTGTCCCAAGGAACATCGTGTATTCCCGAATTGTTTGTCGAAGAACTGCTGCGAACAGGTAATAGTAAATAGTAACTTCAGTTTTTCTCCTTTCTTTTGTGGCTCTTACGCGATTTAAACGTTTTGTTAACATAGAGTGTGTAGGTGTAAAAATAAGGAGGTAACGTAAGTATTCGTATCGTTTCGGTTTGCGTTTAATTACTGTTTATATAATTGTATGCAATATTCTTGCTTTAAATCGCTACAATGATAACATCCGAAATTTTTACAGCATCACGAAATACTGAAGCAAAATTGTCAGTGGCATCTGTTCAGAAAGCCAGCGTGAGGATCCTCGACCTATTCGTCCAGCTGGCTGCAGAGCCTCATTCTAAGGATAAGCTTTCTGAATTACTTGAAAACACGTCTGGAAGAGGTGATGTAGTGCTCTCTGCGGTGGCTAAAGATGCTGCGGAACGACTGCGCTATCTGCAGAAAACTTGTCAGGAAATCTTTCGAGAGCCAAATCTGTCCACTGAAAATATCTGCAGTTTTTTGGAAGAAAAGAAGGAGACCATAACGAAAAAAGAAGTGTGTTACGAAAATTTTCTTCCTTTTGCAAGCGTGCTCAACTGAACTGAGCAGCTGATATTGACCTATCCTTCGTAAATAAATTTTGCTGTATTCTTAGGCCCATCTCGCTGAAGTTATTACGAAGCATGATCAAATGGTGCAGGGAAATATTTATTTAGTGCAGTCCACAGCAAAGTCACTGGCTGAAACCGCAGGGAAAAATCAGCTGGACCAGGCCAGAGATTCCGGTGATGAAGCATTTTCTGCAACACTTGAAATGTGCCAAAAGTTGGAAACGTCGCAGCTCCAACGTGCCAAATGGACTTTGATGGAGAAATTCTATACCCCCGAGAAAATCACAGAGTTACGCTTGGTTTACGAGGAATTGATGAGAATGAAAACGGATCTGGAGGGCGATATTGATGCCACCTTAGCGAAAAAAGAGGAATATGAATCTCTTGGAGCGGAGTTTCGGCAGTTGGCTGTTCGCTATGGTAAAATTTTGCGGGACATCGAAGTGAAAGAAAGAATGCTTTCTCAAACTCTTTCACCCTAACTGAGCGGTACGAGTACGAGCAGCACAAAGTGCAAGGAAATACGTTGCCTACACCGAATTCTCCTTTTAGAATTTCTACTATTTCAGAATTTCGTGACAATTTTTGCTTACTATTTTCTGTTTTCGGCTATGGTAAAAAGTTAAACGGAGTTCTGTAGCTTGCAGTTGTATACTTCATGTGAATTTTTTGAAGTAATAAAATTTGGAGCCTTATTAATTTTGACAGTAAATGCACGAAAGAATAGGTTTAATTTCCTCGAAGTCTCAAATCTGCCGAATGCGTACCTAATCTGTCATCATCCGTTCAGCAGTCTCACAGATCCACAACAGTACCCTATCCAAAAAACGTGGAAAACACACAAAAATAACCCCACACGATTGTGTGATAAGTAGGAGTGTGATAAGTCAGCTGAAGTCAGCTGATGATAAGTAGTGTGATAAGTCAGCTGAACAGCGAAGGAATTTCTACCAGATTCGTAAGTGTTTTTGTTCCCCCACGTGGAGACAAGCGCACTGCGACGTTTGCGCGGATTGGAATATTCAAAGACGATGCTGATAAAATCCTACGACCTGAACTTTGGCCCTCCAACGTTTTCGTGCGAGAATGGGTGTACTGATTGATCTTGTTGACTATTGTGATATCCTTCGTTTTATGTTACATACTGAAATAACTTTGTTTACTGTGCATTGTGATTACGATAGCTGGAAGAATTTTTGAAAGGGGCTGTCATTTTTTGTGGCAGCTGATCTTGAACGTTTGTCTGCAACCTCGTGCAGGCGTTTACCTGATTGTTGTAGACGTTAAGCTGATTAAACAAACAAACAAACAAACAAAGGACTAATAAAAGGTCTCAGAGAAGTACTGGTATTTCGTATTGAAGGAATTACAATACACTAATACAGTAACATAATAATTATTATTACATTTAAAATTAAAACATGTCTGACACTGACCACCACATGGTGGGTGTTACGTTAGGCTTCTGTTTTGAACTTTTACCTATGTACTTATTCGAAGACTGGAAAGTTGAATTGTTAATTGTGATCATGATGTGTTATAAAGCAGTTTAAATTTACGATTAATAATCGATTTTAGTACTTGCTTTTCAAAATCGTACCTTTGAAATTCTGCTGAAGAGCGGGATTCCTTTTAGGGTCTGCTGACTTATGGTGTAGAAAGCTTTCGTGGGCATCACACTAGGTTTTCCAGCCGCTGTGTCACTCCCTTGAAGTCCACGATGAACAGATTCGGCAGCCGCGGTCGTGGACGAGGCGATTTTCGCCGCTTTGACAATGCAGGACCAGGTCGTGGAGGGCAACGTTTTAGTAAGTGATGACTTGATATTTGTCACGGAATTCGAATAAAAGGATTATTTGGTAATAGATCAATACGGGAACCGTCGCATGAGCGGTGGGGGCTCCGATCACGAGCAGGAAGAAGCGGAGCGCGAAACGGGAACCAATGATATCGAAAAAAGGCTAGAATCTCTTATTACTCGCCTCGGGGAGAAGGTTTGTTCTCCATGCTTGATATAATCCTTAAGAATACAATCTATGGAATGCAATCTATGTTAAATCTCTGGCGTTTTAGAGTAGTGCTTCGCTGGAGAACAACATCAGAAACCTGGCCAAGGTTCTCAGCTCGGATATCGCCAATTACAAAGACACCATTCTGAATATTCTCCTGAAATGGTAATTCTTCCTGTTTTATATTCTTATCACGCATCAGTTCAAGTAGTTTGATGGTTGCAGCGCGACGTCTATGCCGGAGAAGATTACGATCTACACGTGCTTAGCGGGAGTTCTGAATGTGGACAATTATTCATTTGGCGGAGAGTTTGTTGAGGGTTTGGCTCGACGTTTCCAGGCCGCGCTTCAAGAACCAGATTTCAGCCAGGCCGAGCTAATAGTGAGGGATTCTATAGTAAAGCTATGATCCAAATTAAAATATTTTGTCTGTGTCCGCAGCTCCGGGGAATTGCGGACTGCGCCAACTGCAATTTGATCAGCCTGTCAAGTCTGGTGAATTCTCTGGAATCATTGCTGGAAGTCACATTTGAAAAAAATATCCCACAGGTGAGTGTGCTGTTAAGTTACAGCACTTTTCAGTGTTCCACTGAGATAGTTGTACAGTATATTCACTATATTGCTAGTTGTATAGTTCGGATTTTGCAGTTAGCCATTTTGAACAGAAAGTCTCTGGTACTGTAGTGCTTTAATGATATGAAGTAGTTATGAAAATATGGATCCGATTTTGTTATTTACTGGTATAATTGAGTGAATTTTGACAGTTCATGAATTTAGAAAGAAAGTAATCGCTTAGAATAACTCAATTGTAAAAGCGAAAGTTTAAGTATCATATTTATTTGTGTGTAATCCAGGCACGTTCCGACTGGTATACTTATGCCGTCCTTTCCTGTCTGCCATGGATCGGTGAAAAACTGAATTTCAGCCGGCCTGATGATCTCAAGAAGCTGCTGGATGATGTTGTGGCTTATACATCCCGCAGAAAACTTTTGCATGTTAATGCCCTCCGCATCATCCGATCTGATGATCCCTTGCCACAAGAAGATGTACATTCTTTGCACTGTTGTTTATCCTGATGCTTTGCAGTGTATTATAGAACAGTGTTATTTGCATTTCAGTATATCGATTCCCTCTGGAATCAGGTCGACGATTTGAAGAATCGGCAGTGGCGCGAGAAACACATCAACCGGCCTTACGCCACCTTGCAAGCTATTGTTACCCGTGGCCAGGCACATAATCTGCCCAAGTTGAGTCCGGCGGCTCATGAAGAAGACAGTGTATATCCATTGCCGCAAGTGGTATTTCGGTTGTTCGATTACACCGACTGCCCAGAGGGAAGTGCGCTGCCACCTATGAACTCCATTGAGCGGTTCTTGATCGAAGACGACTTGAAAAGGATTATTGTCCAACATTACGAAGATCGGCGGCAGTGCGCGACACTGTTACTGAACTACCCGACGACGCAAGTGAATGTACCGGTCGATTATGTGGTAACGGAAGTAATGTTGGGGCAACTGATGCAGCTGCCCAAATCTCCCCATAAGGATATCATGTATGGAGCTACGATTTTGGAACTGTGTAAAGTGCGACAGGATGTCATGCTGCAGACCCTAGCTTTGGCCGTCTCGTTGCTGTATGAGAGGATCGAAAATCTGAACATTAGCTGCCTGCACCGGTACAACGTGAAAAAATTGAAATGTGTTTTGAAAATTGTTTGGCTTATTATTGATTATGATTGTTTTGTTTGTGGGACAGTTTGGCGTCATGGTTTGCGTACCATTTGAGTAACTATGATTACCGCTGGACATGGGATGACTGGAGCGATTGTTTGAGTGTTGACAAGGATCATCCCAAGGCGAAGTTTGTCTCCGAAGTATTCCAGAATTGCATTCGGTAATTTGCGAAGGTTTGAACTTTTATGATTTGTTTTATCTTGGTATGGCGTTGTAGATTGTCGTATTACGAAAGAATTGCGGAGACAGCACCTCAGCGCTTCAGAATTTTCCTACCGGAAACACCATATCTGGAAAGAAAGTTTGATGTGGAAAATCCAGGTACTTGAAAAATTGCGTTTAGTGAATTTGTAAGTGTAGGTGCACGACATGCCTTACACTTCCTTGTCAAACCTTCCAGAACTTTTCCTCCTGCTCGTAAAGCGATGAATGTGCTGATATGCATTGAGTTGCAGCTATTTAATACTACGAGTATGTTGGTCTTTACGTGCAGCAGAAGAAAGCTTCCAATTCTCAAAACAGAATCTCAGCATAACCGATATCGGTTTGACTGTTTTTTGAAGAGAGTGTTGCCGGGTGCCAACAGGCTATCGAGGTTCACCAGGAAATGGTTGGCAAAAAAGACCCCATACGAATTTCTGAAATTATACGGAGCGTACCAAAGCCCGAGGATGCCGATGGTACGTACTGTAAACTGCCGCTGATCAACGTGAAATGTGATCAGATTTATTTGACTTGGATAATTTAATACCTAATATTTATAATTCGCGTTACTTCAGATTCCGAATTTAATCCTTTACAAATCGATGTGTTCGTGCACGTGGTACTGGGCCTTTCAGCAAAAACCTTTACTCATCTCTTCGCTGCACTGACCAAGTGAGTTTGGTTTACAAATATTATAATAAATCGGAATACCGTTTCAGGACTGTAGGTTCAATTTACTTCACGATTTTGGCATTAAGAAACCTAATTTATAGAACTTAATACGTTGCCCTGGTGTTGCTAATGGGCTGCTGGAATCATTCTTTAAATTACTTACCCGATAAGTTCATAATTAGCGACGGTCAGTTTGCATCCAGATTTCTTATTGTAGGTTTGCTCCTATCATTCGCGATCTTCTCAGCAGCGAACAGGAGCAGCTTTACTTCCTTCAGAACATTTTCGAACTCTTTCAAAACCGAGAATACACTCTGATTACGTTGGTCGATCGTCTGCTTCGAATGCAATTAATCGAACCGGCTGGTGTGGTTAACTGGATCTTTTCTCCACGCATGAAAGCGCATTTCAGCCGGTACATGTGGTTCGGCGCCTATTCTATTTCCGACTGCTTTGTGGAAACTGCAGAATTACCTCGTACATTTTGAGTACGATGATATCTGTTTATGTTTGGTAGTTACTTTCTCTGGGAAATCCTTCAACAGACCATTCATCGGGTGTCCGCGCTGGTTGATCGCTGCCGTACGGAGCTGGCAGAAGCGAAAAATCGTGCAGAGGAGCCAGTAGAGGGCGAAGGAGAAAATAAAAATGAAGAAATGTTGGAGACGCTGGAAGAAGCCTATGACCGGAGCCTTAGTCAACAAAAAAGCATGTTTTTGGTCATTTTTCAGGTAAGCACGCTCTAAAAATTATAATATCGGAAATAGTTTGTCCATTTTGAGCGATTGACATTGGGTTCCGCCCTTCGGATGTTGTTACTGATGGCTGCATATTTAATATTCAGAGATTCGTCATGGCGTTTACGGATTTTCTGGAGCAGCAGGGAAACAAGGCTAAAATTACTGAATCGCTGTGGTGGAAAACAGCTATCGGGAACATGCAGTTTATTCTGATGACGGTAAATAATGGATTTTATTTTTTTGTAAAATTGAGTTTTTGTCTTGAATGTAGGTTTTATTTCAGAATTATCAGCTGATTCGACCGTACAACACTACACTGGAAAAGTTGGTTTTCACGAAAGAAATTGATAAGGCAATCCTGCATGCGTATAACGAATACGCTGCCATGCTGAATTGAGAATATTGCCTGCTGTGATTGTTTTGTTATACGGACGGTACTTTTTTGTTTTTATTTCTACCTGTGTACTAAATAGTAAATATGCAAGATTCTGGGGGAATACTTATTGTTTGCCACTTGGCTGTTGCGCAGAGTTCATTTCTGTACGGAAGATTTTGGTTAAAAACGACAACTGTTTGCTTTATGCGATGGAAAGTCTATTAGAGCTGCTTCTGTTTCGTTGTTACAGTACGGAGCAGGGACCCGTATTCATTAAAAGTATGATCACAGACGGAGTAATTTTCGCACACATTAAACGCTTTTGAATTTTCAGTAATAATTTAGTACGGTAAGACTGCTGTTGCACACTTATTACAATTCGCCTCACCAAGCGACGCTAGACCTCTCTGTGGGGATTACGAGCAAAATTGTTCTTCTGGCGAAGAACTAGAAATCCGAAACGCGGCCTTTACGCTCCCAGTCACCGTAGCGTGTAGGTTCGGGGCCTTTTGGTCCGCCACGTTCGCCAGTGTGCGGATTAACACCGTCTGGCCATGCCTGCAGAGGCTCTTTCTCGGCGTCAGGATGCACATACTGATCAAATTCATCCAGTTTTCCCGCAGGTGTAGTCCCGGGTTTTCTAGCTTGCGCAGGACTGGATAGCCTCACCGTAGCTTCCTGATTTTTGCATGCCAGCATTCCAGCCGAACTGTGTAAGGCATGGTGGGAAGAAGAGAGGAATGATGCGTGCGTGCAGTCGCGAAAAACAGAACCATGCAAACCCTAAAAATCATCAGTCTGTCAGATTAATGACAGGGAATGCTTAATGGCCACTAACCGAGAAATTTCAAACGTCCAACAGAGAAAACAGGAGAACTTCAGGTTTAGTGCTGTGACTTACCGTGTCACGAATCGCTCCAGAAACATGAACAAAGAAAGGCAGGCTCCTCATGATTCGGATAACCATGCTAACGGATAGGGACGACGCACGTCCTGCTGAAATGCTATTTGGATTCAAATAATTATGAAATACCTTCCAAGATCTAGAGTAGGATGCGTAATGTTCTTTCTGTTGTCTGCTATAGAAATCTGTAGATGTACTCAGAAATAATAGCATTTCCTCAATAAAATAACAAGAACCACTTCTGATAATTTTTTGTGATCAGGTTATTTTTGTGGCTCGTTTAGAGTACTGTAATAATAAAATTCAAGTTTAAATTTTAATGGAGTTCCAGTTATGGAGTTAATTCAAGTTCAAGTTTCCGTTTATTTGAAGTGTAAAAAAATGGGACAAGTGCCGCACCTGCCACCTCTCTGGGGTGGGGATACGATTTCGCGGCAAGTTTTTCTCACGCTTCACTCTCCACTTCCAGTCCCCAGTGGCTACCAGCCCTAGAGTAGCTGCCCTACTGCAACCTGTAAGACTTGGTCACTACCGATGGGTACCTCTCAAATTTCATCAGTAATACTAATTTCTGGAAATGCACCAATGAAGGTGGTATGCAATATGCATATTTTCGGCTAACTTTTCCATTTCAAAATGTAAAGCATTTTCAGGTACGTGTCCGTGACGGCGTCCAAACGCCCATAACTGTCTGCAACAATGACTACGGCGTCACTACGCTCATATGCATAGAAATAGGGAATATACAGTGTAATATGCCCTATTTCAATTTTCAAGTATGAAATTAATTTACGCCATTTCAAAGCAATCCCCATAAGCAGAAACGAAAATAATCGAAATTTCAATTTCTACACAATCTGAAGAATATTTACGAGCAACAAATTCAGAATTGTCATCAATTAATAAAACTTAAGACACGTTAATATACTTAACAATCCCTAAGACGATTTTGTTACTGATTAGGTAATGTCGGTTTAGTGTAGATGGTGCAGGAGTGTGGTGCATGCCACATTGATCCTTGCTGTGTTGAAGCCATCACCAGCGTTCACTGCAAGCACCACAACACCAAACAGTCGCAAGGCGTAGGTCGCGTTGGAAACTAACCATAAGAGGACAAAGTCCCTTTGCAAATGCCGCACGTCATCATGTTTATACAAATCATTTTATGCTGTCGACATCAGTTCGAGTTGCTTCGATTAAACTAAGACGAAGCAAGAGGAGTAATCGCATCATAAGCAATCACAACCATGCTACACTCAGATCATTGTCGATTATAATTGCTTAAAACCACCGGCCAAAGCCGACATTTAATCAACTGCATTAACTTTTAATGAGTCAATTTTTCTTAGATTAGAGTAATGTGTATCATCTGTATGCACAAGATGTCCAATAGCGTTGTCACACGTTATCTAAATTTGACAATGTGTGTACCAAATGCAATAAGCATTGTTATCGGGGTTACATTTGGAAGGAAGATCGGACTCCGAATCGCATTCGATCGAACGGCCGCAATATTCGTCAATTCATTCCTACCCGCGAGATTAGGCGAGTACTATGGCCTGGTTTAACAGCCAGTGCCTGCTGCATAGTACTTCTGTGATTTCCGCCCCCCTCATCGGTATGCACACGTTCCCGGCTGCGTTTCCCTGTTTTTCCTTTATAATAGACATACTCATTAAATAATTCGGTGTGAGTGTGTTGTGATTTTTTTCTTATCGATTTGGAAATATCTTTTTCGGGTGAGTGTGTATCGTGTTTCGTCCATTTTGCTTTCCACTATGCATGACATAATGGTGGACAGTACAGCGACCACAAATCCAGCCCCCATGGCGGGTGCTGCGCACTCACGTAATTCCCAGCACATGCCGACACGTGCACCGCATAATACTCGCTACAACAACCCGCCGCTGACGCGTTACAACAACAGCAACAACCCAACCCCGGCGATTCACCGAAGCCAAGAGGATGTCGATGGTGTGCTGTCTAAATTGAAGAATGACACCGGATGCACCGTTGAGTATGAACCGAATTTGCGTCGTGTACTTTTTCCCATGGAAGCGGCCACAGGCGATTCTTTGCGCAAAATGTCACAGCGCGGCTGTGAAGTCTTTCTCGGGCGCCTGCCACAAGATCTCCTGGAAGACGAGATCTTTGCCTTCTGCAAAGAGTCCGGCCGGATCCGGGAGGTACGGCTGATGTTATTACCGAATGGCATTGGTAACCACATGGACGGCGCGCTGAACCGGGGATTTGCGTTTGTGGTGTTCACTCGGCCGGAGGAGGCTAAGCGAGCCATCCAGACGTTAGATCGCAAGGAAATCCGACCCGGTCATAAGATTGGTGTTCGGCGAAGCGTTGACAATTGTCGACTGTTTATGGGTGGACTGCCACGGGATAAAACGAAGGAGGAGTTTGAGGCAGAGATTCGAACTATACCGACAATATGTACCAGTACCTTGCAAAGGGTGATTATGTATCCGTCCGTGCAGGACAAGACCAAAAATCGCGGATTCGCCTTTGTGGAGTTCGCTTCTCATCGTGATGCAGGTCCGTAGTATACAAAAAATCTTTGTCTAGTTAATTTTGTTTGTAACCCTATTCAGCGAAAATTTATTAAATAACGAAACCACAATGCGTTGCGTACGTATACACTGCTATACACGCGATTATAAGCGCGCTAAGTACGGTGCATTAACGGCCTGATATTGAGTAAAAGAACATGTAACAGTTAACTACATGTACAGTATCTTCTTCTTTTATACGGAAAACTGAAGACTAACGACGACGATATTTGTAGTAACGCTTGTACATGCGCAACTGCAGTAATGTTAGTTTACAAAACAATTTATGCAGTGACCCTTGTTGTTTGGTATTACCGAACAATTGAGCCGAAAAAAATTCATTTTGTTATTAAACTCGATCACTGCAGCTATTGTCCGGAGGCAGCTAATGCGGGATAGGGTGGCATTGTGGGGCAAGGATATTTGCGTCGATTGGGCTCAGCCGGAGGCGGAAGTGGACCAAGATGTGATGGATAAGGTGCGTAAGCAAAATTAGTCAGAGATTCGATAGTAACCGCAAGCTCGCGAGCTGAGTTTGTACACTCTGAGTTTTGATGTAGACGTTGTGTAGTCTAGGTTGAATTATGTATTGTATATAAACACTAATTTGCAATTTACCTATAATAATATTTCAGTACGTTTGCAACGAGCAAGTTGTGCTTGGGTTGTGTGAAAGCTCGTTGTATGAGCAAGTTGCGCACCTAACGCAAGTATGACACAACGTTATACACAAAACCTAATAAGCTTGATTTTTGCAAACAGGTGAACAGTGGGTACATATGTTTTTGGTTCATATATTTTGGTAATTAAAATTAGGTGAAATTTATTTAATCTGGTTTCTAGATATTGACGCTATCGTGCAAATAGTTTGGCTATCGGTTGTAAGTCGTGCAACACGGGTTCACTTCGATAATGGTCTGATAGCTTGCAACACAATAAGAGCAGACATTTACAAAATGTACGAGAAGGCTGCAAGCAAAATTTCTTTATATTATTATGTACCTATTGTCGACCTAAGTAGCCGATAATCTGTTCCTGACAGATTATCGGCTCCGAAGAAATTATCTGTCAAAATGTCAGTTTACCTTTCTTTTGCAACGTAATCTTTGAACTCGACTATTGCAAATTATTTTGAGGCCGTATTGCACCACAAATCAGAAGAAATTACATAGAAAGGGGATATTTACCGCATCTGGGATTACTATATTATGGATGTCTGGCCCCTGATACAGCCTCGGAACATTTTGTTATCTAAAAATGTTTACGAGCACATATAAAAAAATTTTTGACAGACCGAGACGTCTCCTGTATGTATTGGCACCATAATAAGGTTTTGTACTGCAGCATGCATTACTATTTACGTGGATTTGAATGTTGTTACTCACGTGTTCTCATTGTTACACAGGTTCGCATAGTTTATGTGCGAAACCTTCAAGTGAATACCTCAGAAGAAACTCTGTATGAGATTTTTTCTGGTGTCGCTCGGAATGGCAACATTGAAAAAGTCAAAAAGCTCAAAGATTTTGCCTTCGTGCACTACCAGGATCGCAAAGATGCAGAAGCCGCAGTTTCGGAACTGAACGGTAACCTACGTACACTTTCGTACAGCGCTGGGGATCTATTGCTACACAATTATTATGCATATACAGTACATTTATTTTTTAACGTTTTCCTGATTCAAAATTGCCAATCAAAATAAAAATGCTCCTGTTGCTTTTGGTCGTATGTCTGGTTTTGGAGCTGCTGTTGGTAAGTGACTTTGTCATGTTTGCGAATCACAACTCTGCTCCGTTTTCAAATTGCGTTTTCAAATAATATAAATATGATTGTAATGATTGCAGCTATTTAATGTTTGCAATTTGTATCATATCAAGTGGTGTTATCAGCGCTGCTTATATCTGTTCATAAAACATTGGTCTCTTCTCCATGAAAGGTCTTGATGTCGACGGTTCGCCCATAGAGGTGACCTTAGCTAAACCACCGTCCACCAAACTCAAGTCACAGCAACCAGACCAGACAGCACATCCCGATCTGCGTCGCCGTGTAATGTGGGATATTCCACCGAATCAACAATGGAATCATAACCCAATATACCGTCCTGTCGGATACAACAGTGGAGGATATTTTCCGGTGGATTTGGCCCAGATGCATTATTTCAATATGGCAAATAACCAGCAGTACGTTCGTACTTCTCTGTTGAGGTTTTGTATGGTTTCTTACGCGTTTAATAAAATTATAAACAAATCATTCAACTAGCACTCGTAGCTACGATAATGCATTTTTTTAAAAGTGTGTGTTTGCGAGCAAATGGATGAGTTTCCACAAACAGGCATAGATTTGAGGCCATGTGCTGGAATTAGTCCCCTTAAAAAAGGTCAAATAATACTGAGAATTTCCGGTCGGTAATCAGCTCTTTCAGTTTGTCAGAGAAAACATGTTTTTTGTCTTGGTCGTTGCTGTTCTAGTTTTCTTTAAGTAATCAGAATACTGAATACCTTTTTGTAGTTCATTCAGTTAGGCACGTTACTACATTTGTGACATTCTGCTTATATAAAAGTCTGGAATGGTGATGCATGTTGATGAGGCAGAAGAAACTTCACGTTGATTGACCATCTACAACTTCATTTTCCTTCGAATAGAACAATGCCGGTTTTTGGACGTGGTCCCCTACCACAGCAGCGCCATTACCGCAATGCAGCTGGAACTCGTAAACGATTTGCTGTTCCCAATGGAATGCATACCCCTGTAAGCACTTTCAATAAATCTTCAACATTCTGTTAACAATCGTATGGGACACTATACACTGCGTGGACAATCTCTCGATTGTGTAGCGGCAGGTACGGGATAAGACACAGGAATACTGGGATTTAAAATAATTTCGGATTTGTGTATATAAAAGGAATAATAATAGTAGGGGAAAGAATTTTGTGAGTGTATGAAGGACATGAGAGGTTGTGGGTGTTTCTTTACTACAGTTGAGACCTTGAAAATTGCGCGTTTAGTCTGTAACTTTCCATAGATTTACACAGTCATTTTGGTGGTGGTAATTTGTGTAGTAGTAATTTGTGTAGTTAAGAAAGTTGATTGCTTAATGGAGCGAACTATTATGTTTTGCACTGATAGTCTTGGATGTGTAGTAACAGGTGGCTTGTATATGGTATGTAGGCTGGGACGTACTTTAAAAGGTTGTTCGAGAGAATGTTTGGTATAATTGGTTTGTTGACTGGATTTTTTGAGTTCGGTGGGTATATTAGAAGTTGAGGAACGTTGTGTTTGAGTTATTATGGACTTGACGAAGTATATGCAGTGAGGAGAATGTTTTTCTTGTTGGTTATTTTCTGGTGGCCGGTTTAGATTTTCGGAAGCGTACTGATTCAGGTTGTTGTGTTTTGTTTGGCTTTGGTCTTTTTAGGTTGAGTATAGTTTAGTAAGTTTGCTTTCATAGATAGTTTCTTTTAAGTATTGTTTTTTTTAATAAAATAATGGAAACTGGTTGTGGTCGCAAGAAATACATGCGAGAGCATGTGCGTGATCATAGAGAAAAAACCGCAAAACGGAAACTGATGGTAATTGTAGCAAGGAAGATAATGAAGTGGTGATGATGTTAGACACTGAAAATGTGAAGTTAAAAAACAAAAATGTAAACTTAACAGGGTCAGCAAAACACAACAATTCAGGACAAAATCGTAAAGTAATGCTTAAGAAAAGACCCGGACAACCATTACGTATTACGATACTCCGCAAATGTCGCTTAGCACGTTCCCTTTACAAAAATTGTCCAATAATTGTCCAAAAATTCTCCAATAATTTTTTCCAAACATACCAGAAAACGCACCACCTTTAGTATTCCGATTACATTTTTGTTTTTCAACTTTTACATTCTCATATCTAACATCATCACCACTTCCCACATTATCCTCCCTGCTACAATTACCATCAGTTTCGATTTTGCATTTCTTTCTATAATCACGCATATACTGACGCATGTATTTCTTACAATCACAACCACCATCCATTATTTTATTAAAAAAAGAATTCTTAAACGAAAATAATGTATGAAAGAAAACTTGCTAAACCATACTCAACCTAAAAAGACTTACCAAAGCCAAACAAAAGACAGCAACCTGAACCAGTAAGTATCTACAAATCCACACCCGCCACCAAAAAATAACCAACAAGAAAAACATTTTGCTCACTCCATATACTTCGTTCACTCCATAATAACTCAAACACAAGATTCCTCAACTTCTTATATATCCACCGAACTCAAAAAGTCCAGTCAACAAACCAATCAAACTATACATTTTCTCGAACAACCTTTAATGTACCTACTAACCTACTTCCCATATACAAACCACATGTTCCTACACATCAAAGACCATCAGAGCAAAACATAATAGTCTGCTCCATTAAGCAATCGACTTTCTCGAAATTTCTTGAATTTTCCACAATAATCCATCACTATCTACAACCCGCAACACACTCCACTTCCTGTAACACTTTATTAAACACTCAAATACGGACAACCAGAAAGTCGAATATATTTATACCATACTACAGTAAAAATCCCTTTATCTTCACCCAAATTCAATGTAGACCCTTTCTTCGCTACACTGGATTAGTACACCCTTTCTTCATTATCACATTTCGTCAAACATATCACCTTTAATATAATTTACTATATTATTAAATTCTCTGTTCAGCACTTTATATTCCTACCCCTTATAATCTCCACATACAATATGCTCTTGCAATGTACTGCTACATTATGTAGGAGTACATTGCAATATGCTCCTACATATGTAGGTGCACATTGCAGTGTGCTCCTACATATGTAGGAGCACATTCCAGGAGCATATTGGATTACGTTTGTTTGGGTACTACAATTCCGTTTTTCTCCTCCAAGAACCGATGAAACCGATGCAATGTGCTCCTGCATAATGTACAGCACATTGCAAGGTGCTCCTACATACTTAATGTAGGAGCACATAATGTAACCTAAAAAAGATGCCGAGCCAACAACGCCATCTACAAGTTTCACGCATCGTTACTCGACTCATGTCACATGACTGTTAGGCCCCACCGCTTCCTTCAACCGGCCGGACCCTTCCGTACTCTACGGGCGCCAAAAATTACTTTTGTTTACACACGGATATCGAAGACCAAAAACCGAAACTACAGTTTCATATATGCTACGACTGATTCTAGTCGTATACCGCATATAAGAACCTGTCACGGTTCAATGAACCTACCGCAAAAACTTAATAGCTGATTGCCAACCCCGCAGTTACAAACTTTCACAAGCTTTACTTCGGTCGTAATTCATTTAGTATCATCGGGTACTGTATTCAAATAAAGATTATCTTAAATTAGCGGCATACAGTTCATATGAGATCTGATCAAATTTTGGACATTTTTGCAGTTTTAAACGAGTTTTTTTTTGCCATCTGTGTCTGTACTCTAGCTCTTTTGATAATAAAATTAGTGCGTGAAGTAGAAACGCCAAAACTAGTATGAGTACAAAACACGAGTACTAGTACTAATACGAGTACGGTTTAAATTGCAAAAATTATTTACCATGCGCCATCAGAGAGCGAAAGAAACATGCGTATTTATTCAGTTTCACATGTACTGTCTGCGTATAAACAGTTTACTTTAAAGTTTTAAAAGTTGATTAATGCTGGCTGGTGAGCACATTATCTCTCCAGCAATCCTAACTCATACGGACTTATTTTTACCTTCGCTAAACGTGCTTATGTAAGTACACAAAATAACTGCATAAAGATTGGGATGTAGTTTTCTTCCTGGAAAACCACGAAAGAATATAAATTCGTTGTTTCGTGTACAGGAGTATCGAGAGAGTGGAGAAGTGAGTCCTTTAGGAATGAATTACACGAATGGAATGGGAGAAGCCTATGCACAATTTCCATTGCCGGTATGCATTCATTTGCAGCGCTCTAATAAGCTTTTTATTCTGTTAAAAAACCACGCATACATCATAGTTTCCACATCGAGGAGAGAAAGTGCATAAGTAGTTTTCATAATTTAATATTAGTTGTATTAGTCGGGAGAAACATACAGCAGAAGCAGCAGCAGCAATACAGCAATACAGCAGCAGATTACAGAATCTCCTCAGTTATGAACTAGCTGCAGATAATCTACAGGGTTTGTTGGAAAGGTCACCATTCAATGGTGGACTGTGAACTAACTTTGGATTAAGCAGTTTTACAACAAACATAAACAAAAAATCTAGCAATAAATAAAAATTAAAGGAAAGAAAAGTACGTTCAATGCAGGGATTCAGAGGAAATGATTCATGCATGACGAACGAGGTTGAAAAGGATTTAAATTTTTTTACGTAGGATGCGGTACCCGGTTATCCACACTACTACCCTCAGCACGTTCTGTTTGCCCCGCAAATTAATCCTGCGCATCCTCAGCCATCTGGAATGTTCCACTCTCCGCACAGTCCTCAACACCCCAACATCAATGAGATGGTCTCGCAGTTGTGCGTGCAGATGCCCTGTATGACAATTACCAACGGAATGCCTCACTCTGGTCCAACCGGTGACGTCCAAGCGCAAGGGGGACCTACCGAATTCAACAATTTCCACCAGGCATAGTGTGTGGCAGTAGGAGAGCAAAGTGCCGATGACCAATACAACTGTGATGCTTTTTTAAAAAGTTCCATCAGAATACTGTACTCACCGCGAAGCCATGCGCAGCTAGGTTTTCTTGGTTTCAAATCAACTGCTAATACTGACGCGCATTCGCTTGGTGCGAGTCACGTGTTATAAGTCATGCTAATTTATGTGGTCAATGGCGGATGTTGTTCTAAATATTTTTTATTTATTTATGCAAAATTTACGAAATGCGAAATGTTATCCATGTGCACTACGAAGTCATCCTTATAAATATGGTTCAAAATAAAGCAGTTAGCAAATAACTTTTTTACGTTTTTAATACGTTTGACATTATCTCGTGTAAATTATTTCCTGTAACGCAGTAAGTTTACAGTTTTCGCGTTTACAGTAACTGATCATGATTGGATGTTCATATACCTAACGTAGGCCGCAACATATAATAATACTGTACTAGTACATGCAACAGGCACCGTCGACGAATATTATATTTGCAGTAAGTATCCGATTTGTATGAAGATACTTAAAGGACAATTAATGGGAGTGTTTTGTGTTATTTGCCCAAAGATTTTATCAAGTACGTAGTCGTTACAAGGGACAACAGCTAAAAAATGGCAGTAATTACCCTCCGGGAAAGAGTTCGATATAATAAAAATGAAAGTGCGGTTTATTCGCCCAGAAGCGTCAATCGAAGAAGACGCACACTCAAAAATCAGAATTTAGCAGTCCACAGTGCACACTGCATTGCATTAATTGCTATGGCGTATTTGCGCACAGTTGTGAAAGGCTTGTGCTGATTGTCAGTAGCGAAATTTACGGGTCTTCCTGATTTGTTTGTCCGTAATCCGCGAAAATGTATCAACAAGGTGCACAGACTCGGAATTTCATTAACACCAAACTCCTAAAGCATTATGGAAAACTGCAACCTCTTTCGGCCACGCAGTTTATAGAAATTTGGAATCACTATGACAAAGATGGCAAGTGGTTAAAATCGAAATCGTTAATATCGGCGCTACACTATTTCTTCACTTTTTTGTGCTGTGCTGCTGGTACCTTATAGCAGCAGGGCTATTTTTCATCTTTGAAACACTTGTGAGTTTTTTTTCAGGCAACAATTATTTGGAAAACCAGGAGATTGACTCTTTCTTGTACGACTTCCTAAACTCAGCGCTGAGCAAAACAAAAGTAAATATGTGATACTGCCGGTATCGGTTTTGCAGCATATAATAATTTCCAGCTTGATCTGAACTAATGATGGTGTATTGCATCTTTTGGGTAATCTTCCTCCTGATAACAGGCCAAGTTGACACAAATGGAAGCAAAAGAGCTCAAAGCGGAATTTCTCAAGGAGTTCGATCAAAACAAAGATGGGAAGATCTCTGTTACGGAAGTGAGCCACTTGTACTGAGAAGTATTTTTGGTTGTACTGAGAAATATTTTTTGGTTATACGATGTCCCAAATTTTAGCAGACGTCAAGAGTGTTGTGACCTTTGACAATTTTTTCAAATTTCAAACTGTTGCAAGCAATGCAGCTCCCTAAAAACTAAAATTCACTGCATAACTATAACCTTTTAATTGCTACTTGTATAAATATAAAAACTGACGATAAGGATTAAGCGACAGTTTTTAAGATAAAAATTCACTTCTGTGTATTTTCAGCTATCGTATATACTTCCAGCTAGACAGCGGTTCTACCTTCTATACAGGCTCGGCAATCAGCATGAAAACAATTCACATGGTGCAAAAGATTACATGGAGGTACATTACAAATTTACAACAGTATTTCTCAAACCATACTGGCTTCGAAAACAGTGGAACGCGGAGTGGCAAATTATGTATTTTTATATTACAGACGTGGAAAAAGTATGACAAAGATTTAAGTGGATTCATCGAGAAGGATGAGCTCAAGGTACTTACATAAACGTACTGTGATTGTGGAATGGCCAATTACTTTGTAATATAACAGAGCTTTCACGGTACTCATTAGACAATAACTATACACCTTATCACTTTTAGTCCTTTCTTGGTGATTTGCTGGCAAAAGTCAATCCGGATGGAGCTGCAAATGAAAAAAAGCTGGAGCGATACACACGAGAAATTGCATGTCCACTTTTTTATCACCGCAAAACAAAGATGCAAAATGTATTCCTTTTGTAGATGGAAATCTTTGACATTAATAAGGATGGCAAACTTGAATTATCGGAATTAGTCCAGTAAGTTTATTGTAGCAAACAAGCATAATTAGAAATGTTACTTCTAAACATCATAAAATTTTAATTAATTATTTTGCAGTCTGCTGCCAAAAGAAGAAAACTTCGTGCAAATTGTCCTCGATAAGGTATGAACATTTTGGAGGTCTGTGTGTGACTGGCCTGTTCACAGTAAAGGCTATTTTAATTTTTAATAAATAATATTAAAAGGGTTTGGCCTGAAGACACTTGCGCCATATTCAGCGATAAACCGTTGACCGTTAAATAAATAAATTATTATACTGTTAAAGTTAATTATACTATAATACCAGAACAGTTAATTATTACTCATAGTCTCGTACTCGGTTTAGTCTATCCCACACAATAAAATAATACAATTATATCTCATTACCGATTACGTACATGTACAGATATACTTACATTATTTGCTGCGGTTATATTAGTGTGCTCTTTCCTTTAGGCACTAACCCTGGATAGACTGTATGGAAACGATGTGAAATTGCTAATAGAACATTATGACAAGGTTTGTATAGAATCATCTCTTAATTTCGGCGGTATTTAAGGGACTCTAGATCTTCTGATGAGTTTTCGTCGTCAAGTCTTACATATACATGGACCATTGCACAGGATAACAGCGGTACACTGGAAGCCGAAGAGCTGGATAACTTGTTACGTGATGTCTTAGTGGCATCACAAACGCCGGGTAAAACCATTTCGGCTGGTGATGTCCAAGAGCTGAAGGCTTCCTTGATGAAGGCGTGCGATTTGGACGCCAATGGACGACTCAATGCCAAAGAGCTGTCCGTTTTGCTCTTGGCCATTGCTAATTCACAGCGAAGCGGTGAAGGATACGTTAAATCCGATCTTTAGTAAGGTACGTGATGGAATATTTTTCCAATTTTTTCAGGTTATGATTTTGATCGAGATTTTCGCGAATCTAACAATGAGGGATCACGTAATAACGATTCCGCTGGTCTAAACTACGTAGAACGACAGAATGAACCCATTACCCAAAATACCGGAAACGGCAGTTCGGCAAACACATCAGCGGACGAATTTACTACCCGCGTGCGTCTGGTACGAAAAGATATGTTTATATTATCGGGCCCGACTGGAAAATGCAAAGAAGATGACGAAAAAAATTAAATCTTTGTCCTGCTGTCAGAGTGTCAGTAATTTTTGTCTTCCTTGAAGTTGGTTTAGGTATTTCCGTTATTCGTGTTTAGTGACATCTTTGTCTACACCTCATTGTTAAAACACCGTTCCATAAGACATTTAAGTCATCATCGCCTCTGATTGTTCAACTACCGATGTTCAAGAAAAAAATCTCGCTTGAAACACTGAACAGTAAATATATGCTGTAATTATGTTCTTCCTACTGTGTGTAGTCTTGCCATTTGACGGAATACTTATGTACGATACGCAACTAACTCTGTCCCGGCCGTGTTTTGGTTGTAAAAGTGTGTACCTAGTACCAACTTAATCTCTACTCCATAAAGCATAGATGGTGCACCGTGAATAAACAATTTGCGCTTACTTTGTGATTGATTAATATGGTCAATCTGTATTGTTCAATTTGAGGGCACGCATCTACATTTAATACTACCCAGTACTCAATACGCTTGTTTATTCACTTCTACAGGCTGTTTGATCGTGCATGCATGTATATATGTCGATTATTCTTTATCACCTCGTTGAAGCAACAATCATGAAAAATTGCATTAAAAATTAACTTTAGTAGAGAATATTTTGTTTTTTATATTTTGCGAGTGATACATTTTTTCGACAAAGGTTACTGTATCAAAGTTGCGTATTTAATGTTCGCAGTGACATGCAGCGGCCGTTACTTTAACTGTACGATCCCTGCGGCATTAAAGCACTCCCATAACGACTTTCAAGATTTCAGCAGTCGGGCAGCAGATTTTCGCATACCTGTACTCGTAGTAGAGTAGTATTTGTAGTAGTATGTAATGTAGATGCTCTTACCTGCGCCGGTACAACAGTACCTTCAGTTTCCTGGAAGTTCATACATTGTGAATACTGTTTAGATATTTTATAGTAATCACCCAAGTACAGTACATACAGTACACAACGTCGTAATAACTGTTGTAAGACATTTAGAAGCCTTAAGCTGGATTCCACGGACAACCAGCCCTAACTTATGATGCATTCGGTTTAATAGACACATTTTGCAAGTTTTAAAAGAATCTCTGCCAAGCAGACCAACTAATAAGTATCGGACGTGCAGTTCCCAATATAACAAATTAAAATGCCTAGCACATTCCGTGGTGCGGAAGAGCTTTTGCGAAAAGACAGTAAGCGAAAAGGTATTAAAACTAGGAATTTCATCGACTCCAAACTGCAAAAACATCACGGAGAGGTAAAGCCTTTAACTGCCGACAAATTTTTGGATATTTGGAAGCATTATGATGCGGACGGTAAGCAGACGCGTGCATGGTTATACGTATTAAGTTTTGTAAAATTAATTGCTTAAGAGACTGAGAAATTATTTTTGCAGCCAGCCGCTTCCTCGAAAAGGAAGAAATCCGGCGCTTCTTAAAAGATTTCATGAATTCTGCGCTGCTGAGTTCGGCGTCTCCGGTTGGTTTCAAATTTGTTTAACAAAGAAGTACAATACACTGTACAATTAATTTTTACTTTACTGCAACCATCGACGCATATCGGCATCAAAACCACCGAAATGTTTTTGTGTCGGCTACACTCCGGCTATACTCCGGTTGTTCATACTCTATCTTTATAAGAACTTCATCTACACAATCTACAATATCTACGAGTAATTTATGCAAATTTGCAATTGCTATTTCCTTCTGTTTTCGACAAATCACTAAGAATTTTGAGTAGTAAGCCATACGTGCACTCTACAACTGCAAAAAAAAGCAATGGTATACGTATTTCTGATGGAGCATACTTTTGTTCTGATTTCGATATGGTAAACATAGAGAAAAGATTTAATGAATGCATGCTCAATAGCAAATTGTCCATTATTAATATTTACATGATGTATATCAATTACAGCAAAATGTTACGGAAACCGAAGCAGATCAGCTGTACGAATTGTTCATGGAGGAGTTCGATGAAAACAAAGATGGCGTAATATCCATTCGTGAGGTGAGTATTATCTTATCATTAAAGTCCGTACAATTCACCACTTATGTATGTAAACCATTGTCATATAAACATATCGATTCCCTACATTGTGTTAAAAACACACTAACCATAAGTGACTTACGAGACAAGAATTACATTCTGCGCGCTTTGCATATTGTCTAAACTCTAAAGAATCATTCATAATCGATTACGGAAATTACGTTTCCGTAATATATTTATATTGAGCTCACGCAGACTTTCCTCTGTGCGGTTATTCTGCCATATTAGGTTCATTCACAGATAATGCACCGCGGCATGTGTCTCACCGTAAAGTTTTAATGCTTCTTGTATTTTATAAAACTACGGTTGAAGTGTTAACGTTTTTACATAAACAGCTAACAGCCGTTTTACCGGTGGAAGAATCATTTTTTGCCCTGTTCCGAACCGTCAACCCACCTGAAAGTGGAATAGATTATATGAAGGTACGGATGATGACTGAATATATATATCGTGGTAACATTTGTTATTTTATTATACCTGTACAGATTTGGAAAAAGTACGATGTTGACGGGAGCGGATACATTGAATCAGATGAATTAAGAGTGAGTATCTCGAATCGTTTACCGGTATTACCAGTTATTAATATTGAACTTACCTCAGCAAAAAATTGATTTTTTATTTAAAGAACTTTTTGAGAGATCTGCTTGCAAGAGCAAAACCACCGGTAAAAGTGGACGAAAAAACACTGGAAGAATATTCGAAGGAACTGGTAAAAAGCCGCTCTTCGATTAGTCCTAAGCCTTCGCATTTTATAATATAATGATTTTTTGTTTACTTTAGATGACACTGTTTGATGTTAACAATGATGGTAAACTGGGACTGCAGGAACTGATTAGGTACGAAATCAGCAATTCTTTTACGTTAAGGGATTTGGCCCGGTACATAGCACCAAGTTCGTGCACATCCAGATGAACTTTCGCTGTTGCGCGCTCCCAAACACTTTTTTGCATTGCTTTATGGTATTTTGTAGCCAGAAGAATTGTATACCTAGGTGAGAAAACCGTCTGCGCGCGCAACATCCGGTTGCGAAGTTATGAGGGTATCAAAATTGTAAATGCATTCAGGTGTAGCAAAAGTCTCATTATGGACCGATCCCTTTCAAATTTTGCGCGTAAATGCACATAACCATAAAGATCGTTTTGACACGGATCCAGACTTCTACGATTTTTTTCAAATTTTAAAATGAATTTTAAATTTTTTGAAATTCATTTTAAAATTTGAAAAACATGCTAGAACAGTGGATCCGTGTCAAAACGATCTTCATGGTTAACGTTATGTGCATTTACGTGCAAAGTTTGAAAGGGATCGGTCCATAATGAGACTTTTGGTACACCTGAATGCATTTAAACTTTTTGGAATTTTGTTACCCTCATAACTCCGCAAGCGGATGTTGCGCGCGAAAACGGATTTTACTCATATGTACACCAATCATTTGGCTACACAATGTCAAAAAGCAACCCAAAAAAGGGTTTGAAAGTGCGCGAAAGCGAATATTCCCGTCAATGTACACGATTTTAGTGCTATGTACCGGGCCAAATCCCTTAACCGCGGGTTTACCACGTACGTGCCGAAAGGTGCAGTAACTCTAACGGCACAGGTCAACATTAGTCACCAATAATTGTTTTGTTTGTAGACTGCTTCCAGCGCAGCAGAATTTTGTAAAACTTACACTTGATCACGTAAGAAAAACCTTCACAAACACAACAATTGGGGAAAAATTCTGAAATGCCGTCCAATTTTAGGCTCATTCTCTTAAACGCCTAAATCAGTCCGATATAAACAAGTTGCTGGACCGGTACGACAAGGTATATCACTTGCCACGAAATGCTGGTGAACTATGGGTTAATCTTCTTCGTTACTTTCATTGTAAAAGTTGTGATACACTGCTGGATGTCATAATATATATTGGCAGGACGGAAACGGAACGCTAGAGGGTACTGAGCTGTCCAACTTGGTACGCGATATTTTGGAAGATCAAGTTGCATTTACCGGGGCGAAATATGACGCACGGGATGTGTACGAAATTGAACAAGCATTGCTAAAAGGTACGACTGCTTAACCGCTTAAAGTCTTTGCCAGCAATGTACAGATGCTTACCCTTTTGCAAAATCTTTTATTTAATTTAATTTTATTTACTTATTTCAAGGATGCGACGTTGACGGTAATGGAAGGATTGATCGTAAAGAGTTGGCTGTAATATTGTTGGCAATCACCCGAAGTGGATTAGGCGGTAAGAATGCATCTACGAACGCCCGTAAACTAATCGCCTTACAGTTGCCACTAAACCACACGCATATTAAAATTTATATAATAACGCATCCTACCAAAATTTGATGACAAAAATAAGAAACATTTGGTAAGAGTCTGCCGCGGTATTTATTCGTATTGATACCAATATAAGATTATAAGTCTACTCTCTCCGGCGTTTCCGGATTGCCATTTTTAAACTGATCGTAAACCCAGCTAGCTTTATGGCGGTCGCCATTAACCTGACCGTGAGCACCGTATAAAATTTATATGAATAGCAGTCGGCAGAATAAACGCGGAAAATGTTTTCATGATATCCATTCAAAACATTTTTTGGGGCTGTTAGTCGGCAAACTAGCTGCAAACTGCGTTCCAAATTTATATAACTATCAAATAGCAACCAAGCTACGATGATTTTTTTCTAACGCAGAGTATTTTCTCATGGCTTCTGCCACACTGCAGTGACATATTTACACATCTCCTGCGGCAAGCTTTTTCAGAACAGTAAAATAAAATTACAGTTGATCGTTTGAACCTTTCAGCCTTTGCACCACAACTGCGCGCCTTGAAGGCACAATTTTTCACTTTCTGGCAGTAGTTTTAGGTAGTTAAAATAAAGCCGGAGGCTGCGTAACTGTTTTTCTCAAAATAACTTTCCTTCGATCGTTTTTCAGCTCATCTATTTATTTTGGTTTTGAAAAGGTTACTTATCATGGTTCTTTCCAGGTCTTTACGCAGAAGCTGGGAAAGTTGCTCAAGAAATTGGAACCCATTCCAAAAAATGAGCAACTAGTAGAGATTTCCAATCCACGTGTCTCGTAGCCGAATTATTCCCGTAAAGTATTGCTGTCTGCTGTTCGCTTCGGCTTCACTCGATAAGAAAAAGTTAAATAACGCATACGTACATACTTATTGCATCAGGAATTTTAATATTTGTCCATAGTTATACAGTTTTGTGGCAACGATTATTGATTGTAGTGCTATTTGTTCTTATTTGTTATGATGTCTTTGAATTAGTTACGGTCGAGTGAATATCGACCAGATGTGCTATATGGTAACAGGATATCTCATTCGCAAAATTAATATTATTTAACTTAGTACTGCACAGCAAAAATAAATTAAATACAGTATGATAGTTCCGGATCTCGTAATATCAAAATATTTTTTGAAGCTTTTTCCAAAAATGGTGACGGCGGTTCAAAACTGTACCCAAACCATACCATAAATTCAGTCCCAAGAAACCGTTATTGTATGTGCAAAAGTAATCCGGCATTTCTCATCTGTTAAAAATTGTTAATACAGGCTACAAAAGGTTACAAAAACAACAACTAATCGTATCCAAGGTCAAGTTATTAGCACGTCCACTGTCCGTATACGGTAAGGTAGCCGTAAGCACTGGAGATACTTATACTGCATGGCCAACCGCACCTCGTGGTCAATAATTACGTATTTAAAAAAGTGCTTCAATTTGCACACAAGGAATACAACAATTCGATTTCTTCTTTCCACATGGAGTCTTCTGTTTCCAGTATCATCGGTAAATTGTTTGTTCTAGGGTCGTTCATCAACCAGCGAAACCCATCCAGACCTATCAAACCTACGTAACAAAAAGGGTTACCGTAAAGACTTAAAAACAACCATACACGAATAGATAAGCCACAGCAGTAATACAATATAAAAAAGCTATAAACACTGTAAAAGTAACACTAGCTATAATTTAAAAGCTTTAAACCGTAAATTCAGCGTTTCCAAGTAAACTCTTCAGCTAGTAAGCGGTACAAAAGTAAACCAGGCAAAAATGAACAAATTAAAGAGCCTACACCACTTAAGATAGGCTTGTGATGATAAAATAGATCACTTTTCCAACGAAAGTTATGTCTTTAAACTAAAAGTCATTCATGAGTGAATTTATCAATTACACCCAATTGGAGAAATTGCGAATTGCTGAGCACCTTTTCCAATATGCGCATGACGATCCCTGTGCGCTCCGCATGCGAACATGCTATCATTTAGATGGAACGCCTTCACTCGTTTCAAACCAACAGTGCGGTCTACATCGCTCATGAGAGTGTTCCATCCTTCTTCCGTCCTGATATCATTCCCCGCGGCAAATGCATGGCACGTATCAATACAGACGCCCACCCTGTGCTGGTAAGCCTGATCAATCTTCCCGATTATGGCGGCCAGTTCCTCAAATTTACCACCGATAGTGGAACCCTGACCGCACATGTTCTCCAGTAAAAGCGTGACGCTGAAGGTTTGAGCAAGAACATCGTTTGCCGATGCTGCGATCCGTGTTATGCATTCGTCAACAGTTATCTTGCCACAGGTGGAACCAGGATGGATATTGTAGTACGGTATTCCCAACATCTCGCAACGCTGCATTTCATCCAGCATGCCAGCCCGCGCCTTTTCCAACACGCTGTCGTCCGGAGATCCTGAAAAATTGAACGAGACTACATCCGGAATTCCTTGTGCCATCCAAAACAGCGGCTTAAAGGCGGTAAAATATACGTCTATTACGCGTTCGTTAACTGTTCTCAAAAAAATGTTCAAAAATGTACAAAACAAAAGCTGGAGGAAATATTTTACCATCATATATAAAAAACTGCAACGAATTAGCAACCCTAAAAAACTACTTAATAGGTTCAGCAATTTCAGCGGTGGCATTTTTATTGGAAAATTTGAAGCGATTTCTCCGTACCAGGATTAATCAGATAACTCCCATGGCACACAATCTTGGAAGCGTCAATTCCCGATTCCGTAAGAACCTGCTTGAATTTCTCTACATTTTCCGGCTTCAGCGGAGGACACTTCCAAGTGCGCGCGCTGCGGACAAAAAGCGCAAAGGCTTTGGCGCCAATTTCGACAGCCTGCAGCACCGCAGTCTGCGGCCCACCCGAAATCGAAGTGTGTGCGCCAACAAATTTTAAAGATTTTCCACTCGCCGTGTGATCTGTACGGACTGTGTTAGACGAAGACACACCGCCATCCGAAGTACGAGAAGTTGCAATGGCCTCGTTCGAGCCACTTGCAGTGTTTTCGTTGCATGCTGCTGCATCGCCAGAAATCTTTGGGTGTTTAGTGTTCTCCACTCGCTGCTCTGGAGTTTCCTACAGGAAGGACGAAAGTTCTTGTTTAACTGCCTAATCAATGCTTTGTTGCGACCCAAAGAACAACAATAAATTTGTACCATATAAGAAGTAACGGTAACTTTATCACTTGGAAATAAGAGTACCAGTTATTTAAATTCTGCGCTTTTCTATTTACATTTTTATATAATTCATTCTGTACTAATTATTACTACATTAGAACAGTTTCTGACATAAGACATGTTGAGGGCTGACTTACTTGCCTCTGACGTTTCCGAGTGTAATTCCGTTTAGGCATTATTTCGGATGTCCTGGTCGCATTCGCGTGGAGAAAACGCTTCCCAAAATTTCGAAGGTAAACTGACAATAGTTAGGCTCAAAATTCAGTTATGAAGATATCAGCGAAGGAAATCTGTGACACACGCTTGAAAAAATCGAACTTCGAACCTTAACAAACTGTTCTCAAAAAATGTTCAAAATGTACAAAACAAAAGCTGGAGGAAATATTTTACCATCATATATAAAAACTGCAACGAATTAGCAACCCTAAAAACTACTTAATAGGTTCAGCAATTTCAGCGGTGGCATGATTTCTCCGTACCAGGATTAATCAGATAACTCCCATGGCACACAATCTTGGAAGCGTCAATTCCCGATTCCGTAAGAACCTGCTTGAATTTCTCTACATTTTCCGGCTTCAGCGGAGGACACTTCCAAGTGCGCGCTGCGGACAAAAGCGCAAAGGCTTTGGCGCCAATTTCGACAGCCTGCAGCACCGCAGTCTGCGGCCCACCCGAAATCGAAGTGTGTGCGCCAACAAATTTTAAAGATTTTCCACTCGCCGTGTGATCTGTACGGACTGTGTTAGACGAAGACACACCGCCATCCGAAGTACGAGAAGTTGCAATGGCCTCGTTCGAGCCACTTGCAGTGTTTTCGTTGCATGCTGCTGCATCGCCAGAAATCTTTGGGTGTTTAGTGTTCTCCACTCGCTGCTCTGGAGTTTCCTACAGGAAGGACGAAAGTTCTTGTTTAACTGCCTAATCAATGCTTTGTTGCGACCCAAAGAACAACAATAAATTTGTACCATATAAGAAGTAACGGTAACTTTATCACTTGGAAATAAGAGTACCAGTTATTTAAATTCTGCGCTTTTCTATTTACATTTTTATATAATTCATTCTGTACTAATTATTACTACATTAGAACAGTTTCTGACATAAGACATGTTGAGGGCTGACTTACTTGCCTCTGACGTTTCCGAGTGTAATTCCGTTTAGGCATTATTTCGGATGTCCTGGTCGCATTCGCGTGGAGAAAACGCTTCCCAAAATTTCGAAGGTAAACTGACAATAGTTAGGCTCAAAATTCAGTTATGAAGATATCAGCGAAGGAAATCTGTGACACACGCTTGAAAAAATCGAACTTCGAACCTTAACAAACATCAAATAACTGCACGGCAATGATGCATCACATATCTGCATCGAGCGGGCAATTTTGGGAGCGCAGAACCGTGCGACATTTTGCTTTATGGGGTGCTTTCATTCCAGTCTGTTACTTTACTTTGCAGTTTGCACTTTACTGTTGCCTATATATGTGTTGCCAAATGTTACCGAATTCAATGCTTCAAATTAATTAAAAAATTAAAAAAGTTCCTATAATTAACGATTAATTCAAAACAGTTAATTAACGCTACAGTTGCAAGTTAATAAACGCCAGCCGGTCAGCGAATTAATCAATACTCTACAAAGTATACACCATTTACCCGCAAAATTTTAAATTCTAATAAACCCGTTATTAATTAATTAATTTTAATTAGACATTTTAACACGTCGTGGTAACTTATAAGTTATGTTAGAGACTTATGCGCCCTACGCGCACTTTCTGGTTTACGCTACCAGAATGTGTTTGGATGAGCAATTAACACTTATTATAATGTTATTAATTAGTTATTAAGAGTGTTCACGTAGCAATGTCGATGATACCCGATAGGCGTTAGAGTACTTATTAATGCATAATAATTGAGGTGTACGATTACGGCATAGCAGTGAAATGTAAGCATTAAAATGTGTGCACACGAATCTGCATGAGAAATATCCAAATTGGCTACTTTGACGCTCGAATATTCTACTCTCGAGTAGCTTTTTCTAGAGCAACATTTACGAATATTTGGGGCGTGGATACAAACGTGCAAAAGACACCTCATCGCAATATGGACCAGTTATGAGCGCTTATCTTATCTCGTGCGTTACTCAGCTTTTGCAGAATTCTCACAATTGCCAGGATTTACTAAATTTTCGGTCTATTTTGACCCGGACTAATAACATAAACAAACCCGAATCACGCAATGATGAATTACCTAAAAAGAATGGCTTAAACTAGATGAAAGAGCAGCAGTTCGAGTAAACTAATGTCAATTATGTCATCTGCCAAAAATACGAATAATAATTAACAAAAGTCAAGACCTCAAGAGAAAGCTGAAAAATATGTATGTAAAATAAAAAGGTAAGTTTTAAGACCTTTCCAGTCTTACTGTAAGACTGGAATAAAATCCTTATGCCGGTGTACTGGGCAGCCGCTGCGGGTGTGGCTTTCAAGTCGATGCCGCACACCATATCCTACAAACAGTCGCACAAATTTAAGAAATTGTGAAAACTGAATCTAAGAGTCTTAAATTAAGACAGAAAACTTTCAAAGCTCGTTACTTGTAAGTTTATAACAGAATAAGATTTGACGAATTATTTGAGCTACTTCTACTGTAATTACTATTTTGTATTTGTACTTCTGAGGAACCTTTACCTTTCGGAGTTCTGACAAATCTTTTTTTGGCTGATTCTGCTGGAACGAACGTCATCTGTTGGCTGCTTCCTGCTGGCTTGGGATTTTGTCTGTATGTTATTAACTTACTATGTATCAGTATTAATTTTTTATGAATGTCATCATGCTGTGATGACAGTGATGTTATGATCCTTGTGTCGATGTGCCGATGTTAAATTCTTTCGCCAGACTGTGTGATCTTTCTTCGTGCTTTACCACTTCCACCGTCAAACTGTCGCTGTTAAGCAAATCCTCCTGTCTTGTGACGGGAATCGCGCAGTTATCCTGGCGCAGTGTACGGACGATATTTCTCGCAAACCCTGTGATGGCTCCCGCTGCTTACTACGGTGTTCGAGCGGGAAAGGTTCCGGGCGTGTATACCACTTGGTCGGTTGTTTGACTTGCTCTCACTTCCAACCATTTGCTTTGCTATGGCACTGGTCATGATGCATTGCAGTATGTATTAATGGGATTGCTTTTTTCCAGGGCAGAGTGCAACGCTCAGGTCCAAGGTTTTCCAAAATGCAAATTTAAGAAGTTCAAAACCCGCGAAGAAGCTCAACAGTTTGTTAATGGACCGGATTTTCAGCCGTCAGGTAGCGCAGCGAATGAAGGATTCGACGCTTCCTCAGGCGGATCGTCCGATTACGATGCGGATCTGAATGAGCCTGCCTCGAGTACACAAAGAAAACGGCCAGCTGATTTTGATCGGCAGCACTTTTTGAAAGGCACCGGTGGCTTCATTAATTCGGCGCTCTCAGCACCAGTCGGATTTGTCAGACATTTTTCGACCAGTTCATCCAGCTGCACAACGAATGCCGGTAAAGAAAACCTTGTAGTTGTATAGTTAGTACGGGAAAATTTGATAAAACTGTATTCGATACAAGTAAACCGACACAGCAAACGTTTGAAATCGTTTTCATTTAGGATTGTTAAATTAATTGTATGATTTGTATCATCCTAGATCTTTACTTTAATGGGTTTACCCTTTTGCTGTTAACTATCTGACCAAAAGAAATACCTGTGTGTGCTGAGTAGTGTTCGTCCCGCCTGAATTAAATATTTTGCGGTGCTGATTTTTCATTTTAATGCGGTGATAACTGGTCAGTTAGTAACGATACAAAGTTATTAATGAAACTTCACCATAATTCTAATATTTGACTCAAAGAATAAGTAATTCATCGTCATATAATTGTTGAAATAATGAATATCTATATAGATTGTGGGGTAAAACTTCGCTTAAAAAATTTTGTCGTGTGTATTTTGTCGCAATAATATTTGATGCGTTCATGTAAATTCATGGTTGTTCTAGCTTCGCCATCCCCGCAGCATGATCCTTCTCGAGTTGGTTCCGTATGGGTAGATGGCTGCTGTCGGAATAACGGGAACAGTGCCGCATTGGCTGGTATCGGCGTATTCTGGGAAAAGGACTCACCGTACAATGTTGCCGAACCACTTGCTGGACGGCCCTCGAACCAGCGTGCAGAAATCTGCGCGGCAGTGAGAGCTGTTCGACAAGCGAAGGAACAAGGAATGACCAAACTCATTGTCCACACAGACAGCAACTACCTTGTTCAGGGTATGCCAAGCTACGTGGGACGCCAAACCAGTTGATTTGTATATCGTTGATGTGATTGCAGCGATGACGGAATGGCTGCCCAATTGGCTTTCAAATGGATGGCGTTCTGCGCGTGGTCCTGTGGTAAATCAGGAAGATTTTAAATCCTTGCTGGACACAATCAAGAGCAGCGAAGTGGAAATCGAATGGGTACCGTCTTAACCGATAATTCTCCTTAATTGTCTCAAATGTAACCTTTTGCAGAAACATATTAGAGGGCATATGGGAATCACTGGAAACGAAGCCGCCGACAAATTGGCTAACGAAGGGGCTTTAAAAGGCGAAAAGTTTTGCGAAAGTGTACTGGGTAAAGATGCTGCGAGCACTCTGTTGTGAAATTTTTCTATAACTTTTTCCAGGGTTCATTATATAATGACTTATATATCACTTGCCGATTTTTCAATAAAACCTTGTGCGAAAGTTTGTCACCGCTTGCCGCATAATGGTTTCTGTGATGCTGTGATGGTTAAAGGTTGTAACTTCTCTTTCCGCTCTACGAGTAGTTAGTTTTTAAGTGAAGCATGTGGCGATAAACCGAAGTTTTCGTAACCGTTAAAAAATGAGTCGGTGTTGCATATCAGTGAACGTGCACCCAAAACAGATGAACAAAAGGCCCGATGATACAATGCAAAGTCCATAAAATTAGCAAAACCTTGCGCAAACGCCGGATTTTTTCTTTGCAACTTAAGGGTAGCTCGTATGATTGTCAAGAGTTCTCAATTTAGGACAATCAGAAAAAGCTAGACTCAGCACATACTGAACATTTATCTACGAATTATAATAAAACCATTGCTGAAATTCTTACGAAACAGAGCGACTGGAACAGAAATGCACCCATTAGTCCATTACATATCAAATAAAAACAAGTAATAACAACGCTAAAACCATGAATTCCATCCAATCAATTCAGAACTCATATCAGTCATATGTAATCCCAAGTTGCACATGAAAGTTGAACCTAAATCAATCGTTCGCAATTTATAAATGACTCAAAAGGAATGAAACACCTATACGAGAAAAGCAAGAATTTAAATTCCATAATCCAATCACTCATTCGACGAGAATTGTAGCACCTTTTCCCCAATAATACCTAGCAATCAACTGCCTACTACATAATCTTCATACTGAAAATCTTTCCAAACGCAGATCAGTCATCCGACTTGTTCACACCGCGCCGGCACTAGCACGATCGCCTTCCGCTTTCTCCGCCGCTTTGAAAATACCCGTGAGTTCGCGGTGAACTTCTTCCGGCGGCGGAACGGTACTGACCTTCCGGACCAATCCACGTTCCGCGTAGAAATTGATAATCGGCATCGTGTCGTTCATGTACGTGTCAAACCGTTTGCCCAGGCTGTCCAGGTTATCATCTGGTCGTCCGCTCTGGGCTCCTCGTTTCAGACACCGCTGTACGCACAATTCCTTAGGAGCATCCAGATGCAGCACAAACAGCAGATTGGTTTTATGTCCCATCTGACGATTCCAGCCCTCCAGATTGTTTTGATTGCGCGGGAAACCATCTATCAAGAAGTGCGACCTGCCACTTTTTCGCATCGCATTCTCCAACAGGGAACATGTGATCTCCACAGGAACAATTTTGCCTTCTTTCATGTAGTTCAAGATCAGTTCGCCGTACGGGGAGTCCTTGGATTCTCGCTCCTCGCGCAGCAGATCCCCCGCTGACAGATGAACATAGCCGAAATCCCGCACGATGAGCGGACACTGGGTGCCCTTGCCACAGCCAGGCGCGCCGAGCACAAACACAACACTGGGTTTCAGGCCATCCCCAATCACACTGCTGTCCCCCATCGCCACCGCCGCAGCTGACGACAGCGACATTGCTACGGTTTTAAAAGGAAATACTCTGCAGAATCGCGAGAAAGCCAACCGGGTGTGTTCGGAACGTTTAGGCACAAGCGACACTGCCAGCTGTGCAGAACGAACTAACCACGGAACAACGTGGCAAAGTGGCATATATGAACGATGAGTTATTGATAGCGTGATTAAAATTCAAATGTTCGCAAAAGCTTTATCAGCAAGAATCACGATTTTCGATAAAAGCAAAACGGAGAGAAACTCAAAGCAGCTCCTCACAATAATGCGATCAGCAATGTAGCTATCTGCAATGCTAACAACTAACGGAACAGGAAACAAGTAAACTGAGGAACTTAGGAACTGTGCCGACTGAACTTATGGTAGTACCAGTATTATTTTTACTTATTTTATCACATTTTTATGCATTTTCTTTTCAGTACAGCAATGATTCAACATTTGAGACAGAATATGCTACGAAGTACAATTATTTTGCAATAAAAAAAAAAAACTCAAAAGAAAAATGCTGAAGAAAAACTAGTTTAGTAAGTACAGTATGTAGCGACTAGAGAGTCCAGTGGTCATTCGCTGCTGGCGAATAACAATTTTGCCGGATCTGGAAGCAATGCCATCGTTAACGGCTATTCTGTATTCATGGAAAATGCTTTGAGCATTAAATGGGAATATTTAACTCATTAAAAATTGTGCACTGCTCATGCAAGTCAAGGGGCAGTTACTACTAGCAGTACTAGTATTTTTCACCTTAACTGAAGTTTCTTTTGAATGTCCAGAAATTACGCACGAGCGGTAGACTCGCATTAATGAGATGGAAAGGCAACGTCATAATGGCATTATGTTGACCCTAGTGGTAATATGCTGCTTGTCGCTTATTTGTTCGAATTTACCTCAAAATTTCCTGCAAATTTTACCATTATTTTTGCGTAAAAACATACTTCAACATAGTGCGACTCTTGTGATTTCAAGCTTGTTTCACAATCCCGGCGAACACGTACGATTTACGCGCATCAGTTTATGTGCCGCCCCTAAAGCACGTCAGCCGCGGGTTACCCTACCACTTGTGCCTCGCTGTATCGCTGGTTGATTCAGGAGTTTTGAAAGCAGAAAACGATAAGATGACTACGAGTACGCTTGTTGGTCGTAATAAACGTGGCCACGGCACAGTATTCTTCTACAAACAATTACTCCACGCATTGTAATACGAATATTTGCCGATAAAACCAATTGAAATCGTTATCACCAACCTGTGCACGCAAAGCATTGGACTTACATGCAGATATCGCGCTGTATATAAACGACTCGTTAAAGCAAACAATGCCAACTATCTCGGGTGCAACAAATCCGTCGCTTTCTGCCACCAACCCAGGCTCTCCCACCATGAATCCCTATAATCCCAGTCCGTACAATCCCGCTGCAGTAAGTTCGCAAAATTGTGCTTTTTTTAACAACGACCTATGCAGGAGTTACAGAAATGTGATGGGTATTAATCCGCTTTCGGCGTTCAGGTCGGAGGATTAGCGCCGTCGTATCCACCAGGACAAGGCAGTGCTTATGCTGCAGCAGGTAAGCACTGACAGCCGACACATTCGCATATTAATGTTAATTCTATATTATAATTTACGTGCGCATTATGTACGATTGTAGCGGTCAAATACTTCTTGTTGAAAAGTTTTTTTTTGATAAAAAACTGTATACTTAGCACTGCGGTTGATTGCTTGAGATAATTCTTGCATAACTCAACATCGAAATTACGAATGCGCGCGACATAAGCTTTTCATACTTTCTCTTTATAGAATTATAAATATAAATATTGTTGACAGAAGATTGTGTATTTAAATCGTGATGGTTGAGTATTTAAAACATATCAGATGTACGTGATCGTAGGTACAGGTTTCTTTGAAAGATGTAGATGCAATTCCGAAGTTATAAGTACAATCACATACCACCCAAGCGTATTGCGACTTTTGAGCCGTGGTTGCTAAATCAGAGATCTCATTTGGTTATCCGAAACCTATCTGCGGTTTTGGATCTTTAGGGCGATCGATAAACTGCTAGCGCGTTATATAGGAGTGTCCGTTATAACTTTATGTTTTGTATATAGAAGTGCGAATATTTATATATGAAGGAAAAGTATCCAACATGTGTGGTCATATAATAGCACTGTGTTAAAAGTCTTACAGTAACCGGTACTTCTAGCCAAAGCGATTTGCGGTTTATTTATTTATATATCAAACTTTGCTGAACATTTACTGAAACTTCGCAAGTTCCGTTCTGGTGATAGGATAAGAAGAAATATTTGTGATTATTAATCACTGTAACGGATCAGTCAATGTTGAATCTGTCATTTGGTGATATTAGAAGTGGTATCAGCCAGGTTTAAATTCCCGTGCTACCGGTAGATTTCGATCGTAGCCTTTAATGGCTTACCTGTCAGTCTGTACAATAAACAATAATATAATAAACAAGAAGAGAATGTGTTAGCAACACAAATACCGGTAATTATAATAAGCATAACTTTTATGTGAAGGTGTTCACGGTCACGGGTACGGTACTGCGCCGCCGCCAGCTGGTTACGGAGCTGGCTATCCTCCGCAAGCTGGATTCGGCGCACCCCCTCAGAATCCCAGTCAACCACCTCCAGGCATTCCCCATGATCTTTGGCAATGGTTCCAGGCGGTCGACACTGACAGGTAAAAGCGCCAGCTTCTGGGATTGTTACTTATATTTTAGTTTGATTTCGTGTGCGTTTCTTAGGAGTGGCAGAATTAACGCGACAGAACTGAAGGCCGCACTGCTGAACGGCAACTACAGCACCTTCAACGATGGCACATGCCGGTTAATGTATGCAATAAGTTTAGAATGCACAAAATCATAAACTAAAGGTAATCTTTTAAAAAGTTTGATGACGTTTTTGATTCCAGGATTAAACTATTTGACCGCGATAACAGTGGCACAATCGATATTCATGGTAGGTTTTTTTCGCGAGATTGTAAGCTATTTGTTGCACTTTTGCAATTTGCAACTACGAAGTATTCGCAGAAGCTCGTAACGGTTGTAACATTGATTTGAGTATAATCATATGTAGCATCATGATCACATTTTCATTGGTTTGAAATCTGCAGAATTTGCTGCTTTATGGAAATATATTGGCGACTGGAGAGCATGTTTCGATCGGTTTGACCAAGATCGTTCGGGAAACATTAACACGTCTGGTAAAACAACAGTTTCAGTCAACAGAGGATAAACATCCAATAATTTAAAGCATACTGGCGTCCAGCGTGTCCAGAACTTATTTCCAATAATTTTTGTATCTGTAGAACTTAATCAAGCCCTCACCAGTTTTGGTTACCGTTTGTCGCCGCAATTCTGCCACACACTGGTTAGAGTTTATGCCAGCCGGCGTCCCGGAACCACACAGGGTGACAACATCAATTTCGATGACTTTATCGAAGCATGTGTGACAATTAAAAACCTTACGGACACATTCCGCCGCTATGACCAACATCAGCAAGGAATGATTACCGTCGGTTTTGAGCAGTTCCTTGACATGGTGGTGAGAGGCGCTGTATTTTGAAGTAATGCATGACTCTCTCTTTTTGTCTTTGTTCGTTTTTCGCTTGTAAAACTTTGTTGCTTTTCATTAAACATCTTACATCATACGATTTTTGGTATACCAAGTTTTCCGTTGCCTATTGCAATATCTTACACTGACTGATATTAATATTGATATATTCACTGCGAAAAGTGTGTTTCACTATACTGTTTGCACAAAGTATTAATAATTGTTGTTATTGCATTACTGGATTCGCTTTATTATAAGCCATAAATTCAAATAAAATTCTGAATCCAAGATGATCGCGCGATTACATGTTTACAGTGACCTATTCTTGCAGGTTCAAAATTTGGCTTAGCCATGGGTTTTCGGCTATTTGCTATCCCTTTTCCATAAATGATGTGACGCGATGACGTGGCGGTGTCGGTGAACAATGTCAACCACATTGCGAACGAAGAGGAAAAGAGAAATTTCGCTTTTTATGTTGCACGTCGTTTTGTTGTTTACAGACTGCAACTGTCTTTGATAGTTATAATTAGTTGGAGACGAGGACTTCCAGTTCCATGATTTTTATTCAATTTTCACATAACAATGGCATATTTGGTATAAAATCAGAAAAGTAAAGCTTTGCTTCGGCAAACGAATGAGGACTTCCTGGACATCCGAGTTAATTTTCCATTATAACCCTTACTGTATCAGTAGCCTGCAGAGCGCTCCGAAAATACTTATGACAAAATATCCAAAAGGTGAAAAAACAATACAGATCATTTTCACCATTAGGAATCTTTCAATTGGATGGCGCTAGTCAGAAGCACTTTCTTTGGTAATGTTTCAAAATTTGACAACAGAGTAAGCTTTTTCGACTGCGCACTTGCCGTGACACCCTTCCTGCAATGAAAAAGTGGCATGTTAAAAACATAACTACCACTAAGACCCAAACTATTGCATCAAAATTAAATGGCGTACTAAATAGACCGCCCAGAATTAAATATTCAATTATTCAATCTTTTCCTGGAGCACGTGCAACATGGAAAATCCAGAACGCTCCCTTTTGACTTCAGTAGTACAATCTTAACGGTACCATTACGTTTCTTAAACGATACAGGAGATGTGGACTATCATTTATAATACAAGAGAAATTTGCGTCAAACTAATTGCATAACCAGTCATTCGCGGTATCATCGCGTAATCAGTTAAATACAAATCGAGGGTAACGCTATCGATTGCCTCAGGATTACGTAATCCTGCTGCCTTTACTATGCGCGGGTGCGACACTGAAGCGGATCGTAAGGAGCCCAAAACCAGCAACAAAATTCTAATAAACCAAACCAATTTCAAATTATATTTTTAAATACCCAGGGGCAAGGGCAATGGTAAATTCGTCTATTGTATTTAATGGACCTCCAATCAGAAGCTATGCTTCTCTGATTTCGCTGTAAATTATTTCAACAATTTGTATAATAAATAAAAGGCGCTGCCATGGTATAACATTGCTGATTAAAGTTAGAGGCAAAGATAACCTAATACTACAACTTATTACGGCATTTACTGTGATTTGACTTTCTTAACCTGGCGACAAATAAAAATTTTTTTAGATGCGTAATGCGCAAACGCTCAAGCACCATCTCCAAAAGCAGACAGACCATTAAACACCTACGAGTGCGGTAATAAGACCTGTTACTGTGTCTTATTCAAATCCCACTTACACTAACAAATAACCAATCACGCTTCCTTCAGACGCCACCTTTTCCGCCGTATCAACATTTGTAATGTACAGAATATGATCTACAAGGTAGTTGACTGCAAATAAAAAACCGAAATGGTAAGAACCAATATTACGTGCTGCAAATATGTTGAAAGTGATAACATGAATATCTGTTACAAGCAATTTCTATATTCGTTACCGTATTGCATGTAATCGGTAGCCCAATGCGAGAACAGCAAGGGGTTCTTCGTATAATATATCGTGTTTGTTTAATCAAGTGTCAAAAAAGCCGGTACAGCCGTACCTTCCTTCAACTGTAACGGATAGGCAGCTGTTTTCACCCTGACGAGATCCACGTTTTCCGGCAATAATGCCTTATTTATGGCTGGATCTGCAAATATTACATAATATATAATAAAAGGGGTCGGGTCGGGATATTATGCAACAGACTGGCAAAACAATTACATAACACTGACGTACGTCACTCACTTCCCAGTTTACACAGAAGAATATCGCTAAATTCCACCTCATGTTTGAAAGGCCGATGCTTGGGTGACCTAAGGGGATGGCCGTATATGTTGTGGCGAATGCGCGCTTCACGGTGCAGTCGGCGTTCCTCCTGGGTACTCTCCACAATATCTTGTGCTTTGGGCATGGAAATAACCTGTAGATCCGGTTCCAAATCTTGTCGGCTGGGATGATTTTGCAGTTCATCCACCATCCACTTATTGCCCAACACCACAATAAAATTAACTGCAAATTCAATCACTATTCACGATTCAAATTAAAGGTTTGCTGCAGTCAGTGTCTCGTTATTGCATAATCCATTCCAAAAGCAGAGGAGGTGCTTTTTCATTATCAAACCGGTATATAATCAAAACGAAAAACACTAATGAAGCGGTATGGTAATGAAACTTTCAATATAAAAAACGGCTATAATAAAAACAAATAACTGCCCCATAACAATTTGTCATAACTCAAGGCTTACCTCGAAATGCTTTCGCAATAACAAAAATGTGGCTATAGCTGTACTCCTTGACCACAGAAAAACAATTTATAATGGCTCCGCTGTGTCTGGCACGGCGATCATTGTCGAACTTTTTCTCGATGACGGCTCCCAATTTACGAATTTGGGAATGGAGCAGTTCGAGATTCGATTCCGAATTCGGATTAGTTTCGGGATCAGTATTAAGGTAGCCATAAGGAAGCACAAATTTCCGGTAGTAATAATAATCAAACATAGGATCAGTTGGACGATCAAACTGACAACAGGCTGCAAAGAAAAGCGTAGATTCAGATTAACCACCAGTCAAGAGTATCTACAGAGTCATAGACTAATTATGACCAAATGAAGATTCGCCTTACTTGTTAAATCAAAAATTTCGATCTTCATTACGTGACGTTCCAATAAATTACAAACAAAAAACTGTACAAAATAAGCATAAAATTACAGTTAAACAAAACTAAGTCACTAAGATTTTTCCTAACGAAATGTCAGACGAAAATGAAGAAGTTTTGACGTTACTACCTATCTTACCAGTTAACTGCAATCTCCAAACACTTCAAAAATTGCCTAAATAACCAATAAAAGTAAGCCATGTTCTCACCGATTGTGCCGGGAACTGCCAAATCTGGCTGAATAAAATCCAGATCAACAAAAATGGGATTTCTTCTGTCGTCCCCTCTCATTCTAGCAGCATAATTTAACAATAACCGGCAAAATACGCTTCGTCCGGAGTTGGCATTGCCCAGAACCAGTATTCGAGGACCAACCACATCATTTTTTACAGCGACTTCTCGATGTTGTTCCAGGCAGTTGTGGAAATTGAAATGAATGGTCGTAACTCGGCTGTCTTTTGTTTTCAAAATTTTCGGCTTGCCCTCAATCATAATAGTACATCCAGTCCACGACCATATGCTAATTTTGCTGCCTTTTAAGAAAGTATAAATCCTGTCTGTTGATAGCTCGGCGCCAAAAACTTCCGCCTGCCCTTGAGCCATCTGAAGATTGATAACGAGAATTAGCAACCGCCCAACACTGTGATGTCAAAACCAACATGTTTTAAAAAATATTACAGTATATCCAGTTATTCTTTCTAACATTTTACCCGTGACCCTAATAATCAATCGTAATTCTTCAATTAACGCAGCGTTCGCAACCAACCAAATACAGTACAGAATGGTAAAGGACGAGGATGTTTCAGAGAGAAATTCTAACGAACAGCACATGACAGATAAAATTCATACCCAAAGATGAATTATTGGCACTTTATCAACATTTATCCTCATTTCTTCCAATGGGCTGATTTTATGCTCGTCAGGATTTTTCAGTTCCCGCTGAAAGTAGAGAGGTCCATTCATAAATAACACGCATTACAGCCGACAACTCACAACTGCTGCCATGCACCACCGAGACTATTACATAATCAGGCATGTTATTCAACTCATGAGTCATGACGTTGAAACATCCTTGAACTTGAAATCCAAGGTTACGATAGCACTTACAGCTAGCACTGGCAACTTCCCATACGGGCCCGTTGTCAGGTCGGTTTGGGATGAAACGCGCGGGATCGCTTCCGCCATTTTTCTTCTCTACACCTTTCACACAACGCTACACCCTAAAATAAAAAAAGAGCGGATTAGTGATTACCCAATCCAACGATTTCCTGTACTGCTAATATTTACTCGAGTTATAGTACTCCAACACCAGAATTATTTTACAAACATATTATTAACCCAAACGCCAAAAATTTCACCTGTTATAAAAAGAAAAAGTTTAATCAAATTTAACAAAAACCGATAACTTTGATCGCTACATTTTTAAACGACTGCACTTCATATTTACCCCAAAAGTTTTCCGCTGAACGTAACTAATAAAAGTTGTCTTAAACCGTCACTCTGAAAATGTCTTAATAAAAGCCTTTAAACTGGGGGACTACAGCATGGTGTTGTTCGAGCATTTCTGAACCAGAAATCCCTGAGATAAAAAATGATTCGCACTTTTCAAATGCTCAAAATTACTTAGCGAGTACAACCCCAAGCAAAAAACATTAGAAAAATATAACAAAGTTAAATCGATGAAATCAGTAAAGATCAACTTGTTCCTTCCGCCCTTGGAAGAGAATTTATTTTATTATTAATAAAATGCAAAGGCGAATTAAATCTGCTAGGCTGTAAGTTAAGCGGCATTTCGGTAAATGAAAAAGCATGCTGTAAAAGTAAGGAATAACTACAGTTTCAAGGCAATAAAATAAAAGGAATGACTAAGAGAAAGACCAAAGCATCGTTCGAAAAAACAAAAAATAAGCAGGTTAACTCAAAACTCCAAGGTAAAGTTGTACACGGTAGACGGGCAGAGTAAATTCCTTCAATAAAAACCTCAAGCCAAATTTACTGAGTGCATTTCTCGTATCCCATTCTAACAAAAAAAGCAGTGTATTTTTTCAGAAAACTGCAGAACCATAGAACATCTGATTTCAGAACAGCGAAAACAAATTACAATCACCCAAAGATCTCCCACTCTAGCTAGCTACGGCGATTTTTTTACGATTTCTTTGCTACGACAATTTCTTCTGATCTCCAAACACAGTGTCGATTGTTATTGTTGATTTATTAGTGTTAATTACAATGTAACCATCTGGAGATGCGAACGTCTCACTAAACTTGACTAAACTATTAAACTACTATGTAAAAAAACTTGATTTCCACAAACTTATCCACAGTGGAAAGATAAAAATCAAAACTATTTACTGCCTTTTCGAAACCACAAGAACTGAAATTACTGAAATCTTAATTTTGCGGAATCTTAAATCTTAAATTCTTAATTAACAATGACACACGATTAGTATCACAACGTTAAAACGTAGTAACAAGTTGGACTAACAACCCTGAATATTTCTTACGGGTCTTACCGGTGCAGAATCAGAATCTAGATTATGGAATGCCGGAGGAAGTTAATCCGCAACAGGCATGGACTACGGAAGCAGATGATTGTTATAATTGAGCATTGTGCTGGAGTTAGCTGTCGCGCTCTCCCTATACCGACCAGATACATTTGTCCATCGTAATTATCCAGAAGTCACCTTGAGGAAACTCGCATACTCGCCAGCCTGCTTAGGTTTTACTCTTGACAATACTCTTCCATAAAAGCGGCGTTTCGTTGCGTAACGTTTGCTCTTGAACTTTAGCAATACGGCGATACTTGTTTACGTAATAACCACAAGTAACCGCCAAAACAAATCATCGATCCACACAAGGAACCAGCGAATTGAATGGCATCCACGTTTTCCAGACGAGATGGATGACAATGGTGCATGCATGGCGAATGTATGGCAAACGTATTGGTGCAAACTTCAAACGGATTACGTACAACGGTACAAGCTGTACGACTGTAAGAGCACTTTAACTCGTAGTGCAGACTGCAGATGGGAGGAGGCTGGTGACGTTAAGCGGGTGAGCCACTGAGCTGCACTGCTGCAGCCTGTCGAGCTCTACTCATACGCCACGCCGGCCGCGGTAGCAGTGGCGTAGCACTACCGCAAAAAACCATAGTCTAACAGATGCTATTTATTTAACTACGCTATGTATTTAGTTAAACATACATGACATAATTATTAAAGCGTTATCAGATTACCAAATTTAATGGCAAATTTAAAAAAATATGACTTATGATCTAAATCCGTCATGGAATTGTAGGTTGCAAACTTTTTAGTTGCTACCTTAGAGGTGTTTTGCTATCCGTGCACCATTGCCATTACGGCAACTTATTGCAGCCCCCACTTGCTGCAAAAAACTTACTTACGGTACTTTAGAATTTAATGGTTATTTATAATAACTTGCACATTTTTGACATACTCTGCCAATTTTTTTCCAGATACTTTACCGTGGTTTTCGTCTGACTTTTATGGCAAAAAGATAGAAATGGCAGATCAACTCCAGCGTTCCCGCTCTGTGTACAGTAAGTGCCGTGAAATGTTGTTTGCACGAAACGGTGACGATCCTTTGCTGTTATAAGTTTTACTAGTTTTCATGTACGTTAGTTATTTATTAGTATCTCTCGTAGCCGTCACCATGTGCGTATGTTTTTTAAGATTTTAAGACATTTCATCGGTGGTTTTACTATGGCTTCTATGCTTGGGTGTTTGCAGTTGGTAATTTGCCCTGGGATATTAAGGAGGATGATCTGAAAGAAGTGTTTGCTCGAGTTGGCACCATCGTGAGTCTGCGCATGCCCAACGATCCGGAAAGTGGCAAATCCAGAGGTTTTGCATTCTGTGAATACCGCGATCAGGAATCTGTTAATGTGGCTATTAAACACTTCAATGGATACGAACTTTTGGGACGAAAGATTCGCGTGGACAGCGCCGCTAACAATCAAGATAAGGATGCCAAGATTGTAGGACCCCCACCAGTGGACGTGAGTCTGTTGACGTTTCGCGCGTTCGTGTGTTCTCCTAAGAGTGCTAGCTCAGAAATTTGCTAAGAATACGTACCCCGAATTCATGAAATTTATTTTAAGTAAATACCGTATTTTACTAGAAAAATGCACGTTGCCGTGCATTGGCAGACCGGAGCAAGACTTGAAAGAAATGGCCGCTGCGGTGGCGGTAATAGGTCCAGTTTTCGAAGGGGGGGTGGGGGCAATTCCTAAAAAGCGTTTTGGGGGGTGAGGAGTAGGACTATTTTTTTCGTGGAGGTGGCATTACTAATTAATAAAATGCGGGAAAGATTTGATCTCTTCTGTATCGCAGTCAACAGTGTGTACGAAATTTTTAAATTATTGCTGTGCGCGCACCGTCGGATCAGTTGTCTTTGAACACCAATAAACGAGATTTTCCCGTTTCGAATACTTTTTCTACAAAATCTGTTTCATTTTCTATCTAGAATCAATTTGGGGAAGCCTGTGATCCCGTAGAGGCTCCGGAAAGAATTGCCAGCATTGTGGGAAAGATGTCTCCTCAGCAGATTCAGGCTTTGGTCAGCGACACGAGACGCTCTCTGCAAACGGATCCTGAAGAAGCTCGTGTCGCTTTAGTCAATAATCCACAACTGGTGTATGCCATTCTGTTAGCCCTTGTTCGAGGTCGATATGTCACGAAGGAACGCGGAACCGTAAGTCTCGAAGTTGTGAATAGGTAATAAGGCTTTTATAGCGTTGCTTTACTCATTTTCATTTCGAAGATGTCTATATGAATTACCGTATCTGTTGATTCTTTATTGGATTGTGACATACATGCTGTACCGTTCTACATTTTTGTAAACTTATAAGACAACAGCTTTTGTATCGCATTAAGGAACAACATTGAATTCGACAACAGAAATTTATTTATTTTAAACAACGGTAGCAGAATGGGTTATTATCTGTGTAAAAATTTCAGTAGGATATGTACAATTCCAGGAAGCATTGACAAAACAAGAACCTCCTTTATTGCCTTTGTTCCCGGAAGCTCGACCGGCAGCTGTTCCGTCGCTAGTCAGTCCCATTCCTAGTTTGACTTCCGGACCCAGTCTCCTGGGTCCATCTCCCGGTGTTCCCATGCCCGGTACAATCCCTCCAATGATGGGTTCCGGAAGCATGGCTCCTGCATTTGGCAACCCGCCGCTGGGACCACCGCAGCCATTCCATCCGGGTTTGGCCGTGCCGCCTCCTCAGAACTATGGTCATCCACCGATGAATATGAATATGCCGCCTCCGCACATGCAGCCTGATCATTTGCATCATGGTCAACGTGAACCGGGATTCGAACGAGAGCGGCCGTCTGGACTGAGAGGCACTATGCGGGATCGCCCCAATCGAGCCAGCCGGCCAGATGGCGAACGGGATGCTTTTCGGGACGGCGGTTCTGGTCGGCATGGAAATCGGGAAGGTGCAAACCGGGGGAGGGGAGCTCAGGGGCCTTATCAGGATAATCGTGATCGGCAACGCTTTCCACCCACGACTGGCAACGGCAGTGCGAAACAGTCTGTAAGTTGACTGTTTTCGGGTGTCTGACGGGAAGCCCCTGTGGCATGGCCCTGGATTTCGACAAATTTAAATTTACCTGTGTAGAATTATAGTTAAGGTGTTGCAAATTACTGTTAGAATTAAACCAATTAATGTGCGAAAAACGTTGAACAACACGAATTTTTAAATTTCCGTGAACCTGACTATCGTGCAGTACCACCATTACAGTAAATACTACGATTATGACTCGACTTAATGTCGACGCTGAGAACTTGTTTTCTATGAATGACCATGGTTAAGCGGTTTTGTAATCTCTTCTTTCTTTCAGCCTCGAACTCCAAATTCTCCAGCGCAGCAGTCACCTTCGACATCCAAGGAAGAGCAGGAAAAGGCCGAATTGATTATGCAAGTATTGCGCCTGCGGGAAGATGATATTGCCAAAATGGCGCCAGAACAACAGAAAACCGTCCGCATGTTGCGAGATCAGTTCAAAAATATTTCTAAATGATTTACAGAAACAGTGCTTTTTCTTAGAAATTTAGTTTTTAGGCTTCACTTAGTATACGTACGCGTTAAAGAAACCTTTATATTTTGTGTAATGGAACGAATACGGATAACGAATGCTGGTTGCTCATGTGAACTTGAGATTTGAAAACAATAAAAGAATATTCTGCTGATTAGCCAAAAGAAGCGAAGTTTTGCTTCGAGAATTTTCGCAGAATTCGTACTGTTTACTTAAGAAACGATCATTTTTATTCAACAGTACTTTAAAGATGGTGCGAGATCAAAATTTTAAGAGATGTGAAACGATAGTACTTTTCTTGTACGGTCCCTGCATTATCTTCATTTTGGCACTCACATCTTGCCCTAACCCCAAAGTGCCAGCATATACAGTAATGTAATGTATAAAAGTATAATTATTAAATAATAATAATGGCCTTTGTCCCCGGCGTCAATGCGCTAGGTAACCACATCCTTCCGAGGCACTTGCTAGTTGCTACTTGCTAGCACATACAGGTCTGCGGAGATATAACCTGCTATCTCCGCAGTTTCCAAAAGGCCGCACAAAAAAAATCGGTTGCCGAGTTTTTGAGAATGGCAACAAAACTGGCCGGCTCACCCGCACCACCTCCGTCCATATCCCTTTGATAACGGCTTGCAGCTGACTCATCAACAATTGCAATTGACTCAACTTATTGATATTGCTGGATCGGTGGTAAAAATTTACGCTAAAGAAGTACGTGCAAAAAGAAGGTTGTAAAAATTGGCGAACTTCCTGGTGGTTTTTCCACCTAATTATATACAACAGACGTTGCCGGGTTAATAACTCACCAGCAGCATGTAATGTTAAGCAAATAATTTTGGCTGTTATGTCATATGCGGTACTCTGTTTTTTTTTGCTACAGGATGACCGCAATGGTGAAAAACACTTGTACTGCAGGCTGGTGAGCTATGCTGTAGTTAAAAATTGAAAAACGGATTGAAGTGTTACATTTATATTCAAAAACACTTTTCCTACGAGTGCGTTAAAAAGATCCAAAACGAAATTTGCGTTTCGCGCTGATAATCTCTATGTAGGTCTGTTCTAGAATCGTGTACAAAGCCCTGCAGTGTACACTGCTCTACACACAATACAATACAACGCACTGTGATAAACGAAATTGGGCATGTTAATTGTTTGTTTTCCTAACGATTCCACTGCAGCGCTCTCATGGTTGCCGCCATTATCAACACATGCGGTACGCAAATGCTGCAAACCTGACACAGCTACAACATGTGCAGTAATATCCAAGCAGAGTTTTGGTTGGGCATTTGCATACTTGCTGATAATGTCTTTGGTAGAAGTATGCATAAAGCGTGCGTGGATGGATAGACTGTTCGTTGTTTAGGTACGGATATCAAATTTGACCACAAGGACATTCCATACTTTATTCCAGTTAAACATAAGTAATCATTAACAGCTCTGTCTGTCACGCGGCATAATCGAGAAGTGTTGCAGCAAATAACAGCTTACACATTTTTTTGCAGTTAATCACAACTGCGCCATTATAGATGTCTTGCAGCTTTTACAAGTCAAACAGCAATACACTTCCAGACTTCTTTATGCTCAGACTGGTTGGGATATTACAGCAGAGATTCCTCAAGTTCAAAGCATAAAAATAGCACAGCGCCAGAGAACGCGATTGCAGGATAGCCGCACTATTTTCTTCCACTCTTTACAGTCCATATCCCGCTCTGGTACGTAATAACCCGAAAGCCGGCTGTACGTGTGCTCAAGACGTTGTGTTCTTATTTACAGTTAGTGTTTTTTTTGCAAGCTTGCTTACCGACGGGATAAAGATGCAGTTTTCCGGACTGACGCTGCAGTATCCGCATCATTGCGTGATCAGCGTTTTCCTGACATTGGTTATCTTTCTGAGTTTCCAGACTGGTAAGATCAATCAAGTGGGCTATGATGATAACTAACTTGCATTCTGCTCATCTTGCATGATTTGCAATCTACCAAATAAGAAACTCTCTTTGTCGCGTTTGCAGCTGCAAATGCCCAGATTAACTGCTACGTATGCCATTCCATAAACGGTTCAGATCCGCAGTGTGAAAATCCCAGTAGAATCGGATCCAACACTTCCGTTCTAATCCAGAACAACTGCCGGACAGCGTTGGGGGCAACTGGTCCGAACTCACCCAGGCCCGCGCTTGCTTGTGTAACAGCTTTGGGCGAATTCAGTAAGTCGAAATACAAATGCATACAAAAGTTGTAGAGGAAAATGTACAATTGTATAGTATTGTGTTTTTCGAAAAAAATGCAGACAAAAATGCTACTAAATTTAGTAGTATTTAATTCGTCCTATGCGCAATCGGCAGCAAATTAGCACCTAGCGTTTTGTCTTTCCTTTGGGCTTTTGCAGTGCCATTAATGATACAACTAATTGAAGATTAAAAGAAGCAATATGTAAACAGGTCAGACATGGGCAAAATTATTTTTGTTTCAGTGCCAGTAGAAGGACGCATTAATTTTAATTTCATAAGTTCGGGATATCCGACGATATACAGATATTAACTAGTCATATTTGTATTAATTAGCCGGTATCAATCATATACGATTTAACTGCCATGTATGTATTAACTGTAGTTCGTTTCCGTAGAAGTAAATTTGTAGTATGTTGAATACATTGCATCCCGCTAGCTAGTCGTCGCCAATTTGGGAGCACGACATCTTTGTGTGCGCATAACTATGAGCACCTACTATAAGCACATAACCTGCGTACTGTATTTGCTATTTACGTATTATAATATGTAGTGTGATAACAGGTATTATTGTCCTGTGTTCTAACACGAATTCACCATTCTATAAATGTCTCCCGCTCTTTTAAATGTTTCGATTTTTCACTTTCTATTAGAGGACAAAACATCGAAGAAGATTGTGATAGCAGTATCCAGATACTGTACAGCTATGTTACCACCTGTGTTGATGGGCAAACCTTTGCCGGACGTCCATTATCAATGCGCAGAAACCGATTCCGATGATATCTTACCTGGACCACGGCGCACCTTAAATGGATGCATAGACATCTGCTTTCATAACACCTGCAACTCGGCGTCCATTTACCGCTTAGCGCCAGTAATGCGCAAGAAGTACGAGGACTACATTGCGCAAGCTACAGCATCCGATCCCAGCAAGAAAAGCAAGCTCAAATTCCCCGATGTCTTCGCTGTTGTCGAAGCGCAGCGGCTAAACGAAGAAGAACGTTCAGGTCCGGGAACGGGCAATAAATCCGCTGGCATTCGACATTCGGGTACGGCTGGATGTGTTGTAGCTGCCTGGAGTGTCTTGCGAATGTTATCCTTGTACCTGAAATAAACCAAAATTTAATAGCATCGTACCTGTATGTTGTGCTATCAGCTGCAACACAACGCATAAATTGCTGATAATAATAAATATCATTATGAACGATGTCGATTATTCTTGGATAGTCTTGTTCCTGTATATGTCTGAATAATTTCAATCTCAGTTTTGGTTCTTCTGAAAGTTTTTAAACATTTGTAGAAGAAGCATGCTGTGGTCACCTTTGACGAGTTGTTTATATAAGAACAATAAATATGAATGTGCGATACTTACGTAATGGCTTAAGGAAAGCTTAAGCATACATCACACATAATGCTAGAGTTATGATTTGCCTAAAATATTTTGTTTTATTGATTTTTTTTTGCACTTATATATATAATAATCAGGTGATTACCGTGTGCAATAAGTTTTATCTGCTACGAAATAGATTAACAGCATTTAGCAGATGGCTGTGTCCTTGTGCGTGCTGCATTTTTATTGGTAGATCAGAGTCATCAGACATCCTTGCTTTTTTGTTTTATTACCGAAAGTAAAATTTCATTATGATATGGTTGTAATTTGTATGCAGGACAAGCGTTTCAGAACTGTGACAACCTTGAGTACGTAAGCCGTGTGAGGCAGAGTAACTTATGGTCAGTTATAGACACTGGAAAGAATTAAAAAAACACGAAATTAATATTAAAAGGCAGCAGGGATTGCAAGAAAAACAAGAAAAAAACTTGTAGAATTGAGATTTGGCTTTGTATTGCATATCTACTCCTATATCTTCTTGCATAACGTATCAATGTAATATGACAATATAAATGTATTGCATATTTACTCGAGTTGTAAGTACGAAACAAAGGTAAAGCGCAAAATAATTTCTGTACTGTAGAGCGTCATCGCGTTATTGTAAATCTACCGACAAGCACAAATCTATTCTTTCCAGGGTGGACAGAATGATGCTATTCAATGCTACTCTTTTTGATATCGCTTATAAGTTTAAATTACCGCTATTCTGAAATTCTGAAATGTTATAGAAAACCAAAACAGTGAAAACCGCTTTCTGTGTTCTGTGCAGTTACTGTACGTATAATTTTTTTGATTTTTTGTTACATGGCTACACGCTGGATGGAATCAGAAAGTACGAGTACCTCATAACTGCCGTACTATCATCATCTACTTTCAATACTTACTACTGCCGACATTAAATTTTCTCATAAGCATTGTCGATGGTTTTAAAAAATAGTTACGTAATGCTGGATTGCGCCTTTTGGATGTCCAGATAACTGCTGGCGACTGCATTAATTAGCCTAGACCGGGTCATAAGTACGAGTAATACGCGCTGTGGTTTGCGGAGTTGTTAAAAACAGGCATGACTACTGCTATCGTGCATTTAGGTTCGAAAGCTGTCACAATTAATCTTGTCAGATGCCCTAATCTGTCCTGTATTAGTTACCCGTTCACGTACGAAAATGTAAAGTCCCTGGAGCAACATACCGACAAGAATTTCTTTAATTGCGTCATAATCGTTTCCTGATCGTTTATATTATACAGGAAGCGGGCAAATGGGTAAAACGTTTTGATATCGTCTGCACGGTCTCGTGCGGTATACATGCCAGCTCAATAACGACATTATGGTAACCTTTACCATCTTGGCGAGGCAAAGATAGCCAGCGTGTTATATTAAATATTGTGTGAATATATGCTTAACGAGCTAATTGTTGGTTTCAATTTAATATTGGTACTGTTCTCTAAAAAGTTCTAATGCATACGAATACATCAAATCTGGCCATGGCACTGTTTTTTGAGCGCACTGTAAGTGCATATTTGACGCCAGAGCGATACATGCGCGAGAAGAAAACTTTTAATCTTCAGTTAACTTGCCGTAAATCCACGGGAAGCCGGCGTAAAGGATTTGTTTGTATAATAATTATACCCTTTCCGCTTTGCTCGTTTCCTTTTCCTCTCGGTCTACAACTGTAAGCACAGTTGCCACGCTGCTGTTTCTTCGTTTTTGATCCTAATCAAAACCGCACAAGCGCATATATACGTCACGGTAATCTTTTATACCGTGTTCTGGTGGTACTCCGTACACTGCACACAGTACAATACATGCCGCTCTTTCCGCTCGCATATTCACAATTTACAGAATCTGGTGAAGACAAATTAAAACGGTAAGCAGATATTTAGGTAATACACCTCCAGTATATTAAAAGAAAAATACTGTTCAACGCACTCCGTAGTCCGTACAACGCAAGAATTACATATGTGCTTAAGACAACCGCGCCTAACATAAGTGTATCCGTACTTGAAGTACAGGCTTTCGACAAATACAATCGATACAGTACTAATTAGCTGTTTAATTTAATTGTGACATCAATTTCGAAAACCATTTTTTAAGCACAGCAATAATTGCAAGCTTAATCACGCGGCATTCCTGGTCGACAGTTATGTAGACCGCAGAAATAACATGCGATGTGGCGGAAAATGGATATGTTTTATGCGCATTCGAATGAAATTATGGCGGTAACGTGACTGTAAATTGGTTACTGAAATTAATAAGTTTGTGATACTCGACTATCTCCATTTCCGCATGCGTTGGAAACATTTTCAATTATTGGACATCGGCCCTTATTTATGCCTGCCGAATGACTGTAGCTGGGCTGACATCCCGCCACGCAACGATATTGGGTGGTAAAATTTTAATAAGACACTGCCGTAGCATAAGTGTCGTAGCACTATTAATATAATTGTGTATGCAAATCTGCATACTATCTCCAGCTGTTTCGGTTAAAGATTTTTATAAAAGGCTATATCAAACTAAACTCAATAACAGCAATTTAACGTCAGATTGTCAATGCTGTCACTCGGCGGTATTCTTTGCGGAAACGATTAACGATGGTTATGTGTACGTCTTCACCGCAAACAAGACTGCATCTGCAGCTGTCAAGTGAACCACGAAGAAAAAGTGGTTATTCTAATTTATTAAGTGGTTTTCTCTGTAATATGTTTGCAATCCAAAAAGATAGAATTGTGTACAAACGTTGGAAACCGCAGGAAACCAGACAATCTTTTGTGTTTCAAGATTTACAGATACAGCGGGAATTTCGAAGGGAATTCATATTGTGCTAAATTTCAGTGACCGTATGTATTTCGCATTATAACGATTAATTATAACTAGTTGCAAGTGGCAAAAATTACTTTTCTGCTCGCGTAAATTAAAAAACGTCAAATTTTTTCGTGCTATCGTCAGAGAAAGCCAGCATATACATAGCTGCGTACAAAAGTGTTTCGTAAAACTAGATTTGCTTCGCTCTAGCGTTCGACATCTGTGTGGTTCAATAATCATAGAGTAATATGCTTATGCATATTGTGTACCATAAGAAGCAAAAAGTATGCTAGTGCAGAAAACTGTTCTTAAAATTGCGCGTCCCTTTTTGTCGTTCCTGCATAGGCATACAGACTACTCTACACTTTCCTTTGGAGTAACCTTTGTAAACATCGATAGTCGACAGTACATTTTATAGGCAAACCGCTCTTTCAAATTGTTTTGGCTATCAAACGGTATAATAGACCGAACAACATTAGATTTAAAAATTCACTGCACATAACAAATCATATGTAATTATCGTGGTAAAGTATGCTGCATTAGCCATGAAAGTATTCCCATCCATAAACCTATTCAAACATGCTGTTATTCATCCACCATAAACTGTCATGTGGCATGTTGTTGTGAGTGATATCAATTAAGTATCCCAAAAAAGTCCGTTTATGAGTCGGCTGTCGTAATCCGGAATCAGATGATATATGGCTGTGTTGGTTGCCTTTTTTCTGGATTAGGGAGCAGGTAGAGCAGGGCAGTCGGGACGGCGGGAAGAGGCAAATATAGCTATTCCACATGACAAGTTAGTCAAGCAGACTAAACAGATAGTCAATTTTTGGGAAATACGATTACTTTCTGGAGAGAAAGCTATTATGTACAATGTTGTGTGTAGTCAGTTCGTCTCTTAACAGCGGCATCCGGGGGATCGGCGATCGCGGAGCTAGTTTGTTGGATCAGTGATAAGATGCCGGCACTTCCATTGCCGCGCAGAATTACAGCACTGCTCCATCTGATAACACTAACTCTTTGTGGCGCATGCTGTTAACGGTTACGTCTAACCAACGTTATTCCTGAGATTTTACACGTCGTAAAAAAAGACGTTCTTTTCCAGTTGTACAATACGGACCGTAGTAAAAATTGCATCTTCCCTATGGTTTCCGCGCACAACCAAGCCAATTATATTCCAGAACCACGCTCACACGCTGGCTGGGGTTATACAAGCTGTGCCCGCCTGTTCCCGTTTGATTCATGACCGTTGGTTCGTGTATTTGTGTTTTTACATGGGCGTATGATCATCCCGGTTTTATATGGTAACCCTGTCATGTTGGCATGTCCTTAACGGCATCCATAGAAAAACTTATATACCTTGTAAATTGCCAGTTGAATTGTGACGTTATGTATATGCCCCGCAATGTATATTGCTGTGCTATGTACATATTCGTCGTCGCCTCTTTTTACTTGAAGCACTCTTCATGACTGTAGCGAGCGTGTGTCTGTGTGTGTTTTTCGTGCGGAGCAGTGTTGCGGGTGTGTGGGATCCTGAATGGTATGTTTAATTCTTCGACTGTGAACGCCCTTTTCCTGTACTGCCCGAAACATGCCGACCCTGGCCAACACACTTAAGAAATTGGATAGATGAAATCAATTATTAACATTTGGCCAAGCGAGTGTCGCCTGTTTTGTGTGTACACACAACTTTGCCCCAATACACTGAATGGGATATACGTATTCGGCTTTTTTCTTTTCTTATTACCCCTGCTCATTTCAATTGCATTATACAAGTCACGATATGTTGCCGACTTTTGCCAGCTCTCGGGTGTAGCAACAATGCCCGCATACATCGCTGCAGCGGCATATAACCCGGCTTAAGGAACGCACGGGAGTCGCCATCATGCACATTGGGAATGTAATTTGCAACAAATCGGATAACACGGGAATGTTATATATGCAAATGCACCGCCGCGGTTGGGGCTACTACGACGACAAAAACACGCTCTTGTGTACTGTACCGTAAAACGTCGCCGACATTTTGGTGTGCCGCCGAGTATATATATTGCATACGCAGTGCTGTGTGTGCCGCCGAAAAATTGGCCCGTTTCGGTAACATGATCCATTCGGATTCGACGTCAACGGGACAGTTATGGAATTATAGTGTGTTTAATGTAACGTTTCCGGATGTAACGGCACATTATTTCAATAGATCACCAGCCGGAAATATTGTGCCCAATAATGCCCCAACGGAAGCGATCTCTTGCCAGCAAATCCCGGGGGAAAATATCCCCTTCCCCTCATGCTACACTTGGCCGCAGATTATCCTTTTTGCCTTTTTTATGGCCGTGGTTATGTTTATCATTGTCTTCGGCAATTTGCTTGTGATAATGCAAGTTCAACATTTTTCATTGTGCTTTGACTGTATTTGTGTGCACCTCGCCATTTACGATTAAGTAATCGGTTTGTGATTCTGATTGCAGATCGATTATGACCAACACGTCTTTGAAAACCGTTCAAAACTACCTTCTGGTCAGCTTGGCCATAGCTGACTGTATGGTGGGTGCCATAATTATGCCTTTCTCCCTTGCCAATGATCTAATGGGATATTGGGCGTTTGGGGATATACTGTGTGATTTTTGGTGGGTTCACTAATCATCGTAAACAATAAACTGCAAACATTTTATTGTGAACGTTATAGTGGACATAGGCTGCAGTTCAAACATGGCGGATTCTGATTCCTTAATGACGCTTTATTGGCTCATAGCTGCCTAGTTTATAATAATAAGTGTACACACATGCTATCAGGTGGTTGTTTTTAAACTGAAACCCCCCTACTTATGTTAATGCACAGTTCGGCTGAGTTAAGTGCACTAGAAATAAGATCGATAACCGATATATGAGAATTTCGAAAGCGGTGCTGATGCGCTAAGTATCAATTAATTCTTTTGTAGAAATGTGACATTTAATTAAGACCACTCTACATTACAGTATTGTACACCGTACCTGGCCTTTACACAGGTGCAATTGAGACAACAGTTTTCGCTCTGGCTGTAAAATCTTGCAGACTACTTAAATTTACGTTTCCAATGGTGTTTTATAATACTATAGCAATATTGAACGATAGAAAGATTTAAGTAATATTTGGTATGCTGAGTTTTATAGGTAAACAGGAATTGCATTCAGTAACTTTGCGACAGCAATTCTGTATCGTTGTCCGATATTTAATTAATGGATGGTGACTGGTGAGGTTTTACAGGAATGCTCCAATTTTGTGACCTTGATAAAATAACCACCTAACTATTCATGTGATCCGCACATCCAAATACTAATGCACTGATTTCTTACGGTGTTATTAAATAGTTTTTAAGATAAACCAATCATAGAGCTTAGATGTGTGCCACTAAAATTCTAGCTATAAAACTGAAATCAGCAGAAAGTTTCCTTACAATCATGCTTCATATCAACCGGCAAAAGCCAGTCACTGTTTATACTATTACATAGTACAAATTATCAATAGAAGGGCAAGCGGTATTGCTGCTGAATTTGGTTTATTATAGAATAAAACTACCTGAGAAAAGGTGAAGCGTTTTTAGTATGTGTAATCGTATCACAACAAAGTTTGGGAGGGATTTTAATATGGATGAGATTTTATACAGTTGAGTTGTCATAACAAGACAAGCTAATTTCCGAAAGAGGTGGAATAACTTGGAACCATCAAAGTCTTTTGTAGGAAATGATGTAATCCGCTGATCGATGGTGAGATCCAGGCAGAACAGACGTTCAGTCATGAAGTAAAGTTAATTACTCAAAGTTAATTTCTTGAGTACCCAAGGGGCTCGCAATCGACTTAAAGGCACCACTGTATTGTTCGATCTTGCGGCTTGTCTTATTTTTTGACAAGTGCTGATAAGGTCAAAATCAGCGCAATCGCAAAGTACTCTTCAGTTGCCTACACTTCGTGCTTCGTGACAGTTACAAGGCCGTTGTACACCTACTCTATGCTTTGAGCGCATATCCGTGTTTCGTTGCATACTCGCACCGTAGTACGAGTATATGCACACATGTTTGTATTCCTCGTTTTGTGCATGCGTAATTAAACATAAATTATCCAAATATTCTCGTTCTACTCCGCACTGTAAGAATTTGCGCGAACGTTTTCGGACGAACTTGATCATTATTGATTAACCTTTAGGTTTAGTGTAGACATTTCATTTAAGTTTTCCAGCTGCCTTCGTTTCCCATGGCGGTGCTCCCTACACAATACTTGCAACTACGGCAATTGCAAACATAGAAGTATGCGTATACGGTATAGATACTTGTATTTGTTCCTCAGATTTGTAATGCTGTTCTATGGTGTTACTGTTTTCAACCGCAGGATTCGCGCCGCTCTATGCATTGTTTAATCTTTTTCTGGGAATTTTTGGCAAAATTTTTATGCAACACTAAAATAGAAAAGAATTTTTTTCCCAGAAAATAAATATCTTTAGAGTGGGGCACATTAGGCTCTTATCGCTTACTGTATTTACATTGTTTTCATTCAGCTGCATAATACGGCAGTATAGTCTGCTTATGGCGAGAATAATATAAATGGTATTCCAATAACAATCAATATGTCTATGTGTACACCGAGAAAGCACATGTACAATATTATGTCTATGTGTACACCGAGAAAGCACATGTACAATATTCTGTTCCTTGCTACTGTACGATTGTACAATTAAACTGGAAGCATCTGCAGTTTGTTGCAGTTTAGCATTTTTTACCCTTCAGGTGAATTTATAAGTAGCCAAATTTAAATAAACTGACTACGTACAAAAGTAGAATTTTCTAAAAGATTGTACCGTGTCCCTTACATATTTGTTTACAAACAACGAAGTATTCGGGATTTTATGAACAAAAAATTGTAAATACTGTGCTGACAGTTCGGTACACAGTGACCTATGCCATTAGCAGAGAACAAGTAAGGTCCTTATTAATATAACAACTCACACCAGTTGGCAAAAAAACTTATTTATAAAACCCTTTCCAAGATTTCACACTTGACACAAAATGACCCATACGCTGACGAGGAGCGGAACAGTAATGGACCGGGTGGAAAGTTTTGTGTCAACATTATCATATTAGATTTGTTCAAGACGTCAACACCAGGAGTAAAGTGTACATACTAGACAAGGAGCGAACGGGATTCATTTCCTTTTAATGACTCTTCACGTTCTTTCCACAGTTTTAGCGCAGTGGCTGTAATGTGTGCGGATACTACATGCTTGAGAGAATCAACGTTTACTGATAGCGAAAGGCTTGTGTGTGGCACAAGTGTCGTAACTTGATCGATGATACAAGGCCGCTTTCTCTATACAGTGCTTTGCGTTCCGCCATTGAAACGAACTTTGTAGTGAATCCAGCAAAAACTTGCTGCATCAATTACCATTCCTTTAAATTTTGTATGACAAAATGGAAAAAAAAGCTATAAGCGTTTAAGCCGATGCATAAGTAAATTATTCAATACGCTCGGCAACACGGGATTTTTTAAAAAATCGCATATTGGCGATTCGACATTAATATTACCTATTCAAGAGTTGACGCAACGCTTTCCGTGATGGAATCATAATTAGAATGATCTTGTAAGTCATGCACGCCAAGAGATAGCTAATCAATAAGATGTATAGTGTACCAGCCCTTTTAAAGGCGGGATTAAATAAAAACTGGTAGGTAGGTTGTATGCAGTACTATAAGGATAACCTTTTAATTTGCAACTGAGCTTTATCTGTCTTGTGCTGTTCTTCGAAATAAATTTGCGTACTTCAACGTATAAATTTTGTAAACTTAGTTAACTTAACCGAATGCTCATCACCGAATGCTTTTATGAGCTGCTTTTATTCGGTATATTTAATTTCAGCTTTTCCTTGCAATTACAGGTTGGCTCTGGATGTTTTGCTGTGTACTGCCAGTATTCTGAGTTTGTGCGCCATTAGCTTAGACCGCTACTGGAGCGTAACACAAGCGGTGACGTACCTCCAACGGCGGACACCCCGACGAGCGGCACTAATGATATTAGCTGTGTGGATGTTATCATTGACAATTTCCGTGCCACCCATGTTCGGCTGGAAGAGTCCCCCCAATATGACGGAAATTGTCACATTTGCCAATGAGTCAGTCCGCGAAACAGCCTGGGTTAAGATTTGCTCAATAGGCGAAGATACCAGCGAGTATGCCATATTTTCCTCCCTGGGGTAAACACAAATAAACCCGTGTTTCAATGTGATCTTTCACTCAGGAAATCATTTTCTTATGACTAAGGAAAAAACGGGACAGTACTTGCTAGTGTCAACTGTGTTGCAGATCATTTTGGATTCCGCTAGCTGTCATGTCGGTTGTGTATGTCCGAATTTACGCTGTAGCGCGAGCCAGAGCTACCGGTCCCGATAAGAAGAAACCGGATATCACCCCTGGTATTTTTAATACGAAATGCTATTATCGTAGTAACTTCTACGTCGTATATGCTAAAATTTCTGCTAAAATACTGATTTAAATTTTATGCAATATTACTTCGGAAACTGAATCTATAAGCGTTGAAACATTTATACATATTTCGGTGCACGAGAATACAAAATCCATCAAAATAATGCTAATGAAAGTAATAATGAAAAATATTTTCGTAGAATTTTATAATATATAATAATGCTTACAGTAATTATCATTTTTGCAAGGGGGGTGCCTGCATCACGGTCTTGCTTTCATAAATAAAGTTTGCGATCGTACTTACAGGGTTAATAGTTCGCTTTTAACGGATACGCATTTATACACTGTACGTATTGCGTAATTATGCTTTGATGTAGCTATTTATTATGAATATGAACATGTGGAATTGCGCATAATGATTTGATTTTGAGCAGCCTCGAAGAACACCAAACCGTCGATATCATCAGCTGTACCTATTCCAGCCATTAAAGTCGACCCTAATCCGGCCAAGAGCAGACCGAGCTGCACAGCCGACACGCATCGGCCTAACAGTACGATTACGACCTACAGTAAGGATCATAACGAGAGGAAGCCCCTTCTGACAAAGCCCAGTCTGCGGCCGGAAGTGTCCGATCAGCATTTGCCGCTAACTAACGATGAGTCTAATTCGTATCCCGAGTCACGCTCCCCGTCTTCCGCCGACGAAACACCGTCCAGCAGTTCGGAAAAGCCAGCCACAGCCGGCGGCGCTACCGCAGCGCCGGCGCGTACAGCACGCACCAAATACCACGGCACGAAACGCGACTACGGAACACAAACGGAAACCATTATCCACGATGAGCAACGCCCCACCTACATTAACGACGATGAATATGCGGAAACGAGCAGCATTATGCTCTTGTCGGAATTTGATTTCGATAAAAGATGGCGGGATTTTTTCGAGCGCTACTTTGCACCCTTGGAAGCCGCCGCGGCAGCGCGCGGTGTCAGCCAGCACGCCGTGCCACGCTCCGTGTCGGAGAACAATAACCTGGCGGCACCCAATGGGACACTGGTCACGGCGGATGTGGCGGTCATTTCCACGGAATCGGTGCCTTACTGGCACCGTGTACGCCGCTGGATTACACCGCTGCTGCAGTGGCGCCGTGCTCGCACAACGACCGATAACCGCGGCTACCGACTGCAGGTCAATAAAGATGCACGGAAAAAGATCTCCCGCAAAAAAGCCAAAAAGCACGTGGGTAGTCGGAAGGCCACTGCCAGTGATTTTCAGGATGAAGCCGATCGGCGTAAGCGGCGCATACAGAAAGCCAAAGAACGCCGGGCGACACTGGTGGTCACACTGGTGATTGCCACGTTTGTCGCCTGCTGGATGCCTTTCTTCATTGTCTTGCCGCTGAAAGCCATTTGTGGGGAAGAGCGCTGTCCCATGGATGCCAGGTTGTTTGCCGGATTTTTTTGGCTGGGATACTTCAACTCGGCGTTGAATCCGGTTATTTACACCATTTTCAACCGGGATTTCCGAAAAGCTTTCATGCGGGTGCTGTTTGGTGCCAATTACAGTAGGAAAAAAGAGAATCGGCAAAAGGGCAAAACGTAATTATCGTTGTTTTTTCTGTTTAGATAAACCTATAACAAAGGAACGATGCAGAGAAATTTTCTGGCTACAGTTTTATTGTGTTCTTTGCAAATAATTGTTGTCCCATTTTGCCTGTCGGCATGGACAAAATCCGCTCATGCTTCCATTTGTGAAAGTTAGGTTTTTTGTTTTTTGTCTAGTTCCGTAGCAGTTTTGTCGTTACGATGTTCAGTGATTCTCAGATTAATAATCGAAACGAGTTGGATGACTTTCATTGCAGACTACTGGAATCTCTTTTATGATAATGCTGTTGTGCTCCGTGCAATACGTCAAATAGTAATGCTCAACTGTGTGGAATAAAAATAAAATGCCGGAAATGCAAGTGCAATGTCCGTTATTTTTGCTTTTTTTGCAAGAGTTTCAACTGATATTATACGAGTAGTAACAAGCAAGATATCACTGTATATCATAACAGAAAAAATAAGGCATGTACTTGGAACTGCCGAATTTTTAATAACCAACACATCAGTTGCAGTAAACTTACACCGAAAGTGGAATGGGTTACAGAAAGGCATCAGTTTCACAAAAGGTCAAAGTCCTAATATCAGACGTGTCGAACATCGCGCCCACGTCAAGCCATCTAAAATGCTACTGGAAGCATACCGCACATGGAATACGTAAGTGATTTCAACAAGAATAAAAAATTCATATAAACTAAATAAAACTTAAAAATTTATAATTTATCATTCATCACATTTAACTTGACTTTATCGGCACACAGATCGTTTCCGGTCACGGATCGAAAATACACAGCGCACAATAAATACATTCTTTTTATCCGGATTTTTTATACAAGTGTTTCTTCTTTCAATGCCAGACGAGCCTCTTCGTAAGCCAGATCTTGGATTTGTAGCGCCTAGCAGTAGAATAAAACCATGAGCCAAAGTTGCTCTTTTTCCCTGTTATAACGCGGCCAAAGACTAATGTTTCCGTGTATTAAATGGTTGTCAGTTTTACAGTGCTAACGATTACTTATGAAGAACAAAACTGCATATTTACTGCAAAATTCAATGACAGGTAACATGTTATATACCTGTGTACGATACTACGTACGATAAAGTTCACAATTTAAAGCTAACGATACATATTTATGAATTATAGTCTAAACTAAGTACCGTAATAATTATGATTCATATGTAGCCACGCAGTCAAGTGAAATTATGTTCCGTTGTGCAACGCATTTCCGTCACGTACCTTGTCGTTATCTTTCACAAGTGTTTCAGCCTGCTCCCCTTGGAGTTTTTTCAAATTCTCTAGTTCTCTTTGTTGCTTATTAATAAGGCGTTTGCGTTCTTCGATAAACCGTTTGGTATTATTACTATTCAACTCCCTTATTCGACGATCCTTTTCAGCTTTATTTTTGATTTTCTTATCATTCTGCACTGCCCGGCTGGCTTCCATGGACTGTTTGGCTTGGTTTGATTTCAGATCCTGATTTTCCCTGTCAACAAATTAACGATCACACATCATTTCGAAAACTACTTTTGACAAGTTCGTGATAAAAATTTCCTTCTCACCTTGTGTGCTTGGCTTCACAATTTTTTGTCTGTTGCACTTGAGCTACTTCGAGAAGCCTTTTTAGTAGATCACACTGTTCTGTGCAGTGCTTTTTCAACAGTTCATGTTCTTCCTTTAAATGCTGGCTAATCAGCTGTGACCACTCTTTTGTTTGCTCGGTGACCAGCTGACGCACTTTCTCTATTTGTTGATCATCCAGGCTTCTTAAACTACCATCCGTGGAGCTGAAAAATGATTTGGGAAACGGTAAATTTGCCGTTCGTTGTATTGGTAACTGAACTTACCATTCGAAAAAAACTTAAAACCATCTTACAAGCAAAAAAATCTTCGGAATTACTGCTGTAATTACAGATATTATCTAGCTAGTCCAACTGGGAGTGCTACTGTATCGGCACGCACCTAGTCTTTTTGACCTTTTTGTCGATTTTGTCAGGCTGGATGGCCACACGATCACTAACAGTACTATGTAATCGTTGCATGGATTGCCGGTCCTTCGTGTGTTTCTTCTTTAGATTTTCGGTCTCTTCCGCTTGCTTTTTCTGCAGTTTGATAAAGAGCTTGTCTTTTTTTAAGTCCTCGATGGTGATTATGTCGAACGGCGGTTCTTCTACAAAGCACATAGTTATATATACTGCACAATACAGATACGTGCACATCTCCAACATTTGCACCGTGCATCACAAATGTTTATCCTCCTAACAGAATTCATAGTGAAGTGCGGTACTTATTTATATTGCATTGCGCTAAGCAGTAGTTCTGTACGACAAATAATACTTAATACAACTACAATGTACGTAATAAATTCAAAAGCCAAAGTGTTAACCGAATGCGGGTGCTAACCGACATTATTATACTGAGCCATGGACGTCAAACATTTATTTGATATGAAACTGAATGGTTATTCAGTTCGGAAAATAAAACTTATATCGATCAAAAACGCGACGTTTGACGCAAAAAAACTTACCTCGTGGCTTGTCCATTTTGGTTCCCGGAAGCGCAGCGGTCTGATCAGCGGCTGCAATAACAGCCGGTCCGGCAACCTTTTTCGAATCTTTGGGTTCAAACGTTGGACGATGCTTGGATGCTGCATCACCATCCGGTTTTTCAGTATCAGCGCCCAACTGATCCAGCTGTCGCGTGCGTTTCTCTACTTTAGCTTGCGGTGCAAATAGGGCGTCAACCAAAGCTGAAAGGTGGAAAACATTTCTGAAGGTTCCCAATACGATAAAGGCTTCTTACAGCTCTATTGGATTAGTCTACACGGAAAGTTCTACCAAAATAACTAATTCCGGTTGCATAACATGCACTTACTGGCATATGCGTATAAGGTATTAAACAAATTAAAATGCTGACTACATATTACAGTATTTGCACTTTTTCACGTCAGCCACAAATCCACGACCAGTGCTCGCACTTTCTCACAAAATGAGTGCATTACTATACTGTGTAACTGATTTTATGACTTCACCCACGCGTACTGGAAACTGATCATGAAATGCGTGTACTTACTTCTGAAACTTAAATCTCTTAAATTAGTTTTTGTTAAGATTTCTTTCAAATTTTTTATTTTAGATTTAGATACCACTAATTGTAATGCAGCGATTGATTTCCAATTAGATTTGACATTTTGTAAATTCCATTGTCTTACCACCAAGACCATCCGGAACGTATGTTTTTAGAACTATGTGGCAGAAAAGGGTCGGCAAAGACAACGGAAAGTTGGCTTCCGTGCGTAGTGATATATGGCGGTATCCCGCTTGTAGCCCATCCAGTGGGAGAACCCGCTGGCCCAGCACTTTTCCATATTCGTCATACACACAAAAGCGAAGCATAGCCAACTCCGGAAGAATGATCTGTTACACAAGAAATCAATTATGCCTTTCAACAATGCACGGCGAGGAAGTGGTGCTCTCGAAAAACCTTTCGAAATTCGAATTTATCCTCGTTGTACACCGGATTGAGACCATTGTTGGGAATGGTTTGGGTACGGTATTCTTTCCTGATTGTATCCGTTGGCAATCCATACATATCCACTTCAACATAGGTCCCCACTTTACGATCCGACAGGAACTGGCCGGATATGACCTTCAATAAATAGGTGCACAGTGTAAATAAAGGCATCCGGTTATGCAGAGTGTGGGCCGTTAGATGGGAAAATCATTTGTATCACAAACTGTACCCGAACAGAACAGTAAGCGGCAATCACACCGTCCACAGCTGCTTCCGCAAACGGATCGAACGTTCGATCGGAGCGACGCATGAAATCGGGTTTTAGCAGGTACCTGTAACACGAGCATTGTGCTATTCAAAACAGAAACTCTAACAAAACCAGTTCGACTTTTTACTTAAGTCTACACGTACGTGAGTAACCGTAATTCACTGCGCAAAAATTACAGTAGATCTACTTCTATGATTCGCGGCATTGTAGTGTACTCGCGCAGTCAAGCAAAAGAATATGATTATGTACAAACCTTTTTAATGCGTTTCCTAAACAAAGTATAAAAGGAGTCTAATCTACGAGAAAAGCCTAATATTTCTACTATTCTTCTTACGTTATTATTTCTTACCCGCAATTGGCGTTGTATTCGAATTTTCCTGAATTCAGTTGCATTCCTACATCTGGTGTCTGGAAGTTCAGTGCAACCATTTGACATCCGGCGTTCCAAAAGATTTGCGGCAAAAAGTTTGAAGAGTCTACACGGCCCCCTTTGGGATATATGCGACTCAGCTGTCTTTTATTGTAGCTGGAAATTAAAGTAAAATTTTTTATACAAACGGAAGTGAAGTAAAGTGATATGACAATTAACGCCACAAAGTCCAAAAAAGGCCATGACTATCTTATACTCACTTGACAAACTCTATCGCACTTGTCCGCAGCAAGTTGAGTCCAGCCGATTCGTTGAAGGATGACATGCAGTAAGAAAGATTCCGCTCTACAATGCAGGTAAAAAAAGGTTTTACCGAAGACTTGAAAAAAATTTACGTACGAAGCGGAATGTGAAGCGCGCTCTGTAATTTGCATTACTTGATCAGCCATTCAAAAGCCGTGCAGCGAATGCGTACCTGCAGCCACGTCGAATCCTTGAAATTTTACGGGCTGGGCGTAATTAATCAGTGACGACAGCCACGGATGAATATTTGTGGTGGCTCCAGTGTATTCGTAATTAGCTAGCAATGCTGCCTCATCATCCTGACTTAAAGTGCCCTAGATAGATCAAAATTATCAATTGGTCATCGCAGTGTCTAATGGTAGTTAATTGAAGGCAGTCAACTGCGGCTGCGGCTGCCTTTACAATCGATATTCAGAGCTTACCTTTTTCCCGGAACTTTTGCTTGTTCCAGGCTTATCGGATTCCAAAAGCTCATCCAGATCCAGCACGGCGCCGGTGCTGGTTTTGAATGGCGAACCAACGCTGGCGGCCGGGGTGACGCTCGGGCTATCGTCACTGAGTTTATTCGTCACCTTGGCACCACCCAGTCCCGCCCCGACTGTAGAAGCGACCAGTGGCGATATCGGCCGCGCCGCGTGGGTTTCCTTCATGGACAGTGTCGGTGAATTGGTCAGCACGTGTCCGTTAACTGCGGCTGCCACTGGACCGTTGGTGATTGGCTGTTCCGGATGCGGATCATCGCCCTGTGGTCCGGGCGGTGGATTGCATTGATCGGGCGGCGGCACAATGCCCGGCACGGTTGGAATGGTGGGTTTGGAGTTGGTGCTGCTGTTGAGAGACGATGTTGACGGCTTTTTGGTCAGATTCCGCCGTACGGCGCTCAGTTCGTCTTTGGCGCCGGTAGAACCTTTAGAGCCACGCGAGGAGATACTGACGCGATCAAGAGAAGTGCGCCGTTCCAGGAGATTCGTGGGGGGAGTGCCGGTGTCGGGCGGTAGGCCTTCGTCGGCTGGTACGGGCGCCATTTCCTCTCCGTCCACCATTGTCGAGGGATCTTCGCCAACGTCTTCGCGCAGAACGGCAGCTTCCTGACCTTGTCGCATCAGTTCAAGGCCACCTGTTCAGTAAATACATAATCGTTTATGACATTGCTGTCATAGAAGTGAATTACTGTTCAGTGTTCATTATTAATATTACTAATGTCTTGCTCATGTGGTTTGCGTCGAGATGATTTAATTTAGAAAAGAAGGTCGTTTGACATGTTGACGCGAAAATTCAGAAATACGTACGTTTTTCCACTTCCGGCTTTAGACGTTTGTTTTTAATGAGAATTTTCCTTAGAAGGGCACGCGGAGGCGGAAGGGGAGCTCCTGGCTGAAGCTGAAGAAATTAACAGTTTGTTAAAGCTCAAATATTCGTCTGCGACTGTGAGCATAAAATTTATAATTAGCTTTTTGCGGCCATATAATAGAATTGTTACTCACAGAAAAACCGTCCAGCGGGGATTTCAATAAAAAATCGCCGAAGATTTCTTCACAATACTTGGCCATTTTGTATTGCTGTGGCTTACTGAACAGCAAAACGGGTTATTCGTAATAGCATCCCGATGCACCGGACGCTGTCTGCTATTCGGTAAAGTATGCCAGCTCTCACCTGCAGTGATTTTCGAAGGATAGAATTACCGGGAAATCAGATACGACAAATGCTGTATCCCGGATGGCAATAATGGCATCCTGCAGTAAATTAATGTGGATTATCTGACCTTTTGGCATTAACAGCATAGATTGAGACTGGAATGTAAAACTAAAGGCACAAACATTTCCTTAGGTGTACATTTGACATATCACGCTAATTCACACCAAGTCGTAAACACACGTGCACTCTGCACAGCGCATATACAGATAGCTGGGGATCCGGAATCCCGGTGCTCCTGTAATTATAGCTCACCTTAAACAGGATGTCGGTACACATAGCCTTTCCATGTGTGATTATTGGCTCTTGATCTTCTCCTTTACCATCCCAACAATCCAATTCTATACACCTACAGAGTAATCGGTACCTGGTATAATTCGTGTCGATATTGTGGTCAAGTATCTTACATGATAATTAATTTCATGTAAGGTAGGTATAACGCTACAAGTGCCTGCCTGGCAAATTAATTTCTGGTTTTCGTAATTATTTACGCTCTAACTACCAAGGCGTTGCGTCGTAAATTTTACTCAAAAATTTCTACTGTTAAGAAAACCCTGGATTGTACGATATGTTCCTCGTGATGGAGGTCTTTCGGATAAACACCGGCGTCGGGATCATCATCGTTACGATGGTAAACGACATGTTTGTCAAATCGATCGTCAGTGTGTGCGTGTATATTGCATTTTCCTCAACAGCATTTGTATGGCTACCGTAAAGATATAATCGTGCTTCGCATACCGGCATCCGGCCAGTAATGTCTGCCGGTACATTTCCACGGACGACTTGCCACCGAACTGACGTCCGGATAAATATGTGTTATGTGATGAGTTAATGAAGTAGTGACACAAGGGCTGCTCCATATCCTGATATACGTCCAGCCGATCAAGGAAGACAGGCGCATTCTCATCTGACATTAGGTAATGGCAGAAACCATCCAAACTCAATCGATCTACAAAATGTTTAGACAGCCATAATAAAAAAACCATGGAATCCATCGCTGCAGTAGCTGCTGTGAATTATTACTGAGTTTCTGGAAGTCGGGGTCCGTTTCGTACTGATTGATGAGCGCTATAACACGCTTATCCGTATAATGCGGAAAGAGAATCTCGTTTAAGCGCGGATCCCGTTGCTCCTGAATATATGTATACATGTCATCATAAAAAGTTAATGTGACTTTTTTGACAGTATAAACACATTCGACACTTGCCTCATTGAAGAATTTGAGAAGTGCTCCAACTTCCAAATAGCTGCTACCTTTTGACCTTAATTATGACAGACATGTTAATGTCAGGACCTAAACTGGTGTATGTTTTTACAAGTAATTTGTCCACCGTCATTATCGATAAACTACCGGAACAGCTCACAAACTGACAAAACGCTGTTTACTTACATTTGCTTAAAAAGCTCGCTAATGTCGTTGCGTGGACAAATTTTGTGATACAACATGTAAAATTTTTCGAATGTGAAATCCTTCGGCTCGATTTCATCATTCTGTAATGCAGTACGTTGTAATTATATTTATTTCATAGTATTTGCTTTTGCTGTCACCTTTGCGTTTGAAAGTTTTAGGTCGTTTAAACACTGAAGGACTGCTTTCTCTGCTTTTCCGGACGCAAAGGTTCGCGTTATACTGCGTACTGGAATCTTCCCCCTCTCGTTCGTTCCTATTACAAGGCGCTTCCAACTAAAACCATCAACTCAGAATTAGTAAAATCTAATATCTTTAATCTAATCTAAATGAATAAAATCTAATACCTAATATTGAGTTTGGCTGCAGTTTACTTGAATTGTACAAATTATTTCAATAACATAATTATTAAAGTACAATTGTGACTTTACGTAGTGTGACAATTAAAATACATGCACAAGTTGCACGAACGTGTTAACATTGTTAACTTTGTATAAATAACATGCCGAATTAGTCAGATATATGGTGACATAATTACAGTAAAACAGAATTGGATGGACTGCTAACATCCATACGAAAATAGCTAGAGCGGAGCCCCATAAAATTTTCTGATAAGGCTCATATTCCACTGGGCCAAAGTAGCATTGCTACTGCTATATCGTTCTTACTGTTTCTGCAGCATTGTCATGGGGCAAATGTGGTTAGCTTTGATATTATGGGAGAGTTTCCGAAGCGTTTCCGACCAGAGCTAAAAGCCAGCAACACAGCCAATATGCATCGACTGTCAATTTAATCAGACCGTCGCTGGGGAAAAATCTCTGGTAAAGGGAACAAATCTGACCTTGCATGTATCGGGGTCCGGCGCAACGATGCTGCAATCATTGGCTGTGCTTTGTTATCGTTATATATTACAAGGAAAAAATTAAATCAGATTTCCATACTGGCGATACTGGACGTTGACAAGGTCGGTTCCACTACATAATGTCATGGATCGATCGTCTAAAAGACCTTTCCCACGCTCCGTCAGCTCCGCGTGAACAGCAAAATTCTACACATTTTTGAAAGAAAATTGCACCAGTTAAAATGATTTATGATTCGTTTTAATGGCAATATGCAACGATAACCCACCTTTGGAACAATGCCATTGCGAATGTCGGAAACATATGCCATTTCCAGAACAACAGTCTCCTGTGGAAGACATAATCACTCTGTTCTTGTACATATTTTGCATTTCACGCACACACGAATTTGTTACTTTCAAAATATCTTTCGTCCGTACGCTGTAGTATTAAAGTGCTCATTCAGTGGCACGTCAAATCGTTTTCGCATAATTCTAACAATTTCTTATTTTAGCATTTTTAGGTATTGGCATAGATCTTGTTTCTTAAATGGATAGAATAATAATTAATCGTATAAAATATCTTTTTTGCTGCTTTGGAATTGGAAGATAGCAGAACACACTCATATCACAGACGCATGTAGAACTATTTCATAATAGGTACTGCTAAAAATGCCAGGTATTTATATGCAGTTGTCAAACAACAATTATGATGCATATTAAAAATTAGAAACTTTGACATTTAAACAGGAAATGCTATTTTGGTTGCAATATGCAGTTTCAATCTCCTTACGGTTTTGGAGTTAGGAGATCTGTAGTAGAGGAAAAATCCTTGCTCGTCGACTTTGAACTTGCAGTCAAATTCAATTTCGCCGGTTTCCTGTGGTAAATGAAAAGCACTGATGTACAGCAATAATCGAACAAATGTCAGGATTATATTGCAATTATGTTTTGATCATGTTAAGATACTTCGTAAAGCACGCTTCGTTGTTTTTGGGATAAAGCATACTTCGTTGTAGGAAAGCACAGAGAAACAAAAAATTAATACATTCTGCAAACGGTTACTGCTTAAGTTTTCATTTTATGTGCTTGTTTTATTTTTGCAAATTTGAAAGTTTCTACATAAAAAAGTATTCATTACACAAAGATATCCAAACTAACCACAAAAACCTTTATGCATGCCAGATCGCCAATAAGTAAAATCTATAATTTAAGTAAAAATTGAAATAACCATGGAAAGGTACTGGATTTGGAATTTGATTGCATATTTTCGCATTCATCCTAGAAAGTAAATTAAGAATAGACCTAAAATAAAAAATGCAGCACGAATAGCACCACTAGGTTAGCTTGTACATATTTAAACAGGATAACACGAAATTAATAATGGAAATGTAAGTCGACCAATTACGCAATTTAACGTCAGGCCGCATACCTCTTCCCATCTATCAAACGAGCATCCTTCCAGCAGCTGTTTTGGTACCTCCATCTGCCAGTTAAATTCATACTGTTTCGCCATTTTTGGAAGCACGTTTTGGAAAGTTGCAAGGAAGAACTGCTTGTCAAGACTACGATCCAGAAAACTGGCGTGGTGTTTCGGCTCTCACATTCCCATGCTTCATAACTGCGTGAGAGTTTGCCGGTTTACACGGAGTACAACGGAACCGCTTAACAACACATTTCGTCTCGCTGGAAATCGATCGGGGCTTTGGTCATGCAGCTTTATAAAAATCCTAAAATGCAAAAGAAAGAAGAAGAATGATTCAATCCAGTTATTGATCGTTTATTTCTCGGCTGGCATGTCTAAGCGCACAGCGCAGCCAACATATAACGCAATAAATAATATAACAAGTGCACTTGTGCTACGATCAGCTGGACCCAAACTTTTACAATTAGTCTTCTATGGGAAGGCGTGGTGTGAAACAGCATCAGCCAGAAAAACCGTGGTACTATAAAATTATCAACAAGGGGTTTCATAATTATATTACCTACTGCCACATATGCGATCGTACACATGCTGCATACATATGTCCATGCATGCATATTTACGCAGGCAATAATATGTCCCTACAAAATTACGTTGCTGATCACTATAGTGGCTGCGACCATCAGCACCCACAGAAAAACACACGATTAAGTACCCTAGCTAACCATAAGGTGCAGCCACACTGCATGAACTGCAACACATACTTGCAGTCTTGCACCGCGTTTTAGGCATATAATTATACGCTGCGATAAATACTGCATTACGTAGTAATACGTACAGTTTTATTGAAACGAAAAAAGAACAAAAACGTAAAACATGGGGAGACTGCAGAAGTACTGCATACTATGTGCGCAAGGATTACAATAGACCATACCAAAAAATACAACATGAAACAAATTCTCGCATTTTTATGGCTTCATTGCAGTTGTGCATATTATAAGCGAACATCATCGAGATAATTATTGACCGGAAATTATGTAGTATAGACCAGCGTCTGCTCACAAAACAATGTTTTTTAATTATCTAGGATGTATTATAGGCACTCCTGTTCTAATGAAGGAGATGCTATTAATATTGGAAATGACGTAGCTAAGTAATAGGCAACAGCCACTTAATTAAGAGTTAAAAAAGCAAACAATCAACATTACTTGATCTGCTGATTAGAAATTCAAAACAATTCTAACTGATATTAACATACCATATTATTATGTCTATACATTTATATATATAATATTTTCCTTCCAGTTTGAACATGTTGACTTATTACAACGAAAGCCAAATGCAGTGAGCTTCATCGTTTTGCATACATAATCAGCATTAATTTTAGCGAATAATTTACGTGTTGGCCATTTTACACGAAAAAATTTTGTATTATATAGCTATACTTCTACTGAAAATGTGTACAAATGCGGGAAAGGAATGCGTGAAAGGGAAAGCAATGTTTTACGGGTAAAGTTTAAAAGGTAAATTTCATGGGAAGCGGTTCTCATTTTGCTTCCTGATAAATGTACACTCTCAAATAATTGTTACAGTATGTATAAAACACTTCATGACGTTCAAATTTTGACGTAATAATTTCGAAAGCCCGGATGTGTGTACGAATGTCTCTGGTGCATTTTTGGTCAAATACTCATTTCATTTTTGGGAGCGGATCTCCCGAGAGATCGAAAGACAACACCAAATCGACTGACTGGCTTGAACACCTTTTTACACTAATTTTATTAAAACATACTTTTTACAACCTACTTGTCTATCAAACTATAAAGTCTCCGCCGAACTGCTTTCCAAAATATTTCACAAAATCCAAATTCGATTGTGATCTTTTCATGTAGTTTCTTGGTCACTTTTTAGAAGGATATACTACAACAGTTAGATGCCTGATTTGTGTGATATGTAATGTTTTCTGTTACCGATGTATTAACTAAATGTATATCGTAGCTTCACACAACTACAACAGTTTGTAACGTTCACACATTCAGTGTGTACTAGGTCATCAATAATGTCATGTAAAAGATGGCGTATTAAAATCAGGACCGACATCTCCAGTTTTGTGTAGCATACTGCTGCATTAATAATACCTATAGCTAGTCTGCACATTCACCGTATTGCATAAACAACAATATTTCGCTTTTCAAAATATGATTCGATGAAGACCTCAAAAACCGAAAAACTCTATATTGTGGCATTGTTAAGATTTGAAATATAATATTACAGTATTACTATACCCCCTAAATCCTTATACAATTGGGCTGCTCAAAATAATAACGCCTCGGGGATGTCGATCGCAATTTATCACTACGAAGAGCTTGCAAGGGATCCTCGCTCACTTAATAAACTCCTTTAAGTCTTCGATTCCTGAATTCATTGTCAGATTACTCGTTCAAAAAATCATTTACAGTCGTCTTTATTCTGAATACAGACCGGCGTTTCCATAAACGCACACTCCTGCTCATTTACATAAACACATGTACCGGTACTGCAGTAATTTGTACACAAACATCGCTTACAATTAGATCAGCGCCATGTTTTCAAAATCGTCGATGTCCAGAAATCTGCCAAGCATGTATTTACCGTACACAGCAAGGAGTTATGAAAATAGAAAAATAAAATCGTGTGACTACCTAGCCTAAGAATATCATCCCGCGTGGTAGTTTTTTGGTTAGGGAGAACTATGGTAACAGCTACTGTTGCCTGTATTATTTTGAGCAAACTAAGGCAAATGTTTTAATTTTTCAAAACTTTATCACGGCCGTTACTTCAATTCTTCAACGTAGTTCTATACGTCTTGGTCGTACTAAGAAAGCCTGCTTACAGAATTATGTTCAGAAACCATTGTGGAAAATTATTAAGCTCGGGGGCTTAGTATTTTAGCCATTTACCCAACACCATCCTATCGGCATTTGAATTCCATTGCCTGCACAGTATTTTAATAAAAATCGATATACTCCACAAGAGCGGCTAGAGATGATTGTTATAAAAGTGCAGTTCATATCCGGTTCAAACCCGATTCAAATGCGACATGTAAGCTTCTGCAGGCACTTGCTTTTGTATGGCATTAGAAAAGTTGCATAAACGGTCGTACTCAAATGCTCTGCAGTGTTTTCTTGCGGTGAATGCCGACAATATGATTAATGCTCAAAGTACAACAAACGGTGGGGACAGTACGCGAGCAATTTATAAAAATTGTTTTATTTAATAAAACTTGGAAGATTCGAAGATTCAAAACACAAATCGGCATGCATTTACATTCGGGATAAAAATGAAGAGAGCATGCACATATGTACAGTACAGCGTATGATGACTAATTACACGGGAGTCGCATCTTAAGATAATCATGGCAGTGTGTGTAGCTGAACAGGTAAGTCTGTACTGTTGTGCTTCTATTATGCTCCAGAGAGCATTTTAAGTATATAAATCTAAAAAAAATTATGCTGGAAAAAACAAAACCATGCCAAGATTGAATTCGGTAAATGTACGCACATCTATAAAGTCCTGGAAAATTACGTCAGTATTGTAAACCGAGCCGAGAATGGTCCAGGAAAAACTAATGTCTCTGATGGTTAAGAGTATAAGAGAAACACTAGAGACTAGATGCAAATATGTAGACAGATAGCTATAGCTGGAAGAAGCCAAAAGCGAAAATAAAGACAAAAGACCGTTTTGTGTTTGTAAGCATTTGTGGCGCTGCCTTGCGTAGTGGTGGTAATATTATTTTGAAGAGTAAAAATAAATTCAGCTATTCTTAAAAATACAAATTGTGGAAAAAACACATTCCTGTAGTGAAAGTACTTACGTTTTCCCATGAGCATAAGAGAGGGATGAAATTAGCGTATCACCAAGGACAACATTTAAGTATAGCGCATTATATCCTTATCCGTGGCATAAATAAGAATGAATGATAATGTTAACAAGCTAGCATCGGTTGGGAATAAATTGTGCCTAAACGCTCTCAACGCATAAGCTGGCATGGTTCGCCAGAGGCGCTTAAATTTGTTAACGTTGAGGAGGAACAAATACAACTGTCCGTAGCTGCTGCTGGTGCTGCTTGTGCCATGTACAAGTCACAGTTTTTCGTAATACGTCGCTGTTGTATACTTATTCGATAACATTCTCCAAGCGGAAGGCAATGGCTCCGCCGCTGCATACATATACATTTAGGACTGCACAGCGTGCAGGATAAATATGTTCGTGCTGTCGAGGTTGATAGCAGGGTTCGGTGGTGTGACTCGGGATGAAACTATTGCAGAGGAAGAGCACAGACAACATTATAGCGATCTACGCAGTAACGCAGCTGCTTGTGTGTATGATGCAGCGCCAGTGTGTTGTATATAAATGCGGCGAAGGGGGAGAAAGTTTGCTTCCAGAAAAACTAATCGATATTGTCTATGCTAAGTGCTAACAATATGACGATGTAGAGCTAATCGAATGTTTGATGGATAACCGGTGCTCCTACCGTTAATGTCGGTGCTGCGTTCGCGAAATGTTATATATATGTATCTTCACTTTGAATTAGCCCGGCATAACCTCTAAGCGGTTCTATAATTACAGACTCAGCCGCTTTCTGCACTACCGGCTTTGTGCACCAAAAATTTAATTTTGTTTCTACACCAGAATTGTTTGCATCATAATTTATTCGATGTTAGTACAATCATTGTTACTGTTTAAATCTGCTCTTGGCAGTGGGCACTGTAATTTTAATGCTTTGACATTCACTGGCAGCCGACAGGTCTGCGCTTACTCAACACACAATTTTCACGCATACTGACGTGTTGTACTGTCCTGCATACTCTATACGACAACAATAGTGCGATACCGGCTACTGTAAAAATTAGTAGCCCGCAAAAAGTTGAAAGAAATACTCATAGTTGAATGGCGTTATTTAATACTGGTAGCCTTTATGTGGATCATAAGCAGGTTTTCTTGGCAGCACATAATAATATGCCTTGCAGGAAAATTGGATTTTTCGTACTATTGGTCGCGAATCTGTCGTTATCGAGCGCATTTGTATTCTAAATGCCCCTGGTAAAATACCCGACAAATTTAACGTTGTACGGAAAGTTTGCATCGATCATAACTGTTGTACTGTAGAATTCGTGCAATATTCTTATGTAAGATGTTCAAACCTAACTAACGTTAACTCGAATTACACTTATTACAGTACCGGCAAATGCAAAACGAAAGAAGTCAAAATTATCTGCCACTGTGTGTTTGACTGTAATAATTGCCACTGAATGCATTAAAAGCATTCAATTAAATTGAATATTCTACCGGTAACGTTACGAACATGTAAATATATGTATGCCTGCCTGACGAAATGATTGCGTAGCTGATTTTTCTTACGCATTTTGATCGCGTTGCACATCCTGCATTGAATATTAGTTGCAAACAAAGGTCAATTGTGAGCGATAGCCTAAAGATAAGAATGCTATCTTAAAATACACTAAAGATAACAAAATGAAATCAAAGCGCTATTTCTTGCTTTGGGTACTTTGTAAATATATACTGAGAACTCTTTTTTTTTATGATGTTAAACTTCTTCTAATCGAAGTTTCTGCTATGCCTCAGGCTACGTGTTCAATACAATGCTGTTGTTGTTGTTCACAGTATTGGTGCCTTAAGCTGTACAAGAAGACGACCGATAACGTGTTTTTTATCCTGTAAATCCAAATGAAGAAAATTTTCTGCATAATAATATGCAAATGCAGAGTAATGCAAATTAATAAACCTGGAATAGGAAAATAATTACGGCAGTGCTAATGTCTTCCAGGCAAGCAAATTATCACCACCAGCACACTCGAACAGTGCGGCGAGCAATATGGGCCAATTTACATCTGTACGCATTGGTAATTTGCGTATTTTGACCCATTATCAGTATTTATATTTCGATTAAGCTCTTGCAACTCTTAAAGTAAGTTTTCTTAGCAAAAAATGTAATGATAATTATTTTCGAAGAAACATCGTTAACAAGATATTGTCATTTGTCAGGACTTTTGTGCATCTATGGGATTCTTTTCAATATCCACGGTATTCTTGTCCAGATCTCCTGAGTTTGCGCTCTTGTCTACATCCGAAGCAGCTACCACAATACTGCTTTTTAAAGGCGAAGTAGCCGCATCCGTTGCCGGCGATGTGTCAGTAGCCGTGGACTGCTTTCCTGGCATATTTTGGATTTCTCGAAAGAAATTGGCAAACTCATTGTCGATCATCTGCAGCATCTTCATATCAGTATTATCGTGTCGGTAGTAATGTGTGGCTTCTGAACGTGGCATAAAATTGTCAGCATGAACGCTTGACAATCCAAAAAGGTCACTGTGCAGTCGGCCCATTGCTTCATTGTTGGGATCTAACAAGAGAACCGACGCCACAGCTTGACAAGCTTCAGTTAGTTTTTCCAGCTTCTCGTACGACTGAGCCAAGTATACATAGCACCGCACCACAAAATTACCAGGATGGCTACCGTATCCATCAAAGTGCTGCAGACGCACCGAACACCTCCGGCGGCATTTCAACGAGTACGTCATATGATTGGCCAGAGCGATGTATTTGTCGGACAGCATTCCGTCTTGGTCAAAGGGGCCTTCACACATGGCACGGCAGTCTGCTTCCGCTTCCAGATACGCTTCCAAGGCTTTCTCCATGTGCTCCACGACACCCTGGTGATCCTTGGAATCATGGGCTTCGATGCCCTTAAGGAATTCCTCTTGGTATGTTCTGGATTCGAGATTTTCCCTGGTAGTATCGGCTCCCTTTTCTGTAAGCTGCTCCATATAGAAATTGATGTTGTGCTGCATGACTTCGTGACCTGGATGCGCATGAAGAAAAGTGTACGCAGCGGCTAAAGCTTTGTCTTTCATGCCAGCGTTGAAGTAACAGAACTGCAAAAGTCACTATTATTCACATTATTATAAATTTTTTTATGTCAAGTATACTCGTACGATCGACAGTTCGTCTTTTGTAAATGGCCGAAATACCCAGTAATACCAGATCCAAAAATAAAAAAAATCTGTGAAACGGCGTACGACATACATTAATGTGGAACATATGTCTATCTGTGCCGGCATCTGCCGCACTGATACGCATATTGCACTGCATGAAAAATACAAAACTTAAAATTAATATGATAACCAGTAACCACAGAATAACGCACATAGATAAGCTTTAAGCAGTTTCATAAGGAAGTAATTGAGGAACTGGTCAAATTGGTATTATTTCTGCACTGTAGTTGCTGGTATACAAAATAAAAAGATACCTAAAACGCCAACGTTTTTTTCTGAAAATACAAATTATAGTTACTGGTACCTACCATCACAAACAAAATTATTAGCAAGCTGACAGATCACCTTCCGCCTGGCCTTGTCTACGATAGAAATGATCGAATCGATCTTTTTAGTTATTACTTGCACATGATTAAATTGTATTGGGACAGCTTCCATGCAAGTAAAAAAAAGCAACAATACAATATTTTAAACGTTTTTGAAATTGCGTGAATGACATACTTGCATGTAATGGTAAGGCATTAAATCTTCGATTGCTTCGTCGACTTGCGGTGCATACGGCAGCTGGACACCTCCCAATTCCGATTTCCGACAGCGTAGGAGACACAAGGTCTTCGATATCGCTATTTCCAGAAAGCGATTCTCCGTGTCGTTGGCAGTGGTGACCGCTTCCCGATCCGACTGTATTTCGTTGCATATTCGCCGACACGAGATGGTTTTGTCTTTGTAGATTTTATACTGTTTTACGGCCTCATTGAAATAAGCGATGCAAGCCAACCATTTCTCCTGGTTATACGATACAATTCCAGATTCGTAATACTGAATGTACGTGAAGGTTGGCTTGGCTGGTGATGGGTTTTCGGCAGGCGAGACATCGGAAGCGGAAGTGTCTGCCGATACAGCCCAACAAAGAAGTAAGCCAGCACATGCCCACACAACGGATGTTGGGAAAGTACAGCAATACATAATGTCACTTTGCAGGTTATATATAATTGAAGAGTCCGGCTATAAAACGTTAATCAAATAGCAATGCAAAAACGGTGGCAAACTGGAACAGTAAAAGTATGTGTCGGTTCGGAATAATAATTCTGGAAGCTTGGCCAGACTCTCGGTACAAATTTTAAACTGCTGGCCTTGCTTCTCGCATAATTATGAACTGTGTCAGTGTCCTGACTGCCCTGATGCTGGTTACTCATGATGTTCGCTTCACAAATCGCCATCTTATGTTTATTTTTGGATTTAACAGAAGCGATCACCACATCTAGCGAATCGGAAAGTCTGGAAATTGTGGCTTATGCAGATGCCACGTGTGGCTTAGAGAGGGAAATTCTGTTGATCGGTAACGTTACAGATACAAACGTGAATACCGAGTGATCATTGAAGATCCTTATAAGCGCTTATTTTTGTTGCAATGCTCCAGTTTGCAGCACAGTGAGCGGCGAGTCAGTTAGTTCATACAGATAATATTTTCATATGTGTCTTGCATTTTTTCAAAATTAAAAATATTAAATAAATTAAGGTAACTTTGGGCTGAACACAAGTGATATCATGCCTACGGTAAGGGTTACAACCAATATGCATTATAAGCAACAGTAGTATTAAAATATTATTAATTGTAGTGTTTCACTGTTTCCTGAAAGAATAGCTTTCTTATTAAAGTAACTGCCATAATTTCGGCCACAGTAACGAGGCAGATTAGACCAAACAAACAAACAAACTACGTAACTTTATTACCAAACAAACTAAAAGTTGCTCTCAAGATTTTTATTTTTTTATTTACTTGCGCTTGCTTTTCTGCCGGCGCTGAACGTTAAAACATACCGTAATACGCACAGATTTTTTTCGCTCAACGAAAATAGACAGAATACTTAAATAGTGTTAAAATACACTGTTTCTTTAGACTTTAAAATCTGGAGATTTACAATCGGTACTTGTATGATTGTATCACCTATGGCTTGAGTCTGGAACAGTATTATTTAATAATTACTGCCACCAAGAAAATCAGCGAGTACGGTAGTGGAAACACAGAAAAACGTCCAATGTAATAATATCTACCGGTTGACGCTATTATGGAATAATCTCTTGCGGTATTGACACCTTGCTACCATGGTACAATTACCAAGCTTAATGTTTTAGGTTTGCAGTGTTTGCCTCCCTGGGTGGCATTAGAGCGCAGTTACACAGGACAGTACACAAACAATTTAGAAACCGTGCTCTGGATCCAAAAGAACGAAGCTCTTCCTGTTTTTCGTTAAATTAATATTGGCGTAGAAGTTGTATTCAACGCAAGTTCGAACTGCCGCGGCAGCTGGCTGGACATCAAATACAACCATATTGTACAGTACATGCGAGTACCGTAGTACATACAGTACCGATCAGCTGTGGCATGTATACTGTTCTCGCTCCCATGCAGTCTCCCACTCACTTTCATCGATTTGAGTTTAATCTCAAGCTAATGGTAAGGTGCCTAATACAACATATTAAATAACAAAAATTATAAGATACCGTACTCGCACCATCATTTTAGCTTTGCCATAGATTTGAGAGTCTTTCATCTACATACACAATCACGTGTTTTTATGCCACACCGTGAGGAACGCTAAAAATTTTATGGACAATTTGCTGACGAAAGCTGTCTTGCGATGTGTTTTATCTCATCCTTCTGTGTTTGTGAATGAACTGGTGAAAATCAGCAGAAAGCTTTCTTTCCAGTGCTCGCAGTCGGAGACTCAACATTTGCCTCTTTGCAGTTTTTTTGTATGGAATTGGTTTTGTGTTTCATATTCCAACAGCAGTGAAACCATATGGATGGAGCCAAACAAACACTAGCGAATTGATATTTTATATTAACGGATGTTGGATAATGAAGAAGAGCATTGTTGATTCGATGAAGACAACGCTGAGCCTGATCCGCTGCTGATGTCCGTTTATGCGCTCGTGCGAAGGCCTTGGAGTCCGTTTGCAGATGGGAATGATGATGTCTGCCGCGGCGTACTCATTTATTAAGGCAGTATTTGGTTACATGATTATCACATCCTTTTGTTAACACCGCCGCCGATACTGCCGAGTAATTTCCGCACAAATTGCTGCTTTTGCTTATCGGGTAAGTACACGACACGGTGTGTGCGCTGCCGTTCAGACGGATATTACTCATAGTTTCGTATACTTAATTGATATTTGCTTACGATAAACCAGTGCAAACACGAGAAATGCGACGTAATTTTCATTGTAGTCTATATTTGTAGCGCACAGTCGTTCCTTTATTTTTACATCACACGGTTTAACTGCCATTTGCTCTAGGCGTTTTTTGCACGACATTTTCACTTTCTAATCACGCTCGTTTCATATTGTCACAGCTGGTCTTCGTGCTGTTCCACGTGCGGATTGAACGGAACAACATTAATAAATTTTATGGATATGATTTTTATCCCGGCAAGATGAATTTTGGGAAACAGCTAAAATTGTTAATATGGAAAAATTATACTTTGCGCAAACGGCAACCAGTTCGATTCCTCATCGAAATTGCTTGGCCTATTGTATTACTGGCACTTTTGGCACTGGTTCGCACGAGGAATCTCCAAACCACCATTCCGGAGGTAAAGCAGACATTCTTGTCTCTGTGAAATTGTGAATATCGCTATGACATGCAATCGATTAGTTAAATAAACTGACGCATAGTTTTCTGTTTATTCAGTGCCATTTCGATGAAAAAGCACTTCCGTCAGCGGGAATCTTACCTTTGTTGCAGGTAATCGTTCTGTCCACTGTTAGAATTTGGACTGACAAAACTGGTGAAAAAGTAACCGGTTAAAGTAACTGCATATGCAAATCATACGTTAAAAAAATTAAAATTGCTAGCTGTGAAGTTATTCGGGTCTAAATAAACATTAAATAGAGAGCTCTCTTATCCATCATTGGCCGTAAATACCTGTGGCGTTTAATATGGGTTAAATACATAAATTTTTAATATGGATATATTACTTCTTCCGCATATTACCTTTGCTCCAGATGTCATTTGTGTCAGTGTATCAAATCGATACTGTATTATTATTGAGGGCTTCGTTTGTTAAAACTGTACTTTCAGCTGTACTTGACTTACAACGGTATACTTTAACTGCTATTCAGAGAACAGTTTTTGTTAAAGTTTTGCAGAGAAAGTCGTTAATGTTTACCCCGAAAAAATGTATGCGATTCGAGTGGTTGACTCACAAACTACGCTGACATTGGCCAGATGAGATGACCTTCACGGTTTGACGAAAAATCAGCTGTAGCTGCGATTTTATTTACGTTACCTTTTCATTCACCGGAAGGCGGAAGTATATTTACCGATGGGAGAACTTTGGTTACAACGGGCATTAAGTAAATTAAACACATTTTGTTATGTATCAGTTGCAGGTTTATATCCTCAACAGTCACTGCAGTCAGTAGGAGGGGTGTAGAAAATGTGAAAATTAAAATTTCACTTGTAAATTGGTTCACATGGTTTTGCGCTCTAGGCGCAATTGTTTTATCTAATAAAATTAAATGTTACTCAAGCCAAATTGATTGTCTGCTTCGTAATCAATTGGAAGTGTATATGATTGGATCACTGAAGGTGTACTTGATTTTTAATGTTAATTCCAGAGTTATGTGTGCACCTTCAACAACACGTGCAAACGGAATTCTACGGACGATGTGTACGGCACGGTCAACATGTACCATGATTCCATCATATCCAGAATGTTTGCCATTCTGGAAAGCATGTTTTCTAACCAAACTCTGCAAGACGTCACAGCAGAAACGATTCAGAGCACTGTTCAGCTCATTCACACACTGGAAGAACTGGCAAACGGCGCTGAGATATCACCACAAAATGGTTTACGATTTCGTGATGTTTTCCCGCTCACAGTAGATCAAATGTTGGACATAGTGGATCCGACCGGAATGAACGTCTCAGAAGAACTGATAACCGGTTTACTGGAAGCCAAATTCAGGCCGTTTGTTCTTGGAGATTTACTGCAATTTCTTGTGGGGAATCAACTGTTTTGTGACGGGGGTCGATTACGAAAAGTGTTGGAGTTTGATAAAAACGTCAGTGTGGAAGCGCTCGTGGCCGTTTTATGTCCTGTGCCGGCTTCCACTTGGTTGCTCCATCTGGGACCGGTGACTAATCTGACTTTGATAACGGGAAAATTCCGCTTCAAGCAATTTGATCTATCCTTTATGTTTACGGCATTGAAGGCCCGGAAGCTGTTGTCAGAAGTCATGACATCCGGGCAAAAACTGACGCCGTTTAAGATCTTCATCGAAGAAATGCAGGACAGCTACCTGTACGCCAATTCTAGTGGCATGCAGTTTATGGGAAAGTTTATTTGTGGCGACAATGCAGAAATTTTCCGGTTGGATGGCAGCAAACAAAATATGGTACAGAAGCTGCGGGAAACGCAAATGAGTGGGAATTACGTTCCACTTCGGTCCAAAGAAGACGACGACATGATCGAAGAACGGAGCAATAATTCATCTCCATTTTGCAACAGAGTTTTTGATTTTTTCGAAAAGAATTCGAAAATTGCGATACGATTCTTGTGGAAACCTTTGAAGTCATTCATTCTAGGAAAGCTGTTATATACGCCAAACACGGCGGCATCTAGAAGCATTATCAAACGAATGAACGCTACATTCGAAAGGATAGAAAGTTTAATTTGGACGGGGCGGCAAATGAGCAAGATGCTGCCTCAAGTAGCAGTGTTATTGGAAGCTGTGGCTAACGAAACTTCCCGGATGCAAAGCAGTTCGTCGGAAGGGTTTGGACAGATTTTTGGGATGTTTTCCAGAATGATGGGACTGACAGGAGTGATGCCGAATTTGGATCAGAAATGGTTTGAGGGCATGCAGATCAATACAACATCGATGGAGACGTTGAAAAGCAACTTGCTCATGTTTGCGGAATTTTTGGGCAACGTGACCAGCTTTATGGAATGCGTGGATCTCGACAAATTCGTACCGATGACCGATGAGAAAGTCTTGAACAGCCATGGGTAACCGAATAGCCATTTTTTTGAAAAAACATTCAATCTTTCTAATTTCTGTTTATAAATACTGAATACAGACGCGGTAGTAGAGCAGAGACTGAGTTACAGTGTTTATGATAATCTATGGTTTTCTAAACTATTACAATGGCATCGGAAGTTTGCCGAACGTTTTTATTCGCATAAAGATACGAGCGTTACTGTAAATTATCACTTCAAAAAAGTGGAGTTTACACTTCTATATTTTCTCAATTAAGCGCCCTTTGGGACCAGTTTAATAAGGCCTCTTTTTAAAATCGAAAATTTTTTCATAAGTATGGGTGCCTGTTTGAGCAAATATCTATACTTAGATTTCATCTGTTTTTGCTGAATGCTTGACACTTTTTAGCTTCCCTGTGTAGCTGGTTGTACTTCGTCTTTTTTATGTTAAATTTTGGCAAGGCTGTTTCTTTTGCAGGGGCATGCTTGTGGATAACGGAACATTTTGGGCAGGAATTGTTTTTGAGAACTTAGCCGAGCCAGTGCACAGAGCGGCCGAACATGTTCCATCTTTTATCCGATACAAAATACGGTACGACGTGGAGAAAGTTGATTCTACTGGACGAATAAAGGTAACCAGCATCAACAACTTGCCGTGGCACTTATTCTTACAATTTGCCATATTTATCCCTTTTAGTAGCTTGTTGATATTTGTTTCAAATTATTCAGGATCGGTTTTGGCGTCCTGCTCCGCGGCGTCAGCCATTGACAGATATGAAATATTGGTATGGAAACGAATGCGCGTCGATTTACTTAATGTCGTTGTTAAATTATGTTGGAATAATTATGTTAAATTATGTTGGAATAGGACATACGGTTTCATACAATTACAAGATTCCATTGAACGGGCAATCATGGCTGAAATGTTGAATTCGACTGAAAGTCTGCCGGGATTATATTTGCAACAAGTACAGTAAATAAATTACGCCTGATTAAAAAATGATACTTTCATTCACTGGTTTATTATTCTCCAGTTTCCCTATCCATGTTACATTGAGGACTCCTTTTTCATGGCTATCTCGCGGAACTTTCCACTGATCATGACCCTTGCATGGGTTTACACCGTGAGTGCGCAGGGTTGATTGTTTTCGGGTTTAGTTATATGGTTCCAAAGAATTATCTTTTGTTTGCTTCGCAGGCCGCAATGCTAGTGAAAAGCATTGTCTACGAAAAGGAGAAGCGCTTGCGGGAAACCATGATGATGATGGGCATGAGCAATGCTGCTAATTGGTAAGGATGACTTTGTTACAGTGAGAACGGAATGACTTGTGTGAGCTAACGGACTGCAATAATACGGCACTCGGCAGTAAGTAATAAATTTGCCTTTTTCAGGTTGTCTTGGTTTTTGGAGACTTTTGTTATTATGCACTTATCCATCATCTTTATGGTGATAATCCTTGTATATGGGAAAATACTTATGCATTCCAGCTGGGCAGTGATCTACGTTTTTCTTTTGACGTTCTGCTTATCAACCATTGCATTCGGATTTTTTTTAAGGTACGGTAGTTGTATCAAGTGCTTACTATAGTGTGAGAGTCTACCTATAGTATAGTCTATACCTATAGTCTACCTATAGTCTATAGTCTACCTATAGTAAGTTCTTGGTTGTATGCATTTTTAGTGCATATGCGGCAGCGATATGCAAGTTTTCGTTTGTACTTTCGTTTATTATTTCTAGTTCTAGTCAAGTATTAGATATGCGATTAGGATCCGTACAAGCGGATGTTTTTGCAGTGTATTATTTTCGAAAGCCAATATTGCAGCGGCAGCCGGTGGAATTTTATATTTCTGCACCTTCATGCCTTATTCACTACTGATTATCTGGGAAGACCGAATCCCGTAAGTTTTACAAGCAGTTGTCTACGCTTTTGCTCGGCATTAGCGATTTGCTGCAAAACATTTTGATTACAGTAAGCTGGAATACAACTAATCTGTTGACGATAATTTTGTCAACTACAGGTTCGGTCTCAAAGTATTTTCATGCTTTATTCCGAACGTGGCGTTCGGGTGGGGATCCAATTTTTTCGCGCGTTTTGAAGAACAAGGCATTGGTGTGCAGTGGAACAATATTGCGCGCAGCCCGTTGGAGAATGACCCCTTTTGTCTCATCCATTGCATTCTAATGCTGATCGGCGATGCGCTGCTCATGTTCCTTTTAACGTGGTACCTTGAAGCGGTTATGCCAGGGGAATATGGCATTCCCCGACCGTGGTATTTCCCAGTGACCAAATCCTATTGGTTTGGCATAAAGCCGCGAAAGATCCGCTCGGATGAGGAAGCAGCAGTGGATGTGAAATCTGATGGAGGAAGTAACTTCGAACCGGAACCACTGAACTTGGAACGTGGCGTGGAAATTCACAATTTGAAGAAAGTGTACGGGAATGGAAAGTTGGCTGTGGATGGATTATCGCTGAATGTTTACGAGGGGATTACGGCTCTGCTGGGACATAATGGTGCCGGTAAGACCACGACATTTTCTATTTTGTGTGGACTTTTCCCGGCCACATCAGGGAATGCTAAGATCTACGGATACGATGTTATGACCGAAATGGATTCGATACGAAAGAGCTTTGGCTTTTGTCCGCAGCATAATGTTTTATGGGACGGATTAACCGTGGAGGAACATCTGTATTTCTATGCCAGTCTGAAACTGTCTGATCCGGTGGCGATAAAATCGGAGATCGACATGATGATCGGAAGTGTGGGGCTGCCACATAAGCGGCATGAGAAAGCCGCTAATTTATCCGGTGGGATGCAACGGAAATTGTCTGTTGCCATTGCCTACATAGGTGGAGCAAAGGTGGTTTTGTTGGATGAACCGACGGCCGGTGTGGATCCATGGGCACGACGTGGAATCTGGAATTTGCTGATTCGATTTAGAAAGGATAGAACGACCATAATGTCCACGCATTTCCACGGGGAAGCCGATACCCTGGCTGATCGGATTGCTGTGATCGCTGATGGAAAGGTAGGAAGTGGGCTGCTCTTTCATTACCGGTTATAGAATTATATGTTTGGTACATTGTACATACTAAGTATTTATACTTCAAAAAGTATACCGATTCGTTTGCCAATGGTTCTAGTTGATTTGCGGAGGATCGCCAGTTTTTCTGAAATCGCGATTTGGAAATGGATATTATTTGACTCTGGTCAAAGCGTCGGGAGCAACAAATGTGGAAGAAGTCACCCGATTTGTTCAGGAATTTATTCCGGAAGCACTGTTGATTGAAGACGTTGGAGCGGAGTGTGCGTTTGTGCTGCCCATGTCGGCCAGCCGTGATGGCCGGTTTGGAATGTTATTCGAAGCACTGGATGCGAGAATGGGTTTCTTGGATGTTTCCAGTTATGGTGTACGGGATACATCGTTAGAGGTAAAATACGATGGATGAATGCAAAATTTCAAATGGAGTTTTTGTCATTGTTAATGTCACTGTTATGGTGGACTGTGAAGGTCTGGTTTTCTGTTAATAGATTGTATTTTGGTTTGATAGGAAGTTTTTCTTCGTGTTATGGAAACGCATGATAGCGCCAAACCAGGAACCGAGGACGACATTGCTACTCGCATAACGGAAGAGGGATTTCTGGCCAAAACACGACGGCGACTATCCACAACGGTTGTTAACGAACCTTTGGATAACTCTCTGCCTGTAACAGGATTTAATTCACCAGTTCCACCTGATATCGATGAATGGGACCACGGGAATTTAGTCACAAAGCGCCTGCAGGGGTCACAGCTGCTGTGGCAGCAGATGAAGGCGATGCATTCGAAACGTTTCCACAACATGAGGCGTAGTAAGAAGAGCTTTTTCTGTGAAATACTTCTCCCAGCCCTCTTTGTTTGTTTGGCAATGGTTGTTACTTTGTTGACACCATTTCCCCTGGAAATGCCGCCACTAGAGGTATGAATTATCACGTTGTGTTTGTTCCTACAGACCTTACTGACGCTTCTCAGCACGGCGTTACCGTGCTACAGTAGATTTTTTTTGGTTTTAAGGACGAAACCAGTTGTTTAATCTGACCCAGGGCTTTTTTATGTAACAAGTGGATTCCTTTTAGTTAACACCTTGGCTGTATGGACCGCCGAACTATGTTTTTTTCTCGAATGACCGCCCAAGCGATACCAATGCTTCAGCACTGGTGAACATGCTATATGAAGGGCCTGGAATGGGAACACGCTGCATGGACGGTGATCCTGTTACGGGAAAGGCGTGCGTGCCAACAGCAAAGGCAGATAAAAGTCATCTCCTTCCGAACTATGTTGTGTCTCGGAATGCCACTCCAGCATGTAGCTGTGAGGTACGATATGACCATATTTTAGCCGTTAGCGTGCAACGTTGAAGTGCAAATATCAGATGAATATTTCTTCGATATTTCCTGGTTACAATTTTGGTTATCCGTTGTCAGTAGTTGGGTAGCACTCACCTACGGTAATTAGATTTATTGATGACCTCTTGGTAATTGGAGAATACTTCTGTGAATTTGAAATGATTCTTGCAGATCAATCTGAGATGCCTATGCTTGATAAGGCAATTAACTACGCTGATAATTTTACAGAAAGGTGGTCAGCAGTGTCCCGATGATGCTGGCGGTCCGGATCCGCCATGCATACTTCTGAACACGACAGATATGCTGTGCAACATGACCAACCGAAATATTACGTGAGGATCATTTTTTTGCTGGATGCGTTTACTGAGAACTGTAAGCTGTGTTTCTGCGCTTCAGGGACTGGCTTTTAAAGACCGCTAAAAGGTTTGATAGTTCGCGTTACGGTGGCTACTCGTTTGGACAGGTCGACTCATTCGCACGATTCAATTTTACCCATTGGGCGAGCGTAGTAGCGCAAATGTTGTCCAACGCTAACGTGACCCAGCGGGGTGTCAATGATGGAATGGGCAAATTATGGAAGGATTTTATCATGATGTTGTCGCAGATGTTTCAACAGGACAACATAAAAGTGTGGTTTAACAACCGTACGTACTGCGTATTTCTCCCTTGCGCTCCAGTTACCAGTAACTGTTTAGTTACCAGATGCTCTCATAGGTGAATTTTGTTTCAGCGACGTAAACTTTTATAAGGGATTACCACTCACATCGTAGCTTTGCAAAAATTAAATTTATACTTTATTTCGGAATGGAATTTGACTAATAAGTTCTTTTATTTAGTGATCGCTAAATATTATTTTTCTGTGTTTTGCACAGGGTGACAGCTAATCAGCATTTGTGTTTGTTAGGCGGCTGGGCAAGTTCAGTTTCATATGTCAACGCTATAAACAATGTCCTACTTCGAAGTCGGTTGAAGCCTGATCAGAATCCCGCAAAATATGGAATGCTCGCCATTAATCACCCGCTGAACCGCACGGAAGAGCAGATGGAAGACCAGGTGATGAAGGAAAGTGCGAAAGCCCTGCTTCATGCCGTTTGCGTAATTTTTGCCATGTCCTTCGTGCCGGCTAGTTTCGTTATGTTTCTGATTGAGGAGCGAGTGTCAGGAGCGAAAAACTTGCAGTTTACGGCTAAAATCAAACCGTGGTTATACTGGGTAAGGGTGTGAATTTATTAATGCGGTTTCTTTAGGTGCGTTTTTAATCAACGGTTATTGCAGGTGTCGACTTACATGTGGGATATTTGTAATTATCTTTTGACTACGGTGATTTGTGTTTTAATTTTTATCGCTTTCAATGAGCAAAACTACGTATCTCCGCGCAATCTGCCAGTTTTGGTGTGCCTATTGGCACTGTACGGTTTCGCAGCCATTCCTATGATGTACATTCCAAGTTTCTTCTTTCGCGTACCCAGTTCTGCCTTTGTCGCGTTGGCCTGTTTGAATTTGTTTCTCGGTATTGTCTCGACCATTTCCGTATTTATATTGGAATTGATGGATGATCAGGAACTGCAGGATATCGCTAAAATTCTCAGGCAGGTATTCTTGGTTCTCCCGCATTACTGCCTGGGCCGCGGATTGATGGACATGGCCATTGGGCAAGTGAAGGCCGATGTGTTTGCCCGCTTCGGACAGGAAGTGGATGACCATCCGTTTGAGTGGAATTTTGCCGGACGCAATATTGCTTGTTTGTGTATTGAGGGAGTTCTGTTTTTCGCCGTGACATTGTTGATTGAATACCGCTTCTTTTGGCGACCGAGACGGCTTGCGACTCCCATCATGTCAGCTGGGCAGGAGGATAAGGATGTGGCCAAGGAACGAGCTCGAATTATGAGCGGCGCAGCTGATGGTAGTGTTTTAAAAGTTGCTGATCTGACAAAAGTCTTTCGGCAGCGCAAACGTCTGCACGTAGCAGTGGATAAGATCAATGTTGGAGTTGGGAAAGGAGAATGTTTTGGCTTGCTTGGAGTCAATGGGGCTGGTAAGAAGAACTGTTGTGTGTTCCTAATTTTTACAGTTACTTTACAAATATTCGCCTTAGGCAAAACAACTACCTTTAAAATGCTAACGGGAAATCTGTATCCGACATACGGAGATGCCTACGTCAACGGGCACAGCATATCCACGGATCTGGATGGAGCGCGCCGATACATCGGCTATTGCCCGCAGTTTGATGCTATTCACAATTTGCTTACTGGACGTGAGCATCTGGAATTTTATGCGCGCATCCATGGAATTCCAGAAAAATATGTTTTCAAGGCTGTAGAAAGAGGCATCAGCCGGCTGCAGCTCTCAGCTCATGCTAGACGCTGTGCCGGTACGTATTCAGGTGGAAATAAGCGAAAATTATCTACAGCCATAGCGCTCATCGGTGATCCGGATATTGTTTTTCTTGATGAGCCCACAACCGGAATGGATCCCAAGGTATGACCTTTTGATATTGTGTTTCAATCCAGATGTCGGTGACGCCATGATCGCTATAGTGAATCAAAACCAGCGACCTTTCCAAATAACAGACAGTATGCGAGTATTTATTACACTGTGAATTCCTCGTGTTTTGTTTGGATCTGTCGGAAGTCGGAAACTAAAGCAAACTGAGAAAAAGTAGCATACTGACATTGATGTGTCTTTTTGTTGCAGGCTCGGCGATTTTTGTGGAACTGTATTTTAAGTATGCTGCGCGAAGGTCGCTCCGTTATCCTGACGTCGCACAGCCTGGAAGAATGCGAGAATCTTTGCACAAAACTCGCTATAATGGTGAATGGTCGTTTCCAGTGTGTCGGTAGCCTGCAACACTTGAAATCTCGTTTCGGCTTTGGATACTCTGTGATCATCCGATGCAATCCAACCGCAATGTACCGGGTCTGTGACTTTATGGAAACTACTTTCCGGGGTGCCCGCATGCAGGAGCGGCATTACAACACCGTACAGTATCGCATTCCTCTGCGCGGTCTCAAACTAGCCCAGATCTTTGCGGCTATCGAGAATAATCGCCAGGAACTGGAGATTGAAGACGCTTCGGTCAATCAGACTAACCTGGAAGATATTTTCATAGAGTTTGCCAAACACCAGACCGATCTCGCGGCCGATGAAGTGCTGCCGGATGAGATTGATCCCGTCAGGGAGACCGTGGTGGACGCACGGGCATATGACGCGTCTAGCACGAATAGCTCGAATTTGACAGGAAAATTCGAGTGGGATCGGGCTCCGGATTTTGTGAGTACCAATCCAAAACTTGATACTGATCCGTATTTCACAATTGTTGATCCTGAAAGGAATTTCACTTCAAAATGATAGAATCTCTGACTGATCTGATAAAGAGTTTATATTTCAAAGATTTAATGACAGCTCATTTTCACATTGGAACTTTTATCTCTTTTGTTTGTACAGCATGATTCTATGGAAATGTTGGTAGTGGATAACGAAACAACTGCTAACGCTTCGCTTTGTGCATGCGGCTCTTTCCTACGTTTCCCTGCTCGATGCTGCATGCTACCTCATTCATTGAGATCCTAAGTCCAGTGTCTTTCGCAGTGCTTTCAAATAACTGAGAATGATTGGCTTACGCAATCCAGGTGACACATGTTATTTTAAAACGGTGCTGATTTGTGCTAGTTTGGAAATGTGATGGATACTTTTGTCGATTGTGTTAACTGTGAAAACAGAAAATATTATTAATATGTGTTAAAATGGTATTAAAGATTTTGTTAATCTAGTAGAATCAACGGAATTCGGCACCGAATTTCAAATTCCTACGCATAAGCATAATCTTATTACACGGCAGCAAGATAACGAATCGAGAACATCCTGAAATTTTTCTGTACAGCACAAGTCAACCACACATTAGAAAGCAAATATCTGCTTGAATCGGCCCCACCAGTCGTCCGGTCTTCGATAGTACTTGCTCTGTTTGGCTTCGATCTGCAAGGAGTTCTTGTGTTTAGATAACTACATTAGGTTATAACAGAAACCCCATCACAAATACAAACCGACATTCACCTCTTTTTCGAGTTGTTCCCACTCAAAGTTATCATCTGGTGTAACATACAGTTCTACTGCGCCATGGCGATCGGGAGGTAAAAAGTGATTCCATCGGTCTTCGGTGTCCCAGTTTGTATATCTATCAAAGCGCAAGCAGACCAAAGCTGTCAGAATCACTCAACCTTGTAAAGAACGCTAAAGAGATTGTTATGTCACCCAAATCAAATGTACATCCGTACAAAACTTTTCCAAACTGAAACAGATTATTCAACCAATTTTTCATTACGGTTCAAGAATCTTACTTTATACGAAGTTCATCCCATTCAGAATGCAGTGTCTGGTTTCTCCAGTCGCGAAATTTCGGATCAAAATACACACGATCTTTGTCAAAATCAATCTTTTCCAAATCCTCAGCGACAATGTCTGCATCAGCTGGTTTTGTCCAGTCATAAACGATCATCTCCACGTACGGTTCCATTTGTTTCAAGTAATGATTTTTGTAACCACGTTCAATTTCCTTTAAATATTCCTTATTCATAGCCGGAGAATTGACTTCATAAGGCTGAAAAGTGAGATTCACAATTACAAACGTAAATTTCTCTCCATTGGTACTGCTGCTGACACATTCTGATCCCGTTCATAGCAATTATTTGTCCAAAAAAAAAACTCAAAGCGCTATTACGATTTACGATATGGTAAAAAATAAGCCTAATATGTAAACGTTCAACTGCAGGCTTACGATGTTCCTCTTCATGACGCGATCATAACAAACATCCACCGGAGCGTCCAGGTAAATGACGCAATGTGGCCGCATGTAGTCCATAATGGTATTAGTTTTCACATCGTAATAATGCCTTCGCGCTAGAACACAGATGCTTAGGATTTCAATTTCGCTTCGTACTGTTCGTAGCGTGCGAACCACGCACGGAAATCAGAAGACTGACAATGTACCTGGACGCGACATGTAACCCATCTTTGTCATTGCATCAACAAAGACAAAATCGCTGAAACAGGACCGTTCTAGAATGACTCCTTGGCCTGCAAAACATTATTCTGTGACGTCTTGAAATGGACCAACTTTCGTCTCATTCCGTTTGAAAACCGAGCCCAAACGCAATCACTCAGGTTTCCCTATCCGCCATCGCTTCTCACAATTATTAATAATTCCAAAATCTAAGAAATCGCTTGCTACCTGTGCTAAAAAGGTGTAGTAGGGCCACATTGTACTGATTGCATCTTGCAATATATTTCATAAACTGGAATTCTGCAACCTTCCAGTTTTTGGGATCTTTGTAGAAGTCCTCGACATCGAAATGCTTGGCTGTTCCTTGCAGCCGATCATTATAATCCTTCAAGTTATACGAGAACAAATAGGGATAGACGTCCTTTTCCAATGATGCTTCGGGGAAATACTTCATGCCCAGCTGATCAGCCAAGTTCTGCGCCAATGTTGTCTTCCCTGCTCCGATGTTCCCCTCGATAAAAATCACCTTGGTATTCTCGTCAAATCTCCAAAACGTATTATCGATGTTTAAGATGCTGTGATACCATCGGTACTTCTTCGTTTCGTAAGGCCATGGAGGTGGCTTTGACGAATCTTCAACTTTCACAAGCTTGGTAGAAATCAGTCTGACAGGGGGATGAGTTTTACCACCGGGATGAAGCAGCCCTCTTCCACTGATCGTCACACGCGACGAACGCAAAATGCAGGCCATTTTTCTTTCGACGATTCGCAATTTCTTACTCGGTCACCATCACAATCCAATCTGATACAAGTAAAAATGATAGAACACCGCCTATAAAAGGCACACAGCGTCAACTTTGTCTCTTTGCCAAAAGTTTGCAAAATTATTTATGTTTTTGAAATTTATTTTCCACGATCAGTAGCAGGCCTGTATAGCTACGCCAGTAGCCTAGGCCCTATTGCGGGATCAGGTTGTTGCTTGATGTGAGCGTGCGCTATGCCCTTGCGCCCATTTGCGCGTTGCGCGGGCTGAACACTTCCAACCTGATCTTGGGCACACTGCACCGCCAGTACATTTTGTCTACGAAATTTTAAGAATTTGAGAGAGAATTTTTTATTGTGATTTCTGTATTTTACAAATTAGAATTTTGAAAGCATTCCGGGTTCTGGTAAGTCTTTTGGGATTTGCAGCCAAATTTGGCTGGCTGAGCTGTAGTTTGTGCTCCATGGGTTTACATTGCAGCAGCAAGTGAGTGCAGTAATTTATCGTCCATATTATACGCTGACTGGTGAGCTGCAAGCCATGCCTACTGGTAGTCCAGAAAAATCCACGCAGACCTTTAATTTGTATGACTGTCCAAAAGCGTCTTTTCGCACATCTTTCCCGGAAGTCCGACAGCAAAGAAGTTACAGCATCGGTGAACGGTATGAAACTGATCAAGTTTTATTTGTCCTGTCTTATAAAATATACGTTTTCCCCGTTTTGTGGTCAACACGATATCTATGCTTGGACTGACCATTTGTTTCGACGTAGTGAACTGTATGGAATTCGAAGTAGAGCTGGTCTGTTCATTCCCGAGGTGGCAGCCGATTCGTCTCTTGGATTGAACACAGCGTCCGGCGAGCTTCCTGACGTCTCTCTGACACGACCACCGTCGCAAGGAAGCCTGGTCACTATGTAAGTGGCTACGTACCGTACTTGAATTACCGTATTGAAGAAACCGTACTTGAATTATCGGTAAAATTGTTTATATATCTGTAGTAACTAAAAGTGCTACGAGAATCGATATTGGTGGGAATTTCGCTGTTTGCGTCCGAAAATTTGTTTTCATAAAAAACCGCATTTTGAACTTTCAGATTTAGCCTATGGAGCACATTCGTTGGAACTTCCGCATTGACCATTCCGTGGGCAGTTGCTCGGGTATGCTTCGACGTGGTTTCTAGTTGCAGGATAAGGACTGGGTTGCTTGTATTTATTTTTGAAAATTGCTCGTTATCTATTACTAAGTTTCACAAGACAGATTAGTTGGTTTTCGTTCCATTTTGGGGCTTAAAAGTTATCAGATCGTATGAATTGGTTGATTGTTTATTTAAATTGGTTGATTGTTTGTAGGGTGGTCTGGTTTTGAGCCTGGCGATGATTGTATTAATCGCTGCATTTGCGTATTATCCTTTGCGAATGATTTTCCGGTGTGCTCAGTATGTGGAAGTTTCCACAAACGTACATGTCTACAAATTTCAAGAGATCTGCAATCAGATCCTGGGACCGAGAATTGCTTTGTTCAGCCTTGGTGTTTCCTTATTCAATTTGCTGGGTGATTTAATCTGTTACTGGCTTATGCTGACCACGTTTCTGTACGAAATTGGATTATTTGGAGAAACCGGTACAGGTATTAACGTAATATTGACTTTGCAGTCGTGCGGTAATTAGGAATGGCTTGTCCGTGTCATAATAAAGTTATTTAATTATGATTCGATGTAATTTTGTGGAGAGCGATATCATTGAAAATACTGAACAATTACCAGCAAAAAATAAAGGTATGATCATTATATTTGGACACACACAGTTTGTGCATGATATGATGATACACATTGCATCAGAATAGCTCATGCAGATATAACTCTGACTGTCTCATTTTTCCATGGTTTATGATTTGTTCTTTGCTGGATATATCTGGGGAAATCTGCAGGTTCCCGAGATCGTTCCATCCAAGAAAACATCACAACACTGGCTAGTAGTGTGGACGTGGCTCAGAATGATGCAGGCAGTTTTTGGAGCGAAACAATTTCTGTCCCGTTGTATTTGGTGCTGCTGATGCTTCCGGTTATGTCATTTCGGTATCCTACATTTTTTACGAAGTGTGGCTCTCTGGGAAGCGTGGCCATTGTGTTCCTTATAATTTTTGCAATAGTCAAGACTGCAGTCAATGGAATCCAGATCGAACCTGACGTTGCGCCGGATTTTACATGTTTGTTTTCTATTTTTCCGTACAGTTCTTGTTAGCAAATTCTGCCCAGCTTCGTCGTACTAATGTTGTTCTTCTTTTTAGTGGCCAGTCAGCAAGTTCCCGCTACCTGTGGAGTTCTGTTTTTTGGATTTTTAATTCATAACGTGATTGTATCCGTAACCGCTTACCACAACCAGCCGCGTAAGCGAGCACGCGATACCGGAATCGCTGTAGTTTTGGCCGCGGTGACCTATGCAGTTCTTGGAATTTTGTTGTATCTGTCTCATCCTGGACCCAAGGAAGGAATTTATGATGTAAACCAACACTCTTTGTTTAGTAGGAGCACTTCTGTAAACTATCGCAGCTTTGTGTGTCCCTTCGACAACTGTGCGTACATCCTGAAGCTTTGATGGGATGTATCCAAGTATTACTGCGATACGTGCTATGTTTCCTTTAGGGATAGAGGGTCCGAATTGCTCCCTGTGGTAGACTAAGATTAGCGTAAACTATTTCATGTGTGAATTCCTGCTATACACACATTCTTCTCTTACAGAACTTCCTGAAAAATTTTCCAAATAACGATGCTCTATCGTTTGTTGCTCGGATTCTTCTCTTTTTCCAAATGATTACAATGTTTCCCTTGCTGGCCTTTGTGTTCCGGGCCCAGCTTTTTTACGGATGGGCACGGAGAATTGATTTGGGGTTCGTGTGCAACATCTTTCCGTATTTATATTTCCTTTTAATTAATCATTGACACTGATATCTAGGATGCATTATATTGTGCTGCTTAATGTTGCCCTTTTGGGTGTGTGCCTGGCGTTCGCTTCGCTTTATCCTCGAATCGGACATATTCTGCGGTAAGTTTCGAGTCGACGGCTGTAAAAATTTTCCCATGTTTGTGTACATTCTTCAGTGAAACCTCTGTGTATATCAGGTTTGGAGGAGCATTTTGCGGCTTGGTATACATTTGTCTCTTACCCGGAATTATGGATGCGGTGATCGCCTACAGGTCTGGACACAGAGTGATCTGGAAAATTTTTGTGATATTCGTCTACGTTAGCCTTGGTCTGGCTAACTTAATCGCACAGTTTTTTATTTTGTTTTAATTCAGCGGAGGAATTCTGTTTCTCTTCTATGAGCTCTATCCTCTATGTACCTCGTACTATATAAATATTACTAAAGGTTTGCATGTATCGTAAGTACAGACATAGGTGAATACTGAATGGTGATACGGATTGCTGTATGTGTGCGCTTTTGGCAGACTGTTTTCGGTCTTTGTTTTTCGCATTCTGTTGTTAATTTTGTGTCTGGTCCCTTTTGATACCGGTGCATTTGTGTAACTTTATTAGTGTGACATTTTTGTAACCAGTGATTTTTGCATTTGTGGTTGCGGAAGCCTGGAGGTAAAAGTTATTTGAAGAAGAAGAGCCGCATTTCTGCAGCACACAAAAACCTCATTTTTAGTTCGCACAGGTGCTTTTTAACGTTTAAATTCTCTCTACGGTTAAAAGTAAGGAAAATACTAATGTAATATTTACTGAATTAAAAAACTGAAAGTACTGAATCAAAAATTAGTACTGAATTAAAACACAAATTGCAAATTAATTTGATTTGTTCTAGCTTCAGTCGGCAACTCAGCACATTACATAAAGCGCCTACCGCCCCGGAGCTTGTTGAAAGTTGAAACGATGTGGCGCCCTCTTTGTTCGGAGTTGTATGCGGCTCCCTCGGGCAGCGGCGTTGTATGGTATTCGCCAGTATAAAATAAAATTCCACATTTTTATACCGTTCTGAACTTCTTACTCAAATTTTCAGTTTTTCTAGAGCGTTGCAGTTGTTGACTAATCTCGTTTTCTGGAGAGTTCAGACCGGATGATGCTGAAGCGGTAGAATTAGAAAATTTTACGGCAGTTCCAGAATTTTTAACTTCTACAGAAGCTGCCCTGAAACCTTCGGTTTACTTTCGGACCTTGCTTCGCTCCGAAGCCCCGCACCATGAGTAGTAAGTTGGTTTCTTGGTTCGCTCGTTCCCCGAAAATCGGGATCCCTGTGCCTGTAAAGTTTTTTAAGCCCAGATTCCAAAAATATACCTGAACTGTCTCAACGTACTAATAACTAATTTATAGATATGACATGCGAAGTGTACGCTTCAGCCTTCAGACAATCGTGACAGATCTGCGTGTTAGTTGCCTGTTGCTCTGGTTTCTGCTGTTACTGGACGTAGTCGCAATGGCTAATGCTGATTTAATAGTTTACTCTAAAAGTTACAGTTGATAGTCGATTAGAGATATTTTTTAAAATTTCAGAACAGCTGTCTTTATCTTTTAACCATTTCAACCGCCTGCTAATGAATATGGCCATTGGCCTGTAGTTTTGTACCTGTTTTATTTCGATGTTGACTGGTTTTTGCTTTAGGCAAGAAGGTGCATTTCAACGAAACCGTTACGAGAATGGAATTTTTCGCGGAACCCACCCAGGGTCACAACCCGAAAAAATCATGGTGGAAGCGGTTAAAATCGTCCCTGACATGCCTGTTTCCTTGCATGAGAAAACGCCAGCCGGAGTATTACAATGTCGAGCAGGTGCAGACTGCAGATAGCGCCGCTGATCAATATCGACTGGAAAATCTGTGACATGGAGTGACCTGAACTGTCCTTAGCACCGAAGCTTAACGATTGTCTTGTGTTATTACAGGCGGTTGAGAATTCAGGCCATCGTCTGCCGGTGGCGATTATCACGGTCCCTGTGGAAGAACTGAAGATTGTCCTGGAAGAGCTCTCCGCGAACCCTCCGATGGAAGAGCTCGATATGGGCGAGACTTGGGATGACCGTATGGTGGACCTTCGGTCAGTTAATTCCGGGACGTCGGCCAGTGGTTCGGAAGATTTTCGAGATTCTCTGGATTCGTTCGAACACAACGAGCGATTGATGGAAAAGACTACGCCGGAAAAGGTGGTTAACGTCGTTGTGGAACTGGAAGAGAAGGCCATGCAGGTGCCGGCTGAGGACAGCACTGGTGTATCAGGAGACTCGGTTCCGTTCTCGAGTTTGGCAAGCGATGGTGAGTGGAGCAAATGTCGATCATATTGGGTTTATGGATAAGTTTATGGATCTTTTGCTACGGATAATTAGTTTGTACGTCCACTAGTCTAGTGACTTAATTTAATCATGGTGCTAGGCATGCGTAAAATTTTTCGGATGTTTTTGTCCACTTTTTTATTGGATTTTTATTAGCTGTATGCGGCAGTGTGCCTGTATCTATCGGAACGTCTATTTCGATAACCACTTGCCCGAAACAAATTCTACGTATCGGTGATAACTAATATCGTAGTTTATGATTGCTCTTACTTTAGTTAAAATGGACAGTATCGAAGTTGCCTTCGTGGCTACGCCATCAAGATCCGACAATTCCTATTCCGAGGCTGCTTCGACCTCGCCGCCAGACAACGGTCGCCGTGTTTCCCCACCAGAGTTTCCTGTGCGGGCGCTGTATACGCCGACACGCAACTTGAAGGTAGAATATGAGTCGCCCGTCACCGCCGGGGACGATAACAGTGGTGAATGCATCTACGATGGACGGGCTGATGACACGGTGCGCTGGAGTACACCGTTGAATAACGGCCGTCCACCTAATCCGCCCTTGTTCAGTGCTGACAGTACAATTTTGGAGGTGTCGTCTAGCATGGAGGAAATGGACGAGGGTATGGGCTCTTTAGAGACATCATCTGGGGAAACTGAAAGAGCATGTTATCATTGTGGTGAGGATTGTCGGAGAGCTTTTTGTGTCCGAAAAGAACTGCCACGTACTGCGGTCAAAGCTCGGGTTCCGAAACTGGAAATGTGGATATAAGCTTGAATCCAGTTTGCATCCTTTTTCTGGCTGCTGGGTCAGATACACAAAGTTCGGTTTGTTAGTTTGTTGATTTAACGCTTTTTGAGAATCTGGTCGAAATTTACTGAGCGGGTCTGAATTCTCAGCGCGAATTTTTTTCTCTTTTCTTAAAGATACTCTTTTTGTCGCTTGCATTGTTTGGCAGATGCAGTTGTGATCGGCCAGGTATTACAGTTTGTGCTGGCTGTGTAAATGTGTATTTTTTGTTGTGCAGAGTTTTTGGTCATCTTCGTTTTGCCTCTTTGCAGCAGCATTTGTTTGGAGGACTCGAATGTACTGCATGCTTTTTCCATCCGTTCAAAACGAGTTTTTTGTTCTCCGCTGTGTACTGTGCTGAAGATTTTTGGAATGCAAAACGATTAAATGTACCCACCTTGACCTTCTGACATAATGCAATAATCGCATAATTTCAAACATATCAGTTAGTGGTTAGTCTCACAATGGCTTAGTACTGTTGGCATTGTAATTCGCGCAGGCGGCGATACCGTATAAGCCATAAGTTTTGTAATAGGTAATATTAAGCCAGTATGAATGCCATTAAATTGCTTACAAGTTAATTTACCTAATTAAAGTACTTATTTTTCGCTTGCGATTGCTTACCATTTTTACATAGCGAATTGTCCACAGTGCCGCCGCCATGTGGACAGTCATTGCATGGTTGATGACTTGATGGTATGTGAGCTTGTTCACACTCAGTTCATCTAGTTTACAGTACTTGCGCAACTACACATGTCGCGTCATCGCATGCAAACAAAACTGATGTTGCTTTCGGTTTATTAAAACTTTTTAAAATCGTAAGAAGTAGTAAATATATATTTCGATGGACTTCACGGGCCAACATAGTGAGCTTTGAGTTTGGTTTATTGGGTATTGCATTACTTATTAGATCTTGCCAACTTGCTGCTAAATAATATTGCATCATCAGATCATCTGTGCGAAAAGACCAAGCTGCTGCACTGCTAGGACCACCTGGAACAGGATCTATATCATTTGCCCTGCCTCAGCAGTAGAATCTCCAGCTCTTTGACAGGATATCGCATGAGCAAACCTGACACTTCGCGTCTTCATCAGTAGCGCTCTCTTCCCTCCCAAATCTTATGGCCACTTGTGAGATGCCTCTTAATAGTCCGTCTCCGGAGTTTCTCGTGTGTGCTGGTGCGTTTGCAAGTGTTCTCGTCTTGAAGTACTGGCTTTCACGGGAATCGGATAGAAAGGATAGCGAGCAACGGTTACTTTCCTCCATACCTTTAAAAAATCCTTCGCGAGCAGAAGCTGATGCTCGTAGCAACGATGGGCCTCCAACCGCGTCGTTGGAACCATCTGCAGCGCGGGTTCATAGTGGAAGCCACACGGAAGCTCCCGAATGCGCACCAAACGGCCATGTATCCGGAATTTCTCGAGGTATACTAGAATCATTCTCCGATTAGAAAGATGATGTTGTTAGGAAAGATAATAACGATATGGCACTGCAGCGGAAAGCTAATCATGCTAGGAAACACGCAAGAGCATGTGGGTGTAATTTGATTTACTCTTTTTTACAATTTAATGAAGGCATGGAAATCTTTAACTCATATTGCCGTTTTGATTTAGGTTTGATTCCGGTCAATGGCTTGGAAAACTTGGGTAACACTTGTTACATAAATTCGCTGATCCAAGCTGTTATATGTATTCCGGAGTTTATCAGCTGGATGCGGCGCTCGCAAATAACTGTATGCCGTAGGCAAGAGACGAAGAACTGTGGTGAAAAGCAGCCACTGGATACTCCAGTCAAATTTAGACGCGCTCTTGTGCCTGCCAGCGAAAGACGAACTCGCAACTTCTTTCATTCTTTGCTACGTTTGGAGGAGGGTGAGTATTTCTGTATTTGTTCTCAAGTTTAAATTTCGGAATTTTATAATTAATTTATTATGTGGTGTTTGTAGTGTTGGGTTATCGAAATGGTGCAAATCTAAAGCGTTATGCTGCAGCGTCGTTGATTAGTGCAATGTTTGATGGTTTGGATCCAACGGTCTGCCATTATCAGCAGGTACGTCCTTAAGTAAATTTTTTTTATTATTGATCTGAATTATTTATCGTTTAATCTGGCTTCGCCAGTTTCGATTACTGTGATCAAATAATCCGGGCAATAGCATACGTAAACCATTTATTATAGTACGTACTAGTATGCACACTAATTTTGAAAATGATTCACATTACTAGGGTAAGTAATTTTTTGATTTGTTTTACATTTACTCACGAAATGTCAGTATTCCTCCGTTGGATGGTAATGTGGAGTTACCGCATTTCCTTCTTTTACTTGTAAAATGTCTCTTTTTTCTTCGTTAAGTGAAATCATTAACTTTTTTTGTTTAGGATCCAGATGAACTATTCCTGTACATGATGAACTTGCTCTCCAAATCATGGAATCTGAATCACACTCCACTGTTCCCCTTTTGTACTGTTGGCGACTACTTCCGCGGGGATCCGTCCTCGGTTCAGATAGCCGTCAGTGTTGCGGGTGCGCATCTTGAAGATGCTCCTCCATCTAGTACATTTCGTCCGTGGATGTCCCTCCCCTTTCAGGGCCTTTTACACCAAGATCTGTTATGTGTAATCTGCAGGCGGTCGCGAGCGCAGCCATTAGAATGTTTTAACAGCCTGTCCGTGAGCCTTCCTGCTGGTCGACACGGAAATCTGGTAAGTTAAAGAAATTGGCGTAACGATTCGTTTTCGGTTTTTGTAGACGTGTAAGTGCATTATCAAAACCTGAGAAGCCGCGTTGTCATTCTGCTAGGGCTACACACTGGAAGCTCTCCTCGGTAAATATTTTCTGCCGGACGATCTGGATGCTGTGGAATGTCCACATTGCATTATCTCCAAAACCAGTGTTCCTCAAGGGAAACCTTCGCTGACACCTCACTTGAAGCGAACATCGATTGCACGGGTAAAGGTTTTGTTCTACAGAAACTTTTTTATTATTTACGAAAGAAAATTCTGTTTCAGTTTCCAAAAGTTCTTTGTATTCATATCAGAAGAACTGTATGGGGTGGCACCTATTCCTGGAAGCGCCGAGATCCTGTGAACTTTTCAGCAAACTTATTTCTGAACGAGTTCTCATGGGCCAAACACGTGGGTGCTAATGATACTTGCTCGAGGGACATGACTGGAAGGATCTCTATAAATGCCACCAGCAACTCTTCATCACACGAAGCTCGGTATATATTTAATTTTATAATTTATGTCATAGTGCGAATTGTCGGTTTAAAGTGGAATAATAAAGCCAGTAGTTTGTTCCAAAAATGAGTGACACGTGTCATTACGTTGCATAGAAATATAATTATTGAATTTTTCTGTAGTTTTGGTAAATACTTTGTACGTTTTCGGTGCAAGGAAACTTCGAACTACTGGTCATGGAAAACATTGGAGCCCCAGAACCTTTCGTATCTGGATCTGCTTATTGCTTTTGAATTTCTTGTAGTGGGGTGTATATCCTCAAATCCGTGATTGTCCATGTGGGAGAGAGCAGTTCACGAGGTCACATTGTGGCCTACCGCAAAGGACCGGTTGGATCTCGTAATGCGGATTGGTGGTACTATACCAGTGACGATGTGGTACGGCAGACTACTTGGAATGAAGTGGAAAATGCTGATCCGTACATGTTGTTTTACGAACTTTCAAAATGATCGCTTAGTTTAAAAGTGATTTGCACTTTGTATTGCGTTGTCTTGTCTAATTATTCTGTGATATTATGGCGACTATGGGTGAATCAAGTTGCAGTGATGTTAAGTAAAGTTTAGCTGATATGAAATGCCTGTCTGTTTTGTTTTTCCCAACGCACAGGATATTAATTTATAATAGCTAACGTAATCTTATTTTCGGTTTGTCAAGGTCGTGATGTTTTGGTTCTATAGGCACGTACCACCTATCCCGTAAGAAACTTTGGAAAAATGCTCGCCCATCTTAATATAATGGCGCATTTTTTGAACTCTGTGGTATCCCCCGGGCTTTAATAGTTACTGTAATAGCCTCCTCCGTATCAGAAGTCTCCCTAATAAACGGCGTTCAGCAATAGCGCTGTTTTAAATACTTCAAAAATTTATTAAAAGTCTCCTCCACAATACAAACCTCCTCTGCTTTATAAGCCTCCCCCGGGAACCTTTCAAAACTCAGAAGCCCAGGGCTTGAAAAAGTTAGAATTCGAAAAATATGATGTTTGTAGTTGTACTGTTTCAATACTTGTTCCAATAATTTGTAATTATTATTGTAAGCTGGTGGTAGTATTTTTCTAAACAATTTTGAAATTTTCATCACCATTGCAGCGCCCGCCTGCGGGGGACACGATTATGGTCGATGTGGACACTGGGCAACATGTGCCCAACACATAACTGCTATCAGCGGGCGCTACCTTAGAACGTCTGGCTACAGGTTGTTCCATCTTGTCGCTCCTTTATTCTGACAAAAATGTGGAAGAGTTTCCAAATTAATTTTTATCTTTTGTCATGAACAACTAGTGCTCTCTCATCTTCCGCAAAGCTTGCTCTACGATCTTGTTTAGAAATACTTATTTAAACCACAAAATACGAAACGCCGGGAAATCTTTGTAAAATGCACGGATTGGAGACATCTGTACACTGGAAAAATCACGCAGTTTTCGGAATCTTGTTGTTACTCTGCTGGGCCACGCGTGTGGAAAGTGGCAAAGTTGACGATGATTGGGAATCTACAGCTGTCGCAAAAGCGGAAAAGACTTTACGTAAGCATTCTCTGCCTGTATCTTCCATAAATTAACGGCTCGTGAGTGCCCGTGTTTTGTATTGTGCCTTTTTCCAAAGGTTTATTATCGGAGCATTGCAATTTTGAAACCCTGAAATGCGATACTGCTCCCAGCGACTACAGAATTTTTCGCCTGGAACAGCCTGAATTCTCTCAGCTGGCCGGGAACGAAACGAACCAGGCTGTTGAAAATGGAGGTGGTAACGAAGCCGACATTCCCAGAAGTAAGTACACAACAGGGTATGCTAAACTTGCACCATTTGCACTACTTCTATGCATGTATTTGCACCATGTCGCTCACATTTCCTTTAGTTTGTTTATATCAGTATGTGGTTGCGATTTTTTAGATTGGCGGGATTATTTGCATCCTGAAAACTTCCCTGCTACTGCATTTGTCCAAACCGACCAAAGCGACTATCCCGCTCAGATCTGCGAGGGCGACATCTTAACCTTCTCTTGCAACTCGGTGAGCTAGGTGTCACACAAACGATTCGGTAACATTGTGTGCCTTTCATACACAATATTAATGGAGTGCGCGCACGAATGATACTTTTGTTTTTTACGGTATGAATCTTTACAGTCTGCAAGTGAAGAAGTGAATCAGCTGGAAATGAACGGCGAAGTGCGATGGAAGAAAGCCACGATCCCGTTTTTCATCAGTCCGGAGATAACAGGTGCTGCGCAGTGCGCAAAATGTCTTACTAGTTATGAGCCCCTGTATGATTATAATCAGTTGTTAAAGATTTTGTAACCGAACGATCAAAATTTTGTAAATCATGTATTTCATAATAAAAGGGTGAGATCAGTGTTGCGATTCTGCAGGTGACTTCCGGGATGTGGTTCTGGAAGCAATGATCATGATCTCGCAAAACACTTGCGTGAATTTTGTGCAAGGGAATGATATTCGACGAGAAGATATCGTGGTGTTTGTACCGACCACTTATGAGTAAGTGACGGTTTCGCTGAGAGCTTACAGCTTACAGATCTGTACATGCCGGTATTCGGTTAATCACGGTGCGTGCAGGATAACTGCTTCGAATTCTACTGTAAATGCATGCAAATTCAAGGCTTACAAGTTACACAGTTACATTAGACCGTATGTTATACGCTTATGTTCTTGAAGTTTTTATGGAACGGGGTTTGCAACAATTGGTGGACAAAATAAACGGAAAGTTGTCAAGATTCAGTACCCAACGTACCGGAAAGGCCGTATTAACGCGTCTGTGCGAGGAGAAGTTTTGCATCTTTTGATGCATGTTTTGGGATTCGGCCACGAGCATAATCGTCCTGATCGAGATCAGTATTTGTGGATTAACTATGCGAACATAGAGAATGGTAAAGTAATGTTTTCTTTATATGGCTGATATTTAGAAGACAAATGTGTGCTTTTGCTTTAAGGTCATGAAAATGATTTTGATATTGGAAATCGTACCGGACAAGCGTTTATTCACGGACCATACGACTACGATTCGATTACGCATTTCGGAAGCGGGATGTTTGCTAAAGATCCATCCACCCCGACACTCATTCCGAAAGAAAGAGGCAGGCGAATTGGTCAACGTGATGGACTAAGCAGTGGAGACGTGCATAAAATTAATAAATTATATCGGTGTGGAGAAGATGTCAGCAAGTCCGACCGACCTCGCTTGGCCCGCAATTTAAATGACGAAGACTTAGTGACGGAAGGTAAGTCGTTCCTGCAGCACACCCGTAACCCGCTGCATGCTGTAGTTCGCCCCAAATTTCAGTCAAGTTGTCACTGTGTTATGCCGATTAGTGTTTAATTACAATAACGATAACCATTAGAAGGGTGCCGGTCGCCCTTCTGATTTCCTACCGTATTTTAGATATGAGAGCTGTGCCGAAAAATTCTGTTTCTCAAGATATCGTCGTTCAGCCAAGCAGATGTCCAGTTTGCGTTTGTCCCAACGTCTGTACTGAAATTCAAGATGAATCGATGCAAAATGGTACTGCCACGCTGAATATAACGGCTGCTAATTGGCCAACAACGAGCACGGTTAGCACACCTTTTTCGACTAATCACCTGCAATCCGTACCACCGACTGGAAATATACAGGCACCAGCAACCGTTGATTCGATGGCAATGCAGAAGGTTCGTTTAAGGACAGCAGCATATAACTACCAAGAATAAACTGTTTTTCTGCCAACCATGCAATTTAACTGTTTTGCGAGATACAGATGAGAGGAAACAGCCCAGCGGATGATCCGGTTCGCCAAATGGTCCAAGGAGCATTGTCAAATTCAGGTGCTCGGCCTTCGTAACATAGTTCCATTGATACCGTGGACTGTGGTCCGCTTTTCACAAACATTGCGTAAGTATAACCATAAAATAACTTATCTTGCGTTGCAGGGCTTTCCTATGTTCTGAGTAAAAGCCCATTGGCTGGACATTCGTTTCGCACTAATCCAGGCCGAGCTTTTTCGCATCTGCTCCCGACTAACGATGTTTTGTCAGAAAGGTCATCATACATCCCAACCGCTGTCCAAAATATGGGTCTGCGGCGCTGATTATATTCTGCCTTCTTACATGTACAATATAGGTACGTGTGTTAGTGAGAACTGACCATAATTCTTGATACTACTTGACAAGAGCGTGGATTGGATCAGAAGCACGGATAATTTTACTACCTGTATATAATATACCACGCACCTGGCGCAAAAGCACCCTTGAAAGTAACGTAATACTACCAGTACAAACTGAGATTCAACTCGGGTCCGCCAATACTGTTTTGATTTTATGTGAGCTAAAGGCCTACTGCAGCGTTTCATATATCCTGCAGACTGCAGTCCAGATTCTGCTGCGTTATTTCACTTATTTGCTTTGTTGCACAAAAATTAATAATAGTACGAGTATTGTGGAGGTTAACTGTTCGGCCACAATTTCGTTTTTGATGGCTTTGGGACAAATACCGACAATGAAAATTGTTTTAAAATACGAAATAAGCAATAAACACTCGTGTTGTTCTGAGTCGTGTTTTCCCATAAAGAATCCGTTTTTACCTTTGCAGCGGCAACATTTAATTGGGTAGGAAACAAGTCAATTTTGGCTCAACAGCCATTTGCGTTATGGCACCGACTGCCCATGGTACAAAAAACACCCACTATTTATTTACACTGAACCAATACGTGTCGTAATTGATACCATGCAAAAAACGTTGTTCCAGATCTGCTGTACTGGTTTCGGTTCAAGCAAAAAACGGTCATCGACGAAAATATTTAGTTCAAAAACATAAAAGGCGTGCTTATGAATAAGAGGAAACATGACGCATAAATCACTGTTTATACAACTTGCGAAGAACAGCAACAGTTATGACTTGACAAATCATCTAAAACAAATCCAAACAAGCTCAGTCAGCGTTACGAAAGATGCTCCAAGAACGTCAGATTATTATAATCACCGGCCGCGTCCGTACTCCGTAGTGGTCACGATCACGAAACATTCATGAGCAAACCAGTAAGTATTAGCATAAGCTGCATACCCCGCGTGGCCTTGATTCTACAACAGAGACTGCCGGGTAAACATTTCTTTATGGAGGCATATGCATACGAACGCTTCCCACGAGAACTTCCGGTGGAAGTATTCCTCGTGCTGGCTAGCGTGTCAGTTTGTATAAATCTGCGCCGGGCTTTCCGTTCTGTGTTTGAGTTTATGTCGGCCGGCTTACGCATGTGCACAAATCAGCAAAATCATGAGGTCTTTAAAATAGCTGAGGTATTTTTGGATGGAAAAAATTGGATCAGCATCGGAAACAGCCAAAATGTACCCGGCGAGGGACACATCCGAATGTTAACGTCAGCCAATTATGTCTATAAGACTCAGTGCCGGTTTTCGCAGGGAGATGCACGATAGAACCGTTTGCTTGTTTACTAGTTAGTTGCTTTCTTTAATTTTATTGTGCCCCGCATTCTGCTAGATTGTTGACAGCGACGCTCGATTGGGCAATCTTTCTGGTTTTCTTTAACGAATTGTTATTTTTGTGATTACAAGAACAACTTAAGAGTAAGTATGTCGAAAGAAGTTCCAGATCCTAAACCAATTCGCCGGAAGAGTAAAGAACATATTATGGACAAACCGCTTCCGAGTGTACGGCGCCGCAGCAGAGATCTAGCAGTAGCTGCCAAAGATAGAGCTGCCATATTCCAGAAAATGGCAAAAGATCATGCCGAACGGCAGGTAAGGTTTAAGAGTGTTACTATTCTGTCGCGCTGAAGTATGACGTGAAGTGGGAGTCGCGTTTAAATTCTAAGTTACTGCATGGTTGATTTACGTATAAAATGATTTAAAAACCGAAGCGGTAATAAAAAAACAGGAGTTTCACTCAGATTTGAAATGCAATAATTCATCAGTATTGTCACATGGAGTACGAGAAAACACAACATTCATATTTCGATCGAGAAAACGTTTGTATTTGAAAAGCAAGTAGCAGCTGCTATTCGCTACTTCATTCGATCTCCTCTGGTTGAAGGTAAAATTTAATTACAATATTTTTTTCAGAAAACAATAACATTATTAGAATACGACTGTGTCATTTGCGTACGGCGTACGCAGACTCATCTACTGCGCCATTAACTGCCTAGAAGGTTTTTCCTAATGTTTATACTCGTACAGGCATCGAGTGTAAAGTGATGCCCTAGTGCAAACCATGTTTGGGAAGTGGCAGTACCGGGCGAGCTACCTCCGATTAGGTGGTCTTAACAAAGGCACAATGTTGCTATTTGATGATCCCGATTTCATAATTTTGTCTATTCGCTATACTACACAATTGGATCATGCACAATAGAACTATGTAAACAAGGCACATAAACAGGAAGTGCCAGGAACCCGTTCTACCGTGTGCGCATACTGCGCAGTTGCAAAACGACCGGCACTGTCCGGCAATGGTCCCGCACTATAACGCCCACTATTTACGGCTACAATAAAGGATATATTTTTTTTTCTACATACTTACTTTATCCATCATCATTCACCAGTATCTTTATTACGCCTCCTAAGTTATTTATTCTTACTGATCATTTGCTACCTAACATTCCCCCGTTACAATCCGACCAAGCGAAAGAAGTATGATAACGTTGCTGATCACCAGTTTTTTTATGGATTAAGTGCTCTTTGGAAAATCAAGTCAGGAGTCAGGACGGACCCATTGTATATGATCCGGCGCGCAACTTATGCATGAGCTGTGCGCTGTTTGCATCACAGTTTATGTTATCATTATATTATCTCCTAAAGGAAATAACTAACTATGATGGTACAGTATTGTAATGCTTTTTTTGCGATTTTATGTGCAGCTGTTTAATTAGGATAACAAAAGAAAATTATAACATTTTTGACGCCGAACAAGAGAATAATTATTTTGATTTCGTCGGTTGCAGCTCGATAACCCATTTTCTGATCACCATCCCGATGGCAAAGTGCGGATGAAGAAAATTGATAAAAATGATCCCAATTATGGGAAACCTCTGGAAGGAAGCAGCACCGCCAGGAGAGGACAAGAAGCAGATGTCCATATAAAAAAGGAAATCCAACAGCTTTGCGAAATAATATACGTATGTATTCGCATATACAGTACTTGCCTCGGTACTTGTACACCTGACCTTTGCCGTATATTATTTCCAAAAATGACCTTGAGAGCTTGTAGCTTATACAGCCAAAATTATAACTGAGTTGTGTTATAAAGATTTCAGACACTTTCACGTATGTTTACAGCGAAAATTTACGTTGTTGGCCACCCGTGCAGCCGTGCTTAGAAATGTTGCACAAAGTAGAAGTATGAGCAAAGTAGATTACGAGACATAACACGAATTTCAGTATTTCCCATTGCAATAACTGAATATTCTTCTTTGTTTTTAGGATATCGCTCTTCACGATCCAAATGTGCCTGGGTAAATACAGTTTGTTTTTAAAAACTTACTAATTTACATGCCTACAGACCCTGTAGTTCAGCATATGTAAAATAACTCGTATATAAAATAATATACAAAAATTTATTTGGATGTAGGGTAATCGCATAGCCATTTTTTTTTGTTGTTTGTGTTGTTTTTCTCGTGACGACTGCGTGCAGCTGCTAAGAATAAGTCGATAACAGGTAAGCAGCTTACATATTATATGCTCTTTAGCAAACGTATACGTAAGTACTGACCTTATGAATTTACGCTACTTTAGACGGTTTGACCATGGTTTGATTACTACAGCTGCCTGCGGCCGGCTGTTCCAGTTATTGAAATCCTGTGATTTACCTTTTAATTTTACATAATTATATTTCGGCAATTGTTTGTCGTCAATCCCCTCAATTGTCGTAAATCGTGCAATGATCAAGGGTAACTTTTCCAATAATAAAATATATTAACTATACATTTTTCTGTTTTTATTATTGCATTCTAGGCCTGATTGCTGGGTAAAATTTGGTCCACTCTTTGAGCATTACAACCATGTTTCCGACAAAGTGGTTGGCATCCTGCTGCGTGCCAGAAAATATGGATACGTAGCGTTCGAAGGAGAAATGTTGTACCAAAGGCGGGATGATCATGTGAAAATAACGTTAACTCGAGAAGGATTAATACTGATCAAAAAGATTCCTTCATCTTCATGACAAGCGTGTCCTTCAACTTGTTTAATACTCCAACTCTCCATTCTCCAAGACCCCAGTGGATGCCTCGTTCGGAGTTCGGACCTTTAATTAATCCTAGGCTATGATGTAGTCGATTCTACGATGTGGTCGTAATAACGGGCTGGCGGCTATGGTATATACTGGTCAAGGAGGGAAAATTAATAATTTGTCTAAAAAATGTGTTTTCACTTTTGGGCACGTGTAAATTCGAATAATTTATTAAGTATTTGTACTTACTACGTCGCTCAGGTTCTGTTCAATGGTACCATGCATAATTGGAATTTTTTGCGCTGATTCTTTTTTCGAGCGTCATTAAAATTGAGATTTTTCCAAAGTCCATAGCAGCACGCAGTGACTAATGATTTAGCATGCTCGCCGTAGTGCTGCAGCCTGGACCATGGTCAAGTCAAAATCGAAGTTTATTCAAGGGCAGTACGTACAGACTAGTATGTCTTACTCGCACTACGATGCAATACGTCACGGTACCGCCTTCAATGCGAGAGATACAGCCGCAGGTCGATCTAAAGCAAATGAATATCAGCCAATCAGAGCTGCCGTTGAACAAAAATAATTACTCAATAAATAAGGGCGTACGGAAATGCTACTTTGGAGCATCCACCCTCCCGCCAATTTTTTAAAACTAGAGTTATCAGTTATACTTATGTTGTGATAATTTTATTTCCGACTTTCGTGTAAGTATTCAAAAAAAACTGTTGTCTAGGTAGACCTGCGATATGGCATTGCATTCCGAAAAGTACTGCAAGCTCCTGAACCAACTGATAGTTTTACTCTACTCTACATTCTTTTACAGTTCTTTTGTTTTGTTGGGGTTGCGTACAGTTCAAAACGAATTGCAACTTCGGATTTGCGTTTAGAGTCATCGTGTCTGTATGGTTGACTATGGTGTTGCCTGTCGGTTGCCACTTTGCCGCAGACTGCAACTGAAATTGTGCATTTATAATTTTCTCGGATCCCGAGATCCGTTATCAGCTTAGTTACTTATGACAACAGATATTCATTGAATCGATCTAGTCTCTTGCAGCTTGCTTGTGTATCTGTAGAATTATTTAAAATGATGTATCTTAATTCTTAATTAATCTCATGATTGCCGAGGCAGCTCATTCCGCTGTACCGGAATACTTCATAACTGAGTGGTAAACCTTTGCTGGCTTTGCACAGTCAGTTATCAGCTCTTTTATGTGAGATCCTAGCCAGAAATCCTATTTTGTTTGTATGTTGTTTTTGCGTATTGGTTCTTGGCGTATAGACTGCATTTATTACCAGGAGCCCACAGCCAGTTATAGCCTTCAAGGTATCAAAGAGCGATGTATGAGGAGGAGGAGATCAAGTTTAAAGCACCCGTACTCAGCGATCTATCTGCACCTGCAGCACTCCCCAGTCAAGTTCCTAACCATCTGAAGTACGTGGGTAACTGGCAGATGAACAGATAAACTTTCTATAGATATAATGACTTTTGTAATGTTTTATAACTCTCTTATGGGTACTTGGTAGGCGTTCTGCCTTTCTTTTACTTACCAGCAAAAAGTGTTCAGCTTATTCTCATTGGTGTAGCTGGCCAACTGCCTTGAAAGACGTTGTATATGACTATATTTCCTTGATTTTATAATTTTGTTGCTAATTAGTCAGTACTTAAAGATTATGTATTTTAACGGTTTTCAATCTTTTGTACTTTATTAATAATTTATAATGAAATCAGAAATGTTATCATTGATTTGATTTATGAGCCCGGTTTAACACAGATAATAGAAAAAATTTTATGCACAGGTATGTCATTGAAAAGGATATTTCCAACGGACAGGAACTGTTTCCGGTTCGTGTTTGGAATTCGCTCAGCAGAGTACCTGCACCCCAGTTCGAGTATATCAAAACGCTGCAGTTATTTCCGAAATACCAGCGTAGTCCAGTGGTGAGTTGCCGTTGCAGTTGCTTGACAATGTCTAAAATCCTAAACCGAAACTGTACACAAAAATTCTATAAAATCATAATATATTTGTAAGCGAGTGGAAACTGGGTGCTGCGTAAATATATTTTTCTTTGGTTAATCTTGCTATTTTTTTGCGCCGGCAAAAGTCATCTTTAGTGCCGAGTCTACCCGACTACTATTCCGTCAGAATACCTTAAAACTGACCATATTCACTTTTTCAGGTGTGCGACTGCATAGATGGTTGCGATGAGAGGTGCATTTGCATGTGAGTAAAGCGAAGTGCAGTATTACTGCGGTTGGTAGATACGAGTACTATAGAATAGTACTGTTTGGAATTTGGTTAAATTTTGATTATCACTATCAATAATAATATTGTGTTAATCACAAATTCTCAGTATACCGTAAATGTTTTGCTGAATGCAGGTCAACTCCTTTTACGGACAAGTTCTGTGAAATCCCGTATGATGACCAGGTAGGTAACTGTTGTTATTATTGAGAACTGCATCCACTATTGTTAAGCCATTTCCAGCATGCTTAAAACTAAATGCTTAAAATTATTTTCGATTTATTTAGACCGGACGGTTGAAGAAGTTCCCTAAAAAATGGGAACACACGCACAGGGTCCTGTGGGAGTGCAGTGAAAACTGCCCTTGTGGCCAGGAATGCCCTTCCCGATCTGCTCAGCTGGGACTTCGGTAAGCTGTCTCAGATAGACACGGTCGAAATTTCCCTTTTTAGTAATTTACGCATTCAATGCCTGTAATTTCTTATAATTACTGTTTTGCTATCGTCCGGTGTGTAACCAGATCATGGTGTATTGTATATGTACTGATGTATGTCGTCGGGTAAAAAATTAATGCTCACTGACCACCGTGTAATTCTAATGTGATCAGAGTGCTACTGTTTATCGTGATTTGCGATATGGGACGCATTTATTTTCAGATTTCAGTTGGAAGTTTTCATGACGTCGAAAAAGGGCTGGGGTGTTCGAGCCCTTCAGGAGATACCAAAGGGATCCTTTGTTGCTGAGTATGTCTTTGAATTGTGATAATGCAATGGCGGTCTCGTATCTTAAATGAACCCGGCTGTGTATGCATTTGGTGTCGTAATTAGTTCGAACTATGGAGATCATTTCTAATGTGCAAATCAAATAGGTATGCAGGAGTGGTTGCAAGCATTAAGGAAGAAGGAACTGAGGAAGGGGAAAAATGGACGGATAATAACTGGTATTCATTTGACATAATGTCGGTACGTCTACCGGTTAATAAGTTTAGCCTTTTAAACTTTAATTAGCGATTTCACGGTATGCAACCAGATTTTGACGACTATTTTCTGCTCAGGAGCAAGGCCCAACAAACTTTTTCATTGATGCAACAACGAAAGGAAACGTGGCTAGGTAGGAATAGGCTAATAGCAAAATAATGCAACTTGACATGCGGAGTGGGATACGGATTACAAGGGTAACTTCAATGGTGTTTTTCCCCACAGGTTTTTCAATCACTCTTGTGAGCCAAACATGATGGCTTTCCACGTGTTCTATGACGACAATAATCCCGTTCTCGGCATGCACATCTGCTTTTTCAGCACTTGCGATATTAAGGAACGCGAAGAGCTTACGTAAGTAGATCTGTAATTTAATGCATTGCAAATTTAATTTTTTTACTTTTGTGATTTTGTTTGCTGGCGTAGCCTTCGTTTTGACTTTTGAGTATACGTACTTGGCATTTTTCTGTGGTAGTTTTGATTATGGAGAAGATTACTGGAAAGCTAAGCTGGAACGCGGTCTTGGATGTGACTGTGGAGCAACAAAGTGCAACTACCGCTTGGCGAAGAAGTCAAAGAAATTCAAAAAACCAAAGCTCGACAATATTCCTGATATCACGCACACACTGGATATTACCATTCCCAACATGGTGGTTTACAATCTGTAATCTTTAAAAATCTGATCAGAGTTTTTGTCCTGGGAATACACATCTCCTTTTGACGCTGGTTTTCGAAACTTCTGCAAAGATCTTCCGTTTTCTTCCGCAGATCTACTCTTGGAAGTTTTAGCTTGTTAATTGTTTTAGGACTTTTATGGGTTGCTTAGGTACCGATGCGGACTGTGAATAGTGAAGGTCTTATCGTTTCAATTTTTTTCCAAATAGTTGTCAGTATTTTTTATGTCAAACCATGTTCAAATAAAGTACTCCGAATTTAGAGGTCCAACAAATTGATATCACGCATCATTCAGCAAAAAGCTCCAGAATATCGTCAATCTTCAGATTGATTTCACAACCGCAGTCCTTTCCGTTTCAGATCTGCTCTTGCTTCCTCGATCTCCTAAAAAGACATAACAAATTTCGAACTTGTAAACTGTAATGCGGATATCGGAATTTGTTTGAGCGTATTCTATTATCAGATTAAACCATTAATAGGTAGCTTAAAAGCAGAAACATTCGAGAAGTCCAGTACTGACAAAAATCCTATACTGCAGTATATTTGTCGGCACTTTTTATGGCAATAATTTTGAATTTTGGTAATGAATGTTCTGCACCTGTTGTAATTCTTTTGCAGCGTCCGGACAATCACGAAACGTGGAAACCCGATACGCAATAATTGCAGCCGATGTCAGACCAAATATCAACACAGCTATCACAGGAAACTGAAACACAAAATGCTATTAATTACGACCAGCTGTAATTACCACGTCACCACGAGCACTTAAAAACAACCTTTACGAGCTAGCCAAATTAAATGGTCCAAAATGTCCGCTTTAGGGTCATTTTATGGTTTATCCGATAATACACAGCCACTTCAAACGAATTTTACGAGCTAGCCAAATTAAATGGTCGAAATAACTTGAGTAACTTGATCTAGAATTACCGTGCTCCATCTAAATTCTAAAGTAACTTATTATAACGAGAACTCTTCGCATAATGAACGGTAATACGAGTAAGATTGCAGTTAAAGACTGAAGTTTATAGGACGTTAGTGAACCACTAAACAAAGCAAATCGCTGATATATACTTTTTAAAACTTACGGATGCCCACCATGATGTGATACCATTAACTGTACACATCACTTGTAACTTTTTAGCAATATAACGGATACAAAAGCGTACATATAACACGACGTTTGTGCCAAAGGAAGATAACTTCCAGGAATGGACATTCAAAACAGCAGCCAGCCACACAGCCAAGGTAAGTACCCCCGCAATAATCCACTCCAAAACTTTCAACATTCTTCAACAAAATTCCACAGAGCGAACTAACAAAACAAACAAACTAGTCCTTCGTCTTCAAACTTCGAACTAATAATACGATATTATTGGGCCAAGTCCCAGTTGCTGTGCCAGTGCCAGGTGGAAATTCAACAATTTAAGTTAACTGTAGGATCTGCTGTCTGTATACTCTGTAGATGTCCCCCGATTGCTGATTGTTGCAGCATATCCAGTGCACTGCTAAACAAAAGAAGACGAAACAACAGAGCTCTCAAAACAAGAAAATAACATCAAGACTTCCTGTTTCAAAACATTTTGTACTTAATACTATCAGCAGAAAATTAGAAAAATCGTAAATAAAGTAACAGATTGTGAAAAAAGTTTTAAATCCCTGCACTGTACACTCCCTCCGTGAAGACGGGTGTTACTTTAAGCACACGTGTAGCACTGTCAGCCAGCCAGATGTTTTATCTCTATCCTGAATCTTTTTTGTGATTTTCTAAATTTTGGTTGAAGATTGAAGAGTTTCTAAATTTTTGTGAATTTGTCTTTCACTTTTCGTTTTCAGTATCTCTTTTTGTCTTTTTGCTGCACAACAGTACGTTTGTTTCAGTAATGATTTCTAAATCAGTTGACAACGAACTTGTTGCAGGGATTTAAGGGAAAACGGAGACATGTAACAGTTTCAAACGGTGGTGAAAAGGAGAACTAAAAACCGAAATTCCTTTCGCTTGGACGCTGTCAGAAACACAACATGGCTTCCGCATTTTTTGCCCTTGCGTGTGTGGTTGTGTTTGTTTGCATTACGATAGTAAGCCTACTAACTGGATTCGCTCTCGTTCTTTCACTGAAATCTCGCCTGCAGAGAAGACGGAGGAAAGCGTAAGCGCATTTCAATCATATTGCTACGTACACGTACTTCGATACGTATATGTACACAAATTATTTTAACGGAGATTTCATACGTTTGTGTCGATGTGTATTTAATGCCGGTGCACTGTTTTTCGTTACCCTACAGGTTTTCTGTTGGATTTTTTCATCCTTATTGTATGGGTGGCGGGGGTGGAGAACGAGTGCTGTGGGCAGCACTGAATAGTCTTGGATCCAGACGTTCCGATGTGGAGTACATCATTTACACAGGCGACGATGCGGACAAGTGTTGTAAATTTCGAGAGCATGTGATACATCGCTTCAAAATTTCAATCCCCGCAGATATTACAGTGCGATTTGTGCACTTGCGAATGCGGACGCTGCTGGAAGCACATCATTATCCTATGCTGACCATGATCGGGCAAAGTATTGGATCCATGATAGTTGGTGTGGAAGCATTATGGAAGTTTAGTCCAGATGTTTACATTGATACAACAGGTGAATTACGAGTAGCATGAGTGGTTTCAGCAAGCGTGGGGTTGTTTAGGCAGCTTTAAAGTGTGGAAAATACCAAGAATATTTTCTGTTGCATGCAAAACCTTATCTTTTTTATGCGTGTTTCTAATTTTTCTGATGAAATTCTTTGTGCCACACAAGTAATTGTTTTACATAGGTGAATAATAGCTAGTCTGGATCATATTCGCTGCTGCAAATTGCGAACCCGCGACTGACACTAATTATCAGTCGTTCTTATTAGCTTGAGTTAGAAAACATGTTTCCTCATATTCTTCGCTTTTGGTTTGCGAACAACAGAGCTGTAAAATTATCCCTTTCGACCTTAGTATAGATTTTATAGGTATTGGGATAACTTGCCCAGTGGTGTCTGTATCTTTTTATTTTTATTTTACAGGGCATGCTTTTACATTCCCTTTATTTTATTTCCTTGGTGGCTGCTCAGTGGGAGCCTATGTCCATTATCCGACCATAAGCACGGATATGCTGTCTCGTGTGAAAGAGCGGAAGACGAGCTATAATAATGTCAGTTTTGTTTCGCGCAATCCTTTCCTGAGCGCTCTGAAGATATATTATTACCACATTTTTGCTTGGCTGTATGGATTGGCGGGTAGATGTTGTGACATTCCCCTCGTTAATTCCACCTGGACGTATAACCATATTATACAATTATGGAAAGGTAGCCAGCCGGTGATTGTGTACCCCCCTTGTAATGTGGAAGAGTTTTTGAGAATATCACTTCAGCGTGAAGATAGTAAAAATGCCGAGCGAATTTTGATCGTGTCCATTGGTCAGTTTCGACCCGAAAAAGATCACGCACTACAACTACATTCGCTTGCGGCATTGCTGTTTATTCTGCCTAAGGAAGTGCGAGATCGGATCCAGATGGATTTTATTGGAGGGTGCAGAAATGCGGATGATTATAAACGCGTGGAGACACTGGAACAGTTGGCTGAAAAACTTTTAGTGAAGGATTTTGTGAAGTTCCATCTGAATGCATCTTTCCCCGAACTTTTAGAAATTTGCCGGAACGGCACAATTGGGATTCACACTATGTGGAATGAGCATTTCGGAATCGGTAATTTGCATGTAATCTGGTCTTGCGTAAATTCTCTGACCTGTAAATTTTTCTGGTCCAAAATTTTACAGTCAAAGGCAACATAACTAACATATTTTAGGTGTGGTGGAAGGAATGGCTGCGGGCTTGATCACGGTTGCTCATGATTCTGGTGGACCTAAAGCTGATATTGTGGTGGACTTTCAAGGAAAAAACACTGGATTCTTAGCGTCAGATGCAGAAAGCTATGCAAAATGCATGAAACAGATTATTTTACTTAATGAGAATGATAGAGATGGTATAAGAAAGCGAGCTAAAGAATCCGTTTTACGATTCACCGACGAAGTGTTTGATGCGAAATTTTATAATAACGTCGCCCATTTGCTTTAAATAAATGGCTTATTGATTTGCAAAGATCACTATTGTGTGTAAAGACAGAGGTCAGATATTTAAATGATCAATGGAGAAGATGCCACAGGAGAGTAGCAAGTTATCTTGTTGTTAAATTGTTTAAGTACGTAGTAATACTAATTTCAGTTAAGCGGCTGTTATGAAACGAAATGATATTATGATATTATCTATAGGTAAATTCCGTAAATAATCTCCCAAGGTCTCTTCTGCTTAGAATCCTACATAACGTAAAATGCATGCTATTACTTCACATTAAAAGTTCAGTTGAAAAGGGCCTCGGAAATCAAATTTCTGATGCAGAATTATCAGTACCTGCTACAGCAGACTATAAAAACTTGTGGAGGCGAGTGTTGCCTGCACAGTGTACACAAGCCGGCAGATACCGTATTGACATCGCGACGATTAGCATTTTCCAACTCTTGAGTCGATAATTCACACCATCGGCTGGTTGCCATTGGGTGTGAAGAAATAATTGCCATTGATTGCTGCTAGTTTGACCAACCAATCACAACTGGCGTTATGATAGCATACTAACGGGCGCAGTAAACGCTTCTCACCATCCGGTTCGGACCAAATCGGCTCGTGCGTACTGACCGAGGACAAGCTGCTCTGTCGCGTAAAGCGTACTTGCGTCTTGCAGCATACAATAATACTACAGTCTACACTGCTGGCATCGCTATTTATGTTACTGTTTGATCATCACAAGCTTTCAGTATCAACTATCAACCAAATCTGATAAGGAAAACAATAATGAGCACGTTCTGCGGTATACGAGCTTTTTAAGAATTGTTTAACTGCATTTTGATTAATGCAACAGATTCGTTTTCTCAAAATATTTATAGAAATCTATTTAGTTCGTTTCAAATTTTGTAAACACATTAACGAGTAATATAGTGAAGGCTAAAAGCGAATTTAGCGAAGGGTAACATATGTGATGGTTAAAATCGTGTAAAAATCACTGCCTACCCCTGGATGCTAAGCTACCGCCCAAGGATATGGCGGGATAGTTGGGGTGCAAGGGGTGCCACCTGAGCCGATAAGTTTTGGGCGGCCAGCTAAACAATCGGTTAACTGCTGAATCGGGCAGCTTGGGGCGGTCTCGGTCCGGAAACGGTACATGTTGCGGGAAACGCGCCTCTGTTTTTTAACAAATCGGCTCCAATAAAACTTTCTTAATATTTAAGGGGTTTCTACAAATAGGCAATGTCGAGGCATACGAATCTTTCCCCTGGACGGAGGAGGCATACTAGGTGATTGTCTCTATTGTAATCACAGAAAAATCCCTCCCCTTGACCCAGATACGGCCCAGTCGATGGTGTGAATTATAGACACTGCACCACTTTCACAGCCAGTGGTTATTTAAGATTTTGCTAGTGGGTTCCTTCGGGTTGCGTAACAATATTCTATCTTTGTTGATATTATTACCATTCTCGGTCCATTTGCAATTTAGCAATTGCAGAGGAGCAAACCTTCGTGTTCTCTGCCTTGTTTTATTTGGATACAGGATGGTTATGTATAAGTATTAAGAAATTATTCCTTGTTTGTCATCATGGCTTTGATCAGCCCGTCATTTGTTATCAGTATATTAACTTACCATCTGTTGAATAAAATCCATGTTTATGACTACGCTGCTTCTTGGATGATTTTCCAAAGACTGTTATTTTACTTGCCTCCGACTACGGAAGCGTTAAGAGCAGCGTCTGGAATTTCTACCAACAAAGGAAGAGCCTCTGGCAGAGGAAAGCATCGAAGAGGGCAAACTGATTTTCAGGATCGGGACAGTTTCCAGGTGTCGAAAGATATCGACATAGATCTGCAGAGAACGTACCTTGATATTGAGGTGATATCTGCTCTTAAGTATTATGCGGAACTCCGGTGGATTCTCAACGTTGGGCTGACATCTGTCATTGCCTATTTACTGACCGAATTTTATTACTCCTTCAAAGACTGGATAATTGGAGGTCTGTCAAAGAAACTTATACAATACGACATACTGGTGCAAGTTTTTCTTGACCGAATATTTTCAAGTATTTTGAACGTTGATTTTCTGATGAATTTATGCAGAAATATACATTTTTAAGACCATCTGTTACCTTCATCTCGGTGTTTGTTTTTACAGCTGCTGCGAACACAGCACGACAGACTGAAACAAATTTTAGTTTGCTGTGGTGCATTGTCACCACATTTCTGTGCATTCTTATCCTTGGTCGGCTTGTCCATCTGTACTATGGAGCTACAGAACGCGGCGAATTTTTCCTGGTATTGTTGGTTGGTGGATTGGGAGCGGTGATTTCCGTTGTAATGCTCGCGTTCAACCGCGGCACTCTGGAATTTGGTTTACGGGATGCTCACAAGAATTTCACTGAGAAGCTGAATCGGATTCAGCTGATGGGGGAATTTGCGCGGACGGTGAATTTCTCCTACTTTGGATTTGGGTAATTGCTTGCATCTCAGTCTACCTGATACACCCCAAAGAGACGATGAGGTATTAAATTGATAATTACTAATTTAGACTGTTGGTTGGACTGCTGTCTGGTGTAGCCAGCGCTCTGGTCGCGTTTCCCGGCATACGGTTTGGGAAAATGTATCGAGATGCAAAGAACAGGCCGTCGCTGAACGAAATCCAGCTCACGTCATGCTATACTCCATCAGCTTTGCACTACCTGCGGCTCTGTGCCTCCTTTGGATGCCGGCCGTGCAAGAACATTTATGGATGGAAAACAAGTGTATGCTTTTTTTAACGCTAGAATGTTTCTATACAAATAGTTATTATTACCAGTAACTATTTCTGTCTTTAAGTGCTTGTTGCTTTGTGGATTTTACTGCTGTAATGAAGTCAACTGCGTAGTTTTCTCTGGAATTGCAACGATTTTGCTCGCGAGATATTTATACCTTTTGGTTTAAATTTTAAGATATCTCTGCTGATAACTAATTTGCATTTACATAACCAGAAATAATAAAAGTTTTTTTTGCAGATATGAGTTTCGAAATGTTTCGCACCATTCTTCTACTGTTGGGCATTGTTGTCCGTTTTCTTACGATGAACGGCTTTCTCCAGGCCCATTTGGATTCGCCCCGAAAGCGCATGCATGCCCTCCACCAGGAGCCTGGAAGAATCGAAGCGGAAAAGTTGCAGTTTTTATTGGCTGCCCCTTCGCGGTATATTGGCGTAGCTGCGGTGCAGTATGTGGCGCCCTTGGTCATCCTGACTATGTTGTCATTCTTGTATCTAAGCGCGGATATGGAATCTTTTTTCCCGGTTAAAGGCGACTGGACGTACAATAGAGTTTTTGGTTGGCTTGGTTTGCCGGCGGATTACACGGCTACTGTGTATGAAATCCACAATGCAGTTTGGTCACTGTTTACGGGAGCCCTTCTCAAAGCATTGTTTGGATATCTGATTTGGTGGATATTGATATCTCATTTTTGTTTTTCTTTGTTTGCTTATTATATTTTGCAAGATCAGCAGTAGCCCTTGTTTTCGTTTTATTTTGTGGTTTACTGATTTTACTCCGTGGCCCTTGTTGATAGTGCCTTTTGTTATGTTATGGTTGTTTGCTCACCATCCTTCCCTGTGTGATTTTTAAATTATTAGCAGCCGTAATAATAGTAAATGCAAATTAACTTGCGAATTATTTGTACTGTGCAAATAATTTTGTTTCCTGGATGTCAGCATGTTGATTTTGAAAGGGTTTTCCCAATTAGACGGTACATTGTACATCAATTTCGAAATAAAAAAACAGTAAACTTGTGTCTCCTCTCCAACCTCCTGTGGTGGTGTCTGGACCAAATGACGTAGCAAGTGCAGTACGCGACTCCAGAACGACTATTTCAGAAATAAGTTCAGTAATGCCAGCGTAGGTTTAAAAAGCCATGATAATGCCGTATTTAATGGCAGCCGTTTTTTTAAAACTCGTTACGACGTTACACATCTATTCTTTCAGTGGGAATTGGTAGTTTTGTTAAACAGTTAAACGTTATTTGTCTACCGAAAACTGTTCCACCATATTAGCAATTGTGTGTTCCGTGTTATTCACCAGATTAAACATATTTGTGCGGAGGCCTTCCCTAACGACGACATCTTTCCTGTGATTCAGTGAACGCTACGGCTAAGCGGGCCTAAGCCTCTCAAAACAGTGAAAACTCCTCCTGAACGCACTTGTCTTTGTGAAGATAAGTGAAAGCTGGTGCTTTGATGCAATCGTACCCAAGATGAAAACTTGGACGATCTTGTTTTTATTTGTGTTGGCCGTCACTCAACTGGCCAAGGCGAGCGGCCTCGACAGTGACTTTGCAGAGTTTGACGAGGAGGAGTTTGTTGATGAGCCGTCGGAGAAGAGCAAGGTGGAGTCGCAAAAGAATACGGATGAGGACGTCTTAGAATCAATAGACACGGAAGCTGATGTGAAGCGACCAGATGCCGGCGAGGAAGAAGACGAGGTAAAAATACCTGAAGTGTTTTTTGTGCTGGGTAATTTCATGCTGCAAAGCCTTGATAAACAGTTCAGTTTAGTTTACAGACAATAATTATTACGTATCAAAGGTTTAATTGCTGTTTGTGAGGTGTACTAATCCTTATCACACGGTTTCTGGTTCCGCACTTTAGACTGAAGGGGACGCATATATTGAACAAGAGCAGTACGATCCGAACGAATTCGAGGGTTACGAAGATGACCGAAGTTCTTTTGGACGTGCCGGTTCTTCTGGGCAGAGCCAGAAACCCCCACCAGAGCTGAAAATCGCTGAGGTATTTCGTTGTAAATTGGTAAAGTGGTACGAAAAGCAAAGCTATCCGGCATGACATACTCGTAAAGTTTTCCGCTTGTTCTCTTGAAAAATTATGCACTTAGTAATGAGAATACATAGGCACGTAGCCCCTAACAGTTGCACATACGTTATTGTGCAACTATTAGTACTTACATGATGGCTGGCAAGTTATTTAGGCAGTTTTGACGGTGTTCTTGCAGGTTCCGATGGTGTTGGGAAGAAACTGGGAGCATTATTACGTAGAGTATTTGTTGATCTCCGGACTCATGTTTTACCTAGTCTGGTATGCATCTGGAAAAGCAACTAATTCAAAACTGGCGACCGCGTGGTTGGACACACATTTTGAATTGTTAAACCAAAATTTCGCTCTTGTGGGTATGTCGGGCATTTTGATCGGTATTATTGGAAAACAGCAGTTATGGTGTCAGGAATTTTCCGAATTGTATAAATGAGATCGCTTTGAAATTGGTTTCTGCTTGTTTACAGGAGACGAAGGCACAAACAAAGAGGTGACTCTGTCGACTTCTTCGCCAGATGCGGGCGCGGAAGGCGATGCGATGGGTGATGGAACCAAAAAACCTTCCAAATTTATAAAGGAGGCTGATCATATTTACACTTTATGGTGCAGTGGCAGAATGTATGTGGAAGGCATGCTGGTGACATTGAAATTAAGGAAGCGACAAGATCTGTTGTCGTCTGTTTGGAGATTATTCCGCCCCAGTAACGATCAGATTGTGAGTACAACAGCAAAATCCCGAAGTGGAAAGACATCTGGAGTTACTGTGTTGTATGTTTAGTGTATTCGATATTATATGGAAAAGGAAGAAATGGACACCTTTGTGCTAGCTGTATCCAAGAAGGGAAGCATTCCTAAACTTCAAAAAGACATGACAGAGTTGGGATTATTTTGTCCTGATCGGAAAGGCGGGGATCGGTTTGGATTACCCTCTTCCTTTACTGTGCTTTCGGAAATTGGAGAATCAATTTTTGCCCTTCTTGACACCAAGGTAAACATGCTTGCATTTTGTTGTTATTTCGCAATCTGATTGGATGACTTAATTCTGTGCTTCCAGGTTTTGGCTGTAATTGAAAAGTATGAACCGGAAATGGAATACATGTTTTTTTCTGATCAGTATAACCCGAAATCCGAGGACGCCCAGCAGCAGAATCAGCAAATAAAGAGGCCTGAGCCTATGAAAATCCTGCAGTTTTGTTTTAATTGTGAGTTCCCTAATTTTTTTGTATCCGTGGCATGTACTACGTGTTTATCTGCTTCGTAGTGCCAAAAAATTTGTCCAATCCGACGGAGGTTATGGAGTATATGCATCCTTTACTGCTTATGACATTCTATCTGGTCGAAAAAGTCCATCGTTATCGCCTGCAGAGAGAAGTACTGTGCGAAATTCGTGGTATGAAATTTTAAATCAGTAAATAAAATTTTCTGTAGGCTAAACTGAAAGCTGAGAAGAACCGCCAGAAAGTCCAGGAAGAATATTTAAAAAGTACACACGCTCAGCGCCAAGAAGCGGCTCAGCTAAGACGGGAAGAGAAGCGACGGATAGAAAAAGAAAAGATACTTAGTGAGGAGGATCCTGAAAAGCAGCGCAAGTGGGAGGTAAAACTAAATCAGTTCGTTAGAACGAACATCTTTATTCGTTGGATCGTAGCATAATGCTTATTTGGATTTTCCTTATTCGTGAGTACTGTACTGCTAGTTTGAAACTGCTGTTATTCTAGGAACGTGATTATCGACGAGAAATGAAAAAGAAAGGTCCAAAAGTGAAAGCAATTAAAGTAAAGGCCATGTGAGACAACAACTTGTTTTGTTTTCAAGTTTGTTTTGCTTGTGAATACACCAAAGTAAACCTTTTTGATTGCTGTTCGCTAAAAAACCGCATGCCGTCAGTCCAAACGAGATCTGGAGTTGGCATGCAATTGTGACTGCATTGTGAAAATGCTGCTGAAGTTTCGTGTTTAATGAACTGTTTTCTAAATTTTCTGTACTTTTTTCTGTATTGGGTTTTCGGCAGTTTTAATTGTTTTATTCCATGCATCAGTCTAATTTATTTTGATTTACAAATAAATGCCTAACACCTCATTGCTTTTTCGGAAACATTCCTTGCTACGAGTCGCCTACGAAAGTCCCAGCGTCTCAGACTTCTACGTACGGTGCATACTTCGAAGTATTGCATTTACAGACAGAAGAAGAAACGAAACGGAAGTGAAATGTTACTAAAGAAAAACTGGTGCAAAGAATGTTACAAAGAACAAATACTTAATCAAAGAATGGTTAGGACTCCAGGAAGATTCTGTGCTTTAAGTAAAACTGACAAACAATAAATTGGCGGATGGTGCAATTTTAAGGAACTATGGTACTCGTATAAGTCGTACAAAATCATTACAGCGTAGTAGCGTACATGTTGCTATATACACGTGTTATGACTTTTATAATTTGAGGCGGTTTTCTTAATTAGTCGAACGCCAGCAAGTTCGAGAAAGAGCAGCGCGCGAGCAGTAAATTCTGAAATTCTTAAGTGATCAAGGTTCTAACCGATATTCTGGGCATTCCTAACCAATTTGCCTTTTCTTAGATTATTCATCATCATACTACTGTGATGGTGTCTAAAGAACGTAATTAATGCTCAAATTGTAGGATTGTAGGAAGGCATTTAATCATAATAAATGTATACCGCAGGGCGCAGAGTCTTGCATGCAGGTCTGATTAATCGACCGTGCGCTTTGTGTACCAACCTCGAAATTCTAAGAAAATGTCAGAGCAAAAGTTTTCGATTGTTCCGATAATCGGGTTTCTTATGTTTTTAAAACGAAACGATTTAATTTTCGGGATCGTAAAACCCAAGAATTGTGAGGGGTTAATTCAACTTAATTACTTACGTTAATTGCGCAGATCAGGGCGGTGTACCGCAAATGTAGCAGCCACCGTGGGGTTGACGCCTGGGAGTAGGAAACTGGTACATGCATACTCCATGGTCTGTACTCTGTATATTGACGATTCTCGCCCGGATGGCGCCCTGGGGCGGTTGGGACCCGTGCGACTCAGGTGCGACGGGAAGTCATCGTAGGCCCATAGAAACTAGTGCTTATCCCGGCACTTTTTAAACAGCGCGCGTTCGCAAACTGTACTGCTTGTTAACTGGGAAGTTACATGAAAATTCACAAAAACCATACTCTGTAAACGAGGAAAAAATGTGTGATAAAAATGCTTACAGTATTCTTGAATTAAGTGGTAGCTCTATGGCCACGGTGTTACTCTACCGCCTTAAATTTTAGCACAAGGCCAGAAACAGAGCGCATGCGTAGTTCTCCTGTTGGCGCACTGTAAAATCCCTGTTTGTTAGTGACGTCAAAATGACACACTGCCAGTCTGCACTTAGGGTTGTCATCACGTCATCACACGCTATCACAATCACGCCGATTTCCTGTTCCCAATCCCATCATGCCGAAGAATTATGGCTGTGATAATGTGATGGGATGAATGATGGGATTGGGAAGTGATGGGATGGTTTTCCACTGCCCGAAAATATGTGTTTTAGTGCCAAAATTTACTGTGCTTCGGTTATTCCGCATAACTTTTCGCGCAACAAACTTTTTTCCTTTATAAATCAGGCGAGAGCTGCCTGGGGAAAACTTTCTAAGAAAGACCTTTAGCATGTTGTCATTACGGTACGCTACGTAGCTTCTACCACAGTCCATTTCATTTGATTGATAACGCCTTTCTCACTTGTGATAACTGTTTTTACAACATTTATACTTTATGTAAACATTAAAATAATTTTTTTTCGGAATATAAATTATTGAAATTTTATTTTATATTCGTCCCACCAATCCCACTATTCCCATCACTTCACGTTCCCAATCCCATCACATCCCACCTCAAAATTCAGGGTGGGATGACAACCCTAGTCTGCAGTCCAGGCGAGAATCACGAATTACAGGCCCTGTATGCTCGCACTGGCTTTTTCAGGCTTTCATGTTTTCAGTTTTCTTGTTGTCTTTTTGGTTTTGTCTTTTCGTCTTTAGTCTTTTTAGTTAAATTGCAGTAGTACACCAGAAATTGTGTGATGGATGAAACAATCCTTTAAACAATCTAGGTGTTACTCTGCTCAAGCAACAGGAGCGAAAAACGTTGGAAATGGCATTTGCAGTGCGCAAAATGGCGCTGGGATTTTCTTTTATTCCGTCTGCATGGCGAGTGGGTACTTCTGCTGTAGATAGTATTGTCTGTGGAATTCCTCGTTCCCAAGCTGGAATAAGTCTCAACGTGACCAGAGGATATCGAAAATTAGGACACCCCATCTATGCCACTGAAGCGAGGTTCAAAAGTCCGGATCCGAAAGTCCACCATTTTAAGAAAATTCTTTTACCACCTCTGGAAGAGCAGCGAGAACCTATTCCGATTTTGCATGCGATGTACCGCAGAAGCTTCGCCCGAAAGGACTACGGTCACAAACCAAAGCCAAGGTTGGATGTAAATCCGTGGAAATGGACCCCAGTCGATGAAGACGGACATAAAATCGAGAAAGGATTGGACAAATATTCACCCAAACCATTTCAAGTTGTGCGAACAGGAGGACGCCATCCTTTAACTGGTAAGTTTTGTATGCTTTAAGTATAAGCCGATCGTGGTCTTCACTTATTCGGTAAACATATCCAGGGGCTTGTAAATTGCAGTTGATATTTTGAAAATTAAGACGTGTGCGAATTATTTAATTCTGTTTTGTAGAATTTAATTTCTTGCTGTCTGGTATTCAGATTCGGCTTTTCGTAGGCGGCACCTGTATGATTGCAAAGCACTGCACATTTATGATGAATTGACATTCACTGCATTGACATTTTAGACAATTGATTGTTCTAGGACGAGTTATTTACCGAAGGATTGGTGGCGGTGTGAAGCCTACATTTTTCTTCCTTGATACCACACGGGAGTATATACCCGATTCAGAGACACCGATTGTAGAAAAGGTGAATTGTAGTAGCGTTGCTGTTAACATACGGAATTATTACGCGCTTTTTGCAAGAATTTACATTTTACTTAACTAACTTTGACATATTTGGCATACTGATGCTTTTACAGGTTCTGCAAGTCCGTGAGACCCCCAATTTACGATCCGCACATATTGCTAAACTTGGTTACGAAGACTCGTACCGCTGGGTAATTGCTACGGAAAATATGAAACCCGGTCAACTGGTTAAAAGTTCCCGAGCGGTTGGACGACTGCCGGGTACGCATTTTTTTTGCGTGTCAGTTTTCCCACAATTTTAGCGCATCTGTATATTTATTTAGCATGGTTACAGTCTTGCGTAGTTGGTTTTTAACGAAAGAAAGCAGCTAATTTACAAATTGTGAAGATGTCTTATATGCATCTGATAGTTAACCTAATCGTTCGCTTAAGCCTGAATGTAAATTTCGTAGGCAGCAGCCAGCATGCGTAGTATGAATTAGTGTAGCTGCGTGTAAAACGAATATTAATTTATCAGTATTCAACATCCACAAAGTTTGAGATGCCGGTATTCACGGGTAGTAAATTCAAAGCAAACAGCCAGAAGTTTGACCAGTGGCTGTGTTGAACTTTGTTTATGCGTAGTTTGAGTTTTATCGCAGGGTGTGAATAGCGGATCTCTGAACAGGTGTTTGCATACTTTTGATTTTCTGTTATGATTTCTTGTAGTTCGGGCCTTCGAAGGAGACACCTACGCTGTTGGGGCATTACCAGTGGGGACTGTGCTTAGCTCCGTAGAGCGAGTTGAAGGAGACGGAGCGAAGGTTGCCCGTGCTGCTGGATGCTGTGCTACCATAATCAAAAAAGAAGAAGGCTCTGTTATTATCCAAATGCCTAGCAAACAAACGATCCGAGTGAGTGAAAAATGTATCGCTACCGTGGGCCGAGCGAGTAATGTGGGATGGCAGGATATCGACTGGGGCTCGGCCGGAGCGATGCGTCGAAGGGGTATCCGACCCAAAAGTGGTTTATGGCATCGGAAGGATGGTTATTGTGGACGCAAGATCAAAGCCGCTAAGCCTCTGCGCAGTTATCTAACACCACCGGCGGAAAAGCCGGCGTCATATAGTTTTACTCATAAATTTTGAGCGATTTAAGTTCTAGGTTGTTCTGGTTAGATGACAACCACTTTCTGGAATTTTGATATGGCATTTTGTACAGTCCATAACATTTGGTTTTTATAGCGGCTCTAACCATGGTAAAAAATGAAAACATGAGCGCTTTTAGCCGCTTTAAACAATATATCTATATGTAGCAAAAACACTATACACTGTAGCATTTTCTACTACTAGTAAGTATTTGCAGTTGATGTCGTATGCCCATTCATAGATTTACTTCTTTTCGTAAAAAGTTTGTAATTGAAAGATTGAATTGGATCATGCAGACTTCATGCTTCGATAAAACTATAAATAAAAATTTTCGATAAAATACATAATATTACGGTAGCAGATACTGTACCCATGTCACATGGGTACAGAAAAAAACTGATGGCACATGGGCCATGTGCCATCAGTTTTTTTCGCATTATGCTGTTATCCAGCTCTACGGAATTTTGTAAAGACTAAAGGTGGACGCACTTTAACCGTTTAACGAACAATGAATTTTTGTTATGGCACTGAACAAAAACTCGCGGTATTTCAGACTCTAATTTGTCGGAGCAAATTAATATGTGAGCGGAAGTTTGAACGTTTTCGAAAATTCACAAATTAGTGTGTCGGCTGTGCAATGGGTATGTACAGTACTTTTAGGGGAGTGTGCGCTAAGCAATTCAGAGCGATTACGATTCCGATTAAAACATTTCCTCGGAGAAATTTCTTAATCGGACAACTTCTTAATCGGTTTGTTAATCGGACCGATTAAGGAAATTCGGGAATTTTGCAAATCGGAAATTTCTTAATCGGTAGTGATTAAGAAACTTCTCTAGGAGGTGGCTTGAAATTGGCCAATAGCAGCGTTCTGTGAGTCGAGTCGCTTTCAGTGACTCGGGCAAACTCTTAGGCCTCGTCCCGAATTCGAAGCGAATCTCGTTGCGATACAGCAACTCCACCTCGCGAGGTGGCTTCGCATACCGTATCTGTAGGCGTGGCCACTGCATACAGCCACCTCGTGCGGTTGAGCAACGGTACCAAAGCTAGATTTGCTTCAAATTGGAGACGCACCCTTAATCGGTCATGTTTTCAATCGGTTTCTTAATCGGTTTTCGAGCTTAGCGCACTCTGCCCTTAATTTATTTGTGATATTGGGAGTAAGTACTTTATTGCCATCGTCTTCTGACGTCATAGCCCGCAGAGTCGCAAACGGTGCATACTGTGCGTTATGATTTCACCATTAGATCAGCGCTGCCTCTGCACTCGATGCAATATATGCCTTATGAAAATCGTATTTAAAGTTTGAAACGAAGCCTTGACTGCTTGATGTGCTGCTGCGAGACGTAATTTTTGCTTTTGTTACGTTGGCTTGTGAAACTGGATGAGGATTTGTGAAACATCGCCATCAGAGTGTTAGGTAACGCTGCGCGTACGATCAAACCTGCAGGTTCGCTGCTTCCCTTGATTGAAGCAAGGACCCAGAGCGGCCAAAGGGTTCATTAAACAGGTAAGAATTGTCGGTAGCATTCTGATTTTGTTTCAGTGAATACCGTAAGTACTTTCCGTTCCCTCTTTCGCTTGTGACATTTTGAATCTCTCTGGTTCCTGCCTTAATTGACTTCTCGCAAATTTAATGTTTATGAAGCGAGAAAGCTGAAAGCAAAAGGTAAACCGTAAAACGTTACTTATAACACCATGTTACATTGTTACGTGTACAACGGTAATGCTTTTTCCTTGCAAGGTAATACGAAGGGTTTCGGTGTTTCAATAAAGAACTGAAATTTCGAAACAATATTCTTGATAATTTTATAGATCAGTTAAATTATTTCTGTCTACCTGGTACGAGAACGACGAAAGATTCACAGTAGTTAATATTTCTAGTACGTTCTAATTCTAATTTAAAAGTGAAAAACGCATTGTGTATACGTGAAGTACTTGTACGGTACTTCTGCGCTTTGAATACAGAGTAGTGCTAGTGTTTTAATATTTTATTACTTACATTGTATTTGGCAAAATTTAAGAACAGCAGAATTTATTAATTTGTTATAGGAAAAGTTCTGTTCATTACGCAGCGGTTGTTTGATAGATATAAGAATGTTTGGCCAGCCGTTCGGTGCTGCCACTACGACCGCGGCGCCCACGTTCGGGACAAGTACGTTCGGTACTTCCACGTTCGGCAGCGCCGGGGGCACCCTATTTGGTCAACCACAGCCACAGCCGTCAACATTTGGTGGGGCTAGCACGACCTTCGGCAGTAGTGCGTTCGGGCAGCCCCAACCAGCAGCGGCCACGGCGAACCCCTTTGGGACGACGAGCACATCATTCGGAGCGGCAGCCGCCCCGTTCGGGCAGCCGTCGCAGCCACAGCCCGCTCAGTCAACGGGAATTTTCGGTACCAGCACGGGTGGACTATTTGGACAACCCGCACAGTCGCAGCCAGCCGCCCAGACCTCCATGTTTGGACAGCCCCAGCAGACGCAGACGGCGGGATTGTTTGGTGCGGGCGCCACTTCTGGATCCTTGTTTGGACAGCCTACTGGTAAGAATACTCTTTGAAACTGTTATGGCAGTTGGTTAGACACCGTATTGTATTCTGGAATTAATAGGTTTTGGATCGACAGCGGGAAGTACGTTTGGCGCTCCAGCACAGGCAGGACCAACGACGATGTTTGGACAGCCCCAACAACAAGCGGGAAACCTCTTCGGTGGCACCACTGCCACATCTGGTGGCATATTCGGCGCACAATCCGGGAACTCTATGTTCGGTACCGGTACCGGGCCAACTGGCACGACGGTGAAATTTACACCGGTTATTGGCACCGATTCCGTGATGAAAAATGGCGCAACCAGTAACATTCAGACGAAAAACTTCTGTATTTGTATGATGAAAGAATACGAAGAGAAGAAGAGCATGGAAGAACTCAGACTGGAAGATTACCAAGCCAACCGCAAGACGGGCACAGCCACTACGGCGTCGTTGGGAGTTTTCGGACAGCCACAACAGCCAGCTACCGCTGGAGGACTCTTTGGTGGAAACAGCAATACCTTCGCTTTTGGCGCACAAGCTGCAAATAAGCCGCCGTTCGGTACAAATTCTACTGGAAATATTTTTGGTCAGCCGGCTGCTCCGCAGCCTCAAGGTACGGTAAAACTAATAGTTAGTCAATTTTCTCCACAATGTTTGTATTATTTGTTATTTTGTAAAATTTATAGGATTGTTTGGAACCGCTGCAGCTCCTCAGACGAATATCTTCGGTCAACCTCAAAGTAGCGGTGCAGGATTGTTTGGACAGCCGGCAGCGACTACTTCGGCTTTCGCATTCGGCACCAACACTTCCACGAATACGTTTGGTGGTGGTTTTGCATCACAGCCACAGACTTCAAAGCCCACTAGTCTTTTTGGAGGTCCTACGTTTGGGACCACCACAACCACCACCACGGCTGCACCGCTTTTTGGGACGAATACAAGTACTTTCGCTGGATCATCCGGTTTTGGTTCAACTTTTGGACAGCCAGCCACCTCACAATCTGGGGGGTTTTTCGGCAGCAAACCGGCATTCGGAGCTGCTCCTACGACCAGTGCACCCAGTGGGTTTGGTGCTACCAGTTCATTCGGAGCCAACTCAGGAATATTTGGCCAGAAACCGGCAACGTCGGCTCCCTTCTCCTTCGCTACCAACACTTCGACAACCTCGGGATTTGGAGGTTTTGGCACGACTAATCAACCTCAAACATCAATATTCGGACAACAACAAAATAAACCTTTTGCTTCATCCTTTGCACCTGCGAATGCGTTTGGCGCACAGTCCAGCACCGGTATGTTTGGGCAGCCAGCAGCTGGAAGTAGCGTTTTTGGTCAAGCGCCGAGCGCATTTGGCACTGCTACAGTTCCGACGGGGTCAATTGCGCAGCCAACCGGAAATGTCCATGCTCAGATGATAGAAATGCTGAAATCGGGAGGATCCGATACGGATGTTCTTAAGAACCTGTATCCACAGTTGCCCGTAAAGGAAGTGGAGAAAAAGCAGAGCCAGTTATCGCGAGACGCCATCAACACATTTATTGCCAATGCAAAACGCAATTACACACCGGTTGCCGCGCGGAATGAAGATACGTATAAGTACTATGTAGCACCAAGTAGCAAATTGGACACGGGTTCGATGGCTGGTCCCAGTGGACTGATTTCGTGGCGTCCTGTGGGTGTCAGGCGAGATGAGAAGATTCGCTTGGATCGCGCTTACATTGAAAAACTGGAAAGTGAACTGAGTTCAGAGAATAATCCGACTCAGTCGACCACCGTGCCCAGCGCAAAGATGTCTCCAATTCACTCAGCCGTGTACTCAAATCAAAAACAGTCGGATAAAAGGGTGGGTGATCCGTCCAGATCGCGTCCATCAGTGCCCTATAATATCCGCCAGGCATTCGATCAGGAAGATTCAGGGAGCAAAACTGGCCAGAGTGATAGAGTTTTTGACCAGGACACAGTTACTTCTGAAAATGGCGATGTGGACGTAAATGTTGGCAATAGAGCTGTTACTCTGAGCCGCCCGGACTACTACACCATTCCATCGTTGCACAAATTGCTCTTAGATGAGAAGGGGTCGTGTATTGTGGAGAACTTTCTGATTGGTCGATATACTTTTGGAAGCATCGAATTCTTGGGTAAGAGTGACTTTGAAAAGACGTTTTGGTTTATTGTTTACGATGGTTTTCTGAATTTCTTGTATTTTCAGGCAGAACCGATATAGCAGGGATGAATTTGGATAAGATTGTTGACATTAGTGACAAAGAAGTGTCCGTGTATGGCAGTGACGAGCGCCCGCCAATTGGTACTGGACTGAATAAAAAGTCTCTCGTGACATTCGAAAACATATTTCCGGGGGAATCACCGGAGAGTTTGAGAACTATTAGCCAGGAAGGTTTGGAAAGCTTTATCGAACTACTGCGCCAGCGTGTAGAAGAAATGGAGAGCGCTACATTTCACGAATACGATCCGGAGACTCTCCGATTGAGTTTTTTCGTTCGCCATTTTTCCAAATACACACTGCGATTGACTAAAGACGATACACAAGTTTTTGGCAAGAAACGAGTGGCTGAAGAGCGTGATGGTCCGTTTATGAAGAAATCACCACTTCTGCCCGATTTGCTGGAGAAGACTGGAGACTTTAGTCGACGAAGTGATGACAGTTCCAAGGAAAACAGTACGGCTCTGTTTGAGCGGGCACGGTTTTTGTCTCAACTGACCGGAAATGCATCCATGGCAAAAAGTGAAGATTCCGGAGTGAATGCGTATTTCGCTGAGCTGTCGCAGACTGAAGAAACGGAAAGTGGAATGTGGGCTGGAGAAGAGAAGATTGTTTCGCCCATGGAATCGCAAGATATCGGATTGGAATACGGTGTAAGTGGAAAAAGCTTAACGGGATGCTTGACTGGCGGCATGAACTGCGAAGATGTTGGATGCGTCACCGAATTGAATGGAGAAACGCTCAAGAAGATCGTTATTTTGGGCCAAGGTAATCAGTAAAGTTCGGTATTTTTTTGCTAGTTTTTTTTGTTTAGCTTGTTTGATTGGATACTGATGTTTTACGCAATTTTTCTGTCTTTTTTGTTAAATGTCGAACCGAAGTGGTGGGTGCAGCGCAAGAGAACTACTTCTTACATTTCATATTGATGACTGTTATTTTACATCAAGATGCCTACATTTTTGGTTGACTGTTTCAAATTTGTTAATAAAATTTGTACATTGTAGGGCTGACTGTTGATACGCAACTTGTACTCGAGGAGCAGATGAATCTCTACCTTCGACATTGCCGGTATATCACGACGGGCAGTGAAACAGTTCTTGCTGAACCTGCTGGAGAAGCGGTCTTCGTTAACGAGTTCTGCGACCTTTCACAGAAGATGTTGTCGGAGCGGTTTTCTGTAGAACGATTTACGTGGGGATTGTGCCAGGTGCTTTACGGGCAGAGCGAGAGGGATCGGGATTCCCACTTGGTCAATCGGAATCAGTGTGAGCAGTTTCTTCACTGGATGAGAAGTTTGATGCGAGAGATTAGTCCAGTTCCCAGTGATCTCGATCAGATATCTTCGGAGCAAGGCCCCCGGTTATTGTTTCACTGCATTCTGCGCAATGATTTGGACAGCGCCAAACTGATCTGTAACCATTTTAAATTGTACGATGTATGGAGCATGATTCATGCGATAACTGAAGGACCCCAAGACGCTCACGATTTGGCGCTGGCTGTAGCGAATGAGTATTTGGACGATGTTGTGGAAAATATCGATAGTAATATGGATGAGAGCACTTTATTTCTGATAAAAACGGTAATGCTCCTTCATGGCGATTTGACGCTGTCGGATTATACAAAAGATGTGCCAGTCGAAGTAAACGTCTTCGAGGGATTGAACTGGGTGGAATGTTTAGCAGTTAGCGCATTCTGTGCCGAAAAATGCGAATCGGTTCCAGTTACCGGTAAGATGATTTTTTGTCTTCGCTGTGCGCATTGTCTGCTTATCATACGGTGTATTTGATGTTACAGTAGTTTAAGTACTGCGCTTCTCGTTTCAGGCATTTGGGATTTTCTTTCCGTGTACGAAAATAAAGCCGAGTATTATCCCCAGTGTATCATGCCAGAAACTTCTTCGGACTATCCCGCATTTTGGTACTATCTGCTAAAACATCATTGTCGATTTATGACTGGTTCCAAACCTATGGATCTGACGGGTTGCCTGCGCAGCGAACAGAACTTTGACGCGCGGATAAAATGGTTCTTGGTGCGCTTGATGACTGCTGCTGGAGAATCATTTGAGCGCTCGTTTGACTTAGTAGTGATTTCGGATTTCGCGAAATCTTTGGCAAGAACTCGCTGTGCCCATTTCGGAGTGGTTTCGTACTTACATCTCCCGCCGGATCGTATTCGGAACAGCGAGATTTATTCCGTAATTCAGTATGAACTGATGGTAAGTAAATGTCTTCAGTAGCGTTTTCTTGGCACTTACCGGTTTCGGTTGACCGTATTAAAGGTTGCCAGAGCGGAGTAAGTACATAGTAAAGTTATGCTAATCCCGCTAACAATATGAAATTTGGTTTAAAGGTCAGACTCTGTCATTGTGCCCTCGTTTTTCATAAGCTATTAAGTAAGGCTATGCTTACCTATTAAGTAAGGCTATGCTTACCTAAGTAGACATTTATCATGGGTGAATAAAAGAACCTAAAAATTGTAGATGATCCAAGAAAATCCGGACATGTATGAAGTGATACACAACTTTTTCGGAAAGAGCTTGAAAATTTCATCCTCGATGATAAGCAAAGCCGCGGCTACTCCTTACCGTGCCAAGGGTGACACTCTGGAAGCGGCGTACATGTATTTTGAAGGGGGATGTTTGGATTTGTGTCGTGAAATCATTGTTAAATACGCCTTGCCCCTGTTAGCCTCGTGCAGCCCTGCCATGTACCATTCTGTCCTGGGGAAATTGTACTTTTTGGAGGATGCCGTTGATCAGCTGCAGCCGTACGGAGCGTTCATTGAAATGTTACGGCTGGTGGAAGATATCAAGGAGGATGTGGCGGACAAAGAGATGCTGGAGAAACTGTTGGAAGTGATTGAATTGGTCACGATCAATCGCGACATTATGGTGGTGCCGGGAAAAGAGGGCTGTTTGTTGGAGGGTTTTATCAATCGAAAGGTCCAGGAAGCCAAAGCATTTGCCGACTTCCTGGAATGGAATTCTATGTGATGATGCATTTGTTCCATTTAAGTTCTCGTGGTATTTTTTCATGTAGTATTTGCACGGTTTATGCGAATTCTTTTATTTATGTTGCGCTGCGTTTACGTGGAAGCCTTTTTTTATATGTTTAGGCTTTTGCGCTAATTTTTTCCAAACAACCGTTGATAGATGATTTTCAAAGCTAAGCAAACGATAAAAGTTTTGGATATATGCTACCTGTATAATATCTTGGCGTCATCGATATCAAGACGGTGGGAGACATAAAACGCTTGTCTTATCTCCAATATGCGCCTTGAATGGCGCTCGGATTGCCGTCTGAATTACCCATCATATGCCTGGCCTCTTCGTTCTGTTTTCATATTAGTGCGATAGGAGTTTGAAGATAACTAGCTAGTACTGGAGTATTACGTAGCCATTGTTAATTTTATGAACTGCGATTTACAGAATTGTCTGGACTAGATTTTTCCACCATCATGAATATTTGAATTTTTTTAATATTGCTTTGCTTTGATGAAAACACTGTTGTGGCAATATCCAGATTCTTCGTCTTATGGAAACTTATCCTTCTTTATCCACAATCGTGTAATTAAACTGTCATTGATAACGTGCAGTACATTTTAATGATTTGGGAGGAAACTGGGACTAATCAAGAAAACCAACAGCGAATGTGATAATACATTAAGGCCTTTAGCCCTTTACCCAAACGCCGGGAACAGTATTGATTTATAACAGCACTACCATTACTTCCTGTGAGAAATGACTGAAATCTTGCATTTACCGCGGTTTGAACGCGTGGAGAAATATAGTGCCTATACTCAAAAACTTATTTCTCAGAGGAAAAACTCCCAAAGCTTGAAAGAAACCACATTAGATGTGAGTATACCATACATTATTCATATACAGATAGGTAGTCACAGACAGTCACAGTTTCGTACAATACGTTCTAGTGGCCATTTTCTGAATGACACACATAACTTTTCTATCTCTTCAGGATTCCCTCAGTCTGCCGGTTACCGAATTCAATTCGCCGACATTGTCGAAGAAAACCACTATCACGCGTGCATCCTCTTCGGGATACGGTTCGGGATCCAGCGGGACACAATCCGTATCAGATGTTACTTATGAACAGCCGGATATTCTCAGCTTCGCTGACCAATCAGAGCAAGATGCCAATCCCTTAAATGAAGTAACAAGCTTAGTCGCAGGCAGTTTTTATGAACAATGATTAAAGTGAATATTAATACAGCTATCAGATATCCTCGCCGTGCACTATAACAACCAACGTGCTATAATATATGCCGGAAAATGGAAAGGAATACACAGACCATACAATATTTTTCTGGCACAATGGTTACTTGGAAAAGTAAACAGAAAATTATCTTATAGATCGTTATTAAACGTTCCAGGAAAATTATTAAAACTAAAAACTATAAACTTTTAACAAAGTTTATATCATTTACTCTAGTCACAGACGGATGAACCGGATGCGTCCACAGATTTCATCCCCGATGCCGACTATTACGGAATTCTACACGGATCCGCCACGGAATACTCCATTGTGACCATCAAGGTCAACGTGAGGGACGACGATGTCTTATCAGTGAGCAACGACAATCTTCCGGAGCAGAACACCGACAAAGACGTACAAACGGTGGCCATGCCCATGTTGTGGCACAGTTCCGCCTCCACGGCTTCCGTCAATCATTATGCTCACTATCAGTCCCGCGTATCCTTATCACCCGTAAGCGCAGAATACGCGCCATCCATACCGTCCAGCTCTGATGTAACCGTGGCTAGCGATGTCGTGGACGGGGTCACGACGACGTCGGTGTCGGCATTAGGATGTTTGGAAAGCAGCAGGAGACATTTGTGGGGTGCCCTTACCAAATGCCGCAGCATGGTTTCGCATATCTTTGAGTGAGCAGCTGTGTTGAGTGGACAACAGGGTTGGTTGGAGAATGCCGGCTGAAGGTATTAGCTACAGAGCATACTGCAGGCAGCTTTGCAGTATTCAGTATTTACAATGATTAATGTCGTAATAATGCAGCCGACGAATATGCTTTAAATTAAGAGCCCTTAATTCTTTTACTCACGATAAATAGCGTATTGTGCGATATCGGGTCATGGTGATAGCCGCGCTATGAAAATTGACGCTTCGCTATGTGAACTAATTTACTATTTGTAAATTATCGGAAAGTCTTTCAGCCTCTGCCGTGTTTACAGTTTGTCGGAAAATTGTATTTAGATAACCGAAATAAATCATCTGCTCCTATCGGAACTGCTGAGTGCTGAGCATGTGCAGACTAACGTGAACTTTGGTTGTATGCACCGTGGGCCTAATTTATGTCATTAACAAAAAAAACTAAGCACCAGGTACGAAGATAATATTTTAAACCAACACCAATCGCCTTTACGACTTACGTACGTACTTCTATAGATTTTGTTTCATTTGACCAGCATGTATATTACACAATGTGCTAAGACAATAAAATTATCCAAAACAACACATAAAAATACGGCATAGTTATGTTAAACAGGAGGTGCATTCGGGGTTCTCGGTTTAACAACTCCATGAAGAGCTCCGCCAATTCGTTTAAGCTGAGATGGAACAATCCTGAATCGTTCTTTCGGTTTGGGTATGGCAGGGCGGACATATTCTTGGTCAGGAGCAGGAAAATCCTCATACAGTGTCGAAGGATTCAGCTCCTTGTCCATCCAGCAGCGCACCTTAAGCTGATGATGATTCCGTTCGCGTTCCATCTGTCGCAGTATAGCTGGCCAATCTGGATAGCGTGTGTAATGCGGCTCTTTTTTGGGCTTTACTTTACAGACCTTTCCTTCATTGTACATCTCGTCAAACCGAAGATTCTCGTCGGGATCAATTTCACTGGCATCTTGGCGAACAGCATGGTTCTTTGGCGAGGCTAACACAATAGGAAAGTTCTTGTTCTCTGGACGGAATTCTACGACGTGCATGCGTTTCCGTTCGGCCAGCTGCTGATAGACTTCCTGGTTCATCACTCCGGCTAAGAAACACTTAACGATCTTTTGCAAATTCATCCGGCCTTCGGTTTTTGCATATAAGTCGCTGATGCCAGCAACGTCGCAAATCGTTCGGATTGCTCGATGAGCGACCACCCCAGTGCCTACGTAAATCACAGTGGAATTCAGATAAATAAAACAACATAATTAAGCTAGTACGTAATTAAAACAAAGAAAAGTAAAAAAAACATTAATAAATTCAGTAAGTTACAAGACACTCCATAAAGGATAAAACAGGGGGCAAAAATTCAACAGTTACAAAATGAAGAGAACTATGACGGCGACTCGTCGGCGAGTATATTTAGGGTAGCCATTAGAACAAATTAGGAAACAATAAAAATTGCCAAATAATGCTCGTAATCTGGCAAAGTCAAACCGTATATCAACATGCAGTGTACCTGGCGGCATACGCTTCACGAAAACAGCAGTGGAATCAATCTGATGTTGAAAATCATGATATACCGTTCGATTTTCAAATCGCTCAATAAAACGCAACTTCCGAATGGACGAATTTCGTGCTTTGCGTAAGGCATTCTTAGCATCAATGGCTTTGGCCAAGGCTGTGGCAACCAATCCGTTCTTATTGCCCGTCACGACCAAAATACTAAAACGTCTCACACGCCCAAGACTTCCTGTCATGTTGGCGACCTGCTTCATCTCCAAAACTTTACAATCGAACTGTCCAAAGCTTTCTTCACCAATCTGAAAAAAAACATTCATCAGACACACGAACAAACGGGTGAAACCACACAAAACGTGGTCGTGATCGCTTTGAAATAAAATACGGTGTACAAGTAGCACTCACTAATACTATACGGTCTACACCAAAGAGCGTGAAGTCACGCGCCCCTCTGAGCTAGTTAGAGAAGCCCCAAAAAAATCCGAAAAGCCACAATTCTAAGATTTTTGCCCAAAAATTTATAGATGCAGACGCTTGCTCGCTTTCGAACGTATACGACTTCCAGCGCCAATTTAAAATTTTCCCTCTGACAAGAGACACGGCGCGGCGATGTTGATGCTCACTCCATAGTCCATTTTTACGTATCAACAAAAATTTTAGTTTCCCTACGGGATCAGGCGGTCCAATGCTTCTCCCAGGCATTCTCGTTCCACTCCATCCGCGTTCCAAAGGATCGACTTTCAGCGTACGGAATTTCTCAATGGAGTCCCGCAGCTTGTATAAGCGCTCCCTGCGTTCTGGACTAGGTCCAAGGTCCTGCACTCGCACCATTTCGCGTCCCCGAATGGCGGGCGCAGTCAAGCCAGGCCACATCATATTTATCGGCCCTAGCAAAATTAAGCTGGTACGTTTCACACTGTAATACCCTGAAGCTCACAGAGTAATGATCAAATAATTTTTAACGTATGGCTGCTAACTACTAACGCAGGAAAAACCAAAACCAAAAGCAAAAAATCAGTCAGAGAGCTCACCCAAACCGATGACTTGTCCTCTGTTCAGGTTCTTGATCATCTTCCTCCCTCTGGCACGCCCTCGCTTTTTTCCAGCATTACTGACTGATGTAGCGCTTTTCCATAGTTGTTCACCAGTGTGGTGATTGAAAAAGCTCATTGACCCAATGGAGCGGGCCGATATGTAGCCAGAGGGGGAACTCATGGGCAGTCCTAGACACAGTGTACTGGAATAAATAGTGCGCTGCGTAACACCGCAAGCGGCGGAGCACAAAGCCCGAAGCATGCTTGTAAAATGTTCAGCAGAGCTCGGTGAAAATGTTGGAATCTGGATAAGAAAGCTTATTCAATAACAGCTTGGAACATATGACAACAAGCAGTAAGCACAGAGCAGTCTTCGGTTCTACGAAGTTGTCAAAGTAAGAAACTCTAAGTTAAAGTAAAACGTAATACTGTATTCCCAAAAATCCTAGAAGCACTGTCACTGACTGAAGAACCGCCACCTGAAGGTGGTTTAGAGTTAAATTGCCAACCCTACCGAGACGTGCATTACGTTTGTCATTACTTGTGAAATTTGTTTTAAAAATTTAAATCTTGCGCCCAAAAAACGAGTTTAATTGTTTTGCAAGATTCAAGAAGGCAGTTTTGGAAATATGTTTTTCGTGATGTTGCTGATATCCTTTCCGATTGCAAGTTTGCAGTTGTCCTATAAGGTCCTATAGCATCAGTCACTTTGAGCTATTTCGTACGTGTCTGTCGCTTCTGATAGTGCCACACTGGCATTCCAGAACTGTGCTGTGGCTCCACCAGCACGGAATTACAAATCTTTGGGCTGCGAACTTTTCGGTATCAATAGATTTTGGTTTGGCTTTTCCGAAAAAATATGGTATTTGCCGCTCTTCCTCCAATTTTCAGATCCAGGTTGTTCCGCTATGGCCTTCCTTTTATGGTAAGTACTGCGAACAAGCCTGGTCAAGCCAGCATTAGTTGTTGCTTTAATAATTTAATGTGGAATTACACTTAGTACAGTAAGTGCTAACCATCAATACAGTACTTAACTATTTGTTATCAGCGGTGCCAGCGCACCATGTACACTTTGGTCTAGTTATTTATGTGTGTTTTCGTGCAGGTCACCGTTGTTGGTGGATCTTTTTGGCTGCGGGATTTTGCACAGTTGCGGTATACCTTCCGGAAAGTAAAAAGGGTAATCGCGGCAACTTTCTCCGCAGTTTATAATTCCTTCTTTGTATGTTCTCAAAATACTTTACTTGCGCAGGTGTCAGCTGAAGAATTTGCCGAACTTGTTGGAAAGCAGAAGGATCTTCGTCGTGTCGATCCGGAAGAACTGCTCAGGGTGTGTGCATCGTCTGCATGGTACACCAGCATTTTATTCCCTCTTATAAACTTATTTTTTCTGTGTTTAAGGAAGTGCAAGCAGAAGCTGACGCGAATTACGAAATGGTACGTGGACCTAGGCCATGGGAAGAAAATAACCAGCTTGAGGAAATCAAGAAAAAGCGCCAAGAAGAACGGAAACGGAAGAAAGAAGCCGCTGCGGCGGCCGTGGTGTAATGCTGTATTGTACAGCACAACAACGTGACATCGCGGTGTGTGTGTGACTGTGTGCCCTGTTATTGTAAGTGCACGGTGATGTTTGGCTTGGTTCGCGTGTGCATTTTTAAGAAATTACGCTGAATTTCAGTAGTCTGACTGTGATATGTGTGGGATACTGCATCATTGTACGTACTTGCGAAGTATGTTATGAAAAAAACCTGTGCGTTTAATTATTTTTTTATGTTAAAGTGTAGTTATTTTTAATTTAGAGGGCCTTCTGCCGCTGTTTTTGAAAGCAAGAAAACTATCTGAGACTTTCTATTTTTGCTGACTATTTTTCTCGGTTATTTTACAGATGAAAACGCGGTTTGAGTATACCAACTTTCGGTTTAAACCAGAGAGTATCTGCATACGTAACACCATATTACAACATCAGGTGGTGATACGGCTGCCAGTGCGGGTGTGTAACAAGTGTTTTGCAATGAAATATTCTCTCCAAAAGTGGATTTCCCATGCAACGAAATAAGCAACCGATGATTTATTCCTTTCTCCATATTTCATAATTACAGCTGACTTGGAATTAGGAATTGAATTAAGCGTTAACATTTTTGCCAGTGTGTTTGAGCTCAGTTGTGAGCTGTGTTGCAAACTTGCCCTCACTGCGCCATAGACAGAATTTTAAAGTATGTTATTTTCTTATTTAAAAGTATGTGTTTATTACCGTGTTTCGTTTATAGTTGTATTGTCGTTGTACGTTTCTAGCGGTAAAATTTCTGCCTTTTAGGTTTTTTGAGCCGTATATATGTTCCCGGCTGCTTGAGCTAGAATTCTACTTACCATTAGTGTACAAGCAGAGCATTTAGCCTTTTGACTAAGTGTCGCTTGATTAAGTCGTTTGCAATCATTCCGGCTTGCACTCTTTCCTTTTCGATGCAGTTAAATGGATAAAATGTAGAAACAAATCGGAGCCAATTGGTGTTATTTTGTACTTGCTTTTGTTCTCTTTGGTTAGTGTCTGCTGAAGATTTTGCGCTGAACAGCTCGATGACCTACCCTAGAGTGTGTATTGCAGCTTCCGAAAGCTCTGCAGCGTTGTATTGTAATTAAACGCATTGTTATAATTACAAACAGTGGCTAGAATTCTCATTGATTATGCAGTTCAAATCGCCACACACGGCTCAAGAGCACTTTTAAAATGACATATTGTCAGCTGAGAGTGGCTATAAATTGCCGTCAAGAGGGTACGGCATACACTCGCTCCTTTAATATGGGAGGAGAGGAGGAAGGTTAATCAGACCGGGACGCTGATGTCTTTTTTGCGTTGGATAGCGCAAAAGTGTATGTGTAATTATCAAGGCTTTCAGTGTCTTGAACTTGCCAAAGAAAACCTATCGGAGTTAAGCTGATCGATGAGCGAGAACGTGGCCATTCGGAGAGTGTCCCTCGGGATCGTACAGTCTGATTATATGATAGTTCTGCCACCGAATCGCATGACGATTTTTATATCTGTGTTTGTACTTTGTAGGCCGTAACCGGCTTGCACTCGGTAGATTGATTTTACCAAAAAGGATGATCCAGTTTTATGGCACGCAAAAACCAAAGCGTTACCCAAATCCGCTTAATCTGTTAAGTATTCCCATACAGTTGTCACCGTGGGATTCTGTACTGTATAAATAGATGTTCATCGTCAAACATAATTTTCACAAGTTACATTATGTCGTCAACTTCCGATGTTCACAGTGTAAATAATGCCCCGTATTCCGACAGCCGCTGCATGTTTGATCTGGTCGCATTCGTATTGACTCTGGTAAGTCACTGACTGATCGTTTTTTCGGGTGCCGCGGCAAAAACAGTTGGTAATTGAATTACTTCTGTGGTATCACTAATGTTGTTAGAACATTCGGGGTCACTACAACACCCAGCAAAAATTTAGTAGCAAGATCAATAAAGTTACTGACTTGGTAAAGAAATTTGTTATTGTAGATTCTTTATTAATTAGTTCAACAACGTTATTTTCAAATTATTCACACGGTGTCAACATGATTCTTTATATATGGATAATGCGAAATCAACTGCGTTTCGCCTAATTTCCTCTTTATTTTAATAGTCGAAGGAGAACTGCACCCTTATTAGAACCTAACCACGATTATCAGCCCTTTCAAAATTCAACTTCAATCCGTTCTTCACATGTAGCTTTTAGACGTGTGAAAGCTCTGTCTAAAAAACAACAAGTTTCTGCATGTACTCTGTAGTCTGTAGGTCCTGTGACTACATAGACCGGCTTAAACTAAAGTATGGCAAATGAATGATTACTTACTTGATTTATAAATGCATAACCAAGTTTATGTTTTTATTTTAAATGGAACTGGACAATATGGTGGAATTTATGGTATCACTTTCGCGAAACTGTTTTTCATCAGATATTGCATATATATACAAGTAGCCAGTAGGTGTTGCTGTTGTTGCCGACATTGCTGCAGAAAAGTTTGCATGACCGTTTCCCCTTGAATGGAATCAAATTAATGTAATCAAAATTATTTGTTTTAGATTTAAATGGAAACAAGAAAACGCTTATACAGCCATGGTCAACGATGAGCATATACAGTGTGTGCAATAATTTGAGTGCCACTTGATTATGCCAATTGAGGATGATTCAACACAGACGTCCGGTGTTTGTTAAACCTGGTCGCGGAAATAGCCAGCACATATGTGCATGCACTAGCTGGAGATTTGACCGCTAATCACCCACAATATTGGTTTTTATATATGCATGTATCTCCGCCATCACATTGCTTGACGTGGGCGTTGCAACCGCTGTTGCTTGTTTAGCTTAACGAGCCCGCTCATCCAGAACCGCTCGGTATAGTATGTGCATTCATCTGCACTGTAAACTGTATCATAATTCCCGTCTGCACCAGTCCCTTGTGTCGTCTGAATGAATGAGACGTTTCCATTGTAAACCGGCCTGCGCAGTTTTTCTTCCCGTGCCGGAACTATACCCGCTGCGTCCAATCGACGCTAACCAGGCCCACATCGGTATATCGTGGTCCAGTTTGGAATGATAGCATTATCACAGCACCGAGCGGGGCTACATATCCAGTTATGGTGTTAATCGTAGGTTAGCCATTTCAGCTCCGTACCCCGCCCCATTAGCCGCCTGATTAGCATTGGTCGTTTGGTTTGAAGAGTAAAACAGGGTCTATTGTTTCGGCCCCGCGACGCGCCGGCTGATGTGCGACCATCAACAGTTTCCAAGTGTCGGCCGTCAGATGGTACCGGCAAGTGTGTGCTGGCGCGCTTTTTTCTACTCGGATTTCTAATGATTTTCTAATGGTCATCATCCGGTGGATGCATCTCAACCGGCATTTAGCGTATCACTTTGAATGTTGACGACGTGACGATCGCATTATTCCCGACGCCTCAATGGGAAATTCATTGAAATAATGCATTCAGATAATTTATTCGATTTAATTTTTCATATAATGTGATGGTTTTGCGGTTGTTTTCACAAGATACCGCGATTGATCCAATGTTTTTTGTTGCCACATAATCTATTATGGAGCCTTATAGTTGTGGACCGGCATGGATTGTTATCTTGTTACAGTGTTTGGCGGTTTCGCTCATCACGGCCCAAACCGGAAGAAATGTTAGCTGCAATAATTGCGATTGCTCCATTTTTCAGTCCATTTCCACATGTCCGATCCCGCGACACACTAATCGCCGCGATTGCCCCTGCTGCCAGACATGTTTACGACAAGCTGGGGAATTATGTAATTGCCTATTTAGTAGACCCTCTGGGTTTTCTCTTAATAGGATTACAGAGGGATAAATTGGGTTTTGTTCCATCTGTGTGGTGGGAGGGAAATTGACGGCTTCCCTTTCTAAAAGCGGTGCATAAGTCCCGTTCATATACGTGTGACTATGCATATTGCAAAAATAGGCAACATTTTTTTTGACACTGAAAGCGAAATATGCTACATTGAAATCCATAATCGATAAAAATAATAGTAGGTTCTTAAGCAGTTTATAAATCCTAAAATTTCCTAGCCGGCTGAATCCTTGCGAAACATCTGATGGTGCAGCTGCTGCAAATTAAGGCTTAATAAATTAAATTTAGACTATTAGTACTAAGCCTAAAAAACAACAAAACAAACTTATTTCGTTCCACTTTAGATCAATCAAATGACGTATCTAAGCGCTACCTAAGCCGTAGGAAGTATACAGAAGACTTGAGTTATTGGTTTGTGGTTGCTTCATTTTTTTGTAGTTCTCAGCGCACAAACTTAGAGACAAAGACACTTGTAATTCATACAGGAGCTATAAGTTTTATGTTTTTATTACCTTTTTCTATGTTTTTGTTGTCACAGTTGTTATTAACCATCATTGTTATTTACTTTTTAGGTGATGAAATTGCTTTCCCGTGCGATCAAGAATTCGGATTATACTGCAATACAAAAACCGATACCTGCGATGGTGAGCTAACCCCGTATTAATTATTAGAAAAAAGTAAGATTAAAAGTGGCTACTGAGTAGTGTCTATCGTATTAAAAGCGTCAACGGGTTATATACGGGGGTGACGGTTATCTTTCAACCGTTGACTTCCGCTACCGCTGTTTAGTTTCATTTTCAACCTTGTGGACGTTCGAGTTTCTTTCGGCAGTTTAAGTGTTGCATGGGCTTTTCGACAAATGTTTAATAATGCGTATTCTTGTGAGAACAGTGAACATATTGTGTTGGCTCATCCATTTGGATAGCTCGAAAACAAAGGTCATTTGTTTCTAAAGTTGACAGATCATTTACTGTTCCCTATTGTTCTGTTTGCAATTACCTAAAGACTAAAGTACTTGTTATGTAGTACAAAGTGACGACCATGCCGAAATTAATATGTATGCATAACTGCTGTTGTCTTTTTTCGCTGTTAAGCTCTTCCATACCACTTTTCATTAATTAATATCATTGCAAATTATTGTAACCGTAAAATTAGATTATCCAAACAGTGAGTTAAATGAAGAAGAGGAGTTGAAACGGATGTGATGATAAAAACTGCATGCTGACGAATCTGGAACTAATTATGTTTTGCCGTAATAATTGTACTCGTTTTCTTGAAGTTACTCAGTTCCCAACGTACAACACTCACATGATTAACTCGATAGAACCAAATGAAAAGAAAATTAATAACGGAAAAATTCTTAATTTTACGCTTGCCTATCCGTCTGTTACATTTTTTACCGTGAATGTGAATGCGAATAATTTAGAGTGAACGTAGGTAATCAAATGATGACGTACCTACAAAGATGGTGCCGCAAGTGCTGGCTGCTTATGCACTTATGTACAGCTTTATTTATGAGACAAGGCGTTACTCACCTCACCTATAAATTATGATTAGCTAGCCTGCATGAGCTTATTTGTATATGATTAAAATACTACTATAATCCATGGTAAGCACTAAGCATCTTGAGATGCATGCTTCGGTAGCCGGCTGAACATTCCTTTGCCACTAGTGAATCGATGTCGTCAGATTGTGCAATTGTTTACTTTACAGGCAACTATCCTTGACAGATTAAAGTGATCTTGACATTGAAAGATACGTTGGTACATCTAGACAGATTGATGCGCGGCAATGTTTTGTACGCAAATGCCAGCCGATATTTCCATTCGATTAATATTCTTGACTTTAAAATCACGTGTTTATTTAATTCCTTGCTCTGTTGGCTGTTGCAGTTAGTTAGGTTTCTGGTATTGTACTTTATTTTAGAAAAATTTCATCCTCTAACACAATATATAAGGATGTGAGTTTTGTATTATTGCGATCTTTAGGGTTATACGGCTTGCGCGCTTCAAAAGTCAACCAAAATAGTATGCTGTTGATTTGGCACCGGCCTCCGGAAGTCCAGGGACATCTTTACCTTTTTTATACACAAACGTATACAAGTGATCTACGGTTATGGATTATGCAAGAGGTGAGTATTTAGTGGTTACAACAGATTTACTGCGCTGTATTATGCGCTGTATTATGCATATGGATTATGTATGTATTATTCATCCCGTTTTTGTGCAGACTTTTGCTGGAGCAGACTCATCCTACATACAAGGCCTGAATGCTGCAACATTCTACTATGTCGCCCTTGTTCCGGAATTTCAGGGTGTATTTTATTTCGAAAATCGTTCAGAAATTCTGGTGAAAAAAACCGAAGGTAAGATGTCCAGGTGATGGTTTCTTAACATTTTTATGATTACGAGCTAAAATATTTTTATTATTAGAAGCTGATATTTTGTTACTTAATTCCTACCCAGCATGAATTTGTATTCTGTTTATTTTCGAAGGATTGTTATATGTTGGTGTATCAAAGAATCAACCATCAATCAGATTTTTTGCATTTGTTCAAACTGACAACGTGGAAAAAACGGGCAAAAAAAAACTTAATCTGGCAGACAACAATAATTACTGTTAATTGCAAGATAGCAACAGCAACAATTTTTGGCAAAATGAACTTTTTTTACAGGATGCTTACATAAAAATCAGTCGTATGCCGTGGGCGAAACATTTGCTGATGGATGCGCTTACAACTGCACATGTACACCGGAAGGCCTGTTGGCCTGTATCGAACGACGCTGTCCGCTGATGTACAAGAAGGGGGACATCCAGGATCCCCTGTGCAAAGAGCACGACGATCCGGCATCTCCCGATCCCTGCTGTGTTATTTACACATGTCAGAATGGTCATCCATCCAGTCCGCATCCGCCTCCTGATAGCCAGTGCCTGTACAAGGGCAAACACTATGCTCTGGCCACGGAATTCTACGATGATGACTGCTCGATGACGTGCTACTGCGATGAAATCGGAGTCGTTGATTGTCGACCATTAAAATGCCCAGAACCGTCAGTACCACTTGGTCACAATAATGGATCATGTTTGGAGTGGGATGTGAAGCAGCATGCTGTGCGTAATCCACCGCATTGTTGTCCGAACTATACGTGCATTAACGGTCAGTGTGTGGCGTAGTGGCGGTTTAGCAATTAAGTGCTGGCTTTTCACACCACTATCCGTTGACCATGATTACGTAACATGATCTAGATTGTCATAATGCACTTGTTTTTTGAGCGCTGCAGCAACCGGAAGATACTTTTCACCTCTGTTGAAAGGTCCCATACATTGCCTTTCTAACATTTGTAAAAATTTATCGTATGACAGTTGCTTCCGCGCGTTACTTTTTTTCATGAAAAACTAAAGCTGATATTGGATTTAGGCATTTACTAGTAGCTATTTCATTTAGATTTATACTTGAACGAAAACAACTGAATTTTAAAAAACCTAGCAGTTAAAGAGCTAAAATTCATAAGTTGAATGACAATTTGCGTTTACTTGTGGTATTTTCGTCATAATTTTGATCATAAGTTTAGACTGTTCAAAATATTTTATAGGTAGTACGTAAATAACTGTATCTTGCAGCTGTTACAGAGTGTAACGGTATCTTTCAGCTGAGCTGTTATGATTACCAGCGTGTCACAGAATGCATATTGTACATAGTAGTATTATGTGTTCTTGGGAAAATTATATAAGTAGAATTTTTTAGTTTGGTAATGTTATATTGTTTTGCTAGCAGGCTTGCAAAAACATTATAAATTTTGGCAGAACCAAAGCCAGTAAAAATATGACAAAGCTTTTCAAGTTTTTGTTGAAAAATTTAAACCTTCGCGAACACTAGAAACTGACAATGTTAAAGTAAAAATTTTAACTGTATAAACCAAGTTTATCGCATTATTAGATGGCCGTTGCGACATCAACGGTACGAAATATCGTCACTCGGAGACCCTCCCCTCAAGTTGTGATCAACACTGTTTGTGTGACAGCGGCAAAGTGGTCTGCGAATCTGTTTGTCCGGAAGTCAGTCCCAATCCGCCCTTTGACTCAGCCTGTATACGGTTTACCTTGGTCAAAGATAGTTCCGGATGCTGTATGGAATGGCAATGTATCACTCCGCACAGTTCGGAATCCGCGGATGAATGTATTGTGGGAAATATGCGGTATCCTGTTGGAGCGCACTGGAGTGAAACGGAACACTGTCGCCCGAAGAACTGCACGTGTCAGCGGAATCTGCAAGGGATGGCAGATGCTGCATGCAGCGGGGGCTGCCCGGATCTGGATACTGCGTTGCACTGCGAGAAACCGGCCGTTGTTCATTCGGACGATCCTTGTACATGTCCCGTGGCGCATTGTCCCGATATGAAAAATGAATTGCGAAACGCTGAAACAGGTATGTGGAGACTAATACCACGTCATCACAATGTTTTAAAACTGAATAATAATGGCAATTTCTGTTTGATCGACATCGGTGAAGTGCTTCGTTTTCGCTTTATGCAATGGTGTCCTTTGGACGGAAGAAGTTTTTGTTAAGTTTTGTTGTTAGCTAAGTATTTGATTGTTTCCACTGCTGGACATTATTTTGGCAACTTTTTAATTTCCTCTCCGTTCGCATACTTCATTGATCTATTAATTTTATGCTGTAGAAGATCCTGTATATTCTCTGCGGGCCGGTCTCGTTAACTCATCCGCTGCCGAACTGATCCTCAATGTTAGCAGCGTCCTGTTATCCCACACCGGTGCAGCGTTAGAAACCCATATCGCGCGAGTGGACCACGGTGGTCAGCCGCGGAATGTCTCGGATATGTGGCAAATTTCCTCCACCAAACTGGATCAATTACAGCCCACAGTTATCGAATATATTACCGGTTTCCAAAGTAATTCAACGTACAAAATCAAGGCGCGACTTATCCTTACCGATTCTGCATCCAACACCGATGTCATTCTCCCATTCACGTCGACTATATTCTTGAACATACCAGCAAGAGGTACCAGTACTGCTCGTGATATTGTGTATGTGTGTGTGAATATAGTCTAAATTGTGGTAAGTACAATACAAATATTAATAACATTTCCGTTTCATTTGTAGCAGTATGTAAATAGCGCGACGTATCCTTGCTTTTACAATGGCTAGTACTGTTCTTGTCATAATTGTTGAAGTATATTGTGAATTTCTTTGTGTGTGATATAATTTCTGCGTTTCTCATGGTGGCTTTTGTTGTGTGGTTTACAGGGCTGACTTGTGTGGTGGAGAATGTGGCATACGATGAAGGCGCTAGCATACCACAAGGGTGTGGTCAGGAATGCGTGTGCCACAATGGGAGCGCAGTGTGCCACGCAGTGCAGTGTACGTCGCAGGAATCGGTGATTTTGGCGTCGGAATTTTGCCCGGTCCCGGTGCTAGTCAAGGGACCTCGGGATTGCTGCCCGCGTTGGGAATGTCATCCTTCCGGTACAAAACATCGAATACTTCGGTTAACTTAAGTTTACCAATGTCATAATATTGAATGCGGTCATGTGCGGTAGTTACTGGTTACAGTGCAGAATTAAAATATCGAGCGCTCTGAATTAACTTAACTAAAGAAATTTTTAGAAATCGGGCATACATTTTAATTTGTACCCGGTTTAATTTGTTTAACATAAATAAAAGAACTGATTTTTACTTGTATAGAATATCACTCGTACTTGCATCAATACTTGTACAGAATATCATAGCGGTATATTAAAGCATGCCCTTCAGTACTTGTATATTATCATACTTTTAATAACTCTGCCACACGATCAGTAGAAAATCGAAAAACTGTAGTCTTTTCTGACTGCTCAAGTAAATTGCTCGGGTGCATTTCCGTTAAATTAAACGTTACGGTTTTGGACAACACAGCGTACTAGAAATCGTTATTTATTTGCTGCTTTTTTGCAAACGTGTAGTATGTACACTACTACTGGATAAAAGTTATTAAAAGACAGATTTTTATGTACATTGTAGCGACGGGGTGTAAAGTTGGCGATATAATTTATTCGCACGGCGATCACTGGAAAAATGGCTGCGCTGAAGAGTGCCACTGTCGACGAGGCATTATTACATGTCGCGATCTCTGTTTGGAACACAAACGATCCCAGCCTCATCCTTCTTGCCAGTTTGTTAATATTAGCGGTAGCTGTTGTCCAGTATGGAATTGTCATGAAGGTAATCTATAGAAACATTTTTTATTCCTCCATCAAGTTTGTTTTTTGGAATATTGACTAGTTTAAATTAACTGCTTTAGTTTCTGTAAAAACGCAACAAAGACCCAAAATGTAAAAAGTGTCTCATTCGTTAACTAATTTCGCTTTCTTTGCATATAAGTTTTATTGAAGTATTGTTTATACTTTGTGCATAAAGATGCTAGTTTGAAGTTGGCATTACAGGCGCGGCGGTACCGGTGCTTGATTACGCGCATGGACTTGACAACTCGATGATGAATCTTACTGCTGATTCCGTTACAAACTCCCAGGCTCGCTTGACGTGGCAGAAGCCGGCAGAATTACGAAATATTTTTGGTTTTACGGTGATTGTGGAGGAAGCCGTCATGGATCGGGAATCGTACCGCGAAGCCAAGCTTGTTCATCCGGAAATCCAGGAATACATTATCCATGATTTAGCGCCCAATACACGCTACACAGCGACAATCAAAGCCATGGAAGACAGCGATCGCGTCGTTGCCAGTCAAAGTATTCAGTTCCAAACACTGGATGCTTCCGGTATGCGCAACCACATGTAGAACCATTAATAAATTAACGCATCTATTTTCTATCTTCAAAACTCAGCATGAATTGCTAGTGATTACTTATTTAATTATTTAAAAGTCTAATACAGAGCATGTGCTTTTATTAGGCGGCACTGGCAGTTTGCTTAGTTTTCCGTAATTTTGAATGCGTTTTGCGAATATGTACGAGTACTAATAGGTTTTTAATTTTTGAAGCACGATAACGATATCAAGATATAATCCGGTTAAAACAGAAAACATTCTCTACGGTACCCGTAACAGATCTAGAAGCGGCATTTTCTGTTGAATTGCTAAAGAAATGTTTTGCTTTAAAATCTCACGCCTGCGAATCTCGCCGGTTTGTGCCGAAATCCGCTTTCCGATTTCTTTCATGAGCGTTTGGCATTTTGCGGATATTAATTCTTATCGTGTTTACTAATGCAGATGTCATGCTGATGCTGTGGTTAGCTTATATTGGTCCGGACAAAGCGGAAGCCATCTGGGAATGTCAGCACTGTGATGAATTCAAACATCTTAAATTGAGCCTGATTAGTGGCTCTAATTCGGAAGTGGCTGTGGGTGATGTAACACCCGGTCTCCCCAAGATTACACTGACTTCACTCCATCCCAAAGAAAATTACCAGCTCCTGTTAGAAGGCGTGACGGTTGCTGGACTCAGCGTTAAGTCGAACGTGATCGCCTTTTCTACGCGATCAGTGGCGGATTTTAACGGTAATTGGGGTGCAAAGTTTCATTCAGGCTTCAGTCGTCACTGGTATATATTTTTTAACTTGAGGTCAATTTTTATAAGAGAAATTACAACGGCTGTAAAATCTAATCGTGATGGACTGTAATTATATGATGATACCGTATAGGCAAACCAATATTGATTTGTTTTCTTGTATATTACAGAAATTCCACGAGAATTCCAAAATGTGACGGATGCCTCATCGCCGATTATGTTTGCTCTTGATACTCAACAGCAAAAACTTTCTACAGCATTAATTATTGTATCTGTGTTATGTACGCTATTTTTTGTAGCCTTCTTCATAGCTGCCGGTTTATGTTGTTATTACAGGAGAGCGTTAATTTTACAGAAAGCGAATGCTTACCAAACTTATTCAACAGATACTATGTACAGGTGACGAAAACTTTAACCTTTGGGATGATATTTGTGCACTACCGATGTTTTGTTGTTCATTAAACTACGATTAGTTTTCCCATAATTGTAGTCTTGATTTGCATACGAATGCCTGCAGTCACCAGTTTGACAGTACTATACTTGTTGTTAGTTATTTTCATCTTTTCTGTGCCACCCAATACTATCATATCGTTCGGTCTGGCTAAAGAGAACAATTTAATACGGTGATAGCTCGATCAGAAATGCAAAAGTAAGTACTATCAGTAACACAACACAGAACTCTTCAAAGCCTTGACCTAGCTACAAACCGCGACAACCTTGCAAGCACTTCCTGGAGTTGCGTACCGGTACCGATGCCAAGTTGTCAACCAGTTGCAGCGTAGGGAACACCTGTAGCTACTAGTCTACCTACTGCATGGTAGGCATGTCGCGACCACGAAAAACTAAAACAGTGCGCATGAGACAAAAATAATAACAAGGTACTAGCTGTATTATTAGGCCACATTATATTTTTTTTAATACGTACATACGATACTAAAGGGAAGTGACCTGGTAAATCTTTACCACTAGCATATTTATCCGGCCCGCTCACCGGTAAGCTTTTGCGATCCCCCGTTATTTACGTCGTCTATATCTATATATACATATATTACGTACATATATAGAATCATAGATATTGTATTGTACTATACGTTAGTATGCAACGGATTGGGCGCGAAACATCCGGTATGGGAGATTCGTGTAAAATAAGATCCTACAAGGATTACAATTTACAAACAGCCGCGGCAATAACCACGAAAAACAACAAATGCAGTCCACAACAAAACGTACTCCACACGGACCACACTACAGAAATAAAAGTTTGGACAGTGCGCGAGTATTTACATTTGGTTTTTATCTATACTTATAAATTCTTAAATCTTGACAGTGGGGACTGTAGTGGTAACAATCACTGATTGTTAGTAACGATCAAGTTACCGCAGTGCACTTGCAATACTTACAATTACAATTTGCAATTGCGCTGGCACAAATGAACATACAGCGGCCGGTGTAACAGTGACGCCGTTGAAGGTGATAACAGATTCGTTTACAAACCGGCGCATAACATAAACATTTGAAACCACGGAAAGCCAGTCTACTGCTCTTATAGCTATTCTCTTAACGCTGCACTAAAAACAGTGTACATAAGCATAAACACTGCACCGTCCCTGATCTTAATTTCGCGAGATCGTAAATTGTTATCTGGTATCAAACATCGCTGAGGAGGAAGTAACGTGGACTTGCAACCGGCGCTTATCTTTCGGTTCAGTTTAATGCACAGCAGCCCAGATCTTTCGTTTGACATCAGCTCGCTGCCGACTGTTTGATGGTTATACGGCACCACTAACAAACCCTGCTACTGACCTGTAATATATATAGTGCGCAGATGAAGTAGCGTTATTCCTACTGTCTGCCCGGTTCAACCAGCATTTTCTTCCAGGGGTACGTCTGCTACCGGGACTTCTGGATTTGATAGCAGTCATATATTCATAGCCTGGCGACATAAAACTACTCGGGTCAGCTGCTTTAACCACCCGTTAGCGTTCAACATCCTGAAGCAGACAGCGTGATTATTACTGCGAATCATACACAACATGCACGGGCGGGATTCGTACAGGATGAGCACCGATTTCACATTCTGGCTCATCCTCTCCATGTTGATCTGTCTGGTGGTCACTTCGGTTGTAATCTTGATTCGCGCCTGTATCAGCAGTAAATGTGACGCACTACAGGATTGTCTGCTCGGGCAGCGGGGCCGGCGGGCTGAACAGACCATCACATCACTCCAGAACGACAATCGGCGTCCGGTTCTGTATATTGTCTCACCGCACGTTGTCGTGGAAAGCGGCCATGAAGTCAGACGGATCGATCAGCCGGACGCAACCGGATATCCGCAAGAAGCGCCGCCTATTGACGGACTGGGTTACACTGCCCTCTTGACCACGCCTCCGCCGGCCTACGAGCCTCCACCGGGCTACACGACCCCGGTGCACCTGAAAAAAGGGAATATTCGTCGTTCGGCATCATGTGCTTCGGTGTCGTCGGCGACCAGTGCATGGCGCCATGCTGTCCGTAATAATCTCCCTTCATCGTCTACCTCGCAGTGGATTTAATGCCCCAAAATTTTTATGGATTTGATTGTCAAAGTATTGCAACAGCCTACCCACGTCAACAACGTGGGCATTCCGACAATTAAAACGCAACTGCACATGCGGTCTCGTTACCATCAGGATCCTAGAATTTTTTCTAACAGTCTTTCAGAATTCAGAATCCCGTGTACTTCTTTTTAGTATACTTGACAAGGAGATAATATGATATGATATTTTCCTTCCTCTCCAGGTTATAATTGCAACTGCAGATCAAATTTTTCGTACTCGTATTGAAACAGCAAATTAAAGATAGCTGGTGATGGTTGTGGCTCATGCATAATAAAGACAAAGAATAAATGTACAGTACGAGTACTCATGATTACATTTTTAGTAAATAAGTAAATACAGTACGTATTATTCTATATGAATAATATGATTATATCACATTAGAGTTATTCTCAATGGAACAGACGTCAGATCATATTTTTACAAGACCCTATGATATTACATATTTACTTTGACGCTGAAGTTTGTCTTTTCGGCTTCGAAATCGATTATATGGTAGAAAGAAATATCCCTTAATATTATAAGTTAAATAATTCTTTCCAAAAGCGAGCAAGACTAACGTACGACGTCTTGGCATCACTCGGGAAGAACCCACTTCCGATTCCAAAATCAACCATTTTACACTAATTATAAGGCCTTTTTCGTCACAGAGAAAACAGTTCGAGTACCTAATATCTATGCGTCTAAATTTAAATGGTTGGCTAATAGCTACAGTAACCAGTAAGTTTGCCGCATGCTACTCTAGACTACGAAAGCTTGTCGGCTATTTTGCCCCTGTTTTTAGTCACAATTAAGCGGAAATGTCCAACCAAGAAATCACAATCGGGCAATTTTTTCTGGTCACAATCCCTGAAAGAATTTGGTGAACAGAATTATGACGGGCATTTTAGCCGTCCTGGGACGTGACCGAAGGCCAGTTGGTTGTAATAGGTACTCGTATATATAATATATTTGTACGCTGTGGGCCTGCCGCCTTTGGTGTGGTCCCACAGAAAACCGAGTTCGCTACTTCGCTTACCATTAGCGCTGTGAGATCGTGAGAAACATAAAAATTGTCAAAATTTTAGAAGCGTTGAGAATATCATGTTTTCCTGCCTAGCATTATACGAAACCGTTCGTGCCAGTCATAGGCCGGCAGCATAGTCAGGACTCAGCGAGCGAATTCGCTACAATACTGTGGCAAAATAGTAAAATACTGTTTTACCACAAACCGAGTGCTTTTTGAAGTATTTATTTTTCTTTTAGTACGAGTACTTTGCCGCAAAAAAATTGGGAGAAATCACAGGGTCCGGGCAAACTCCCTAGGCGGCGGGTGAAACTGTGCGCTACGCAACAGATGCTGTACTGTCTGTAGTTTAATGGCTGCATCAAATGCATTTAAACCGTACAACCACATACTTGTAAAGTTGCGCAGTGTGGGTGATGGGTACTTTGTATGTATGCACTATGCAATGCAACTGCAATGCAATATGCAACTGCAGCAAGTATTGTATGCGTATATCTATATCCGTAACCGTAAGCGCGTATATCACGTGTAATCGCATAGCGAAGCACGAACACTGTTCGTTTACTCGTGACTCCGTCTTTCCCTTTTGAATTTCTACGGGTTAATCTCCTGCACCTGGGACATAACCTTAACAAGTGTTGGATACTTATTGTTTTTGCAAACGAAACAATCCTAAACGCATGTGGAAGGCATTTCTTAGATGTAAAAAGCTGTTAGACTGTTAGTTTGCCGTTCCATTGATTGCAAGGATTGTACTTACTTTTCTTGCACCCGCACTTGGTAGTATGACGGGCTTTGAAGAGACTGAGAGTGGTGCAGCACCAGCCCAGAAGCGCAAAGCTTCGCAGATCCTTGATCAGATTCTGTCCATAAAAAAACCGAAGTCTTCACAGCAGCATGATTCCGTTGAAGTGACCCGAGTAGCGCTATCCAGGAGGCGATCCACGCGAACGGTAAGTGCAATGCCGTATAAGTCCCGTGTTGCAGTACGCATTCGTTGCAGTACGCATTTGTACGCATATGAATGTGTCATCCCAACAACGGCGAATAATGAATTATGACGACTGCCGTGTTGTTCCTTACGTAAGTAACCATGACCTTTTGTGTCGTTTCCGGGTGGAACACCTAATATATTGTTCGTAATTGTTTAGAAAAACGAACTTTCGAAAATAATGTAGTTGCTGGTATGAGCGAAGCAGTTCGTAAAAGAATTTACGTGGATCTTGCGCGCGAGTTTTATTATTTTGTGACTTATGGAACTAATGCTAATGACGTTCACTACAGTAGTTTGGTACTTTAGGAAATAATTATAGAATACTTAGTTTACTGTTTCGAAATAATGGGTTGGTTAAGTGTTGACTACTCGTATTGTTAATCGTAGAACTACTATCGTAGTTCTTGTAGATTTTAGGTTCCAGTCAGAATATACGTATGTAGGTTTTCGGTTCAAATCAGAATACAGTTTCTTGTAATGCTCTTCCAGTATTTACACTGCTGTATTTCAGAGTTTGCTTGCTGTAAGCTGTTAACTATGCTGGTTATTGATATCGTAATCTGTGAGGCTCGTCGCGGCTCCTATACATTGTGCGATACGAGTACTTCATGTGCTTTATTTCGTGGACCTTTTGTACGCGATGCGTGCAGAAGTTGTGATAATGGCGTCGCTGTTTTTGTTCTTTTAGTTATACTTTTTTATTTGTTTTTAGTTCTTGACTAATTAGAATATAAAGGCACTCTAGCATATTAAATACGGTATAATGATAAAACAACTACTCGTAGATAACACCCTTGGAAACGCATCTGCCAGTAATACCTGTTCGGTCGTTTTAGATGTTGAAAATTTTAAAAAAAGTCGTATCTATAATACCCTCAGCGCTGCTTTATCCAAATAATTACACGGACAGCTATATATAGCTACAATTTTACTATTGCTTATGAAATTGTGAATGCTCCCGAATTAATTGCAGCGTACTTCGCAAGTCACACGCTTGCAATTGTTGAACTGATCAGTTGTTGAACTGATTCGCTTGCAATCGTTGATTGATTTAATCACGGTAATGTATCCGATGTTCTCGGTGCTAAACCATGAAAGTGGACAGTTTAGATATGTGTCGTTTCAATGCACCAAAATATTCAGGATGTAACTGAATAATTCTTTTTGGGCGAGTACTTACTCTATCGTACTGGCGTAATATGTTTCTTGACGTCCTCCATACACACAGAATACGGTAATGTTGACATAAATTCTTTGCCTGTGTAAGTTCAGCATGGCTATTTGGTTTTTTACACAGTTTGGAAAGCGTCGTAAGACAAAGAAACGCTCCGGTTATCCAGATGCTGCAGTTGTGCGGAAGAAAAGGGCGGTTGGGATTTCTCTTTGCAGCGAATGTTCTAAAGAAGCAGAAGCAGGAGCCATTATTGCCGACTGGTTAACTTGCACGTTGTGTTCTGCAATCGGTATTGCTTCTGCCTTCCTTTTAAGTTAATGCCCATTATTAGCATCATTTTATTGTTTTTTGTTTGTGTGTCTTTTACCTTTTTTTACAGCTCATTTGGAGTGCGCTCCTAATATCGCAAATAGTCCTGGTGATCTCAAAGAAAAATTCTACTGCTTAGCGTGCAGAACGTGCACCGTGTGTAAAAATAGTACCGTCCTCCCTGAAAATTCGGTACGTGCACTGTGCATTGTGGACTGTAATCGTAAGGATATGTAGATTTGGATTGGCATTCGTAGGATCTCCTCAACTGTTGCAAGTGCTACAAGGCTTGCCATGCAAATTGCGATGCCGGTAATGAGAAAATCGATAACGTCAAAGGTAAGAGCTACCATAGAGATGTATAGACTATGCATGTGATCTGGAAAAATAGTAACAAGTAAAGTTTTCTTGGATAACAAATGTACTCCAGTGAATTGTGGTAAATAAAACGGTTAACAATGTTTTGAAATGGACAAAATGTTTTAATTTTTTAAGTATTTTGTTGTAACTTTTGTTATTTTATTTACTTCCGCTTTCCAAGTTTGTTTTTTATTGTCACAGGTTGGCTTTGCGGTAACTGTCGGAAAGACTGTAGTGAGAATGATACCATCTCAACCAATTGCAAACTGATTTGCAGTAAGTACAAATGAAACAGTCAAAACATGCCTTTTTTGTCGTGGGCTTGAGTAAATCATTTTTCTTTTATAGCTGACACCAAAAGACCAGGGTCGGCGTCTGTTTCTTCCAGCACCTCTTCGTCAGTGGACAGTTTACACATTCCCAAAATGCTGAAAAAGAAGATGGATGTACACGAGTCTTTCGCGGCTTTGCTCAACGCTGTCGCATCTGGTACTTTTTTATGCGGTTTTAATTCTTAATCGACAAAAGCTCACCTTGGACATATTAATGAAATAGGAGGAGAACGTGGGCGGCCATCGAAAAATGACGAAAGAGGATCCGTTTATCCACAATCTTTGTAAGTACCGTTCATATTCGTGTTAGTGGTGCCACTGTTAAACTTTGCTTCTTGCGACCTTCATTTATCACTTATTATATTTAATATTTCTGTTTAGAATTTCTTTAATTTAATTTCTTGCCTGTTTTGTCCATCTAGTTTAAAACTTAATAATCCACGAAAGATTTTTTCTAGCTGAACAAATTTGCGGTGCAGCTGTAATGTGACGAAGAAAACAAAAAATATGATTTGGAAGTTTACAGAATTCGGAAAAGAACTTTTTAAAAAATTTAATTTGTGCAGCTCGTATATTAAGTGCTTGACATTCTAGCAGCGTACTGTTGTGTGCAATACCTGCGACAGCTAGTTTACTGCAAAAAACATTTTGCAGAGACAGCGCGGCTTTGGATTTTAGTGAGGGCACAATGGCTGAAATTGCCAAACGCGCAGTTAGTGCAATACGCTCCAACCAACATCAACCACTCAGTCCTGAGCAAATTACCATCGTTAAATCGTGGTCGGTTGATGATCTTGCTCAAAAGATTAATCAGAAGAAGCTTGCCGTTTGTTCTGAGGCGGTGATTCGCCAGGTAATGGATTGTGACCAATTTAGCTATGTTCCTAAACGCTTGTTATGCTGCTTTCTGATGTAATAATTTTATAAATACCCATTGGCCGTTGAGTATCACTTTGCTGCAGTGCATCGACGGCGAAGCATTGTTATTGCTGATTCGAGAAGATGTGGTACGGCATTTTGGAATCCCCTTAGTGCATGGACTGAAATTGTGGCGGGCACTCTGCGAAATTGTTGCGGATGTCACGTAATGTTTTGGTTTTTAGAATTAGCTTTTCTGTTTATCAAGATTTTGTTTTGCTTGGTACGACCTTGTCCTTTCTTACATGGATGCAGTTTTTCGCCACTTTGCTGTGGATGTTAGAGGTTGCGATTTTACGGTTATGTTTCTGTTTAGCATGAACGCAGTGCCAATGTGCACAGTACGCTCATTCTGAGCTTACCATGTTTGTAGTTTACGTTACTTTTGTAACAGTACTCCGAAATCTGTGTACAATAACATTTAGGACCCTTACTGAACGCGTTCAATTGGTCCGCGCGAACTTTATTAAATTTGTGTTGCCGCACCAGCAATACTTCTTATATACTGTACCTACATGTATTGGCTCAGTTCCCAGTTGGATTACTACACTCACAAAAATGTAGGTGCAGTACTTTTATTACTGGCGTTGCTGTGTATATTTTGAAAAAAATCAAACATCTAGTTGCAGGGGTTTAGATTTGAAATAAACTATTCAAGCCAGGCATTTTTAATATCTTAGCTTACATAGACTCGCGCACAGAACTAATGATAAAGAGTAATCTCGCAGACTTCCTAACATTGCCTGACAAATTTACAATTAAGTAGATAATCCATTCATTTGTAAGCACTGTCGCGGAAGCATTGACATACTAGATTCTGCTGGTCGTCTTCGAAAACGAAATTTCTGTATACATCTAATGTATTTAGGAACCACTTCCGCCTCGGCCCGAGCTAACAATTTGTTGTGTCGGCTGGCTCTGGCCCATGGCAGATATCATCTGCAAATAGATAAAACAATATCGTTATGGAATGAACCCTTTGTCCCAAATTTATGCAATTCTGATGTTTTCCAAGAAAAATTTACCGCGGCAAGCATGGCGTTGTTGTTTCCTGAACCTCCAGCATCTTGACGTCCCGCGCCGCCACCATTGCCCATCATCTTAACACATCGCATCATTAGCAAACTTTCAAAATTTAGCCACGGTAATTTGTACTACTTTGTTTCAAAGTTTCTGATGATTTATTAAAGTGTTTCAGGAGGTGATATATATATATAGTAAAAATAACTCCCGTTATTTTTTGTCATCAGCGGAGAAAGCAATATTATGACAGAGTGTAGCCGAAGGAGGAATGAAACTTACCGACATCAACAAAGGCATCTGTAAATCAAATCGGAAGAAGTTTAATTTCGTTCTATTGTTATGCATTTACTCAGCGAAATTCACTGGTCACACAAAAACAAACACTAAAGTACTGAAAGTGAACAGTCATAATCGACGCGGACTAACCATGGAGGCAAAGTTGTTTTGAGGCTGCATTTGTACGAAGCCACCACTACTATGATGGGAACGGTTCAGAACACTTTTGGTTTTTTTGTCGGTTGTTGCGTTGCTCGGCTTTTCCACCCCAGTAAACCATTGTCCGTTTTCTGTTGAACATGACGGATATGAAGCCGGCAATCATAGTTGCTGTGTCTCCGCACAGAAGAACTTACCATCGCGGTGGATATGCACTGCAATGCAATCAGGGTTGTAATTAATTTTGATCTGTGCTTCCGTTTTTTACGTCCAGACTCTGGATATGAAAAAAGCTAAATGCGGATGAAAATTCCCACAACTTACTGATGGTGTTGTTGTTCAAATGGAATTTGCCTATAAAACGCAGAAACGGGATCGTTAAGTTGCGACCAGTGATGATTGTCCGTAAATCCACATTGTTTGTTGAGCTTTTTTTATTTTCGACAAACTGAACTAGCACTGATACTGCTTTACAATTTACATATTGTATTCCTACGAAAGCACATGCTAGCTGCTTATAGCAATTAGCTGCTTATAGCAATTAGCTGCAATACAGTATGTACTTAAATTATTGCAAATTTGCAATGAAATGATAAAGTACCAGTTTTATATTATTGCAGCGAATCGTAAAGTAAGTATAATTGCTTTATAATTTCAAATTCCGGAGCTGACCTTTGAAAGCTTTGCTGGGCTTTGGACCCTGGGGGTGGCTATGATTATGGCTATGATTGTAGCCATGGGACGTCGCATTCTTGCTGCTTGGATCTGCTCCATGAGCCTGTAAGTGGTAAACACACGTTTAATTAAAGTACAGTACTTTGAACAAAACAGCTGCCCGGTAAGTGTAATTTTGTATGATCTATATGAAAACAAAGAAATAACAACTACAACGTAATTATGACTGTGACTAAAACTACAACATGATTAAATTACATCATGATTATGACAAATAGCTACCCGGTGATATTTTTTGGATGATCCTTATAAAATCAAAGGAAAAACTACAACACGATTATGACTGTGTTCTTAATCGTCTTTATACACCGCTTTTATAGCGAAATTTGATTACTTTAGTGCTGTAATAATTACCGTTGACGGTAATTCCACGTCAAAAAATACGACTACGTCATGATTAATATAGAAATCAAGTACGAGTACTGGATTTAACGCGGCAGTATAAAAGTATACTTACTGGACTGAAGAAAACTGCCAAAACACATCCGACAACGGCTGTCAAAATTAGTGACTTCAGCATTGTAGTGTAGAGAGTATAAAATCAGTTCAGACTCACTCGTGCAGATAGCAGCAAAATGAATATTATAGCTGCAAGAAATAAGTTCGTTTCGAAATTATATACTAACTGCGCCCATGTTTCACTTTCACAAAATTGCTCATGTAATCTCACGTGGTACAAAAGCTTTCATGAAACGCAGGCGTATGAAAATTTTAGTCAGAATTAGCCAAAAAAGCAAAATCTCGCTGTTTACGTTGACAAAAATATTGTATCGCCTGCGTGATCAACCTTGAAATTTGGCGAAACGTAAGAATTTTGCCACTTGAGTTTTACCAGAGTTCGACCGGGTCATCTCGCAGGGTTTGACGAAAGAAAATTTCTTCGTCGAGTTAAACTACAAAATAAACAAAGGCGTAAGAAATACTATTAAAAGAAAAAAGTATTTCCGTGTTAGTTGTGTGTACCGTAGGTAGTGTTTAATGCACGCGCAAATCTCCGTCCAGTAAGTAAGGGCACGCTTCGCAGTACGGCATTTTTATAACCGACATTATTTTTCCGGTGCTCCTGTATAATATTATCTTACAATAATTGAAAATGCGCATTGTCATGATTAAATTCTATGTAAAAATTATTATAATGTATTTTTAACGTATTAATTTTTATATTAACTTTATTATCTGATTAAGCATTATATTATTATTCATAATTAGTAATTTTATTATTATTGTAAATTTTGTTATTGTATGTTATTTCTTACGTGAATTTTATTATTTGATTAAGCTGTTATTATTGTATTGTGTAATACACAAGAAACTTACAGTACGTTACGCTCTCCTAATAAAAACGTACTCGTACTAATTTAGAATGGCTGCTCGTACTAATTTAGAATGGCTGGGCATACATAAAAAAATTGCTGTGGCAACAAGTGTCCACAGTAGCCAGGTAATACTATCTTTGACCACGTGGTTTTCGCTAATTGTAATGTCCGCGCAATCCGTGACCACACCCATGTATAAATGCCGATCCCGTTTCGTTTGCAGCTTTTAAGGTTATGACCCGTATAACGCCCACACCGAATTCCTCATCCATGACTCGAATGGAATATGTTCCAGAAGGTTACCGGAAGCTTTTCATTTCAAGTGTGTAGGAAGTTACAAAGTGCTGACTCAAGTGCAACTCTTATCACACTCGCTGGCCCCGCGGTCCGTATTCCCATTAAATTCATCGAAAAAAAACCACTAACTGCTGACACCAAGAGATTCCGCTTCGCCCTACCGTCCGCTGATCATTCGCTGGGGATACCCATTGGAAATTTCATTCAGTTGACGGTTACAGTCGACGGCAAACAGGAAACACGATCATACACACCCATTTCCACCAACGAAGACAGAGGTGAAAATTGGCACATGACATATAATTATTTTCATTCACTTACTTATTTGATATACTTTGCTTAATTCACGCAAAATTCCTTTGGCTGTTTTACTTCCCTCATTGCGCTTGCTCCATGATTTATCATGGTACTGCTGCGCATAAACTTAATTTTCGAAAAAAATGCGAATATATGGAAAAGTTCCAGGAAAAATTTCGAAATATTTATATCAAGATGTTTTTCAATTGCTTAAAAAGACACAATATCAAATTTTTATAGACGATAAATTTTTATAGGACACATAGATCTGGCGATCAAAATTTATCCCCCGACAATTCAAAATCCTCGTGGGGGAATCGTGACACAGTATTTGGATCAGCTGAAAAAGGGTGACGAAGTACTGATGAGCGGACCTCTTGGGTTATTGCGGTACAACGGACATGGGACGTTTTTGATTTCATCCGGCCGGTTTTCTCTAGGCACAGCGAAAACTTTCATGGAGCTTGGTAGGAAAAATATTCTGAAACTGTGGTACAAGTTCCTACGTTCTGGTGATGCTACACTGTACAAGTACATTGCGCGAATTCGGTCGCTTGTAGGTATGCTTTGTGGTGGTTCCGGTGTTACTGCCATGATTCCAATATTACGCACGATGTTAAAGGAAGACGACGAAAAGCCCCAATGTTCCCTGGTCTATTCGAACGTCACGGACCGCGATATTATTATGCAGGATGAGTTGAGCAGCTTATCGTCCAAACATAGAAAACGATTAAAAGTATGGTACACGGTGGAAAGGCCAACTAAGACCAACTGGAAATACGGTGTCGGCCGCATTAACGATAAGGTCATCCAGACATTCATGCCAGTACCGGCAGCAGGAGTACTGGGTAAGTTAATATTATGGTACACACACATTTAAGATTTTTACAGCTACTGTCTCATTTCGTGCTGTTTTATTCTCAGGAAAGTGTTCATTTAGTTGCCGTATTTATGCAGTACTTGCTGTATCATTAATTTACTGTGAACATTTGTAGCCAGCTGAGAGCCTTCTTACGTAAGCTCGACAATCGACATATTAATTTTTCGTAACTTCCAAAAAGTCAACAGCAGTATGCTATGTTCTATAATCGCAAAATTGTTTACAACTACTGTGATAATTTTGTTCAACTTCTACTGTTCTAAGTACGTCGAGTACAGAAGAACCCTTACCATTAGATGACTATGGAAGATATAAGTGTATTCTGTATGCGCGCACGATTTCGGTTATATTAGGCTGGATAAATACTCGATTGACTGGATTTGGTAATTTTCTTACTGTTAGCAGAAAACAATATTTTTGTAGTTTTGGTGTGTGGTCCACGACCTATGGTGGCTGCTTGCAAGGCTCTTCTACTGGATCTCCATTATACCAATGAGATGATTTTTATATTTTCCAATCCGCCGTAGAGCCGCATTTGATAAGTACTTCACCTATTTCAGAAAACTGTCGGCAGTCGGTGATTGGTTTATGCCTGCGTGGTTGTAAAAACTACTTGATTTAAATCGTCATTTTATTTTGTTGTGCAGCGTTATTGAACGGTGAAACGTTATGTGCGATATTAAAGTTCTTTTTCTGGTTCTGAATTGTTGTTAAAACTGAAATTAAAAATCCTGTGAATGCGTATCACTGCCATGTCTTAGTTGTTAATAAGAAACTGCAAAGCGATGACGACGATAACAGTTCTGATTTAATCGCGAATCCGCGGTGCAATTTCGCCGATTTATTTTCCAACTGGCTCTAAGCAAACTAGGGTTCAGAACGATAAAAACAAGCACCTTCCACAAAATGTGCAGTTGTACAAATACATCATCAGCCGGCAACAACAAACAGAAGTGCAAGTATTACATTTAACAAAGACCTAGTGAAAACATTATTCCATGGTTAAGAAATGCTACGCTTCAAAACGGATGTGACGTGTCAGAATCCATGCGTGCCACAAAATACCATTTCTCCCTCTTCGAGATCCAAAACAATCCCACAAACACAATACCGCGCAGATCGCCGCTGACGAGTTTCAGGAGCCTCTGGTGGGAGGACTAATCAAAATGACACCGTCGCCTCGCACAAACAGCATAGGAATCTTGCGCGAGTTTTCCTACAAGTGACAAAACCATGCATCTCCATACTCAAAAGCCAAGCAAATTGTCCTTTTTAAGGCAACCACACACTGACAGACAAACCTTGTAGATTTCTTCATACGTTTCGGGATCGACTTCCGTTACGGTGATCGTTTCGTTCACATCTCCAAGAATCATATTTAAATGCTGATCGTATGCCTACAATGCGTTACTGTACAGTGCAATCCGCGCTTTTCTGGTCTGCGTAATCATGAAGATCAATCCTTACGTAAAGCGTTCCCGTCAGTTCGCGATCATGGCGCATCTTCACGTAGATTTTCTCGTCCAAGCATAATCGCACGAGATCCAAAGGTTCCTCCACTTCTCCTAACTAACAAACAGCAATCATTTCACGATACTCTTTCAGAATGGCGGTGACTGAGTCAGTACACCATCCTATAGTACCCATGCTAACAGACTTCGTACCTGTTGGTCTCCCGCGCCTTCCAAGCCGCCAGTAGCCATTTTTTCGCAATCGAGGAAGCTCGCGCTTGAGAGAAAGATAAATGCAGATATAATTAACTGGTAATAATGTATAATCACCAACACACGTTTAGGAATAGAGTTTTCCCTGAAGCCTCAGCTAGCTTGTTTTTTTTTAAATGAGAAAAATTCAAAAATTAATGACGAAGGAGTCGGAAGGACGAACTACTTTTTAAATTTCCCAGTTCCAGGTGGAAAAATGCAAAGGTACGACTAATCCACTAAACGCTCGTACTGGGCGGCTAGTAAGAGAGCCGGTTATTGCTTCGACTCGCAAGTCGCAAGTTCCGCAACTGGTGGTCGCATTCAGAAAAAAATTGTGTTCCAATACTAGTACATTCTACACATTCTACATGAGTGGACACTATCCCAAATTAATGCAGAAAATAATGAGAAAAAGTTCAAAAAGATGCTTTACATTATTATTAGTAATTTATTAGAAACTTGACATATCTGCACACCGATTCGAAACAAAATACCGATTCGATTCCGACTGTCAAATCTCTCTGCCCGGTGGCTGTCTGGCTGATTCTGCTTTCGGACGAATCGGAATCCAGTTTTGCAGCTTTTTCAATATTTGTTGCTTTAATTAACCCTTTAAAGTTCAGCTTTTGTTATGGGTTTGACACAAGTTTTTTAAAACTAGTGTCGGAGTAGGAGCAGTTTTAGACAATTGTGATATTCGATATGCACTTACGATAAATGGATATCCACTATTATCCAGCAAAAATCTATAGTAGCTCTTTATTTTAATGTCATTTCGACTATCCAGTATCCAACGCGAAAAAAACACCAAAGATCACTCAAAAATCATGCTAACAACAAGAATCAGCGACCACAAGTCGGCAAAATGTCGCAGAACTGATCGACACGACATTTACAATCAATCAATCAACTTCAACTACAAAAAATTCGAAGGCAACTAAAAAATCGCATATTATAGCATATAAAAACAGAAAATTAGCTGCAGGTCGAGCAATTCAGGAAGTCTGCAGTAGGTCTTTTATTTCCTTTTTATCGGCGCAATCAATATATTTAGTTCCATCTGGCGATTTACCGTCTGGTTTTGCACCCTATAAAAACAAAAAATCCAGAAGTATTACAATCAACATACAGCATACTGTACAAATACTGTTTTTTCTGATTGTGAGCGAAAACAAGGTTCACCGGAAAAATGAAACGCGTTCGTAGCATGATCAGATACACAACACACACAAATAGTCACTGGTCATACAGTAGCACTTTGTGTGAAAGTACAAAAAGGTATAATTCTTACATTGTAAGCCATTTAACCCTTTGAAGTGAAATTGAACTTTAATAAGTACTCGTACTCATAATGCGAGTACAAACTAATGGTAAGTACCAAACAAAACGGTATTATAACAGAAACACTTCCACTATGCTTTCCTGATCGGGGATCCCATTGAATACTTCATAAAATTAATGAACAATTATGGAAACTCTTGCCAACCTTTTGTAAGAGAAGTTTAACACATTCAGTGTGTCCTTCCCAAATAGCTGCCAACAAGGCACTGATTCCGTGTTTATCCACAGCATTGACATCCGCTCCCTTGGATATTAGGTATTCAATCACCTCGCGCTGTCCGTAATCAGCAGCGAAATGTATAGGGGGACGACCATCAATAGGCTGCCTTATGTCAACACCCTAGGTATTTCAATTTAATTTAAACAAACACCACATCACGGCAATCATCTTTAACAATGTCAACATAATTAATAAGGCATTATTTGAAACAAATAGTCGCACAGATTCTTAGTACTGTCTCCTCGTTAAACTCTCTTCTATGATCACAAACTGTAAGCCCAAAAATCGAATTTACGTAAGCAAATAAATTGTATATTATTAACGCGCTTCACTTCGGAGTTCGGATGATCGTGCTGCAGTTGCGAGCACAAAAATCAAAACACAATATTACTGTTATTATTATTTTGAAACTTTACTGAACAACAAGTAATCTCCGCCAAGCGTTGCTTTAAGGAGCAATTCTTCACAAAGTCAGATCGAGACCCAAGTTTCGTGCGAAAGGACGATGAATACCTTTTTTTCGACGAAATCACGGATGCTGTCCAAATCTCCATTCTTCAGACTCCAGGTAAGAGACTGATGGTCGACGTCTCCCATGATGGATGAATATCAAAATATTTATAAGTATGACTAGTCACTAGTCACTAGTCTACACTCAAAACACGGACGGATCGATATTCTGAAAATTTTCTCACTTGTCCCTTGCTACCGTTAGAAACTTTTGATTAATGAGACATCGAAAATTGACTGGTTAATAAAACGATCACTACTTCTACTTCTACAGGTAATATTTCAAAAAGTTTAGACTAAAGTCTAAAACCTAAAATTTTGAACGGTGGGTTATGATGGATCGTACTCTTTTCGACAAACCAAGCTATGGTATTGGTGGTGCTCCAGTCAGTTCCACGCGTACGATTAAACAGGGCATTATTGTGCGCCGTCACCGCTCGCCATGGGCTGGCGGTTTATGGATAAGTGACGTCACCGCGAAAAGCGCCAAAAATTAAAGTCGTTGTTTTTTGCTTACGAATTAAGGAAAAAAAGCAGTTAAATTTTCCACAGTTTTATTGTGTTTATGTTTCAAGAGTAAGGAAGTACATACTTGTAGCCCACCACGTCATCAGTGCTGCCATTAAACTAAGCCATACGACCCATATCAGTGGCCGTTGACAACATCATTGGTCGCAGCATAAACTAAAGACACATCCCGTGACATCCGCAAAAAGAATTCGCTATGATACTTACGAGTTACGAATACGCGTACGTGAGAATTGAAGATTTAAAGCAACCAAAATTGTGCGACAACCATTTGCATTTTTTCAAGATACCATTCTGTGGTTATGTTATACTTTATGTGATCAGTATTATTTTATTTATTTGGGTTCTGCCTCACTTATTATTATTGAACAGTCACCGTTTTGCGGTTCGTTCGTATAATTATACAGTATCGTAAAGCTGAATTTGTAGCACAAAGTTTTGGTTGCAACAACAACCTTTAGAAAATCGAAAATCATTAATATTTCGGTTCAAATCCGTTCATAGTAAACCTATGAATGGAACCGGTTAAGCTAAATTCCCGGAATAAAATAACATGTACACTGACTGGCTTAGGTTGCTTTTCCTGATCGATTTTGTTCTGTTAACAATTTCGTAATGCCGTGCAACACCTTCGCCACATCCGATGGTAAATCTTGGGAACAGGATGGGAGCGGCAGCCAGTTGGCGAAATTCAGGTCACGAGTACCCAAACAAAACGGCTGCAGTGCTTTGTTGACTGTTGCACGAATATGGTCTCGCATCGTTTGGTTGAGGTTGCGAGGATCGATTCGTGTCGACAACCGAAAGAATGCTTCATCGCACAAGCCGGTTTTTGGGTTCGGCTTGTTGCAGCGGTAAGATAATTCCATTGTTTCGTAATCGACGGCCAGGATGGTATAGACTATCTTTTCGGGATTTCCTGTAACATTAACCCGAGTATACATATTAGGGACGCCGACAGTTGAGCAAGTTTTGTTAAATTTGTAATTGCTTAAACAAATATCAAGGCTATCACGCATCACGCATGTGAAATGTACCTTGATTATTGATCCGCGGGTTGATCAGTGGTGTGGCGATTTTCCGTCCATCCGCGGTTAGGTTAGATTGTTCGAAGATTGCCACGCATTTTGCAGTGCTTGCTATAGCGCCGTTGTATTGAAACACGTTGAAACTGGTCACGAGACCCCAGTTGTTCGTTTCCGGCAACACAGAAAATCCCAGCGGAGTATAAATGTTTATTGTGTTTGACATTGGACGGAGGCCAGGCAATCTATTCATATATTCGAACCATCCGCCCATCATCTAACAATCACATTAACGTTGACGGACCGGAAGAACTTAAGAACTGTTACTGTAAATCTGTAAATCGATTTTAATTTTTTCCTGTACAGTTTTACCAAAAACTGTACAATCCATTAAAACTAAAGGTATAATTTAAAATTCATTATACTGTTTGTAACTTTTGCACTTGGTGCACGTGCTGTCCAATGTACAGGCGCATTACGTTAATTATGAACCCAACTCTACGAGTATTTACACAAATTTGTACACAGCTATCAAAATATTATTTTTTTTCTCTATGCATTCGGAATCGGGGAAAACCATAATTCTAAATATTTCAAAATAAAAAATCTTGCAGGAAAAGGCTAATTGATAAATTTGTTTACGCTGTAGTGACCTTAGCGAAAACAATAGGCACGCCTGGGACCGATGCCGGTATTCCACAGCCGGAGGATGTTGCACGTCCACCATTAATATTACTCTGACTGCCGTTTTGGTTGACATTAATGAGCGCTTTTTGTGCTGTCGACTGTGTCGGCGCCGGCATACCGGCAGAATATCTTCTGTTGTCGCTCATAGCATCCGTTGCAGCTGCAACGGGAACCGCTGTAGCACCGACTGTCATCTGAGCTAGCGCACTCGACGATACGTAGCTTCCACCGGAAGCATAAGGACCGTACGCGTTGTAGCGGTTACCGTTATCTGTAATTTGACCACTGCTCAACCCCGATCCACTTTGCATATACGATGGCCCTGCACCGGCATTACTGGTGGCCACAAGTGACCCTGCCTGTTGTTGTTCACTACCCGCTGGACTTGCGTTTGGCATAGACGCTGAGGCACTATCCGGCTGATTGTAACTGTTACTTCCAAAGTGGTTGTAACTATTCCCGTACGACACCAGAGCGCCACTGGGTGACGAAGTTGTGGTCGGCGTCTCGGTTGAGGCTGGAGTTGTCTGACCGTTGGTTTGCAGTTGTTCGACAATTTGCTGCAGTGCGGTTAAGAGAAGGGAGAAGTCTATTTTAGAGAAATCGAAACTGATGGTCTGGGTGATGGCCGGTGCGGATGTAATGGTGTCACCCATTGTCAGTGCGGCTCCAAATTCAGTGTCCGTTTCCGATCCCGCACTATCAGTGGTTGTCGTGCCGACATAAGAATTTAAGTACGAACTGGCCATACCGGAATTGGGCGCAAATCCTCCTTGTAATGATACGAGATTTCCATAGCTCTGCGTTGTGGTGTCGGCATTCCAGAATGACGGAGCGGCATACGAGGATGCTCCGCTGTACCCCATGGCGGACGCGCTGTCGGTGGCTCCGAGTCCTGTCTGATCGTATGTTGGTTGGGATGATGTGAGATTGTACCCAGCGTGCAACGATAATAAAAGTGTAGAAACAAAATTTTCTAAACATTTCGTAAGATCGTTCCACATCATTAATCTGACATTAGCGATGACCTTTCCGTAAATTACAGTACTTGTGAAATAGTGGTGCGTCTAATTTGTTCGCCAAGATTCTACAATTTCGGAGGGTAAGACACTAAGACCAGTGCCGATCTCATCAAGCTTGTAGAAACATTAGAAATCCGTTTGATTGTTGCATTTTTGGCAATTGGTATGGCACGCATGCAATCGTACTATTCATGCATATGCAAATACGAGATCACCGGATGATTCACAGTAGTCACATAAATTTCATGTTATTTCTAAAAACATGATTATTTTCTTACAAATTCGATCTTGGTGACGTTCTGCTCACATAAAGTGCGAAAGATGTTTAATATCAACAGGTGTTCGTTTAGTTTACGATCCACTGTTTTACAGCGAAGGATCACTGCAACCGTACGTATAAACTGTAACTTCGTTAAAACATTTTGAATGAGTTCTAACATGTTCATCGTTCCTCGCATACGAGATGTAAAAAAAAGGTGGTATGCAGTGGTTTAAACCAGAAACTTTGCATGGTGATCAAACTGCTTTTTCCTGTGCGACCTATGTTAGCAGTGACCACAGTGACGTCAGTGACCTATCGTAAAAAAACATTGAAACGAAAATATTAATAATGGTAACGAAATAACTCAGTAATACTGTTGCTGGACAAGTACATATTTCTCGCTCGCTGCTTTTCCGCACCACAGTTGTAATTTTCCATTTAAACTAGAACATTTTAGCGTTTTCCTGCTCCTTCATTAATACTGGGCAAAATACAACAAATCGCTAAGTTCAGTTCGTTTATGCTGTGTTTGCTTGGGCCGGTTGCAATGAACTGCCCACGGCTAACGTACTAAAATCATTTCGATCAATATCAAAGACAATTGTTGGTTGTTTTAAACTGCATCAATAATTGAGTCGAATATTTGCACGGAAATGCTGGACAATGTGGGTACCATATAAGCCAGTAGCTGTGTTAACGCGCCATTAAAATTAGAGTTTATTTCCGGTTATAATTTTTTGTTGAGTTTGCGTGTGCTTGCGCATCACCATACAATCAGCGCTTACGTTTACATTTACTTCTCGTGGTCTACAAGAAAACTCCTCCACCATCAGTGCCCGGAACCGGAAGCCCATAACGCAAAATGCTGTTCTATCCCTTTACGCCAAAATTTCTTCTAGTGAAGTGCGTTTTTTGTTGGGTGAGATTATTATCCTTGCATGCGTTCAACTTCACGCTAATACCCATCGGCAAAAGACTGGAAATTCTAACTTCAACAACGACTGTTCCAGTAATGTCCACAGAATATTCGGATAAAAGTATTGAAGACCTTCTTGGTAGTAAGTTGCACACGACGCTGACAAAATTAATTTTTAAAAAAGGATTAATACTGTGATCGTATCGATGCATACTCGTACTTGTACAGATTGCAGTATGTTGATATTCCAAATGCTGAAACAATTATAGCAATGCAGCGAATGCACTACTTGAAGTACTGCAATTAGCTTACGAGGAAAACGACGGTACTATTATAAGCCACATCTGTCCAATTCAAATTTTGTCGCTCAGAAATAAAGCGAGGGGTTTTAAGTGGAATTCCTATTCCGACTATGTATCCTCTGCAACCCAGCAGCACTATCACTCCTGTTACGGACCCCGGTGACCTTCTCGCGCAGTCCCCGAACCAAAAAGGCAGTGAACGCTTAGAATACTTCAACAGAGAATCAGCCAGTAAGCCAGCCCATCTGCTTGTCGCTAACCCCAAAGAGGCACATTCCGACAGCATGGAACCGATGGCCAGCAACTCGGTTTTCAACCGCTATGTACCGTTATCTCCAAATCCGATCTCGGGAAAATCTCCTGCACAGTTTTCGGCTGGACAGCCCAATTATAGCCCCGCCCAGTTTATGCCGGAGAAGGATAGTTCTGCTTCGTTGTTATCGAAATTCCAAGCCTTAGGACAACCGGGATTACTGAATACATTGAATATTACGTTCACTTCCGGTCAGAATAAAATGAACGGCGCTCAAAGCAACGCACTCTCCAAGGATCCTGCTACACCGTTGTTTGGAAATACCAACTTTTTTAGTCCTCTCCAGACAGAAGTATCGCGGAATCCATTCGGAAATGCCTTTATGGCATTTAATGGAGCCGGTGCGAAACCGGCTATTACCACCGTAAATCGTGATAAATGGGACGGCAGCTCCGCGAGTGATGGTTTAATCTGGAAGAATCTTTTTGACAGGACTATATCTAATACTGTCGAAGAAGAACCGAATACTTTACACATTGCAAACCATAATCCTAACTGTAACACGAAAGCATGATGGGTCACAGCTGCATTTTGCAGTATGTAATTTGATGTGAATTATTGAGTGCATAATTGTATTAGGCACAATTGCTGGAATTTTATTATCTGGTAAAAATATGTTTTTAAGTGAGCAGAGTTTTCATTATAAGCACAGTCTTATGCTTAGAGTTGTGATGCAAGAGGTGTAATGCAGTCTTCTAACAAATCATTACGAGTACGAAGTAGTTTTATAAATGTTAAACCGTAATCACAGGGCGCCATATTTTTTGTCAGTTGTACTGTCTCAAGTCTTCTACACAAGCGCAGCTAGCTTATTCGAACGAACTTGGTTAGTTCCAAAAAAATTCTTAGCATGGGAAAAGCATCGAAACACTTAATTTGGAAAAGCATCTGGAAGAGCGTAATAAAAATCGAGCTTTACCGGTAAAATCCACAATAATATCACAGACTGACAGTGACTGATACACAAGCACGCACATAACAACACAGCGATTCTTACAGTGGAATAAAGCGCAAAGCATGAGCATACTGTTTTTCAATCTGCGAGATTTTAAACTGAACACGCAACAGCCATTTTTGCAGCGGTTCACGAGATCTTTTGTAATCCTGACTAGCAGAAGTACTGGGTGACATTGGCACACTCGCAGTTGTTTGGACAGTTTCCAGGGTACGAAAACGCATTCGCACGGCCAAAGGGAGCTAAAAAATAATCCATACAGTGTTTCGCGACTTGTTATTCTCGTCGTTTCTCTCGTGGTTACCGGTAAACAAAAATACGTATTTAATCAAACATCATTATTAAGCACAGCATCTGCGAGATTATTAGTACTTATTATGGTTAGAAGTACACACAGCCAACAAAAGAAAACAGAAACCATAAAACAAACTGTGCTTTAATCGACATTGTGTTGTACAGGTACATTAGAGCATACGCATTAATTATAACTTTGCAACTAATTCATACAATCACATGTACCTGGGATTCTGGTGGCAGAAGGACACCAACCCACATCGGCAACAACTGAAATCAAAAACGTTGTAAGTACGCTTTGCAAGACAGCAGATTTACCGATATCCTGGATTAAGCAGGAAGTGTCACACCGAACCAACCTTATTTAGCAGAACGGAATTACACTCTTTCAGATGTTCCATCATAGCCAGAAAATTTATACCAACGATTTCTGCTAACTGCAAAGTGAATTATATCTTGTATAAGTTGTGCAAAACGGGAAAATTGTAATGTAAGCATCGCCATTTCGCCACTTACATTTTTAGAATGCGAAACGAGTTGTAACACGGCCGGTGTGACCTTTGTCCAAAAGCTGAACAACGAGCTCGTAGCGGTGGTTGCATCTTCGGCTGTATCATCACTTTCCGTTGGAAATATCGATGCTGACAGCTCGCAGTATACAGTCCACAATTCGCACAATGTGAATGCATGGGATAGGGATCCCATTCGTTCTAGCGAGTTTTGAGAGGACTGCAGAAAGAATTACGCCGTTAAAACCACAAACCAAAATTAGCAAGATATCTGCTTAATTCATACTTGTGACTGCTCAGCGAAACAAGATAAAATCAGCAGGACTCTGTCGGCAAAGCAGGAATACAGCGTGAACGGGAACAACTGGAACGGCACAACTTCTTCGTCATGTGGCGCCGGCGGCGGAATGGTGATCATTGTTTCCAAAGCTCCCAATAACAGCCATGACAGAAGCCGAATATGAATAACACAATCTTCGAAATCTTTGTTTCTAGTAAAAACATTTTGTCTTCAATAGTTGACATGTTTTAAATAATTCTGAGGACTAAAAGATGGAAAAGCACTAAAAGTTTTTCAGTGCTTTTTCATCGTCAATGCGCCTTTATAAGAAAGATCACTTGTGTCCTTTAGTTAGCAAACGCAACTTACCCTTGTTGTACTCCGGTTGATGGATTCAACAACCAAGGAAAAAATTTCTGCAACACTTTAGTATCGCGCGCACTTTCCCTGATAATTTCAAAGGCAGCAACTTGGGCTAAACCGGCTTTAATACTGCCACCGGAAGTGTCATCATTGAACATAAAACCTGGAGCTCCACCGTCATGTTGCTGTAATGTATAAAAATTAAGCAATCAGTAATAAAGGTACTTGCTAAATTTCTGCTCTTCCGCGTTCGTACTCGCAGGTTATTAATTGCATGAAGGTCCGATAAGAACTCAATCACTTCCATCAAGTTTTCTCGCAGGCATTGGCTAATTTGTAGCTCCGGCTGCAGCAGAAAGTGGGCATTTTCAATGGTTTTTGCTCATTAATTCTTCGGTTTGTCATAAGCAAAATTCACCTTTTTGCCATTATGGAAGACGCTGTCAAACTCGTGCGTGGAAAAATGAAACTCCCCTTCACTCAGATCCTGAACCGCAGACGAAACTAATATAACCAAGTTGTTTTCCGGCATTGGTTTTCGAAACTTGATTGCATCCAGTAACGTCTCCGCCACGACTCGGGCTAGTTGGATTTTCTCTCGCTCCTATAAACAAAATAAAAAAATTACTTTGCCAAGAGCGAACTGAGAAAACGCTATGCAACCATAAATATATGGAGCTTGTAATTTCACTCAGCTTAGGCAGCACAGAACGGACGTATTTTTTCAATTTATAGCACGTATTGTACATAATGTCCTTACTCGGAAATGCGCCCTGAAACATAGTCCGCAGATGTCTTTAATGTCGATCAAAGATGGCACTTGATTCGAGCGCAAAATTTGTCGGAAAAGACGGCTAACTGGCTCCATAATGTTCTGCACAAATAAAAATAAGACAACCATGAGTGGTCGATTCGAACTCACCGACGATTCTGCATAAAGTATAGATATGGGTCCTGTAATAATGTCAGGTACATAAACGCTAGAGCAACCATATTCGGTCGTCGAATAATCAACAAATACAACGAGAACACGAAACCGATCTTACCTTGTTGGCGTGCATGCCGGGAATTCGCAGGACATACTGCAGCAGTTTTGCTAGCACCCGCGCATTACCGACATATCCATCTGGAATCCGGCGAAGAAATTTGTCGAAATGATCAATCACAGAACCCCAACTGGACAACGGGACTTCCAATGGTAGAAACTCCATGTACACACAGATGTTGGCAATGATAATTTGGATATCATGGGAACTGGGAAAATCTTTTGCGGAATAACATGTTTCAAGGCAATGTTGTAGCGGAACTAGCGCATTGAACTCTTCGCAATCCGATAAGGACGACGCGACAATCTCCAATAGCATGGAACCCGGGAGTCGAGACAGGAACAACACCGGGAACAGGCGACTGGGTCCCAGCTGAATTGCCATTACACGCACAAATTGCCGGATCGTAGTCAACAAATTTCCCGGAGTAAATACACTCTGCCTAAAAACGGTAGGATACCATATATTATTACAAACATTAGTTTGAAACGTGACCTTTCTTACCCGAAATTTTGCCACGAATATCGCAAATGCGTCGCCGCACTAAAAATGGATAAACTCATATGTTTAAATTCGGTATTAAAACCCAAGAGTAGCTTTAACTTATAGAAGAGTAGCTCTATACAGATACGCTCAAGAACGCAGAAAGCGAAAAAAGCCCATTAACAAGCACTTACAGCTTAAACAAAACCGATTGTCATAAGATGAAGATTTGCGCTTATTGACTAATTTTATACGACGTAATATATGCAATAATAATATAACTTCTATGTTATTCTTTAAACCGTCATTTTAAAAAAAGTTATTATCGCCGTACCAAACCAAGGCTTCAAGAATATCCAGTAACAAAGGAGTGGCCAGCGCCGGATGCCTTCGGATCAGCGCCTCTAGGCACAAAATGCTCCAACTGATATCGTCTTCCCTTAAACTGTGCACCGTCTCCCCACAGTTCGGACATTTCCTGTTAAACAACGTATTATGGGACGGTAGCGGAGGCAGCGACACGATCTTTTCCGTTTCCCCACTTTCGGTGGTTAACGGCGTCTGCTTTAATGCCACCGCGAAAATATGACTCATAGCATCCCTTCTACGCGGTGTCTGGGCTTCCGGTGGCGGTTGTGAGCCTTCATTCTCATCGCCTTCTTCGCTCAGGATGGCCGACAGTGGCCGACGAAACTTAAAGCGATCCTCCTTAGTTAGCGGTGTACACACCAGTTTTCGGGGGCGGGTGACGGGGTACGAGCGGCTCTGATACGTCCGGGTGATTTGCCGGGCCAAATCCGGGAGGGGCTCTTTCGTCTTCACCACCCGCGCTTCCCCGACTTCGATGGCCCCGTCTTGGTCAGCGCCAGGCGGTAAAGGTTGGCTGTGGGCAATGTTCTCTTTTTGGAGCCCGGTAGTGGGTGTTGTAGTGGTCGTGCTGGATCGAATCACGACATCCGGCATTGGGGCGCCAGAGTAAGTGGCACCGAGTGGAGACTCGTACATGGGTCCGATTCGTTTGACAACATACGTCGCTGTTGTGGTTTTCGTCCATTTTTTAAGTTTCTGAATTTGCACCACGTCGTTCTCTAAAATGGTGACCTTTGTGGACGCTTCCATGGAGTTACCATCCGGATCGAATTCTTGCGTCTGGGCAACTAACTTTTGTGTGTCCTACAAAATTTCAAATTTTTTAACAAAAAATGCAAATCATTTTCGTGATTTATTCAACAACAACGCAATAGTGCCGGCGCCAGGGAGCAACGAAATAGCTTGACAACATTTGACCTTTAAGCAGCGCTTGAGCGAATTACCGTACCTTAAATGCAGACCGGGATTGTGAAGTTTGTTCAATACAATCCGACAAAATTTTCGAGTACGGCTCATTTGGATCCCGCGGCGTCTCATCCGTTCCCGTGGCTTTTTGTGTGCCATGCAGAGTTATTTCTCTGTAAATCAGATCCGGTGGCGGGGCGTTCTTGATTGCTTCGGTTAACTTGCCGATCAACTCCGTCGCTGCGGACATATCCGGCACGTCCTTCGAACTGGATGGACTGAAAGGTGTTTTCGAATCGGAAGCGCCTCGTGATGCGCTATCGTCCGCAGAATCCTGACTGCTGTCGAAACTGAGCGGGTGGCGCCGGGAATCGCCTTCACTTCTCCCTCCTGAATCCGCACTCGGTTCGGATATCAGCGGCACGGCTGATTCACTAAACTGACTGCGGTCTTTCGAGCGACCGTCCTTGAGCAAATCTTCCGATTTGTCATCCTGTGTTGCACGCCAGCCCGATTCCCGTCCATCGATATCGGAGATGAAGGAACTCTTTTTGCTCAAGTGACCCTGTGACTGTGCTGATTCGTAATTGCAAATATGACCCAGCGAGCGGACACTGTTGATGCACAGCAGAATCAAACGCTGTATATTTTGCTGCTCTAAAACATCCTCACTTCCATACTACAAAATATAACACAAAACCATTTTTATGACCACAAAAGCTTCGTACAGTTTCACCTGATTATCGATGTATTTTTACCTTAAAAATTAAGATAAAAAGGCTTTTCATCCAGAAAAGCCGGCAGTGTGGCGGTAAATAGGACAAATTTCTTCCGAAGCTGGATATTCGGCTGGAAAATGCCACTTCGTTTTGTGATGTCGTGCAATAGCCCAGCAAAGCCACGGCAATGTTTAAAATGGCCCCGCCGCATCGGACGTTGCTGTCCAGAACTTCCGGCAACGATGCCAGGAAAGCAAAAAACGAGGTTGAGAATCTCAGGTCTTTCACTAAAACTGTGAAGTTTCCGCCTTCATTGTGGTAGCCCAAAAAATAATTAAATTTTAGGAGCGTCTGCCGGCGCACTTCCAGTTCCATGGATTCCATAGTTTCCGTCGTAGCAACTGGTGTTCTGTTGATAAAACATGCGTTGATCTGAGGGAAATTTCAACCAAAATCAGCAAAACTGAGATACAGATTCGCGATATAGTTTTTCTGGTTGTGTATTACTACACTTTTTATTGCCTTTATATGCTCAGTACTTGTTAGCGTTATTGGAAAAGCCTAAAAGTTCAGCCGTCGTTTACTAGACGTATAACTTCAAATGAACGAAAAAAATCGAATGACTCTTAATTTTTTAGTGTCGTGTACCTGGTCAGATACTTCATAAATGTGTTAATCAAAGCGTAAAGCGGTGCCCGATCCAGTGTCGAGCCGGCTAATCCATTGACAGCCTTGTAGATTCTCGACGGATAACTGGTTTCTTCCTCTGTAAAATCTTTCCAGTGATCGGCTGGAAAAGTTGTCGTAGCACCAGTTCGCGGTTTGCGCACAGAAATTGGTTCCAATGGTGTGGACAAGTCCGGTGTCGGGAAAAACTGCGACTCAGTTCTGGGAGTGAGTTCGCCGGTGGCCGGGCTGGACAACAACGCCCTATGATTCGGATTGGTCAGTTTTCCGCGAACAACAATGGCCTTCATATCCTTGGATGTCCGGATGGCACGTCGCACTTGAACAATCTTCTCTCGGCGCGCTTCCGGTGTCATGGTAGCACGACCTTTTAAACAAGCGGTACTTATTAATCTCAGAACAGCATCGTCGAAACATGTAGAATTTTCACTAAAAATAAGAAACCCAGTGTCTTTACTAATTTTTAAAAATACGTATGTACTCTGTAGGCTTATAGAGACGTGTCTTCGTAGAAAGTAATATTGTACAAATTCGATATCCATTGCTGATTGCAGCAAATTTCACTGTGTGGAAAAAAGTAAAAAATATCACATTCACTGTCAATCTCGTCTGCGCTCCCGTCCCACCTTTCATGTCGTCCAAAGTGTATCCCAGATCATGTAGCTCCATTTCGGCTTCCAAGCAGAGCGTATCAAAGCAGTCATGGAAAAACTGCCATGAAAAGGTTTCGTTAACCGAAAGCGCATTGGATAAATGGAGAATCCGCTGCAGAATAGTTGGACGATCATCGATAACAAGGGCATAATGCGTCTGCATGCACTTCATCAAAAACTCCACCGACGACCGCTTTAAGCACTTTATCCACAAACCAGCTGCTTCCGCCACCACCGCTTCTTCATCAAACATACTGGCAATTAGATGACAAAACCCGTTTGCCAAAACGCTATGGAGATTGTTCAGTAATTCGTTGGCACTATCCACAAACCGGAACAGGATGCATGTCTTAACCACTGTAAAATTGGTTTGGGTATCAACTCATGGTGTCATTATAAGCAAGAAAACATCTACAGGGCTGAATAACAAAACATGCAACCTTTTTTCCTGAGGAAGACCTTCAACTGCCCATGAAACATGCATCTGACAGCCAACTGAACCACATGTCAAAAGCTTTATTGCCTTTACCGGCAGAAAACCTTATAGTCCAAGCATCATTCAGGAAATGATCATCCAGTATGTTCCAAAATACTTCCGTGCCAGATCCTAAAGAAGCGCAGTGAGCTATCAGCGGCAGCACTTCCGATGCCAGATAATCTCGTTCATGCCCGATAATCTTCCAATAAATCGGTATCAGAATGTTTTCCTGTGCCCAGATCAGAAAGCCTCGTGCTTCTTTGACCGCGCTGGATAAAGCGTGACCTTCCAGACAAATGATTTTAATAGATCGAACAATGTCACACAGTAGGCTCTGATCCGAATATACGGTGACCAACTGCAAATATATTAATGTCATTAACAGAAATATGTCTTGTCCAATGACCAACACAAATTCCATAAAGCGTACTTACCGCTGCTACTGCAGCTACTGTACCTTGGCCAAAATTATGATTTAATGCATAAATCTTACTTTTGATAATCCGTATAGAAGCTGTAGTTCATATGGTAGTTCCGACAACAAGAATTTGAATTTTCCTTGTGTGGTATGCCAGAATCCAAAATCATCACTAGAAAACCAAGTTCCGCGACCGGTCACTTCGTCGATGGATTTCGGTTCCGCTGCTGTGCACGCCGCCATTCCTACATAGCATGAAAAATCTGTGGCCGCTTGATCAGCATGGTAACGTATCAGCGTGTTGCATACAGTAATCAGCATATATGTAACAATCTGTAGTATTAAACGGCAGCTGAATCTGAGACGCACGCGTATATACTCGTACATAAGTATTTAAATACTGCGCGGAGCCAGTGTAATTAATCTTCACATTTTCATAAAGGTAAAAGAGGAATTAATTTTGTACACGAATACGATCCGAAGATACGAGTATAAAGGCCTATTCGTACTCGTGTCAATAGTACTTAATAAATATTATAATGATAGTTGTGTTTTCTGTACCGGTGTCTTCGTCTGTTAGCGTGACTGCCCGCACGATAACGGGAGCAATCTTTTCGGCTTGTGTCAAGTCGAAACTGGACGTTTCTTCGTTCATCAGGGAAATCTGTTCCTCTCTGGCATGCAACATATGGGGCGCGAACAGAGTGGGGGTGTTTTGCAATTCTCTCAACGATCCAGTATTTGGGTCATAAAATCGCGTGATATCAGATGCACGGCTAGACTGCGGCTTCAGTTCAGACACCGAAGATAATTCACTGCGCACGGAGTGAACATCCGATCTGGTGCGCTGTTGCATAAAAACAATCAAACAAACCATTATTTTTACAGTACAGCAGCTTTGAAAAATGTATACAATCATAAACTGACCACCGTATCCAATAGTTTACGATCGAATCAATTACTATATTATTACAGACTTACGATATACATAATTTTAGAGACACAACAAAAACTATTTTTAAGGCTAATAGCAACCATATTTACCACGGTTCCGGGTGGACTAAAATCTGTATCTTTCTGTGAAGACGACGATGCACCAGCGTCGAAGTCCGATCCGTGAATATTTCGCAATGAAAAAATCCTATCCAGAAGTTTATGCGACAGTTTAAACCATAATGCCGGGTAGTACGTGCTGTCGTTGCGGTGCTGAGCGGTTGTTTGGTCTTCAGTCAGTTGCTCGTTGACCTTTCCGTGCCAAGGGGATGCAATCATTCGCGTTAACAGCAACATTGTTCGCACTCGCAGATATTCCCAGCCAACTTCTTGAAAGTTTTGTGCAGCTTCAAGCTACCAAATAGAATGCATAAAGACTTTGGAGTATTGCCGATTAAACCGAAATCTAAACAGTAAGTATTGTGGAAAACCCGTATCGTTCTACAGTCAAACATTAAATAAAAGATTCTAAAGCTGTAACTGAAAAGTGCGTACTCTGCGTATTATCGCATACCTGATGACAGAGCACGTCTAGCATAACAACAAAACACGGTAGGGTGCTATCAGCTTCTGGTGAATCGGGTTCTGGTGTGTCACCGACCGCGGAGGGTGCCCTTGACAGAGCCGCGTCTCCCGCTTTCCGCTTGGGTCGCAAAGTATTTTCCAAGATTAATGCATCAGTTGCGTGCTGGAAATGCTCCAGGAGCAGTCTTATGGGGACAACGATCTTATAATTGCACAGTACTTGCAACCACACTAAGGCTTTGTACGCCTGCGGGATGCTGCCGCTCCGTAGTCGGTTAAATATGAAGCTGTAGGTTTCTTCCAGATTGAATGGCATCAGTGACATTTCTGTGTCTAACAGCTTTCTATGAAAAATTACTTATCGTAAATCTTAATTAAACACTATTAATTTCATACAATAATTGCTTTTACTTACAGTAGGAGCTTTGAATACCCTTTGACATCGGTTTTCGGGTTTTCATGATTTTTCAGATTTCTTAACCAGACCGGCATCACCTCCACCCAAACGCGAATGTCCACAATGTCATACGATGCCAAACATAGTAGTATCTGCAGACTTTCGTACACATCCTGGACTTGGTATGGTAACCTGTCATAGTTCATCGTGTAATACTTAATTTCGTGAAAACCAAAGTGCATAAACAGCTCTAAAATATGCAATATGATACACAAAAATAAAATAAATTTTATCAGAAATAATGAGCCACCATCAAATGATAACTTGTATAGAATGGTATCAATAAAGGTGCAAGGATGTTAATGATAAAGTGATCGAATTGTAGATCCAAGACATAAAAAATTGACAATCAAACATAATTTGACTCTGTACTTGTAACTTACAGTGCAGCGTCCTTGATGCCGGCTTGATCTGCCAAACAAACCACCACAACTTGTGGATTTTCCGCAGACAATTTTTTAATCCAGGGACATATATAGCGTTGTTTCAAATGTTCTAATCGTCGACTAAGATGGTCATCCCGAATTGCGGACGTCGAGTGCAGCCATTTCAGGCATGCATCCACAAGGAAGCGCAGAAAATTCTATTCAAAATACAACACGAAATTAATTTTACATGCTACAGAAACAGATATATACTCCTGGAAATATGTACATATCGCATTGCTTGATGATAGACCAAAAGAAAAATACTCTTGGTGGACAAAACGAAACGACTTACTTCCGGTATCGGGGTTTGCGATGCCAGCACTTCTCGAAGCAACCACACTCCATAAATTGTGTAAGCTTTTAGATCCTCCAAGGGAAAATCTAAGGTCCACGAGTTATCCTCCTCAATGACACTAGCCGGTAACTGGTATGTTGTGCCGGTGGTGGGGCGTTTCTCTTTTTCAGTTCCGCAGTTTTTCATTAACCTGCAAAAGGGTAATTATTTTCAGAGTAAAAATGTGCGCATATTATACGAACAATACTCGCCAATTTACGAGTACATAGCAGTACTTACTTAATAATTGCGTCAATGAGGTACTGACTGTATAACAGTCGCTCATCCTTCATAGGTACGAAACATTGGCGGTTATGCAGTTTTCCGGTATCGTTTTGATGCAGAAGATTGGAACATTCTCGGCACAATCGGAAGGGCTTAAATGAGTTTAACTTTCCACATTCCCATGAACAACAAATAGTGTAGACTGTCTTTCTGTTGGATCCACAGCGCTGCAAAAACGACTACATATATTCTGAAATGTCTCCTATAAATCGTTCAACTTTCGATGCATTCAGGATTAAAAATTTCCTATTATTTTAAAGAACTGAAGCTAGTAAAACGCGCACGCTGCATCCGGCAGTCTTACCTGATTTTCGCATCTGACCGAGGGACGTTTCAAGCGCCCAAGATTGAAACACCTGAGCGCCGGTATTTTTTGCCGCCGCTTCTGGAATTCCGCACCGATGACACCGTCATCTTCACTTGTGCCGACTACACCAACAAATCCCTCTTCTTCCGCAACATCGATGATCGTTGCTCCGGCACTGCTGGTACCTAAAAAAGCAATTAAAACCGCATTGTTAGCATTTTATAATCGTCTGAGGGAGATCAGTTACTTACTAAAGTCATTTTGTGCTGGTGCGTAGGTCTCTTCTCCCGCAGGCACTAAATGCGGGAACAGATAAAACAATATCCGAACGGAATAAACTTTTGATCGAACCGATCCATAAGCAATTAACATTAGCAAGTCTTCCGACAGATTCGGCTTAGCTTTCATAAGCGTTTCCACCATCAGCAAATGCAGTTCTAAAAACACAAACAACAATCTAATTCTTCATCAAACAAATACTATCACAAAATAATCTTCTGCACTATGTATGGGTAAGCACCGAGTGCATCGTTATTTGTAAATTGTAATCCCTATAGAAAATTTAAGTCAGATTTGTTGTACCTTGATCATTGATGTGTTCGAATACCGTGCTCATCATAGACGCTGCGTATAAAGGTTCTCTTTGTGTTTCTGAAGCGTTAAGAATGGCATAATACCCTGTAATCAAATTAATATCTCACAGAGTTTATTAATAAATTGTGCCAATAAATTTTGTATGTATAATCCATTCTTACGACTAAAGACGTCAGATTTGCAGTTCAAAATCACCGCATCATAAAACTTTTCGTTACCATACATATCCTGGTAATGTAGGGTGATTCACATGATTATCATTTTGTAAAATTTTTACCGGTGACGAAAGGTATAAAGCAATCACAAACTGCTACGATGAGCCGGCGATGCATTTGCGATGGGAATGCGGCAATACATGAAATACATAAAAAAGGCAAATCTTCAATTTTCTCAGGATCCAGAAATATCAAGATCGCGGAGATCGTGCTCAGAACAGCTTCGGCAAAATCTAAAGCAATAAAACATAGTCATAAACATTCAAACCGTATGAAAAATTATTATGTAGCACAAAATGCACTGTCAGAAAAATAATGCAGACGAATTTATTATCTTAAAACGCATGACAGCGTACTATATTGTACAGTACAAAGCGGTAAAGATTTAACCAATCTTATTTACCGTTACCTATCTCCTGCATAACAAGCTTTGTTCTATCAGCTACATCATACCAGATTCTTTAAAAAAACATCCAAAATATTGCAAAATTGTGACTTGAATACACGGCAATCGAAATTTTAAATTTGAATTGGTTACAATGAAACCGTGTGTTGCTTACAATTAGTACAAAAGCGTAAAAGTAGAAATATTCCTGAACTAGTGACATGTTGTAAATTTAATGAGTGCAGCAAAAACTTTTAGTGTCCTGAAAGGCATTTAGAGGGTTACCAATGGCGCCGGTATTGATTAACTGAATATCGTCGGCCAAACTCTGGAGTGCATGATACAGCCCGTTATAGTCCAAATCCGGAAATATCGTTTGCCTAAGTTTTTCGTTTTGCGGGGCAGGCGACAAAAGCTGATCCAGAACTTCGCTCGATAGTTCTCTTGTCATCCTGAAAACAATTCGGAAAACTATAGAAAAAATAATTCCTGCAGCACATAACTTACTTACATTAATCTGTCACATAAAGCTAGAGAAATTTACAACGGATGTTTTGCCCAGTATTCGTAAAGATGTTTCATTAAACACTTTACATGCAGTACAATTTATTATGCCGAACACGTGTGATGAATGGAAAGAGCCTGAGTATTCTGAAGTCATAAAATAATAAAACTTACGAATTCAGGGTGTGTGAGAAGTATTTGAGCGTGGTGGCAACATCGATGCCCGATGGCTGCGCACCACTTCCGGCGTTGATCCGCAAATGAATGTCCCGCAGATTTTTTATCTTGGTATTGACTAGCCAGAAAACAAACCTCACAGTTACATCAAAATCAATTTTAGAAAACGAAAGAAGATGCTACAAATTACAATATAATGGGCGTATGTAGATACAGTATCAGTAATTTCACTTACAAGTTGCAGCTCTGGTAGCCATTGTAGTCTGAATTTGTTTCGCTTCTTTTGCGAATAAAAATGATCAGCGCTGGGAATATGTCTTGGACCGATCACTCCCGCACAGAGCCGCTTGCAGTTACGTATTTATCACGCCATTTGTGAGGTATTTTTGTCGAAATGAAGTTTAGGTTCTACTGGTATCCTAACCAGTAAGAACTTTATCCATCCTTTTTGCAAGATGTGGCTAATGACGAGAAAATCACAACTGTTAACTGCACGCTGGGACTTGTGAGTTTGCGTTAAGAGATCGATACGTCTGCAATATGATTCTCTGCAAAAAATACGAACATCTGTGTAAAATTCAGAAACGTGCTGACAGTCGAGCAGTCTGGGCCAGATTCCGTAAACTCCCGTAAGAGTCATAACGTTGTTCATCGATTTTCTGGTGACGGGTACGTTTCCCAAGCCTGACTGTGCTGTGAATGCCCACAGTGCCCCCACACATTTTACATACTACTATCGTAGCCGTACATACTGCTAGCAAACTTGCCGCGCTGGTACAGTTAAAGCACTTTCTCATTTTCCCAGTGCTGCCATTGTGAATGTATGCCATGCGTAAAATGATGACATTTCACAGATTTGGTAGTACATATTCAGAAGTTTGAATCTACATGTATACAGTTTTGGTTTTTATTATTTGCTTCTTGGAATGCTTTTCGCCAAGCGCTTTGACCATCGCTATTCAGTAGCAGAAGTGTTATTTTATTGGGTTATTGACATTAACATAGGTTAAACGCAAATGGTGGCGGCAGCGCCGACCTCCTGGGACCCGGGACGTCTTGGCGATGTAAGAGTGGCCATGGTGTCCGTCCCAAACCCAAGATTTTCCTTGGCCGGAAGTGGTAGACGTATCACAGTGTGATAAGGTAGGACAAGCGCATTCGCCGAGGTGGCAGTCGCAAAAGTTAATGGATAATAGAGGAGTGCACAATAATACTGTGCAGAAGTGGCGTCTTAACCCGGCAATGCCCGAGGTATCAAGGAATTTTTTGTCGAAGTTGAAATTCATACCATAGAATAACAATAATATAAAGAACTTAAACTAATTTTTTCAAAATTTTTGCTGCAGTAGTTTAAAATTTGAAGGGTAGGTGGAAATTCCACCGCTTGGGCATTCACGATATACAATACGTACGGTGTGGGCAAGGTGGTTGCCGGTGCGACACCACACAAATTCCGTTGTACACAACACTGTGGCTACTTGACCTACTCGAATCAACCTGGCTGTGGTAGCTGTTTACAATAGTTAGCTTATGCAATTTAATTCATTATGAAAAGATTCATGGTTGAATTTATAATCAAAAGAATGTTTCATTTCCGGTCAGCATGCAACAGGGTCATGGTGGGCTGCGCCAGTTTACATGTGTACAACACTGATCACAGCCAGCCATATTTATGGTTGGCTGCTTCGATCACAACGTCGTTTTATTGTTCTCTTACCTATTGCAGTCGAAGAAAAAATTGCGATATGATAAGAAAAATGTTTTATTATCATTTATGCTATTATAAAAGCACTCAGATCAGTCAGATGTCTTTATTTGTTTGATATTTTGATCAGTTAGTTGACAGTGTTCTGGTTTGGCTACTCTCCTAGTGTGCAACGGCTGAATCATATGAAGTGTGCGGCTCTGGTCACTGTGCCTGTTCAGGCAGCATGTTATTGTCCTACGCCAATGCCCAAGCGGTGGAATTTCCACCAGCTGTTTTTGAAAATTCACAGTTTTTTTACAGAAGAGCTGCAAACTTTTGTGTGATACTGAAATTGTGAGATACTCACATGAAGTTATCACTAATTTAATCCCAAATTTTTATCACAACAGCCGATTTAGATACACTTCGTAGAACTTTATGTTATTTTTCAGTGTTTTTTTAAGCAATGTACGTTTTTTATGGTGTGTCTGATTAAAAACTAAAATTCACTGTGAAGAGAGTTATCTTTGTTCTATCTCATGCATATGTAACCCAGGTAATGACAATAGTTCTGGCGTTGTAAAAATTAGCGAACTTTACTGGTGGTTTTTCCACCTAGCAGACGTTGCCGGGTTAATTGATTTTATTCGTGATTTTACAGCCATTGCACCATTTGTGGACCCTCTAGTTGTCAATCAACGTAACAAGCTACGCGTGCGGTGGCCATACCAGGCTGTTTTAACGTAAATCTTTGAAAATTCATAACTTCGTTCATTCCTGCATTAAATTTTTATGTATAGTCTTGAAAAATGCAGAATAATACACAGTATTAGGCAAAATAAATTCTTTTTTGTTTTTCTTTCAGGGTTATGCACTGTTAGCCTGTACGGCTAGCATAGCCGCCTATGGAGGATTTGTCATAGGCGGCTATGTTAACCGCAGGGGCTCCTAGTGCATTACCCTGAAGAAGAAACAGAGAAGCATTTATTTTGTCTAATGCTGTGTATTATTCTGCATTTTTCAAGACTATACATAAAAATTTAATGCAGGAATGAACGAAGTTATGAATTTTCAAAGATTTACGTTAAAACAGCCTGTGGCATCGGCCACCGCACGCGTGCTTCTGTTACGTTGTCACTTAACAACTGGAGGGTCCACAAATGGTGCAATGGTTGTAAAATCACGAATAAAATCAATTAAGACGCCACTTCTGCACAGTATTATTGTGCACTCAATAGAGCTGCTAACCGTACGACTAGCCATGGGCGGAGCGTACATCAACTGTCCAATAGGAAATCTGATTTCGGCCCTTCGTCTTTATTCGTTCAAAGTTTCCGCGACCGTTGCGAGGTAAACCGATGAAAGGATAAAGCAGGCGGCCACTGTTATGACATAAGTACCTATCGGCTATCAATGCCGACTGTGCGAAATATTTTTCAGAATTAACTCAATTAAGTGGACGATTAATACAGTCAGTTCTACAGTTCTTTTGTAATTTCGTCTTGGTAATTAATCCACAGCCAGTGAAGCTTTGGTGTTGGCTTATTATGGGCGATATGGTTGTAATAATTCACATAAATAGGATTACATGAAACTGCGGCGTGATGTTCTGGTCAAAATTTCGAGATCGGTTCGTACATCTGCATGTTTTCTTGCTTGATTCTAGTCTGCTGGATTATAAATGCAAGGTACGTCATCGTTTAACGAAAAGGATATTTTGAACCAGCGCAGAATGTTACAGAGTAAGGAATTTATGCACGGATTCTGTCCAGCTTTTGAAGGAAGATTCTGTAAAATTTCGGAATATGCTGCTTTGGAACAGAATAAACGTGGGATTTGTAATCGTTCCAGTTTTTGGTTTTGACATCGTTTTGACATCATTATCTGCGTTGACTTATTCATATTAATTTTAATTTTTATATCCTTGAAAGTTAAGCAAAAGTTACCGACCCATTTTTTTGGAAACCGAGAACGTAATATAAAATTTTATGCCATGCTATAGTGTTATTTTGACGGACACAAAATTTTTTGTATTTATAAATTACACTTTACAGCTTCGAAAGTTACTTTATGATATCTGACAGATATCATGATGGTGTGCACTGTGGCAGACAGAATTATAAGTATTATATGCAAATATGCACTGGCTTATTCATTCACAAAAATTACTAAACTTAAAAATGTAAACAGCAGTCCTTTCTTTGTTTAATACTGACAACCAGTTAAATGGTAACTGGTTCGTCATCTGCATTTTTTGTACGTATCGCGATTTAATTATTAACTGATGTTACCGAGAACGTGCCCATCGTGATGTAGAAAACTAATAACAATAACATGATTGATTTTTTGTTATAGTTGGTTTGTTTAATGCTGAAAGAAATTTTGAAGTTACTCCTGCGCATATTTACATTTGACTCGAAAAATGTGTCATATTTTCATCTTGATACTTATTGAAGGTATTTTCATCTTGAAGTAACAGACAAAACCGAAAAAATGTTGTTTGAGGACGACACGATAATTTTTGAGGACAACAATATGCAGATGCAGACAACTACAAGACATACTGCATAGCAACCTGTTGATTACAAGCCTGCTGGATTCAGGGCTCCGACTAAAAATCGTATTGCAAGTGGGCGCATATATAGGGGCTGTTCTCATAATCTGATCCTAACTGTTTTTCTCCACGCGGTAGTGTGCTCACAAATCGGTGGTCAGTGGTCAACGCTCAAATCGCTAAAATTATGGAATAACCACACCGTATACAGCACACGTATAGGCTTTTCTTAAGGATACATGCGTGTCCCGGTGTCCTCGGTGGCCTTTTGTGATTTATGTGCTGCTAGAACAGAACTCGAAACATATAGGATGACTAATTAGCTTCTCTATAACCAGCAAGATCTGGAGAAGTCTTCAGCCAGTTTATGGCTGCGGTCTGCAGGCCGGATAGTCCAGACAAGTGAGTCTGCTTGCTCTTCAGCAAGAGTGAAAATGTTTCATAAGATTAAGAAGGCTCGCAACCAAATATTCTGGCATTGTTAGCCAGCGCAATGTAAGCTGTCTCCTTCTTTAAACAATCAAGACAACCACCTGCAGATTTTGACGGTTGAGTATGAATTATGCGTTTACTTTCGACCTGAATAATCAGATAAGACCACAACTACGGTGAAGGAATGTTGGATTTTGCTGCTATTTATAAACCTGCCAAAGGCAGTAAAATAACAATAAATAACGGAAAAACCAAACAAAATTGTATTCGATTATTTAATTTATACCGTGAGAGATTTATCGTCTTGTTATTTGAGTTGGTTTTGAGTATTATTTTTAAAGATTTAAACGTATTTATTATTTTTGCACAATAATAATCTTTTTGAAATTGCGGATCATTTTATTTTCCCTAAACGGGTTCATTACAAATGATAGTGTATAATAATAACTGCGAATACTTATACTATATGCCGTGCGGCGTACACGATTGTTCTTATGACCTTGCGAGATTTTTGCCAAGTGAAAAGTATGCAGGGTTATATGAATAATTGCATGTCTTACATCAATGGCTTCTGGTTATGTTTAACGTTAAGACACACCGATTCCCACGGTTCTGTTGAATGACTGATGTTTTTTTGGGTTGACGAAAACAAGCGCACCATGAAGCGAAACGCCGAAACATTATTGAGATGTGCAATAAGAAAACTATAATATAGATTGTCAGCTCAACAGTAAATTAATTTTTCATTCATTTGGTCATATAATAAAATATGCTTTTTGTCTCAGTCTTACTTTTGCTGATTTAGTGTGTTGGGTTAGCCTTTTAGGATGAGCCGCTACTTTAAAGTTAATTAGCCAACGTATCGTAACTGTTATAATACTTTTAAACACACTGCTACCTAGAAATATGCTTTAGTGTGAAATGAAATTTTTAATGTATGTATGCTTGAAACCTTGTTGAATCCTGGGAAATGTGTTGGATATCTTAAACTTGACTGCAACTTAAAAGTGTCTCGCCGTATTTTAAATGGCTAAGATCGCTATGCTTAATCTCAGAATTTAAATCAAGCTTGAAATTTTACAAGTGTACGTCAGTTCGAAACAATACGAGTACTACTCGTATGCTTTTTGGTTGCGTTTAACGATAGCGTTTTATTTATGGGGTTATGACTTTGTAAGATAACCCTGCTGGCCCCCGACAAGCAGTCCCACGGCTATTTAGCATGCGTTATGCCAGTTTGAACAGGCCGTTTGGTACATAGCTATTTTGAATGCCGTTACATGATCCACATTGTCCGGTTGATTGAGCATATGGTTTTGCTTTGGTCAGTGGTAGTAATATTATGGCAAGAGATGATGTTACGAATTTTAAACTGAATGCAGTGCGAGAATCTTGTGAGCATTCTGATCTTAGCATGAGAAAATACTTTCCATTTCCTTTCTTTAGTAACTTGACACAATTATTTATACTGGTCACATAATCGTAAAATAAGAACGAAGAATGCTGTTCATAAAATCGTAATTGGTCGAAGAATGTTAAGTGTGCGCCGGTCTCGTAAAGGATCTAACCGCCATTTATATATGCGCGTACAGTCAGGTATGAATTCGAATTGCAGGCGTCAGCTGCCGGACAGGAAGTTTTGGATCAAGTTTTGAATCTGCTTAACCTAACGGAAAGAGAATATTTCGGTTTGCGTTATCTGGGAGCAAGTGATCAAGTTTATTGGCTAGATCCAAATCGATCGTTAGGAAAACAATTCAAAAAATGTAAGTATCTTATGAGTGGTGTCAAGAAAAACCATTGGGAAAGACATTTTTAAGTACTAAATTTCTTTTAATTTTTTAGGTGATCCAGTTCATGGGGTGGATACAGACGGATCGTCAGAAAAACGGTTAAAAAAGTGTGAGTTGAAAATCTGATAGCTTTTCTGGATGTGAAATTCTGTACCAGAAGTTACAGCCGCATTTCCTTCCGTATTAGTTGAAATAGAGTAATTGGTGTAAAATCTCTGATTTTCCAGGTGAAACGTACAGACTATTCTTTTGTGTGAAGTTCTATCCTCCAGACCCCTCACAATTACACGAAGAAACGACACGGTAATGCTGCTTCTCTATTTTTGCGCTCGAAGCTTATGGTTAATGCAAGACCGCAAATATTTGATACCGTTTACGAGTTTTGCTAGTGATTAATTTTGAATCGCTTTCGGTAGGGTTAAGTTAGCATTCACGTCTATAAATAATATTGGCCTTATTGTGCATAAAATGCAGTTTTTGCGTTTTTATAACATCATGTATTCAACTTTGAAATTTTTAAAGCTTGTGTTATTTTTTTCCAGATATCAACTCTTTCTGCAAATTCGACAAGACATACACCATGAGCGGTTGCCAGTACCTTTGGACGCTCAGGTTGAGTTGGGCGCATATGCGTTACAAGGTGCGTCTGTCAGTTGCGGCTCGCCTTGTTTGGTGTTATTGGTTCTGATTAGATTATCATTTGGATTTTTGGTTGTAGCGGAGATAGGTGATTACGATACAGATCGTGACCAACCCGGTTATTCGTCAACATTCCAGCTGGTTTCGCAAAAACTTATGCTTGACGTACGATTGCAGAAAAAGATAGAGGCTATTCATAAAAGCTTGCGGTGAGTTGGTCAATGTTGATTTAATTCTCTGTCTTTAATTCTCACTTAATAAAATTCTCACTTAATAGGAACGAAAACTGGGTTGTTTAAATGTTCGAGGATTATCAGCATTTAATTAGCTAGCTGGCAGCTCAGATTTTATTATCTGTAACATTAATTAACACAACAGTGTGTGTGTGTGTTTTCAGGGGCGTTTCCTGTTCAGAAGCCCAGTATCGCTACCTGACGTTCGCTAAATCACAAGATTTATATGGAGTAGATCTGTATGGAGTTTTGGGTGAAAGTGATATCAGCGATCCTTACACAACAGATTCTGGTTATTTTCTGGGCCTATCAAACTGTGGCCTCTCGATGATCCACAACGAACAGAAGCTTGCCGAATTTCAATGGGAAAAAATCGTCTCGATTTCCAAGGATGTCCCACGTGCTGGCCGGCGCGATAAGGGCGGAAGTATTATTATCCGGGTGCGGAGCGAACAGGACAAACTCGCTACCTTCGGGTTCCGCTTGACTACGAGGGCAGCCTGTAAACACTTTTACAAAACAGCAATAGAACATCAAAAGTACTTCCGGTCGGGTTTGAAAGGAACGGGTGCTATGTCCACTCCATCTTTGAGTTCATGGTTAATGCGTATTGGTTCGAAATTCCGTTCGTCCGGCCGATCAGGATCAGATTCTGTTAGCTTAAGAGAACGGCGCCGTTCGGTACGCTCGGAACCCAAAATGGAACAGAATACCAACACTGTCCAGCGTAATCGCGCTCAGCCAGCGTCGACTGTGATTTATGAGGATGACAAGATGACTGTGATATTAGGAAACGGTACAGAAGTATGGACACAGCTGAAGATGCCCCCGCCAGAAAACGATCATGTTCCGGAGCTGCAGCCACGGAATGCGCTGGTCAGTCGAAGCCTGCGGCGGACAACGGTACGTTCATCCAGTCCGATGTCTATTCAAAGTTCCTTTTCAACTGTTCCCCGCCGGGTACCAGAGAAAGTGGATGATGACGCAGATTCGGTGTTTTCTGGGTCGAGTCGGATCAGTCGCGCGGTAAGTGATGCAGAAACTCTCAGGAAGAAACGGAAGCGTTCAACCATGGGTGAGAACAATTCTTCGGGGGCGAGCGAAGAAAATGATGTACCGCGTCAGCCAGAACTGAGGTCATCTGTCGGACCGGAGCGACGAAAGGGGAAAATGCCTATGCGGCATCGCACTGTGGACGGAAGTGTTACGCAACAGGTTTTAGCGCAGATGCGGGTGTCTCCGAGCAAGTCCTCGGATGGACGATCTTTGAATCTCCCGGATCGTCTGGCGGAAGTGATGCAGTCGGCACGGTCTTTAAATTACTTAAATAGCGTTGGATTGTCACCTCGATGTAACGGGAATCGACAAATGTTTCTCTTTACTGGCGAAGGCCATTTGCCTTTGGAACCGCAATCTTTCTTTGACGCACAGCAGACTAGTACCGGCCCAAGGTAATTTTCTTTTCGGCTTGGAGTTAATACGAATGTAATGTATCTGAATAACTGCGGTTTTATCTTAATTACCGGTACTTCTTTTAATTTTGATACAATTTGTATTTGAGCAGGGATATGCATTCGAATACTTACTTATTTACCAGTAAATTACCATATTTTGCAGTTTGCACTCGATTGAAGTCTATTAACACGTCGCGTTATTTTAGGCGCCCTCCGAGAAATTTACCGCTGCCTTGTGTACCGCCGGATAGTGTGTCCCGAACCGCACCACGTAGTCCCTATTTGCCCGCTCCTTCATCCCCCATGAAAGCAACAAAAACGTTCGACTTCCACATCCAGTCACCAAAACTTTCCCTACCTCCGGACATTCCTCTTCCCGAGCCCCCGCGTCACATTCGGAGTTTATCTAGCTCGGATACCACGCCGAAGAGTCCGCGTAATTTGCCTACGACCCGCTCGCGACTCCGCAGCGATAGCCATTTCAACCGCGACGACGTTCAGTTGGATTCTGGCATCGACCATTGCTCGCCGTTAGCCAGTCCGTGCCCCGTAATTCCACCTCCGACACCGTTTGCTGAACCACCCGCGGTGCCAGCTCGGCCACCGCACACCCTCAAGCCATTTCCCACTCGAATGGTCAGTGGACGGAATGGCATGATAAAAGGACGGACTGATTCCTTTACTAGTGCGATCACTTCCAATGACATGGAGATGCAACCCGTGGATCGCACTTCTGTACCGGAAGCAACATATGATTGTGTATATGGCGCAGCGGGAAAGACGCACGTACAACCGTCTGAACATGTAGCGCAAACACACTTGGTGGAGGTGGATGTGCACGCTCCTCATTTCATAGGAAATGGACATGTGAACGGCAGTGAATCGCTGTATTTAAGCAGCAGTGCTTTAGAAGATTCAAAGGAGAACACACAACCTCTGGTTGCCGGCAAGGAAATTGTACAAAATCAAATGTATTTCGATATGAGGTTTGATGGAGAGCCGCGTGATGCCGGCAGCGTCCTGAAAACTGGTAACATTAAACCGGTGAAAGGTTATGTCAGTCAGGTGCGTAATTGTTACTCCCATTTACTCGAAACTGAGTAAAATTTTTTGTCATGAAAATACGTGCAGCAAAATGCCTTACATACAGGGCCTAGTTCGGTTGATTGAAATCTGTTTTATAGAAAGTTGGACCACCAGTAGCTTCAAACTATCCGTTGGCGATATATTCCACGGCTGCCGAATTATCACCGGGAATTCCTGCCACTACAAGCACTGTTAATGGCATTCCGCAAAATTCGGGATTTACTCAATTACGCAGTGGCTACGAGTACTCACCATGCGGCGGCGCTGTACCTTATACGACAGTTTAAACTGATTTTTGTTTTTTTTCCATAGTTTTACTTTTGTACAGGTTGCTCAGACTGCTTTCTTTGATGTGTAAATTGTTTTCTACGGGTTCTTGGAAAATGTTCCTTGTTTTTATCACCAGTTGCTCCAAGTATCCATCGTAAGTAAGACTTTATGATTACCAATAAAATTAGTCAATTCACTATCACACACATTATAAAAAGGTACAACTATACGAGTAGATAACGCACTTCAATTATCTACCGTTTAACTTTTTTATTCTTTGGACGCTCTGCCAGCTGTATTTCCAACTGGTGCATAGCTTTAGGAAGGTCGTTCAACAGGAGGTCGTCCACCGTCTTGGTAAATGTGCTGCGTATCCATTCTCTTCTTAAATAATCCAAAGCCATCCCTACAATCGGTCCCTGGTGACCTTTTTCTATTAGCATGGTGGCTTTGACTGGGAACGGTGGAATTTCCCAGTTTTCCATTCCCTGTACCAGGACGCCATCGCCACGGTACTTCAGTAATTCGATACAGCGCGATCGCGCATCAGACTGTTTGCACGTGAGGGCGGTTTCCGCCACAAGATGCTGGTACGGTACCAATGCATTCACATCCGGATATTTCCGGCAGTAATCCAGCAGATCAGGATTTGAGCGGTGATCGATGATAAAAAGTACCGTCGCACATTCTTCATTGGATAACCGTAAACGTTCATCCAGCTTCTCCACCTGTATCCAGAAAAAACAAACAGTGTAAAATAGTAAGTAAGTACCTATGTCGTACGATAGTATCGCTGGAGAATGTACTACTCAGTACACGTAAAACGTTAGAAGTTACTGAATGAAAGTTTCAACGACTTTAACTTTTACAGTACATCTGACACTGCGCGAACGACTACATGAACCATTAACAAAAATTTTCATTAGCCCCGTTGACTTCTGTGTCTGTGCATTCACAGATTGGAAAAATTTTACGAATCTTGAACGTCTGTCAACAAATACCTCTTCCTGGCTCGCAAGAAGCGAGGCTAATATCGTCGCTGGTTTAGGCTGGAATTCATGACATCTTTTCCAAACAGCAAATAATTCTTCCACATTTGGTTTTTCCGGGAATCCCATGTACCGTGTCAGACCGAGATCAACCATACGGCTAACTAAATGATTTCCGTGGCGTCCCGTAAGGATTTTTCGCAGTTCCATCCAGATACGCTCGCCCGATATACCTTCATTAAAAGAGAAATACATATAAATCAACTAGCAATATTGATAATAATATTATTAATAACAGGTAATTACCAAAATGCTTGTAGTTTTGCTAACACCATAACAGCAACAACAAACAACACTAAAACAGCTAAAATATGCAAGCTGTTTCTAATTTTGAAAGAACTCCCCTGATCACATTTTGCTGTTATATGGGTACAAAACTACAGTTCATTGCAAAACTTACGTTGCAGCCCGTCAGCATTTTCCCGAATCGCTTCCAAAGTGTCGGAATCGTGATTATCGGCATCTGGGCAAATTCTTCCGTAAAAGCGAAAATAGCGCAAAATCCGCAAGAAATCTTCCTGGATGCGTTTTCGAGGATCGTCCACAAAACGAATACGGTGCTGCATAAGATCCTGCATTCCGCTGAAGTAATCGTAAAGATTCCCATCCAAATCTGAAACAAAAGAACCCGAATCAGACTAAAATCAGCTGCAATTCGCTTTCTAACATTTAAACAATTCCAAGAACGAAAAACCACAATTTATTTTAGCTGCAAATCTTTCGGAACCAAAAATTCACCCGTTGCTAACAAAATGCCAGCAAGCAGCAAATTTCATTTGTAATAATAATGAAAATATTTTTAAACAACAGTGAATAACACAATTTAAATAAAACCCTGCATACGCTCGATAACTGCTATTTAAACAGCCGACAATAATAATTCAACTAAAACCAGAATAAACAAATGCAGCGACTAAATATTTCTTATACAAAATGGCTGCACACGAAATAAGCCTGACCTAAAAACATGGAATTTATGGTCAGATCGCGCCGTCGCGCGTCAAGAACCCAGTCCGTGGTGAATTCCACTTGTGCCCATCTTCCATCGGTCGTCTTATCAATCCGCAGTGTGGTGACTTCAAAGTTCTCTTTGTCATTTATTCGTGCTGTTACAGTGCCATGTTTCTCTCCACCCGCATTAATCATACGGATCAGTTTCTCATCAAACATCTTCTTCATATCCACCGGAGTGGCTGTTGTGGCGAAATCCACATCCTCCGGTCGAATATTCATCAAAATATCCCGCACTGCGCCGCCGGCTATGCGCAGTTCGTAGCCATATTCCCTGAAGATACTCGCCAGACTTTCCAGTTCCGGAGTGAAGAGACTCCGGAAGACAGGCGACGTGATTTTCACAGATTCTGCCATGTTAATGCGATTAAGTGCGGATTGTAAGCACATCGAGCTTCTACATAGCGGACGCACTGACTGGTTCACACCACACTGGCTTTTGTAACGAAACTTGAATTTCGGGATGTTAACGGATAGTATGGACAACACTCTGGTCGAAACCCTCATGAAAATCGAGAAGATGATAACAACAACGTAAAAACAATCACTATAGGCTGGTTGGTCTTAATAAATGCCGGTCTGCTAAAAAATCGTAAAAGTAAACGCGTGTGTGCAGGTGTGCCGCAAGGTTCCATTCTTGGCCCGCTACTCTTCATTATTTATTTGAACGAACTGTTAAAAATCGATTTACGTTTACGGTTTACCCGATGTGCGGTTAGAAAGTTTCGCTGATGACACAATCTGCTACGCGATAGCGGACACGAAGTCTGAAGCAGCAAACAAAATAACTGCGGCGCTTCCATTAATTTGTGAGTGGTTTAATTTGAATCGTTTGGTAGTTAACGAAAAAAAGTCAAAATTGCTTATGGTTACATCTGCATACAGTCGGGATAAAAGTGTTGTGTCGGTTGATTTGAATGGGCATAAGCTCGAACCGGAAGAGTCAGTAAAACACTTGGGAGTGATAATTGATAAGCATCAAATGGACTGATCAAATTAAAAAGGTCCAAAAAAGTGCATATCATGGAATCGCCCTCATAAACAGTGTGAAAGACGCACTGCCGGTGCCCCAACGCGTTGGACTTTATCACGCATTTGTCCAGTCACATCTGGACCGTTGCTCCGTTGTATGGAGTGGTGCGCCTGCGTCCACGCTGGAGCCATTGGCTGTCGCGCAAAGAAAAGCTGTCCGAGCCATTGCCAATTTTCCTGAAACATCCGCTGCCCAGTTGATGGCACAATTTGGAATTGCACCGTTGTTTGAACGGTGGAAACACCAGGAAGCAACCTGGCTGTATAAAATTCTTCATCCTGAAAAGTTTCAAGTGCCGCACTACCTCACCGAAATGATCGTCGTGAAGCACTCGTCCAGCGCGTATAACCTTCGTCACGGAAACCGCACTTACATTGACGCGGAAGCAGCAACAAGGATAGGGAAGTCCACGTTGGCCTGGAGGCTCAACAACATCCGTACCCAACTGTGTGCGAACGGAAACGGCATCCTTGATAGTGCATCTCTCTTTGTTTTTCGTAATGCGCTTAAACGTTTTAACTTTGCTGCGTAACTTTCATTTTTTTACGATCTGTATGGCCTTTCTCTGACTTCCTTCACGTGCCAGATTTGTGTTTTCTTGTGAGCCAGGTTTAAATTCCCACGCTAGAATACGATCCTAGTTTTTAATGGGTTACCTGCCTACCGCTTCAATAAACAATAAACAAACAAAAAAATGGAAAACGAAAAATCAACAGTAGTCAGTACACACTACACAGTCGGTATCTCGGAGGTTCACTTTCAGTTAGGTGTGCAGTGGCGACTGGACAGTAGTGCCCTGCAACGGACTAGAAAACTTCGTCCAGTCCGATCCAAACTTAAAAAATTTTATCCGAACCCAGTCCGACTCCGAATTCTAAAAATCGTACTCCGACCAATCCGATCCGTAAATATTTTGGCCAATCCGAACCCACTCCGGTCCACTCCGAAAAATTTTTCAAAAGAATATTTACATAAAATTTTTTTTTATATACATTAATGATGTGCATTTACTGTACTCGTACTTCTGCAGTAAAGGCACATCTTTACTGCTTATTAAAAAAATTGTTAAGGCCGTTTTGACGGTAACAAGAGGGCTTCATACATTACAGTTTTCTGATCTTTTTTTGGCGTAAAAAAAGGTCACTTTAGAGGATTTTTAAAAAAAGTTCATGTAAATACGAAGTTTTCTTTAACAATACAGTGCAGACTGTGCAGTAGCATTTTGGGAAGGTATTAAACTGTCCGTATTGTCAGAAATCTGTATCAGAGCTTTTTTGTTGTGAACGGTTCAGCAACATGGTGGCCAGGGTCGAAAAGAGGGAAGGAAAATTAAAAGTAAGAATGTTTCTAAACGTCTTCAACTGCAAAAAATGGTAATCTCACGAATTCAAACGCTTTTTAAGGTTTTGTTTAAACATATATAATATTATTATTATCCTACTCACCAGTATCGATCCAATTACTAGTGCTACAAGCCTACAACTATAAAAACTGGGTAGCCGGTGCCCAGTTAAATTGTCTGAGCCGTAAATTACATGATGGAGAGCGTAATCGAAGTTAGTTATATAATTATCTGGTAGGGCCATAACATTTAACAACGTTACAACAATCACAAAACATTCTAATACAGTATTAAAAAGTGACAAGAGAGTTAATAAAAGAAAGTAAAAGAGATTTGATAGCAGTTAGCAAGAGTACTCTGTATCTGTAGATACTTTGGTTTTACATATTTCAACACAAACGGAAGCCTCGCGCGAAGCGCGAACCTGACGAAGTTTTTTGTTTTCAAGTTGCGTGAAATTCAATAAAAATTAATTATTATTATTTATTTATCACGGATTATTCGGAGTCTTGATTGCATCCGCATCCGATCCGGTCAGATGCACATAAACTCCGAAACCACTCCTAATCCGAATTTTCCAGAGTGGACTCCGTCCAATCCGATCCGAAAATCGGAGTGGATACGGAGCGGTTCGGATTTACCAGTCCGGTGCAGGGCTCTACTGGACAGGTACGATTGTACTGGTACAGTATATCAACTGCCGTCCGTCGTTCTGTCAGCTGCTCGTCAGACAAGCGCTCCGCTCACAGTTTCGCCATATCGTACACGCCAACACGGTGCTTTTTTATAAAAATTATTGCAATAAATTGGTCTTTATTCAATAAAATATCCGACAATAAATAATCAACAGGCAGAAAACTTCTTGGAACAAAGTTAGGCCATGGCATAGTGCATACAGAGTGCACGAGCACGACACAACAGTGCTCACTGTCTTACCGTGCTTCGCAAAAAAAACTATATTAAATAAGACCGGAAAATTTACACCTGGAAACCAAACGAAACTTCGTAAACCGATACTTATCATTGAACAGGTAGAAATTTATCTTCCACAATTTTCACAATTAAACATTTAGCCTTAAAACAGCCCAGCGGACTTCTTCAGAGCGGTTCGTTTCCAAGGCGGAAGCTGGCTGAAGTCATTGTATGACATGCGGAATACTGCGCGGAAATCCTCTTCGTTAAGGTAAACCTGCAGCGTTAACGTTCATGTAATTTTTAAAGCTTGGCGATCAATTAAAACTTTACAGCGAACATATATATAAATTCTTCAGCAAATATTTTCATGGCCTCATAAAAAATAATTTAATAGTGGTACTCGTGGTCATTTTTAACCTCTTTGCTCTGCGCGTCCACTCCCTCCGGTAACTCTTCCGATGCCATAGAACGCAGACGACTTAAAGGGAATTTTGGTACACCACCAGCGCTAACCTACAATAACGCCGCAGCATAATTATACTTGTATCTGTTACATTTAGGTCTCTTTAATAGGCAGAAAGTTACTAAACGGAACTTTGAGTGTAAGTTTAGTAACAAGCTAGTTGCAAACATGTAATTAACAGAAATTAGCAAAAAAAAAGAAAAGACCGCAGACTTTCACAGTACAGAGTCTACAGACTAATATAGATACATCAATGAGATCTTCGCAACGGAGTTACGGAAATCACTTCGAAGAAGCTGCGCTACTGCACAAAAATTACAGCAACACTAAACTTTTCTGCAGAATGCTGTTATACACGTTGCAATGGTCCGTGGTTAGCTCGACATACAGTACTCGTACCTGTCGCTCCAAATTAATATTCACGGGAGCACTTCCGCTGGGAACGGATCTCTCTCCATCCGCTGGTCGCTTCTAAATGAAGGCAATTGCTTTTTCAATCGAAGTGTTGTTATGACCTTTCGAGAGAACTCATAGAGCTTTTAGTTACCGTCCAACGCGAATTGTCCCAAATACCAAAAAATCCAGAGAAATTCGGCGGCTCATAACCTTGTTTGATGCGCATAATCGGTGTCGAATCATCGCGCCCCATTGGATCCGTACGCAAATAATCCTATTCCAAATAAAATAATCTCTCATGAAACTTCGAGTGGTCAAAACCATATATACAGCAGAAAGATGATTCACCTTTGCGATTTCCTCGGCTTTCTTTTTTTCTTCCGCATTTGCACCATCACCAATCCACATGAAAATGGCATCACCCGTGTCCAGCAGCATCACATCGTCAGCAATCAAGTCGTCCTGGTTGAAATCCACAATTTCCTCCACGCTGAATCGTCCGCTGGCATTAGAGCAATGGAACAAACGTGGTTTACGTTCTGGGGCCGCTTCTTGTAGGCGCTTTTCACTGGCATACGGCTCCTTCCCACCAATAGCTTCCCAAAAATCCGGTTTTTCACTGCCTTCAAAAATCATCACCGATTCGCGTGGCGATTTGCTAGCGATCAGTTTCGCAGCTTCTCGCTCATCACCGGTTGAGCCCTGTTAGATATATGAAACTGGATAAAGTAGATGCACAATAGCAACATAATGCTTTTACTAATGCACAGTAGCAACATAATACAACATAATGCTTTTTTTATGCTAAGTAAAAGCATTATGGTAGCGACACTTGAATGCAATAATTCAAACCTCAAAGCTGCATCAGTAATATAAAAAATGTTTGCAATCGGCAATGGTAGCCAAAATTAAACCACAAAGGTAGCAGTTAACGCAGTAGTTGCGTGAAAAAGTAAATAACGCTGCTTCAAATGCGGACACTTTTTTGTGCGTGCTCACCTTTCCAGCCCAAATATACACGGATGCTTTCGTGAACAAGACAAAAACATCATTGGAATTTAGGGATGATGCTTTTCGTGGCACCTCGATGGCTTTCGTATCGAACTTTGAATAACCGCGAACATGCAGCAAGAAGGTGTCCTTGACGCCCTGCTCGTCTTTTTGGTTGCTGTTGGCGAAACCACTTGCCCTACCACCCTATGCAGCAAACATTTTCGTAACTATGTTTCTTTCGTTGCCGCTAAGAAAACCCGATAAAAATAACCACAGAAAACTTAGTCAACTCACCTCAAAAATCACCATTTTTCCCTTGAACATGGCCATGAAATGAGGCGGTTCTTTGCCCTGGACGACACGCACTTGTACCGGCTCGCCTGCATATTGGTCATCCATCTCAATGGTTTTCAAAGCCGCTGTTCCCTGCTCATCCGCTGTAGATTTTGCCCCAATCCAGTAATATATAATGTGACATTCTGCCGATCCCCGGAAATAAGTGTACAATATGACGTAGCAATCTCCTGCATAGAACGCGCCGTAGTATTTTGGGTCGATCGGCTTCAGGTCAAAGTTTTCCGCCCGCCAAATCTGTTTTGTTCCGGATCCATCGTCCACCATCTGACTGCTGGCTGCCAAGGCGGGATTGTCGTGCAGTGTAGAAGCATCGAATTGGGTCTGAACTGTTTGAGCTGAACAAAAATAATATTTTTTTTAATGAAGTTCACTACTAGTACACTAAAATTTAAAAAGTAAAATATTATGTTAATGTGAATGTACAAGCAGTCTGCTGACTCTGCTTCCACGTACCGATTCGGTTAAATGAATGACCTTTGCTAAGACCGGTGCCGGCAACCTGGTGCTTTTCATGCCAACCCTTAAATAAACCTTTAAATTCTACTGGTTCGCCACCGTCGATAACGCGAACAATGGGTGTTCCAGGAGGATATCCTTTTTTGTTAATGAACCCCTAAAATCCAAAGTTAAACTGCAAGGCTAAATCAAGTAACCAGCACTGTTTTACAAATAATCACCTGTGCGTTACGCATCGCTTCAGTCCGCTCGGTTTTTGTGGCCTTCTTACCGATCCACACCCAAATACCATGCTTCTGGTTGTCAATGATGAAGCTGTCCTAGAAATATCGAAAAATACTAACATACTGCTTCCAGACAAACTATTCCCGGAAAAACGCACATTCTGATCCAGGTCCGTCTGAAGCAAAGGACCGTTTTTTATTTCCACAACTTCGAATGTGCCATGCGCATCGGAACATCTGGTAACAAACGGTTTCATTTATTTATATAGTGTTAGCGCCAAAATATGGAACGTTTCGATCTCCGCAACAGATAGGGCGTGCTTTCACCAACCGGTAGAGCTTCAGCTGTTCAACGGAAAGTCGTTCATGGGTCGCATCATCTTCATCTTTCGTAGCGGCGCCTAAAGCTTTTTTGTCCAATGGCAAGAATTCGGAAAAGGCCTTAAATATGATACCGCAAAAAGTAATTACAAACCACAGTAAATCAAAATTAAAATTATCTTGCAAGTCTTTATTACACTATTATCTTATGAAGTTATCTTGCATGAGTTTAATTATCTCTGATGAGTAACGACAAACATATTTCTGGTTTTTTGTATGCAGTACCTCCTTTTCATCGGATGGCAAGTCGTTTTCTTCGCCATCCTCAACGGTGACAATTTGTCCACCACCGCGCTCCGTTCGGATCTTCTGCGTCAGCTTTGAGCCTTGCATTTTTTCGTAATTGTTGGCGCTCTTTCCATACCACACAAATTGTATATTTTTGGTGCTCAGTACAAACACATCGCCTTCATTCATAGACGACCAGGAAATACTGCGCAACTACAGAAATATGAAAACTGTACTGTAGTTCATCTGGGCAAATACTTTGTTGTTGTGTCTAATTTGTCGATGCGCATTTTCATCTAAAAAATACCTCGCGGAAGATTGGACGTCGCTTGCCCTTCACTTGATATAATTTCGGTTTGATGGTCAACTCCACATGAGAAAGACCGGAACCGACTCCGCCTTCCATGTATCTGAAAATAACCGTTTAAAGTTTCTGTTAAGTAACGCCTTTTAATTAAGAAAGTTTTGCCAAAGGGAGGTCAGGGAACACCTTATGCCACCCGGAAAGTAGCCTCGGAAGCGTTCGGACTCCGAGCCCTGCACTTCGCGATGCTGAATCGGCGTGCCACCCAGCAAATCATCCAGTTCCACTGTTTTGATAGCCGAAACGCCCGCTTCGTCCTAAACATCAACATTTGTTGAAACTCAGAATTTTAACGTGCATTAAATATGACATGTCCGCCATAACAGTACTGATTTAATTTAAAGTTTTCTTAAATTACTGGGAACGATAGCGGCTTCTGACAACGTTTAAGGTGAAATACAGTACACGTACTTGTGAAGCATGCTCTCCAAGCCAAAAATGGATTCGCATATCCGGAAGACCTCGTATTTCCCGGGACTGTTTTTAAAAAAATTATTAATTTAAAATTTTGCGTCATTGTGGTGTTTCTTACCTTTACGTTAATACCAGGCGCTTGGGAATTATCGCAAGCCTGAAATAAAGGAAGTGCCAGATATTCGACGGGCTACGCAGTGGTCAACAACGCTGCACGATACCGAAAATATGATGTAACAATCTCCACTGTAGAAGCTGCCATATTGCTCCTTTGGGACAGGGACAAGCTGCAGTTTCTGCGAATGCATTGTAAATCACAAAAGTTAGTCTAATAATAACAATTGTCTTAACCGTTAACGTTAGCAATAAATTGTAGACCCGTCAAAAAGCATTACACAATCTACCTTGTACAAAGGAAGCTCAAACCAAAATCCGTACCTCTACACGCCAGATGAGAAATGCTGCGTGTCCTTTTTGAATGGAGCGAAATGCCGGATCGATGACAGGTACATCCTTTTTGGCTGGAGCGGGAGTTTCGGGAGCCATCTTGAATGCAGCTGTGCACACTGATAAACTGGAGCTACAGTTAACTACGAATCACCTTCGCCCACAAAAAAACACAAATCCAGATAAGACCGTGCACTGCGTGCTGCAATGGAACAGATGCTTGGTTCTGCTGGGCGAATACTATACTGACATGTGAAATCTGTTTTACCGTCGACAGCATAGCTTTCTCTTTGCAGTCGATTGTTCAAAAAGTGTTATCAGTGCTTCTAATGCGAATTATCTTAAATCGTATTGATGTGTATGTACTTGCATATTGCCACCCGCCACCGGTATATCCCGTCATTGTTAATCTTACAACTTCCAACAATAGAGCCATCTGGTTATCTTCGTCTTATCGCAGTACAGAATACACACTGTTTAGAGCCCGATATTACCAAATTCTTCGGTCAGGCCTTTGCAATATTTGTGCGTCAATAAGCGTTCAATTTATTGTAACTGAAGCATTCGCAATTTGCAACAATTGGGCACAAAGTCTAGGTACTGCACATATGCGGCAAATATTAAAATATCTCCAATTTGAACGTACGCCGCATAAACAGAAATGCCCAGAGTGGTGTAAACAAATATCCATATTGTAAGTAAGTACACTATGCAATAAATGGCCGTTATTACGAGTACAGTACATGCAAAGCATACAATTAGAACACCCATTAATATAACTTTTACAAATTATATTTGCACACTAGGCTCAATAATTTCAGGCTTCCACTATAAACATACAATGTTTCCGAATGTTTAAAATCGAAGCTCACGTTATAATTATTGTCAACGAAAGCGATACTTTTGTGGGTGTCAACATTAAAGTTGCCCTTCTTTTGTCTCGATCTCATTTGCATCAGCGCTGCGTGCCAGCATTTCCAGAACCTTTTTGCCCAGCTTCCCATGAACCAAACCTTCATTCTCATCCTTCTCGTTTCCTTCTTTTTTATCACTCACATTGACACTTTCCTGAAAAACTTTTCCACCACTTTTATCACGAAATACGTTCAGCTTCAGCTCATCACAGCCCTTCTCCAGCGTGCACTTGCAGACATTAGCGAACAGCCGTTTTCCAATATCTGACTGGCGATAGCCCGGCTCGACGTAGATATCCTCCAACAACATACTCTTTCCCTCCCAAGAAGAATACAAAAAGTGATACAGTGCATATGCCACAATTTTGCTGCTCTTCATTTCCTGCGCGACATGCGCGAAAACAACGGGTGCATCGCGCCGGCTGGCAGGGAAAGCGTCCAGCCGGAGACGCTCTGGAGTAATGGATGGTCCACGCGGAAATCCCAGACTACGGGCGAGTTCGTAAATGCGAGCACAAATTCCATCGCAGTCTTCGGGTATGGCGGGTCGCACGTTGACGATAATGGGACACGCCTCATCCGGCTTTGCAGTCACCGACGTCATCCATGTTGTAGCATTTGTTCCATCTGAATCTGCCGTATTTGTACTGGACAGAGAAATGCTTACAGGCAGTACTAAACCTAACGGGGAGGCGAAAGTGCTAAACAAAGAGGTTAGGGTACTGGGATATGGGATTGTGAACTGCGGAAACAGGGGAACACCTATGCCTTCCTGGGAAGAGGTCTGCGGAAGCGTCGGCTCGGGAATCTGCAACCAGCAACATTACGCAAAAACATAACATGCAAGGCCAACGCAAGGCCAACGGATTCGGTAGAAATGTACGATACTCGTACTTCTATGCAGGTTACAGAATATCTATATTCAGAGGTGTTAATGTTAATATGTAAAAATATATATAACTCCGTGCCGCAAAAGTTGTAAACGAAATACCTAGTAGGCTTGTACATAAGTACTGACGAGTGAGTAGTTAATGAAGGAACGTATATAAATACTATATATCTATATACTCATTATACTGTAGACATAAATCTTGTGACACATATTATAATGTGACATATTCGCAACGAATCCGGTGCATATCTTAAAAACAACCTAAATCGCAACCACCAACCTTTTTTTAACAACCTAAATCGCAGATAAAATTACGAGTTAATAAACTTAATAAACTTATATAATAATCGGTAATAAACTTCGTAAATTCGAAACTTCCATGGCTGACGCACGACAAAAACAACGAAACAAGCTGGTCCCGCAGTCGCACACCGCATAATCGTTCGAGTTTCATTTTTAGCGGCGTTTGTATTTCCCTATTACAGTAACGCTCACGCGTGCCGTACCGGTGCGTTACTCTGTGTTCCAACCGATCCTTTCAGTCGTGACTTCCGGGCTTCTCTTAAGCGACGAGCAATTGTTGAGAACCCAATCTTACCAATGGTTTTCTCCAGTTCGATTTTGGCTGCATTCTTCGTGAGGTTCTTGTTGTTCTCGAATAATTCCAGAATCTGTTGATCCTGTTCCGGTGTCGTTTTCCGCTTGCAGCCCATTTGTCGAGGATTGGCAGGTTCTCCTGATTCGGGGTCGAAATTTTTCATGATGTAACAAACCCAACGCTTGCTATGACCAAACATAGCTCCGATGGTAGTGTAGCTTTCCTTCTGAGATTGGAGCCGATGTACAAGCTTGGCAACTTCTGGACTTATACACTTCCTCTTTCCCATGATGTTACAGTATTGTTAATAAATGGGGCGCCGGCCAGTGGCCATACGAAATTTTCAAGGATGAGTGACGGTACGAAACTTTTCGTTACAGGGGAGTAACCACTTTAATGGCAACAGCGCGAGGAACCCCCTGAGTTATTTATTAGTCATAAATATTCCGACACCCGTGTCCGCCGTATGTGTAGTTGTGTACAGGCGAAGTCGAAGTATAGTTCCCAGCGACACCGACTTAAAGCGCAACATGCAACAGGACTTTGACTCATAAGTGAGTCACAGTAGTAGTTTTGCCGTTTCAGGCTTTCGTTAATTATCTTTAGTATAGTTTAGTTTTTTCTCTTTAGCGTTTTTTTCTCACTTTTTGGCGATAAAGTGGTATACCTGGAGCCAGGAGGGATCACATTCACAGCCATAAATAACTGTTCGACGACGGGCCGTTAATTCGTGTAACTTTATTACCTGGACGCCATAATAGCCACTAAACGCATGAAAGGTAAGGAACGGTTACGAAACCTCCCACTGGAATACGGAATCGTACAGCGCGTAGTAAGCTGTCTTGAATGATTAGTGGACGAAAAGGTTTGCGAGAACTCTTTTTGACACACGATTTGGCACTGGCCACTGTTTACTTTTTCCATGCGTGTGTGTGCCGTATGTGTGTGGGAGATAACCATTACCGTTTGCAAGTGGCTCTTTGAAGTTAGAATAACTTGTCATTCCTGACGATGTAGGCTTTACAGTTTACCGAATGACGTTTTAGGATGAAATCTTGATTGCGGAGGCCCTACAAACTTGAGGGAAAACGGTCAGTTCTTATTGACGCTGGGATTATTGTGTTAACAAGGGTAAGCTAAAGAAGCTCGTTTAAATTTTGGTTTTTTTGCAAAATTGCATCACACAGCCATCGCATCTGGCAAAATACTTCGCTGAAGTGGCCACGCTACGTTTTTTTTATTTTGCCTAATTTCTGCTTTTTTCACAGTTTTGTCACTTTTGTGCTCCCCCAGTCTTTTCGCTAGAATGTTATGTTTGACTCATTTTTGTGCCAGTTGCTGAGTTCCCTTGAATGTTATTTTGCAATCACAGAATAGTAGTTTTATTACTTTTGTAACTCGCTTTTAAACATGGGTGCAGTTTTGGAGGTTTGTTTACAAAGGTGAACAGCGGCTTGAGCCAGGCTTCTTAACTTTTGTTTATACGTCTCCAGATGATGACGCGTTGATAATGTATCGCATTTTCATTTTATGCAAAAACTATAATAACCACTATAAGGCGTTAAAGCGCGTAAAATGTACATACCAACTGTACTTTGAAAAGTGGACGAGCGAATTTGATATGGTTGGCGACTTGTGATACTTTGAGACTATTAATCCGATAAAATGTTCTGTACTTTTTCTATGAATTATCCGCTGGATTAGATTTGTGAACAATAAACCTAATTCATATTCGCATAGCACACGATTACATAACGACCGCATTAACGCGGCACTTGAAACCGAGCGAAATTGGGTGCCGTTTTGTAAACGATAAACAAAACTTCGATAGAAGTATGCATTTTTCACTTTTAGTGCGTTTAGCACGTGGAATTTCGTAATCTCAGCACTCTACTGCGGCGCCGTTGAAGGCTGATTAAGTAGAGAACTGTCAAGTGCAAACCTAGTTCTGATTTTTCGGAAACCGGGATTTATTTGGCTTGCTGTTTTCTGTTCACTGTATTTTTGCTCGCAGCAGTATTAAACCATGGCGGATGATCTGGATGACGGTGAGCCTATCGAAGGGCTTAGCTTTTGGGAGCCAGGCGGCTACAAACGGACAACAAAGCGAATAGCCGACGGCTATCAGCTCTGCAATGATCTGGTTGAGATGGTTCAGGAGCGTTGTGAAATTGAAGCAAAGTATGCTGCATACATGAAAAATTGGTCGAAAAAATGGAATGCGCAGATCGATAAAGGTTAGTCATGCTGGTCGGGCTTGCCGCTGTTGCTACAAGTTTCGGTATGTTCAGTCTGCAATTCTGGCAACACAGATTTCGCAGTTTATAAAATTATTAAATTTTTGTTTCAGAAAAATCGATACATAGTTGTAGTTTTCTGAGTTTACATGATACACATCGTGTTGCAAATTTTGTTCGTGTCAACCCTTTTTAAATCTTTTCAGCAAAACGATGTACTCGTACAGTCGTACTAAACTTCAAGTACCATAATAAACCAGACTGCATACAAGTTACAAATATACCACTGACTTCTGTTTAATGTTTAATGGTTGATAATTTTCAGGCCCGGAATATGGATCGATGGTGGGCGCGTGGAAAGCGGTTTTAACTGCTGCTGATCGGGATGCGGACGAACATTTGAGTGTTAAAGAAAACCTTATTAATACTGTGCAGGCTGAGGTTAAACGCTGGCAGAAGGATAACTTCCATAAAGGTATGATGTCCCTACATTTTAAGGAAAAGAAAGACATTGACGAGGAATTCAAAAAGGTATGGGGTGAGCTTGTGTGCTTGTAACTGTAACTTCATCTGGAAGCTTACTTTTAGTTTTCGATCTGCAAATCCTGTAGTACATTTTTAGGCCCAAAAACCGTGGATCAAAAAACTGAAGATCGTTGAAAAATATAAGGCGGAATATCACAATATTTGCCAGAAGGAGCAATCGGCAATTGTTAGAGATAAGAACTCAAAGGGCGACCCGGCTATTTCCGAAGATCAGGTACTGAGAATGTGGAACCTAGGTTTTATCTACTAGATTGCTGAATTATTTTTTACAGCGCCAGAAAATTGCTGATGAAGTTGCAAAATTGAGCAATCTAAAGATGAGCGCCAAAGCCAGTTACGAGGATGCTCTTCGCGATTTAAATAGCTACAATCCACGATATATGGAGGATATGAAGCAGGTGAACGAGTCTGATGTAATCGTACTTTATAGACAAACATCTCGAACTGTTGGATGCGTTTTACAGGTGTACAGTAAATGTCAAGATATGGAGAATCGCCGACTTGAGTTCTTCCGGGAAAGATTGCTGTCCATACATCATATAGTGGACTTGTCCAATGACATGCAGTAAGCAAATAACAGTCCTGCTTTGATAAACCTGTACAAATATGATATGGATGTTGATTCACTACGGTGATTTTGCTGTGTAATAAGTTTGTCTCGTATTTAAATCAAGAATTTGAATACTTAACTATGGCATTTATATTCTATTGTTTATTGTTTAACATTTTGGTTTGTCGCGATGATAGCACCTTTTTGTCGAATTCGAAATGATGTCAGTCAGCTTCATGCACCTTCATGGTGTCAGTCAGCTTCTTTTTTGTTCGAATAGATTGAAGCAGATTTTTGTGGATTACGTAATGGGAGTTGAAGCTGCAAATGCTAAAAACGATTTGAAATGGTGGGATATCCAGCGAGGCACCGATATGCCTATGAATTGGCCCGAATTTGAAGTACGTACATTGTATTGATTGTAATAATTATAAGGGAGGTTGCTGTCAGTAAAGCCGTAAAAACATGTCCGAAGCAGCTAACTGTTTGCGGTTTTTTTAAAGGAATGGAGCCCGCGGTTGGCCGAAATTAGCAGCAAAAATCGTTTTGGTCTGAAAAATGGAGACTCTTCTACAATATCGGGAGGCACATTTAGAAAGAAACCTGAAGAATCCATGTCCACGACATCTGTCAGCCAGACAGCGTCGACGATCGGCACCGCTAGGCTGAACGGTGATGCAGCTGTACAGCAACGCAGCATGACTGCGAGCCGTGAGAGCATAAATCGGCATTCCAACTCGAGGTAAACACTACGATTGAAGCTCTTTGCTGATCACAGCAGAAAATATGCATTAGCAATTTTTCTAATCGCTACTTGCTGCTAAGTTTAGCGGCTTTGAGCTGTTGGCGCATGATCGAGTTTAGACTACCGGTGTAAGTCAGGGTGTGGCGTGGTATTTGGGTGTCTCGGACTCAATCCGGAAGTGTTCATTATCTTGGTGTACATTGGACGAGTATAGGGAATCTCTTACTTCTACTAATCCGTTCGGCGATGAAGACGATGATGATCAAGATGGTGCCAGGCAGGCGCCTCAGAGAGAGGGGGGACAAGTTTCTAGAATTACTCCAGTGGCGCCGAGACGTGGGACCAAAACGAACCTGATTGAGAAGTATATTGCTCCTGTGGAATTCCGGCCTAGTAATCAAACGTAAGTTCTGAAATCCCCTTTCGATAAAATATCGCAAACACGATCGTATTACCGCCTGGATAACAACCGTTACTGTTATGGTTTGTTTTCAGATTACACCAAATACTCGAAAGAGAAAATGTGTCATCACCGGTTATGCCTGCAGCCGTAAGCTTCTCCAAGTTGACTGAGGAAACTCGCGCAGCAGAAGAATATAATCCTTTCGATGATGAGGACGATGCACCGGAGCCCACCCCAGTGATTTCCCATTCAAAAGAAATTATGAATGCCAGCACGGAGAAAGAATATATAGCGGTGCTTTCAAAATGAATCCTGTAGATCGATCTGTTGCCTCCTTTTTCTTCGCTGCACAAACAAAATGTGTAACTTGCTCTGTGTTACGATGACATGTTATTTACATTTTGAGTGTGCCCTCGGTTGACACAGTGTAGCGTTAAGATTGCTTTTGCTGGTATCGAATATATCGATCATGCGTGAACAGCATTCAAGGTGATTTTTTTCCCGGTGGCTTGCGCGGGATGGACTAACGCTTGTGTTCTTGCAGTTTCGAAGCTAACCCCTTTAATGAAGATTGGTCTGAATCCCCTGATGCCCTTGATGACCGTAGCAAACCTGGTGTTAAAGTGCGTGCATTGTATCCTTATGGGGGAGAGGAAGCCGATGAGTTGACTTTTCAAGAAGGTCTGTTATTAATAAATTTAAGAATCCTAGAGTTAATCCTAGAGTTAATAAGTTTTATATTTTTGGTTGGAAGTTCCTACACCAAGGAGTCGTGCAGATGTTACATCACTTACACAGTTACACTTAAGACATTAGTCCATTAATATTAAATAGTACTCTGTCCGCGGTAAGGACAAAGATAAACATATCTGAGTTGGAGTTTGACAGTTGGTTACTTGGATGACCGATTCTTTACTTATTATGAAAAATTATTATAGATGGCTAAAATACAAACAATTTTTTAAAGACAACATTCATTTGAATTTTTAAAGCTACTTTACGGTGTAATTCTCACAACGATCGTGATAAATTGACAATTGTGATCGTTAAAATTGTAATTGCGAATAGATTTTTGCCTTCACTTGCCATGATTTGTAAGTATCAGTGGACTATTTTCTCTACATAGGAGATGTGTTTGAAAAAATCGAAGAGCGGGATGAGCAGGGCTGGTGCAAAGGACGCAAAGATGGCCGTATCGGACTGTTCCCGGCAGACTATGTGGAAGCGATTTAATCGACTTCTCCATGGTTGTAAATGGCCGGTGGAATATCGGTTTATATGCTCAAAGAAAGATTTTTTGCCTTATTAATCGCTTTTCGAACGCGTTAATCTTCCATTTTTGGATTCCGTACAGTAATGTTTCAGTTTGTCTTATATTTATATTTTTGGTAACGTCACGCTGGCTCAGCGTATAGGTTTCGGTATTTTTTCCATTCCATTATGATCCAGGTTGACACTTTGCAGATGGGAGAGTTTACGCTTTATAGGTTGGTTTTTGCTTTTTGGGTAAATCGGTGATAGTGTGTTTAGTGATTTTTCTTTTGCAAATTGCCAGCGATGCTTTTACCTGTTGTTAGAGAAGTGCTTAATGCTTGTGTTAAGTTGCACATGCTGGTTATGGCTCTAAGAGAAATTGAAGCAAGAGAAGATCGGGGAAGAGTAGTTCCTAGTTGTTCTACTGTAGGTAATAAATCGTTACCAGAGCGCTCAAATGTTCAAGACATGCTTTCCGTGGAAAAACTTAATTTCCATACTAGCATTCACACGATATATTGTATACCCAGGGTTGGTATTTCTTGGTAGGTAACGGCTGCCCTTCGCCATAATTTACGGCCCCATTGCACAAGCATTTTCTGTTTTCCAGTTATTACAAGTTTTAATATAACAGAAGCAATAAGATCCAGACAAACATCGCGAAAAGTAAAAACACTCGCAAATCTAACTGATTTTCATTTCTTTCGTAATATCTTGTGTCAAGTGTTACCCAAAGTCAAGCAAACAGATTTCCACAGACGATAACCACTTAGAGAGCAGCGGATTCGTCCACCACTTCAATGCTGCTTACTAGACGGGGAACTCTTTACCTTGCTAATAGCTTGATCCAGCTCGTAGGACAATTCCTCCAACATAACCTTCCCCTCGGAGATCTTCAAAAATAACGGATCAACAGGCTGACGGCGAAGCTTCCGATGCGCTTTCTCAGTAGAGCTCTCGGAACTTGGCGTGCGCTCTTCACCCAACTGAACCGCCCACTGCGGATCGGAATGCTCTAGAATTCTCCGGTAGCGGTCCATTAAGAATGCATGCTTTTGACATAAAAGCTCCAGGTTCTGAAAGATTCCCTCGGGATTGGAGAACTTATCCCGCGGCAAGGACGGTGGCGAGACGGTCTCGCTCAGAATGGGCAACTGGCACTCGGCATCGGAGATCTGGTTGTTCATTTCTTCTTTCCTCTGGCGCAGGCTTCTGATAGTGCTATTGGTTGATTCGCTCAGGAACAGTGTTCGCTTGTAGTCCTCGTTGAGATCGTCGAATCTGACAAAGAGTGCGTCAAGGGTCTCTTCTTCTTCAGTCAACGCCTTGGCTGTCTCCATTAGTTTCCGCTCGTTCTGCATCGCTTCTCGTTCCAACAAGTTGAAGATATCACGAATTTCCGTTATCCCAATATCGACAGGAAGATTTGCCATGGCGTGAAGCAGAAAACGCAAGACGAACCAATGAAATAAGCTGTAGACTGAGTGTAGAATACTGACTAGTGAGTAGTGAATGAGAGGTAAGAAAACTCACGCTTCACTTTTCAGGCTCCCCTTTGACATAAAAAAATCGTGGTTAATATTTTATATTATTTTATCACTAGTGCTCATAAGAATGATAAGATTCTACAAGATAACAAGAACTTCGAAAGTTACCATAAACAAAAAAAATTCTGAGTAGGAAACATAAAGGATCAGCCCATTTTATCCAAATCTGGCCATATCCGTATATTGCGATTTTACCAACAATTTTAATTAGATTACTAGAATAACAAATCGTAAGAAACAGCTTGTAAAAACCTGCTGCGACACCTTGTCGGCGACACGACTGTTGGCTCAGGCTCACATAATTTATTGCTGTATACAAGTACTGTACTGATCGTGAAAATTATTTGATATGATTTTCAGTACAGTAAGTACAGTACTTTATTATGATAGAAAAATAGTGTGAGTTTTGTATACCGCCAAATAAAAAAAGTAACAAGTACTGTACAATTGCATTGTACTGTACTTGTACATGTACAATACTGATGAATTTCTATAGAAGTATAAATAGAAGTATCTATATTACTTATACAAATACTTAATAATTATAATATCGCGGAAATGCAGCATCTATCCTTGGCACGATGGACGGAGTGGATAGTTTAAATGAAGTTTTGCTGTTGTTAATAATATCACGTGTTCATTTTTCTTCCACCTGACCTGTACGTTGATTATTAATAAAGAACCAGGAATATAATATATTATTGTAGACAGTCTTCCCTTACATTTGGTAGTATTGTACGTAATTATTAATTAGTGATTTTTATTTGCTTACTTACGTTTCTTGATTACCTATTTGTTTACTTACTTTTATAGATATCTATAGTAACTTATCCCTCACTTTTATTACTCGTACGAGTATTATTGTTTGGAGCAGGTTTAGTACTATTGTCTTTACTTTTTTGTATTGGTCCACCGCTTCAACCCCAAAAAAATCTCATTCAATGCGTTACAATTTACATAGTTTGTTAAGTACTTGTTAGAAGATAGCGGTAGGCCATAGGTGTATTCACTATATTGTACGAATATCTATATAGATATTTTACGGAGCGGGGATACCCGCATGACTACGCTGTATTATACTATAAAAATTAATAATGCAACACAACAACATAAGTGTACAAGTACATGAGAATTAATCTAGTACGTATGGACATTTTGTTGATAGTGCGCCAGGATCGTCGTGCGGCTAATGGTAGCAGTTGATGTAGTTATGACGAATATACTGCCATTATTTTTGGAATTTGAATGTATCCTATACGCTAAAATATCTTGAGTGCTATATGTCATGCGAAACCGCGCACAATGAGGTTTTATTACATATTAATTTTTCCACAATGTACATAACAGTTAACATCAAACTGCAGGAGTGCCCATACAGCAACAATGGTCTCTTCTGCAGTCAAAATGGCACCGAGCACGTGACCCGCTATGCAAAAATCCGCAATCAAATAATGAAGGAACGTTCATGTCGAGAAACAAGAATCCAATTCAATGGAGGAATCCAACCGTATTCTAATAAAACCAAACACATACACACACACACAAAACACTGTGAAAAAATTAGAAACGAACATTAGTTAAAATGACAGTGCGGAAACACACAAAATGCACTTCTTCCATTACCACCACCGTTTCACCGAAATCACACCGATTTTCAAAAAAACAAAAATAAAACCCGAAAACTAAACGCAAATCAACGGTTTCCACCGAAGTGTCATTCACGAATGAAGCGTCTTCCACAGCTACTTTTTTGTAGCAAACAGGAATAACTGCCAAGGCTGGGTGGGAGCGGGTTATCCGCAGGGCGGGGTGCTTTCCATATTTCGACAATGCCGTCAGATTTGGATGCGAAGTTGAGATCATTCCCGACCGATACATGACAGGAACAAAAAAGCATTGCTTGCAATAATCCGTGTAATAAATCCTCCCCTCGTCCTATGACAACTTCATCCGCTTCCGGGCCGGACCAAATTGGCCCATGGAGCTCTGATGCTGGGCCAGCATACGGTAGGCCAGGTCGATGAGATGCGGATGTGTCTTGGTCATCGACTTCCACTCATTCGTCTCCAAAACCTCAGCATTATGCCTATAATGAGTACATATCAGCCAGCTGAGGACAATGACAGGTTATTGCTGCTACCAGACTCACTCAACGGAACACACACCGCACATGCACTACTGTCTAACCATCGGTCATCAACGCTTTTTTACGGCATCTCACTTACCCGTTGATAAATTCAATCGCCGCGGCTTTCAGCTGTTCGGCACTGTGCATGTCGGCAAGGATCAACGTATCGGTAACGTTTTCAACTGAAAGATTATTCCATAAGGCTTCTTCGCACTGAACCTTTAGGCGATCCAGCTGGTACTGCAACGCAATAATAAACATAACGCTGTAAAACTACGCTAACTGCAGACGAAAAGAAATTACCAGTTTCGGATCTGGTTCAAAATATTATTAACAAGAACACGTATAATGAAAATTAAAATATAAAATTAGTAAAGCAAGTTACTGAGAGTCAACGAACGCATAATTCTGCCTGCAATAACTGTGGCTAGTATAGTACCAGTTATAGTATTGTGTCTACAAGTTTTCAGCCTATACACTGTCCTGTGCAAATGCCAGTGCTCGGATGAACTTCGGTGGTCCGGGGCACAGGCTTCAAGGATAATGCTAGGAGGTTACCTGCGGTCGACTAACGTCGAAGCGGTTCGATTCCGCCTTCCGAGCGAATTTTTGCTAATTTATGTCAGCAAAAAATTATGCACTTCCCACAAATAAAATAGTCGTCAAAAAGATACAAAAAGGGAGATAAATTTTTAAAAAATTCTTACACTTGGTGGCTTTCTACAGAGGCGAAACTTTGAACGCATCTTAAAACGCATGACAACACACCACTGACACAAATGGTTTGGATGTGAAAAAAAAGCAAGTTAACCATGGCTGGAACAATTTGGAATTTCTAATCGCAAGTACCTTATCAGCCGCTGCCAATAAATCATCCGCCATTTTTTCCAAATTTGGAGTTTTTCCAGTGTAAATAAATCTCAAAATCTCTTCCAACACGTCATCGTGGACATCATCAATGCGCACTCGATTTGTTTTGCTCTCTTCCAGCTCATGACCAAACATGGCTCCAAATACTTGAGATCGGCCTTCAAAAAAATGGAATATCCAAAATTAGTACTTAATATAAGCTAACCAAAAATAATTCACATGTCAACTTACAAGAAAGAATACTTTTGTGAGCTTTGAATTCCCGATTGGGCGTAACCAAAACAACATCCGTGAATAGATTATTATCCAAAGCACTGCTAAAATCTTCGGATAGCCGGCAGTCAGGAATTTTAAAGGAAGTAATGTTGCTCACACCCGAAATATTGGTGGAGTCCGAAATGACGCTGACCTGTGTCAAATTCACAGTCAAAGTTAGGCGCAGGAAAAACCAACAACAAATAATGGTAGAATACCTCGCAGAAGAGAGTGAGCTTATCATCTGGCAGTAAACCATTTGCTTCATCCAGTAGGAAATCTCGACGAATAAACTTTTTGAATCCCCAATCTTTGCCTTGAACGAATCGATAAGCACGCTGACTTTCTATAAACGAAAATCACGTGTCCGCAATGCCTCAGGTAAAAAAATTTGGTGCAGTAAAAATTAATAAAATCTTAAGACTCGAACAACATTAGTCACGAGCAAAAGTCCATAATCAAGCAATCGGTTTTACCAAAATCACAAACTATCAGTATCAGCCCGAATCAAGACACTCGCAAAACACTCACCCATGGCCCGCGTTTCTTCGCGTTTAGCGTTAAGGATAGAGAATTTAAATTTGGCTCGCACTTCACTTTTGTTGCACGACACCAGGAAGAGGTACAAGGACAAATAATCCTTGCTTTCATCATCCAGACCTTTCGGATTAACTCTAAGACACCTGAAAAGGCAAGAACGTTTCTTCAGTTCAAATATACGAATAATGATTCACACTTTTGCATACCATTTCAGTTTGTCATTTGCTCCCGCCGAAAACGTGGAACTCTTCAATACTTCTCCCATCTCTTCGCGACAGTATGAAAAATTGTTGATTGTCCATACATAAGAGAATTTTGCCACCTTAATCTGCAAAAGAAAACACCAGATGAGTCTACGATGACAAGCTGATAATAGTAAATTAAGTCCAAACTGCGCAAAATATTCATATTTGATGGTCATATACATTAACTGAGATAATCGTACTGTAGTTAGCGTACGCCTGACTGGTACAAAGTGTATCAACTTATTTGGAAAAAGGAAGTGTGAAAAAGGGGATAACCATACACAACTGGATCAAAGTAACGGGGAGAAAAAACTGTGCGACCGCGTAAACGAGAACGGAGTGCGGCAACAAATGCAGGCCAGCGAACTTTACACATGGATGAGAACGCTTTTGTATCATACGTTAATTTAGTGTACAGCTCACAAACAGCAGCGCTGGAGTTTAGTTCACGTGCAGAGATCCAGTACTTCAGCGTATAATCGCTGTTTCAGTGTTTTCGACAGCTACTTCTCGAAACTCTTTTCAGACTTTCAAATTTCGTTTCAGTGTCGCTGGCACAATGAAAATTTAATGAGTTTAATGAGAAATTAAATGCATTATGCGACAATACTTAATCAAATACATATTTAAAGCAATTTGATGGGTAATCAAAAATTTCGTTCCTCAAATTTAGAAAACTTAAGTCTCAAATAAATCGACTACTAATTTGACAACTAAGTTGCTGGAGCACCGTTGTTTCTATCGGAACATCAGATAACAAGAATAAACTGGCGAAAGTTGGTTATAAAGTAGTTGGTAATAATTAACTAAGAAAATCTTAAAATCTAAAAGGCAAATCTCGGGGTATTAAACCATGGTACAATTTACGTGATAACTGATAATTACGGTACATCTGATCGGATCGAATACTGTACTGTCTAATCTAGATACATTGTTTATTCACGCATACAATAAGCAATAACGTTCGTACACCGGATTTAAGACTCTTATATATTTGCTAATATATTCGTAGTCCCAAATTGCTCGTGTAGTCTCGCACCCCATTTGGAAGGCTTGAACTGGAAAAGTGTGTTACGAAATGAGGAAACCTGACGTTATTGAAGCAGACCAGCGGGTCATGACTAGCATCAAACAACTAACCAAGAGAGTACAATCGTACCATGTCCGTGTCACCGGCCACGGACAGACTCTCATGGGTCTTTTTCTCAAAGATACAATTTCATGCACCACCACACCGCTACCGTCATCGCACGAACACTGCTAATTTTACCATTATTAAATCAAGTACCAAACCACTATACTGCGTCCTAGCCAACTGAATAGGTCGAGCGCCGTGCAAGAAAGGTTTTCCATTTGTACAACCGTCTTAAAAATATAAGGAATCGAATCAATCGATCGCCGCGGATATGAACCGCGTGATCCAAATAAAAATTCAACCGTCGCTGCATGACCTACAGTTGCCATTATTCTAGGATTGTACACAACACAAGACTTAATTTGGCCATTATTAACTTAATATATGCTAAAATTTGAATCTGAATTTTTATTCGAGAAACTGGTGAAGTACTGATTTCAAGCTCGGGGGTTATGGTAATTATACCATTTTCCAGTACACGCAACACTCAAACAGTACTACAGATTATTTAAAATTTCCTGATACTGATAACTGTGACCATTTTAACTGCATCTTGCACAACCGGAAAATCAGGCCAACGTCCTAGTCACCAAACAAACAGATCTTTTAAAATTCTGTTTATCTAATAGGACGGTTTTCGCAAAGGCGGCATAGCGGTGGACCAAGACTAAGTATTCAGATTTCAAAGCTTTAACCCATCGAAGAACTGACCGATCATCGGCATCAAATCGTGTAAAAGCGACAACGGGCAATCGTGCGGTCGCTTCTGAACTGCACAGTTAAACCTGCTATTAAAAAAACTTCTAAAAATGGTGAGATCCAAAAAGAACAAACTATACGAAAGTATTCCAATTCCGCTCGTATATGTTGATTTTAATCGCCCAGCAGTTTCGAACCTGACAAAAATAATTACTGTTGATTGTAAGATTGTAACATCACACTAGACCAGCATCCGTGCGGAATCTCCGTTAGTTAAGCAACAACATTACTGCGAGACGAGAGAAAGTACCGAAAAATATCAAGGTAAAACCAACACTGGGTACGCTAATAAGGCCAAAATTTTTTGAATCCATATTAGTGTCACAGGTTCGTTTGCACTGGTAATCAGGCAATCGTAACAGTTTCAGTTAGATTTGCCCTTCCTTTTGGCTGGCTGACACAACACAGATCTCGATTCGCACACTACTTATATTTTCACAAACTAGCATGGCTGCGCTTATATATCTCTCGCCCTCTCACTCGTCACATAAGAAAATGCTGGCAACAAGGTCCCTTGTAACATAATTAATCGGTGCGTTCAGTCATATGTATAAAAAAAAACAGCACTGACGGCGTAACAGTGTTGGCGCGCTGAAGGTCGTCGTCGGTGTTGGAATCAATTTGTCTCATTCAGCCAGGCCACGTCCTTCTTTCACGGCCATATTACCACATTTAAAGCAGGCTGCTGCTGACTACAGCGGAAAAAAGCCAACGAGGAACTCAAAAATGAGAATTAAAGTCCAACTTCGTAAGATGCTTACGTAGCTGCAATGCAGGCAGCAATAGCGGCGCAAGAGTGGCCTAAGCATTAAAATCTAACAGGCATGTTATAACTTTTTCACAATTGTGAATTGCCCCATCAAACAGCACGCAGTAGAATGCTGGGCTGCGAAAAAGGCGATCACGTAACCAAACGATTGCATCCTACGAGTACTTATGTTGCAGAGGTAGAGATTTAGCTTATTCACAATCGACACAAAATTAATAGATGCAAAAGATATTTCAGTTTTAAAAACAACACCGACTAAAACAAATTCCAATCCTCCGATATTTCCTTTTGGAAAGAATTTCAGACGTTACGTAACCACGTATAGGCTACACTCTATCGCGCGCACAGCAGCACAATGTACGCGTTTGTTACATGATCCAGGGTTTTGGCATTTAATCAAAAGGAGAAGGCAAAGGAAAACCAGCTAATGGCATATCGCACCACTAAACGCCTGGAACACTACCAAATTAAAGCTATAAACCAGTAAATATCACCTCGTTTAAATACTGAAGTAGAAGTATACATAAAGCTGGCTGCTTCTCTCGTCAGGATGAGGTAATCGTTCAAAAAGGGAAAACAAATTTAAAGCCAAAATCAGAATCAAGATGCACGAACTGAAGATCTTCTCGGTGTGATAAAGTCAGAATAATAACGCAAGAATTTCATGTCTTACTTAACTTAAAACTCAACCAAGGACTCATAATCCGAAAGTTGCAATTAAATTATGAACGTTCAGTTGCACTTACGAAGGTTTCACACCAGGACGACCCCAACAATGCCGTGCCCGTGTCGGTTGGGGTTGGAGTCGGGGAGACGCTTCTGGATACACTGGCAGCCATGCTCGACGAAGAGGAGGGTCGTTCCAGCGCCAGGATTAAAAAGGAAGGTTAATACGTCTAAAGTTAATTGTAATCCTCAAAATCCGAACGGGTCACCCTTATTACAGTTTGTCCTTCACTGCTGTCCTCAATCGCAAACAGCTCGATCGTGTGCGCGACAGCCGAATTTCTGCAAATTTGAACCAATCCACAATATGGATCATACCCCTTACTAGGGCATCAGAAAACCTTGGAACGAAATGGTGTAATGGTGTCTTCAAGAAGAAATCCTGCGACCAACATCACAACTTCAAAGGATGAGCAAATCCATTGCATAACGACATAACGTTGATGGCATACAACCCAAATTATAACATCGCATTGGTGTTACATGGGTCGGATTGTCAGGATGATCATAACGTTCGCAGAAGAAAATGTCGAAGACGAAGAAGTGCTATTATAAATCCTGTGACCGTTTAACCTTGGTCAATAATCAGCCAGGATAACGGATAACCACACTTTTGCTGCTTATATGCAGGTTATATTATGTCACATTAGGTCTAGGAATCAAACTTCCACACAGCTTCCATACACCAAAACCATCAGCAGTTTCAAATTCAGCACTCGTCGTACAGCAATACTTTCATATCACATCGATCTAAAAATAGCAATAAAAAGATGAAGATAGTTACATACGCAAAATCTACTGCGGATAAAGAATAAGTTGATTTATCATAGTCCACAGGAGACTCAATTGTAAGTACAATAATAATACCTACACATAATACTGCAGAAAAATCAAGTGGAAATAAAACCCAACGTTTCCAGCGATCCATTCTGCTGCAGGAAATCGGCAGTGCTGCTAGACGACTTGATCACTTGAACAATTTATGTTGATTCCGCGCCCCTTTGAAAGAACCAATCGCCGACTAGACTCTGATGTGCGAACGGTGCGATATGCGCTGTGGTGCACGGTGTGCTACTGTTAAACTTTTGATACGTACTAGTGCAGCCGTCTCGTACACTGTACAGCACTGTACTGAAAAAGGTTCAAATTTTTAATACTAATATAATAATAATAATAATAATAATAATAATAATTATAACAATAATAATAATAATAATAATAATTGTTCAAATTTTGAAACTTTTTTGCTTTGACAATAATAATTATTATTATCACAATTACAAAGCATTTTTTACGGCAGTCAAAAGGTAAGACAGTGAGAAAAGTGCTTTTTGACTTAGCTCAATTAAAGTTTCGCATATCTATATTTGACACAGGTAGAAGTACTATCGTTGATACTGAAGTTTTTATTCTATTTTTTTATGTGAATAAATAATTTTTTGAGAAACTAAACGCGAAAGCCAAGTGCCAAGTCTATTTTACTTACGAGTTAAGTACGAGTACCGTGAGCGACTGTGGCGCCCCTCTGTGAAAGCAGAGCCATGGCTTTGCCTTGCCTTAGAGGCTCGGTACTCAAATAAGTTGCTAAAAATTATTGCTTATAAAATATCAGGAAATGTCGAAATGAGAAACGCGGATTCGATTGCATTTCTTATTGTTTATGCTGAAATTTAAATGAACAAATTCACTTCTCAGAAGTGACTTCTGTCATTCTGTTTGGTGTTTGGTATTTATTCTTATTAGAGTTACAGTAGTTGTTGATTTGAATTCGAACAGGGATATTTGTTTCGGGAAACGTCTAACAATTCAAAGCGAATTGTTCTACCGTGGGGCCTGTGATTTTGTGATTTGTCCTGATTATTAAAGGAGCTGCGAATACAACATGCCTGAACAAAAAGTGCGACTGCAGAGCAATGACGGGGAAACTTTCGACGTGGATTTGGAAGTTGTCAAAGTACGCTGCAGTGAAGTGTTAATTAATTGTGTCCCATGAGACTGATTGGCCTGTTAATGTCTGATTAACTGTAACTTAAAAGCGCCGCGATTAAGGTAGACTGGTGATTTCGTTATGCAGTTCAGCAGTACTATTTTCTTTATAGCTATCGGGAACAATAAAAAATATGTTGGAAGATTTGGGTCTGGCGGATGAAGGACATAATCAGAGCGAAGACGAGGTGGTTCCACTCCCGATGGTCACAGGAGCCATTCTGAAAAAGGTGGGAGAGTACTGAGTACTCAGACCGTACTCAAAGCTGTAGGGAGCTTCAGGTTGGGAGTTGGGGTTAGGTTGAGTATTACTGGAACTTTTAAACAGTTTTATGTTATTTTACAAGGTGCTGGCATGGGCTGAATATCATAAGAACGATCCTTTGGCCACCCGCGAAAGTGATGACGATACGAGTAAACGCACCGATGACATCGTTCAGTGGGACAGTGAATTCTTGAAAGTCGATCAGGGTATGTGTGCTACTTTGCTGAAGTATGTTTCTCACCGTAATAACCGTGCAGATTGTTAGATTGGGTAATAATATTTTTATTTTCGGTTTTGATATTTAGTACTATACACTGTGTTTTGTGTAATAATTATTTTTTGGTGTAAATGAATTTATCTACGTGACGTCGTCTTTGACTTACAGGTATCGCTTTTTTCGTGAACATGTACGTATCTATGATAGTAATAAGTTAGGTATGAACATTTACTACAGAATCCGGAGAGGTAATATACTCTAGCTGATGCTTGCTTCTACAAGTTTTTAAATTTGAAGTTGCTTTTTCTAGAGCAGCACTTTGTTCTTTTTGTTCTGCTGTTTTTATATTTTTAAGTATTTTTAGGCACTTTATTTGAACTCATTCTGGCGGCAAATTACCTGGATATGAAGGTATGTACCTCGAATTAATTACGCATGTTCGAATCATGTGGAATCATTATGCATTCGAATCAGTAGTTTTTCATCTAGACAGACGTGCAGAAGCGTGGGCCTAGTTTAGTAAAGTAAACTGGGGTTGATACATTTCTCTCTGGAACGTTTTTAGCGGAAATAAATTTCCCTGCTTGTTAAGACTAACTGTAATTTTTCATTCTTGTAGGGATTGCTCGACGTTTGCTGCAAAACCGTGGCCAACATGATTAAAGGGAAAAGTCCAGAGGAAATCCGACGCACATTCAACATCAAAAACGATTTTACTCCTGAAGAGGAAGAAGCTGTACGTAAAGAAAATGAATGGTGTGAAGATCGGGATGCATCGACGCGCTGATTTCTGTCGTACGCTGGTTTGCTGAACTTCGGATGATTTTGTCTGACGATCTGATATCCACACCATACATCCATGTCGGCCAGAATTTTGTTTAATACTGTATTCAACAAATTCGATTTGCTGTTTTGCGAACTGTGAGAGGGGTTTTGTCAGTTTGGCCGGAAGACTTATTATTGCACAGGCCATTCTCGAACAAACCTATGACTATTTCTCGAACACCTATAACTATTTCATTAATTAATAATTACTAGTACCTAAGTTTCCATTTTACCCGTGTATGGATAATCTTTTGCTGTTTATTTCATAATACTAAATTTGTTATAATGTTTAGCATTTGAATGACGGTAAATAACTTCGCTTCGACGGACAGAATCATGTGGGTTTCGTCCCTTACTTTTGTGATTTGATGTTGTAAATAATTGCTAATCGCACGCGTGAATTATTGCTGTCGAATGTATTCTGCTTGAGTGCTCGGAATAAGGAATTCATCAACTTTACCTCTGAATTACTAGCAGCATATTTGCAAGTTATATTCTACTGGAAAGGTTGTGCGCAACATCATGAATTTAATAAAAGGCCGTAATCTATAAACTGTCGTGTATCTGCAAGCTTACAGTAGATCATGCATAACGAACGTTTTGTGGAATTCCTGATAGGAGCTTCCGCCGCTGCTTACTGCCCCGTGACTGACTTCCGCCCAGTGTTTGGCTGCCATAAGAAACTTCTCATTTTTCAATTCCGTCAGCTTCTGTTGGATTTCAGCGGCTGGAACTATAGCCGAGGGATTTGTGAAGTGTACCGGGGAAATCTGCACACTGAGGCGATTTTGCACCGCACTTTCTGCGTTGACAGGCTGGTCATCCATTATCGGCCACACCAGTGTCGGGATACCATAAAATATACTTTCTAGCGTTCCGTTCCAACCGCAGTGCGTTATCATAGCACCGGTTGCCGGATGACCTATCAGAAATTTTAACAATTAAAATGAACTACTGGGACTGATGTAGAATTTGACTGCGCATTCTAATCAGCTGTCGATACATCATTGTGTCGTACCTAAAACTGTACGCTGAGGCACCCATGGTGAAACGATAACGCCGCCTGGCTGGTGTGCCAATTTTTCAATTTTTGTATTGATTTCCGGAGGAAGCAAGTTCTGTTGCTGTTCACGCAGTGACCAAATTGCGGGACTGCCATGAGCCATTAAAGCTGTGGCTATCTCTATTACCTGCTCATCAGGCAAAACAACCATCGAACCAAACGAGACGTAAATCACACTGCGTAGTGGTTGCTCATCGAGCCACTGCACTAGCATTCGTGTAGCCGGCGAGAAGTCGGTTTGTGTCACAGCCAGCAAAGGTCCGACAAACTTGAGCGGTACATTCCAACTAGTCAACTTTGTTTCCAAATTATCCACAGCTTCCGGGTCAAATTCCCTGAAAGAATTCACCAAGAACCCCGACGTTAGTGGAACAGCATCGTTGATTCGCAAAATGAAGTTTTTCGTGCTTTCGGTCATCATCGGTAAATTCGTCGCGAGATCAATGGGGCGTATCCGGTCAGCATAATCCACTGCATCTTTGCAAACAGGCGTGTCTTTCGTGACAACCAGCATATGTCGCAGCAAACTGGCTGAAAACGCACTAAACATATAACTTGGAATGTTGTGCGAGTGCCCGACCTGGATGGGGGCCGTCAAGCAAAAATCCGTTATGATTACGGTAATACGCAAATCTACATGAGCAATATTCGGCTTCTCTCCATCAGCAGCAGAAATATTTGGAGCCAATACGTTCACATCGCCTTGTTCGATCAAACCCAACAAATCGTTCCTCCTGGTAGATTCAGCGATTAGCGCCCGACACACTGAGACAAGAAGCGGCTCCATTCGGTAGGCAATGTTGTAGTCCGCTATTTCGTATTCCGCGTCGTTCTTGTCTGTAATGCCGACTAACCTCAGCACTGGCTGGAAGCGGTCGGGAATCAGTTCCCGTTGATATAGCTGGTTCACTTTGCTTTTGGACAAGACCATTGTAACAAAGTATCCATGATCCATCAGTTTCTTTCCCAATTCCAGTAGGGGAATGATGTGTCCAAAAAGAGGAGGACTAACCAGTAATGCATGCGAACGATCGTGCATATTGCAGAAATTAAGTGGGCTGAATCAAAAATCTCTGTCACCGATCGATCAAAAGTGAGAGCGTAACCTCAGCGCGTATAATACGTAATTATGCGCACGAGTTTAGAAACAATTTGCCCTATCCGTAAAATAGGAGTACTTGCAAGCACCAAACAGTTTTACAGAGAGCAATCACGCTTCAGTGCAGTTTACTTTTACAGTTAGATCTCTACAAGTACTTTCTACGCTGAGTGAGGCTCAGTGAGCATTCTTGAACCGTAAAGCGAAAAGCCCGATCAACTGAAGGGTACATGCTGACCTGCTATGTTATTGCTAATAGCCAAATGGAGAAGAAAACCGTTAATTTTCCATCGATTCGGTTAAGTAAAAGAAATAGAAAAAACTAGGATCTAGAGCTGCGCTTTGGCCGCTCAAGCCCGCGGGCCGAATACGGAGATGGTACAGAACGCATGACTTTAAGCAATATTGTCGCCATAAGCAATTAAAACTGCAACTTTTATCATTTATAATATTATACAATTCTAGAAAAATAGCATACATACCAGATACATACCAGACTGAGGGTGGGGCTGTGTTGAGTTCTCGTTAAACTCTTTTGCCATTGTACCGCGGGAAACCAGATACAGTATTTCATGAAATTCCCCAAATTAGTTCTCTCTACAGTAAGTGCTTAGGCTTATTGTGGAAACCTTGCACAAACTAGCGAAACAAATAGGAAGGTGCACTTAAGTACAAGGAAGGTGGTACAAGTAATCGTAACAGTAGATAGTGAATCAGTGATGCACGATGCAGCCTACCGTAAATGTGATCCAGAACAAAATCACTAAACAATAATGCAACTAACAACACTCTGCCTTCCTCCCCGGACTCTCTCTCAAGTCGCTTAGCGCTATTATGGAATGAAATTCCCCTGGAGTCCTGGACAAAGAAAGTTACGCCTCGGTCAACATGTTTAGGAGTGCACTGGATACCGTCAACTGGAGCAACCTGGACTTTGTTAAACGTTTTTGTAATACTAATGTGAGGCGATGGCTCCCTTGCGTCCACCTGCGTGACGCTACTGGCGCTACGGGAGTGCTTCGTTGCACTACTCCATGGGGAATTGCCGTCTGTGACGCAGCGCTTTTCTGATTGGTCGGCTACTGCCGTTCATTATGTTCACTGCTGCGCAGTGCTTTAGAGTTGTCGAGAGCAGGTGGAATTTGGCTCTCTGAGTTGACTGAACGTCAGTGTGTTGGTTTTCACGATAGAGAACGTTAATAAAGTGTACTACGTAGACTGGATATCGTGCGTTGTGCATTTCTTCCTTTAAACGTCACGTATTACACTCCACGGAGTCCTGTCAGTCTGGGCTACCGTCCTGGACTCTTTCACAGTCCACGGTTATATGGTAGCAGAGCCGTGAACAGACGGTTTCTGAGGAATCTGCTGGCGAACGGCCATATTCATCTGTTGGCGAACGGCCACGATCATCTGTTTGGCGAACGGCCACATCGATCTGGATCATATCGATCTTATTACACCAGTAAGGCACTGGTTTTCCTCATCTGAAGCAAGGCGCACTCATCGGATTATCAGATCTAAAGGCAGCACTGACTAGAGAGTCTCCTGTAGGAGAACTCGTCGTGCACATCAATTCAGACGGCAGAAGGCTGCGGTGCAAGACCTCTCCTGTCGGAGAACTTGTACTGTTTCCTCTGCTAGGCAGCGGGCACCTCTTGTTGGGGTCAAGGCTGTCGGGCACAAGAGCCGAGAAGCCACGAGCTGGCAGCACCGAATGAGGTGCCAAGATATCCGTTAACGCGCTCCATCAAATTGGTTGTAGAGCGACCTGCTGGTAGGCTTGACAAGCCCAGCAGAAGGCTGAATAGGTCGGACAGGAAGGCGCCACAACCGTGCGGAATACGGCTGCGCGGGATCGGACTGTGGAGAAGATCATCTGGATCATCTCCGTAATCTGGATCATCTTTTCGCGGGATCGGAACGGTAGACAGGTAAAAACCGTTATTAATTATCGGATTGGTTGAAATGTAGAAAGCGCAATTCTCATTGGTCGGTACTGAGCTGAGCTAGACGTAGGCGTAGCTTTTGCACACGGCGCGCAAGTCTGGCCGTCGATCTGTGACGTCAGGCCGGTCAGAAAATTTTAACGGACACACGTGATTGGTCAGTTAAACGAACTCCGATTGGTCAAAAAAATTTTAACGGTAAAATCGATCAAAAACGATCTCCCAACGATCTCCCAGCTGTGAAAACGATCTCTTTTCATCGGAAACGATTTAGATTTAACTAAAAGAAGTTGGTTTTAATTGAACTGAAGTGACCAAAAAGTGACCATCTCGGAGATCGATCATCTCGAGATCGTCAGTGACCTTGACATCAGATCAGATCGATCTAAAACGATCTCGTAACGAACTCTCATCAGTTAAAACGATCTTTTCTCATTGTAAATGATCTCAGAAATCAGTTAAAGGAAGATCTGTTTTCAATCGAACTGAGTTGACCGAAAAAGTGACCATCTCGGGAGATCGATCATCTCGGAGATCATCTAGTGACCTTCTCACGAGATCAGATCAGAGTAGGACAGATCGAGAGACCTTTACAGATGAAGCTGAGCATCAGCTCTCATCTTCAAGCAGCGAGGTGAACCAGGAGGTCACCAAAGAAGGAACTCGGAACGAGCTGCAGAGATGGATCTGACATCTAACCGACCAGGATAAGAAGGAGAACCTGGTTAGATCTCACCGAGCAGCTTCACATTATTGATGATCTGGAGATGAAACAACAACTGAGGACATCTTCGAGAGTCCAATGGCATCTGATGAGATGATGTCTAATCGCGGAAATGAAGAATCATACTTCACTGAAGATGAGATGACATTGAATATGTCGTTTAAAACGGCCATGAAGGAAGCTGATCGAGCCCAGGGATTGACACCCTTCGAGGACATCCCCGAAAGTCTGATTGAAAGGAATCAGACAGGGAAGATCGTCAATGTACGATCTCCATCTCCGAACAGTCCCACTTCGAACCTGAAAAAACGAGTCAGAGAACTTGAAACCTCATTGGAAGAAAAAGAGGCACAAGTTATCAAAAAGAAACAGGAATATCAGAGCAAATTGGGATCGCTACAGACGCGCATATACGAACTGGAACAACAACAGGGCGTATTGGAAACTAAAGCGGAAGAATGGAAAGTTCGATATGAACGTCAAGTGCAGATCGCCGAAGAATCGATGAAGATAGCCGATGACAGGGAGATGGAAGGCTACATAGCTGTGAACGAACTTAACGAGAGCATGTCCGAAGAGACAGCTGAAAGGTCACGGCACATAGCCGAATTGAAGGATCAGTGCGATGAACTTCGCAAAAAGGCAGATGAAGCTGAAGCGAAGCGAGATGAGTATGCAAACAAACTAGCGGAAGCGACCAAACGATTGACAGCAGTGAATAAGGATATATTCAAGCTCAGAGATGACCTGAAGCTTAAAGATGAGAATATTCAAACTCTCCAACGGGAATCGGAAGATCATCAGAAACGAGCTGATGATGCCCTCAAAGTGGCACAAGACCTGAGAGAGCTCCTAGCTACCGAAGGAGAACGACTAAAAGATGAGATCAGGCAGGTCACTGAGGAGAACGCGCAGCTCAAAGAAGCTGGTCAGCAGGCGGCCGAATGGGGCCAAAGATGGGAAGATGAAGCACGACGACTAGATACGAAGGTGACAAAAGTCGAAGTGGAAAGCAAAGAACATCAGAAAAAGATCCGTGAGCTGACAGATGAGAATATAAAGCTCAATACGGAAATAGTCGATATGACACAAACAGTGATGACTCACCAAGACGAAGTCACCCAATCGAGAACTCGACTGAAATCGGCAGCTGACGCGTATGCTCAACTGGAACAGCAAATGAATCAGCTAATTGACCAGATTAAAGCGAGAGAGATGGACGAAAAGGAGTTAAACACAGAGACGATTCAGCGGCAGAATTTCGCCCACATGCTCAAGCAGGAGCGAGATCAGCTGCAAATGGAAAACGAGCAGCTTAACACCAGAATTAAACGTCTCGAAGATGAGAACAAGGGCCTAAAAGTGACAAATAAACACAGGGAAGAGCTAATTCTGCAAGCAGGAAGTGCAAAGAGAGATGCTGCCGACACACCCCGCCCAGCTATAGTAAGGCACAAGAAGCGGGCGGGAGCTTCCACTTTGAGATGCCGCTACGAACGGGCGGCGGCACAGGAGGCTTCAAAGCGGAAAAGGATGGGGAAACTTCGGATAATAGGAACCCGTCAGGTAGTCACCAACCACATATGAGCTCGGGTGACCCTTCACAGTTCCAACGGCCCATCGAAACAGCGGTTAAGGACGGCGCAAATCAAGATGCACGCTCTCCACGGCACGAACACGACGGAAGATTCTTCCAGGAATATCGTAACGAACGCAACCAACGAGAAGATCGGAATGAAAATCGAGGACAACGGGAATTTAACAGATCCATCAGAAACATGGGTCGCAAAACTGATCTTGCGACTTTCGACGGCAACCGTGATGCGTTAAGCGGATGGATCCGATTAGTAAGAGAAACACAACGGACATACGACATGACTGATGATCAGATACTGATCGATATCGCCAGCGCCGTTAGAGGACCAGCAAAGACCTGGTTCGATGCCGAAAGAGACATCGAAGAAGCCGAAGAGGAGGTTTACACCGTCACGGAATGGTTGAACAAGTTTAAAGATGAGTTTGGTGATCGAAATGAAGAAGTTCTTGGCTTACGCGAAGCCATGAACAGGAAATTTAAACCAGGAAAAGAAACACCCGAACAGTTCTATCAGGCAATGATGAAGTTCAAGGCAAAAAGGGCCATTACTGAACTACAGGCAGTTGCCTTTCTGATCGACGGATGCAGAACTGATCCCGATCTCTATAAAGCCCTGAAGATAAGAGAATTCAAAACGCCAACGGAGATAAAGGACTTCTTCCGATCGTGGACAGCTGGCGAGGACAAATATAAAGTGGTGGAAGGTCAACGCAACCAACCGGAGATCGCAACCATCCGGTCGGGCCAAGCTGAAATGGCACAGCGACAATACGCACCCACACCGTCCCCTGTGGAATACCAGACGAGATCGCCATCCCCAACTCGTAAGGAGATGACTTTCATCGACAGCCAAACTGGACAACCGATCTCATATGCCATGGTCGCCGCGATACAAGCGCAGGCAAGGCCAATGGCCCCGGCAAATGTTATGCCGAGTCCCCTGAAGGGAGGGGTGCCCCAACAGCAAGGAAGGTCCAATTATGGAAATGGAAATGGAAACTGGAATAGTGGCCAACGAAATGGCAACTTCAACCGAAATCAGGGGCAGGGCAACTATCAGCCCAATAACCGACAAGGGAACTACCAGCAGAATCGCGGCAACTATCAGCAGCCGCAGGGTTCCCGAACGGAATGGAAATTCGGTCAAGTCGATGGATGGATCGCCCAGGGCGTGCAGCTGTGCCAAAATTGTGGATTTGGAAACCACGATGCACAGAACTGCATGTTCGCTGGCATGCCACCAAACCGGAATCCGAACTTGTTCGCCACCCGAGAGTGGGAACGGCTGCGAGCCCAAGGCGGTTGGCGACAAGCAGTAGCGAACGGCTACGACCTGGTCGCGCGATGGGCCGCGTTCAAACAGGTGAACGGCGGCGGCGCCGGCCAGGGCAATGGAAATGGTGGCGGTGGCGGCTATAACGGCGGAGGAAGAGGTGGCTTCCGCGGAAGAGGTCGCGGCAATGGACGCGGCGGATATGGCAACCGGAACGGCGGCGGCAACGGACGCGCCGATAATAACGACGGCGGCGGCGCGAACGGCGCTGGCCAGAGAAATGAACAAGTCCAGCAGCGGCAGCAGGTGCTGGATCAGGGAAACGGCCAAGATCAGTAGGTGCCGGTGAGCCTACTGATCCTCCGCAACCGAAACCACCGGATAAAGGAGGAACGCAGAATCGGACTGCGAAAGAGATGGCTAATAAGATGCCATCATCAGTGGGCAAAGGACCACAGCCACAGAATCGGACTGTAGGCGAAGCGGCTAATAAGATGCCGTCATACCAGCTGAACGAGATGGCTCAAAAGATGCCATCACAAGTGGACAAAAGGCCACTTCCGCAGAATGTTACTGCGAAGTCACCACAGAATGGTACTGTGAGTGAGATGGCTCAAAAGATGCCATCACAGGTGAAGAAAGGACCACCTGCGCAGAATGGAACTGCGAAACTACAGCAGAATAGTACTGCTGATGATCAGTTGATAAATAAAGGAAAATGTAGTGCCGAAAAGCTAAAAGAACGGCGCGCTCAACGTAACGAGATCATTCGAAAGGCGAACTTGAAGAAGAAACTGGAAGAAGAAGAGACGAATGATCAACACTCCAGATTCCGAGGGTTTCTACGTAATCAAAACGCAGAGAAGGAGATGAAAACGAAGTTTGGGAATTGTCCGGAAGATGAAGATGATACGGTACTAAAACAAAAGTGGTTAGAACAGAACGCCACAGTGGGCAGCAAAGATGAAAAACCACTTCCTATAAGGAAAGCACCAGTGAGAGATCAGGGAGCAAGTGCAGTCGCCAAAACTAACGACAAAAAGATCGTTGAAAAAGGTCAGGAAAAGGAACTGACGCTGCGAAAAGTGCAGCTTAAAGAGGGCGAACAAGCACAACAGATCTCCGATGACTCATTGGATGATGCAGAGATGCTGCAGCGGAAGCAAGACTGGCAAAAGGTGACATATCGACCTCATGGGAACCACGGCATGTGGATACCTGTTTCGCCGAAAGCATCTCAGAAAGCGAGAATGTCAAAAGAAGATTACTGGGACATGCAGCAGTTGCGGACTCAGTTCCAGAGAAAACGTCTCGATGAGTTGGTTACCGGGAAACCAGCTCAAGGATTAATGAACCCTGTCCCAGTGTTCAACGAGATCGTATATAAAACGACACTCGCTGATCAGAATCGAAATGCTCTCCAGCTGATAAACCGTTAAATTACGGAGAAAAAGTTCCGTTACAGAAACTGCCAGATGGTGGATTTGCAATAAAACGAGCTGAAAGGTCACGGGACTTAACCGAAGCGCTACAGAAAGATCCGAATGACAAATCACCAATCCGAACAGATGGGGTGTCTTCACAAACCGATCCGACGAAAACGAACAATGAGGTATCGGCGAAAGTGATCGACTGGATGACCCAAAACGGATATGAGATGGTCACATATGAAAGATCACCAGATCAACCGGACAGCGAAGAAGATGAGCTAAAACGAGTTGACCAGATCACAGATGAGATCGTTGAGCATCTGCGTGACAAATCAGATGATGTCACATTGCATCAGACCATCTCTGAGGTGATCAAAGATCACTCAGAAGTTGCGAAGGAGCAACTAAACGAAGTTGAAAAGACCGTCAAAGATGATAAAGCTGCAAAGGAAAAGGGGTGTGAGATGGGAAAAAGCTCAAAAGATGGAAAGAAGAGACAATTTTATGATATCCGAACTGATGTCCCACACAGGATCGATCACCTGAGTTCGATACTGAAGAGGAATAGCACCTTAGCGAACGGGCAGGTGTCCTCTTCAGCAGTTGATATGGATCCGGGACCTGTATCGCTTATCCCAGTTAAATGCACCGTTCGTACGCTCAAAGTACAAAATGGATCGAAGCATAACTTGCCGAAAAGGATCGAAGCGTACACACATGAGGTGAAAATCGGCGACATAAAGGTCCTGGCGATGTTGGATACTGGTGCGGAAACATCGCTGATTAGCCGACCGTTTTGCGAAAAGAACGGACTGCATGTTTTACCGCTTCCACCAGATCGTTTGGTGAGGATTAACGGAATCAGCGGGACATCAGGCTTTAACGTGACGCATTACTGCGTAGCACCAGTGACATTGCGGAAACGGACCAGTCAACACTCCTTCTACGTAAGACCGAAAACAGATGATGTACAAGTATTATTGGGACATGATTTTCTGGCGACAAAGTTCGTCTTGATCGATAATCATGGGGAGGAGGAAGTTGAAGATGAGCCGAAATCAGCTGTCAAAGTTGTATGCCAGCGATCTGCTTCATCGTTAACGGAGTTTCATCTTTCGTTCCCAGTGCCTCTGGTACTGGGATAACGGCGTTTGCCCGTTCTTTCGGTTTCACTGATGATCTCCCCAGTCGGGTGGAGATCTCCTTTTGGATGGCTGCCATCTTTTCGATCGTCGACAGCTGAGCAGGTGAACCTCCCCTTCGTTGGTTCATCATCTGCTTTCCCAGTGCCTCTGGTACTGGGATAACCTTTTGATCCGTTTTAGCTGCTTTTACAAGTCCGGTAACCTTTCCGGTTAGAACAGGAAGCAGCTACTGAAGCGAAACGAGCTCTTGCACCTGGCATGGAGTTAGCAAAGTCTATCCCAGTACCAGAGGCACTGGGAATAAAAGTCGCCAAAGTATGGGACGATAAGAAGTTCGAAAAGAAACTAGACGCTCCAAAAAAGATGACACAAGATGAACAGATACTCTTAAGCGAGATACGAGATGGAGCGATTGAACAGCTGAGAGATCATCGAACCGAAAAACAACCGGAGATCATCGAAATCTCATCTGACAAGGATAAAGGGATACCGGATCACGGTTTTTGGAATACGGAAATCGACGACAGCAACAACCCATTCGCTTGCCTCGATAAAATGACACTGGAAGAACGTATTAGCAGTTGTCACAACGGTTACAATGAGAACCCGTGTCGAGTGCAACTTCAAGGGAGATGTGAGGAATGTCGTCGAGATGCTTGTCAAGATGATCTCAGAGATTGGCCAAGCTGCAATGCGGCAATCGAAGAGACGAAAAACCATGTCCAGAAGGAAGTGAAAAGTATTAGTAGAACAAACTCAATGTGGAATCAGCACATCGAACGCTACCATTGGCAGCGATATAAGGAATGGCTATCCTGCGTTCGGAACTTCATCATAACAAGGGGGAGATCATTGCTTCATTTGGATAACAGCGTCGATAGCTTGATTGCGAACTTAGGGAGATCGGACCCGAACGTCAAGCAACTCCGATCGAAACTCGATCGAGAAATAAATGAAGTATTTGATGAAGGAATCATGTGGGAAAATGCAAGAACCGATCTTTTCTGGGACTTTCGTGTTAATCACCTCTATAAGGGAGAAGGAACAACGATCATCTTCCCAACCGGACTCGGTAAACCAGTATATGAGCTGTTCGAGATGTTCTATAAGGCGCTGGAGAGAGGAAATGAAAAATCCTTTGAAAAGTATTGGAAAGAACTTGAAGCAGAATTCCCTCCATTGCCAGAAAAAGACATACGACATACTTGAGAAGTAGCGGGTCACCCGGTCAAGAAGAAAGTGACTTTCGCACCAACTCCAGATGGAGATGAGTACCCCCAACGAGGAAATGATAAATGGTGCATATATGAGATGAACCCTAAAAACGAACTCCTCGCCGAAAACTTAAATGCGAACTGTGTCTTCATCGGGAATAAGAGACCCATCGGATACGAGGAGGATACAGATGAGGAGACGATCGTAACAGATGAAGAGAGATCACCAACAGCATTCGAGATCTCGCAGATGATCTCAGAAAAGGGAGCAATGTGGAAAAAGTTCCAAGAGGAGCTCGAAAAGATCTCCGCGGGGCAACAAGACCCAGTAACAGAAGCAAAAAGAGATGAAAAAGTATGTGACACGGGTGAGGAAGGTCCACCGCTCGAGAACAGCAGATTGATGAGTTTGGAAGAGATCGATCAGCTCGAAGGAATAGTCCCAGATGATCGGAGATCGAACTCCGATAAACAAAGGTCATCACCGAAAGTGCGAGTAACGCGCAGTCATCCGAGAATCGCAGCGAAATATGGAATCAAGGCAAAAGAAACGGGCAAACCTCTGCTCAAAAATTTGAAAGCGAAAAAACTTAGCGATTCTCAGGGCGACGAAGGTGACCTTTCATCTGAGGAAGATGAAGTTGATGGAAGACCACTCGATAAGAGCGCTGAAGTTGAAGATGAGAGCAGTGACTCAGACTCAGATTGGACGAGTTCAAGTGACAACTCAACGACTTCAGAAGACTCAGGTGTAAACGATCTCTCAGATCAAGAGGATCTCCTCGATCTCGACGAAGATGACGAAGTTGATGAAGAAAAGGAACAGGACATTAAAGTGAGAAGAACGAACGTGCAAAGGATGAAATTGAACAGAGAGACGATAAGAGTCTACAGTGATCAACGGATCCTTTTAAAACCATCTGTTTGTACCCGTGTAAAAGTCAGAATGGGGAAATTCGTACCAGCTAAAGAGAAGCTGATGTTCACACCCGTCTTCCAAGTGGAAACTGATGTTCAACCGTTAGCGGGAGTGACCGATCATAGAGGAAGGCACTTTGATCTGGTCATCGCTAACCATAGCATTAAACGGCAAGTTGTTAAGAAGGGTCAGTTCCTCGGTTATGTTGAGCCATACGATCATATGGAGAACGTCCAGATCAATAGTGGCACAGTAAAGAACGTGCTTTTTGATCCCGAAGTGGATGACACAACGAAAGCCGAGCTGACAAAGATCATCGGAAGTTTGAAACTCGGACCTGATCTCACACAAGCTCAGAAAAACGATGTGTATAATGCATTCTGGGAGTTCTGGAAGGTGCTTCCCACATCGAAAAAACCGTATGGCGATGTAAAAGGGATCACCCATGTAATCGACACGGGTGATGCGAAACCAGTAAAATGCAATCCCGCCAGAACGAGCTGGACAGGTCGCGAGTTCATAACAAAGCACATCGAAGAGATGCTGGCGCAGGACGTCATCGAGCCATCAGATGCCGACTGGAGTTTTCCAGTTGTGTTGGCTGCGAAAAAGAACGGTGACGGAACGATGG